TTTTGTCTCTTGTCTGCATATTTTACTCTATTCCGCTGCATGCTGGTGAAATTTCGTAAGTACATATCTTAATGAATATACTTTATTAGCCAGAGTTTTGAGCTTTTCGATGAATGCTGTGGCTTATATGACACATGCTCTGTTGTGTTTATACTTTAGCACCTACATAATTATAAAGTTTCTGCATGCCCTTCCACTTTCAGATTTTCAGTCTGGATTATGTATTGGAAGTTCGTTCTGATCTTTGTATACAAAAAACATATCATATGCATGATATACCAAAAGAAGTGATAAGTCACATAGGAGAATATCATTATTTCGCCTGAAAATGTATGCTCTTCCATTTCACAGCTGTGCGATCTATTATCTGTTATACAATTGTCTCTGAACCACTTGATCATATCCTGAATTGCCGATAATCTGGCCATCCCCCTTCCGTTTTCCCATCCATTGTTCATCGACCAGTAAGTATATGCTACCAATTGCATAGCATTAATGGTATAGCAATTGAGGGGGTGGGGACATCGGCCTAATGCGAGAGAACCATAGAGCTAAGGGGCATTGTGGGAGGGGTTGCAACATTTACCTCTCGCATATACATTTCCACTTTAGTTACGCCACCCCCCTGTCCAAGTGCATAAACTCGTTGAAGCCATATAGTCACACGGTCGATATCTACTATAACTGATACGATCATGCTTTGACATTACCATTATTATAATTAATGTTATGATATACATACTCAATCATTAAATTACAGTCCTGCAATAATGCAAAGCTGTATCTGATTTGGAATCTTAATTGACATGCAGACATACATGAATATGCAAGCCATCTATTCAGTTGGCTTAAAGTTATAATAGAGGACTATACCCCCACCCCCTCCCCCACATCCCCTGATCCGGCACTGATTCGGAATGTATAAAATAGGCAAATGTACATCGATTCCTCAAAATGTCATAACTTGAATTATTATTTAAAAAAATTATAGTGAATTTTGCTATATCTAATCTGTAGATCATTATAACAATCTATTTCTCCTTATGCAGCTGGAGCTTAATTCAACATTTGCACCGGTTGTGTATGGTGTGAAATCCAGCAGATTTTTTTGTTTTATCGCGTACCATAAATGATCCAAAGTGCAATGTATATGGGTTACTACGGTTTCCTATTGTATTCAGATTCGACTAATGTGGCCATGCATGTAGGCCCTACATTTACTTCAGCATAAATAATGGCTATACAGGTGAAGCGATGGTGCAATTGTGAGAATAGGCAATTTGCATTATGACTTTTAAAATCCATTTATTCGTAACAGGTGAATGAAATCATTTGTAATGAGCCGCTAATTAACAAATGCATTAAACGTTATTACATTACAAAAATGGCCTATTATACATGGGTGTAGGTTGTGATGAAGTCATGAAGACTTGATTATAGAATCAAGGTTGTTTTCACCATTCTTCTTTAAACTAGCATGCAGTTTATACATCGAAATATAACATCATTTTGTGTGTAATTGGGTTTTTATAGACGTGTATCAATCAGATATGATTATGTACGTCTATATTAGGGACCGACCTTTATAACGTCACCATCCGAAATGTGTAAATATATACAGAAACATTCTGCAGGATGTGTCTACACGATTGGGCCTACCACATATCAGTTAACATTCGACATGGTTCGATTGTGATCTATAGTAGTCCACTTGAAAAATTACCCTCACTGACTTTAAAGTAATTGATTACAATTACAAGCAAAATGATATTTGACAGATGACTTGTTTACGCGTTTTTGTATAATTACCCCCATTATCTTAAAGACATATATAATGGGGTTTTCTCTACACACTATAATAAAAATAATAATAAAAAAAAAAACTCTTTAAAAAAACACCAAATTTCATCCGATAAAGGCCAATTTTTAGATAATATGTCATATAGACCTACGGCTTCAAAGTTAATAACGATCGTCAATTTCCTATAGTTTAATTTATGCGGATTAAAGCTCCTATCCGCCATGCCGCTTTGACCTGCAAAATACATACTCCTCTTTTATGTGATATCATGATATGACAGGCGCGGATCCAGGATTTTCCAGTAGGGGGGGGGGGGGGGGGGTGGACATTTGAAAATTGCGCAGACCATTTTTTCAACTCAACATACCAATACTGACAAGTTCATATTAGAAGCACCATACCGGTACAATTTTTGACATTTTCATTGGAGGGGGGGGGGGGGGGGGGTGGGGGGCTGAAGCTTCTTGCCCGAAAAAGTAATTTTCTGGTTTCACAATTCGGCTAGTGAGCGAAGCGAGCAAGCAAACATTTGAGCATAATATGTATTTTGTGAAAGTGTTATTTATCACCAAAATAAACGAGAAAAGATATAAAAAATTCATATTCGGGCAGCTCGCCTCCCCCACCCCATTACGCGCGAAGCGCGGAAGCTTTGACGTTTAACTAAATTATTAGAGAAAGAAGACGATTCGTTGTACCGTTCTCGACTCTTAAAGAGAAGGTTGAGTTCTGGGAAGAGGTGAAAAATAATTTGTGAGCGTAATAATTCTTGTTATGCAAGTGTGGAAGATCATCAGATAAGACATGTTCCCTGAAAAGCATGGCTCTTCAAATGCCTTCATATTCTAAATATGTCAGTAACATCGTAAAACTCGGGGGTAGGATTTTTACGCCACGTGTTCGTGTAGTCCCATATACATCTTTCTGTGTACAGTGTTTGTAACTTTACCAAGACTTGGCCAAGACTTGGCCAAACCTTGCAATACACACAAATTCTTATATGCTAGATGATCAACCTTTTCTGGTCGATTCCACACCGTTTCTTTCACAATGCAATCGCATGACCGGAACTCAACTTCATCTTTAATCCTTGTCTGAATTCAGTTTTTTCCCGCCCGCGCGTAGCGCGTAAGCTTTGACGCTTCATTAAATTATTAGAAAAAGAAGACGATTCGTTGTACCATTCTTGTCTCCTAATCCTTGTTTGAAATAAGTTTTCCCCCTCCCGCGCGAAGCGCAGAAGCTTTGACGTTTCATTAAATTATTAGAGAAAGAAGATGATTCGTTGTTCCATTCTGGACTCTAAATCCTTGTCTGAATTCACTTTTCACCCGCCCGCGCATAGCGTGTAATTTTCTGACGCTTCATTATATTATGAGAGAAAGAAGATGATTCGTTGTATCATTCTCGACTCTTAATCCTTGTCTGAATTCCGTTGCCCCCCTCCCGAGCGAAGCGCGGAAGTTATGAAATTTCATTAAATTACTAGAGAAAGAAGACGATTCGTTGTACCATTCTTGTTTGAATTCTGTTTTTCAGTTTTTCCCCTCCCGCGCGAAGCGCGGAAGCTTTGACGTTTCATTAAATTACTAGAGAAAGAAGACGATTCGTTGTACCATTCTCGACTCTTAATTCCTTGTTTGAATTCCGTTGCCCCCCTCCCTAGCGAAGCGCGGAAGCTATGACATTTCATTAAATTATTAGAGAAAGAAGACGATTCGTTGTACCGTTCTCGACTTGTCAGAATTTTCAAAAATGTTTCTTTGTCTGCTCCTTTTTCGTCCGATGTCCTCTTACTGCCCCTACCGACCCTGGCTACGCGCCTGCTTTAAAGGGAAAATGACACAATCATAATTGTGATAGCATACAATTAGGTTTGTAGAAATGAAAGGGAAAAAATGATCTATTACACCAACCATGGATAAATCACGGTCGGGAGCGTCATATCATAGTTTTGTGTTATCGGGCGAGGGCCTGGGCGTAGCGACCAAGCGAGATTTTGTAATGTTGAATGCTGAAATTATGCATTCTAGAAAATATAGCTTTCTATTTAAAAGACATCCAAAATATTGTGCCCTTTTCAAATTTTTCACTAAAGAGTGATGACTTTTGTAGCGCAGGGGCTGTTTTTAACGTTTAACTTTGAATCCGCGGCTTGAGATTTTATGCGGCCGGCCGGCCCGACCCCATTTTTTCAACAACGTTCCCCAAGCCTTCGGCAATGACCCCAAATCTCTCGATTACAGTTTTTTCCCCTTATTCGTCGTTACTGTCACTTAGCGCCATTTCATTGTCTTTACCCCTTTTTCACCCGACTTTTCTCCCCCCCCCCCCCCCCCCCCCCCCCCCCCCAGTGTTGTCTAGGGCACACGCATGACTATGTTACCTCTTTTTGAAAGCACCCCTCTATCTCCGGCGTGTAAAGTCAGTACGGGCCGGATTTTTGTGTATTACGGGCCGGACTTTGTTGCGTGAAAAGTAACCCTTTATCGGAGATTTTGGGAACACAAATTCGGTCCCTCCGGCTTTCTTCTTTTTCTTTTCTCCTTTTTTCTCTATCTGTTTCTTTTCTCTTCTCTTTTCTTTTCTCTTCTCCTTTCTCTTCTCTTCTCCTTTTTTCTTCTTTTCTCCTTTCTTTTTTCCTCTTCTTTTCTTCCTCTTTTTTTCCTTCCTTTTTTTTGCGCCGCCAATAGGGGGGCCGCGGCCGTTTTGGCCCCCCTGGATCCGCCCCCGCCCCCCCACTCAGTATTATTTAGGGTACGCGTATGCTCGTTCCCTCTTTTTGAAAGCACCCCCTATCTGAGGACCCTAAATACGGAAAAATGCTCAATGTAACCCCCTAAATTCGGAGTCCAAAGAGATGAGAGTAAAAAAGAAAAACACCCCCTTTTATAAAGAAATCTCCGGGTGAAAAGTCAAATACACCCCTTTTTTTTTTTTTACAATTCTCGGGCCGGACTTTGTCGCACGAAAAGTACCCCTTTACCGGACATTTTGGTAACACGCATGCGGTCATTCCGACCCCAGAGTGGGGGGGGGGGGGGCCGGGGATCCGCCACTCTATGATATTCAATATTCTAGTCTTTTAATCTAGTTGCTGTACCGTCGACCGAGACGTGCAACATTTTTTTTCCCCTTTTCGGCTGGACGTTTTAGAGACACTATAAACTCCTTATAGTCCAGTCGCACGCTGGCTTATTGGTCGCCAGTTTCAAGAAGTAATGCACGTGTGTTCGTGTGATATATTGTGCAATGCCAATGGATCGAATGTTCATGCTTTAGTCCCGCTTTATTAGTGCATCTACGGTCAGTGGCTGATGAAACTTCTGACCTTGTGTTGTCATTCACGGATTGAGCAAAATTTTGTCAAACAATCTCAAGATAACATGAAACAGGGTACACTGTTGTGACTGAACGACGGAGGGAAAGTACACATTCAAAAGCTGTGAAACTGAAACTGCAATGCCGATTAAAAAGTCTTCGCATGTGCAGTAACGCAGTAGGCTAGACCCTACCTACGGCCAGTTTGTGGTAAGTCCGCGTCGCGTCGCGTTCGCTCAATGACTGACATCAGTTGCAATATGTGGGACAAAGATATAAAAACCGAGGTCAAGCTAGCCTTCTTGACTTAAAGGGGAAGTCCACCCTGATATTAATTTGGTTTAATAGAAGCATAAAAACTAAAGAAATAATTCAGTGAAAGTTTAAGATAAATCGGACCACAAATAAGAAAGTTATGAATCTTTCAAGCTCATGACAATTAATAATTTGGAATCTTTTTTAATTTTGAAGACAAATTGGCAAGCGGTCAGAAATTGTGATGTTATCCGCTAATAATTTTCTGAATGACAGAATGACCCAAAAATCTTACGGTAATTTCTCTGAATGTTCATGGAATAGGAGACCCCTGGGCACACGAAGCAATATTCCTTACATTTAGCGCTTGCGCAGTTACGTTTAATCGGTCTCCGCCTCATTTGAATTACCCGCCCGCGCCCCGCCCACGAATCAACGTTCTTGTTCCTTCTGATTGGATGTAAAAGACCCGCCATTCGCTTAACGTTACAAATTTGAGTGCGACGAGAGAGCATACTATTTTCCGTTTTTTTCAATACCAAAATTGTGATATTTCAGTCAAACCCTCTATTTTTAATGATTTTTTCACTTAAGTATTTCACTTAAGTATTTCACTTAAGTATAAGTCTTACTTAACTAAGAAAAATTATCAAAAAAGTCATATTTAAGGTACAAACTTGATTCTTTTCCTGAAATGTCCGTTCACGTTTCGTTTGCATGTGTATGGAACGCCATGTGTGCGTCACCTATGTGTAAAGTGCGTCACCTGTTTAAAGCCTGAAATTTCAGTGTTTTTGGTATCCATTTTTGTATGATTGACAGCTAGGGCGTCAGAGCCGAAGTTTGCTTCCTTTGTTCGGTAATAATTCCGAACCATACAGCTGAGTGTCGTATGAAATCGTTCGCCGTGTTTACGTCTGATTGTGACTGCGTATATGTTGTACTTTGAACTGGTTGTGGTCAGCGTTCGTAGTATTTCCATGGTTACGCGTTTGCGCGGCCTGGCTTGGGGGAAACTGCCTGGCCTGGGGGAAATTGCCTGGCCTGGGGGAAACGGCAATATGATTTCGGCGTTTTGTAAAAACACACCAGGAACTAACTAAGCTCCGAAGGGTGCTCAACCGAGATTTGGTGGTCTCCATTCCTACATTAATTTCTTTGTCAAATAATAAGCACTTTGTCAAATAATTAAAGCACTCTGTCAAATAATTAAAGCACTCTGTCAAATAATTAAATGCAAATACAAGTCCGAAATGGAAAGTTGTAATATGACAAAAAAATAACATATCAGTAATAGTTTCATAAATGAGAGGCAGGTTAGTATACTTGCTAACAAAACTGACAAATTTGATAAAAATGGTTAAATCTTGAGAGGATTTTGATCGTTTGACAGTATTATATAATTGAGTTTCCCAAATTATTTTCAGTAACAATGTTGCATTTTTTTTGGGGGGGGGGGGGTAAAAAAAAATTAGTGGGGTTGGGGGCAGCTTTTTTTTTGGTAATTATTTTTTTAATATTTCTTTTTTGTATGTGTAGTATCATATTATTATCAATGTTATGCTTTCAGTCATCGCTTATTATATTCATAAATGTATATATATATCTCTCTCTCTTTCCGTTTCACTCTTTCGTCCCCCCTTCTCTCTCTCTCTCTTTTTCTCTCTTCCTCTCTTCCTCTCTTTCTCTCTCTTTATCATCACTCCAACTCTCCCTCCTCTACACCTCTCTCTTTCTCTGTCTTTTATTTAACAAAAATTTGAATTTGATCAATGACTTTTTAAATGCCTATCGGGGGTCTATGTTTGATTTTTGATTTATGTCATATTTTGTGTTATTTCAGTCAATTTAAATTGCAATTGTATGTTTGTGAAATGGATCGCAATTCAGCCATTGGCTGCGATGATCTTTCTAATAAGAACCATTTCTATTCTATTCTACTCTATGTATTCAAATATGTTATTCAGAGATGTCGGAGGGTATCATTAAATGTATAACTTATGTAAGTGCATACATCTTTGATGCGGTCATTCTTTTCCTGTTCAGTCCAATTTCATATTAGATCAGAGTGAGATGTGATGGAAAGGGGGTATGACATTGAGATAAATAATTAGAGAGAAAGAGAGAAGGAGAGAGAAAGAGAGAGAGAGCGGGGGGGGGGGGGGGGGGGCCTTGTGTTGGATGTCAATTTTCAAAGCTCAAAAAAAAAACTATGCTCATTTTAAGAGGAAATTAAAGGAAAACCTAATACTTGACAGTCGGAGAAGTGAATGACATGTGATTGAAATTTGTATTCTTCTGCCGGTTCATACTTTTTCATTTTGTATATATTTATGTTTTTGTACGTTATAGAAATTCTACTAATTCATCATTATTTTCTTCTTCTTCCTCCTCCTCTTTTTCTTCTTCTCCTTCTTCCTTTTCTTCTTGTACTTATTATCATTTCTATCATCAGTTTAATGTTATTATTATTATCTTTAAAAGGTAATTCTTTTATTTTTCTTATCTGTCTGTAAATATGACTATTTTTACTTATTAATTTTATATATGTCTGTAAGGGACCCCACTGGAAATAAGCTCTCGTGGGTTATCCTGTTCAAGCTGACTTGTTGATTTGTTATTATTGTATAATGTTGTATGTTCGAAGCTTGTCGAATAAAACTCAATCAATCAATACATACATATACCTCCACACTCAGGCGCGGATCCAGAATTTCTTAGGGGGGGGGGGATTTGAAATTATGCAAGCCAAATATTGGTACGTAATGGTGACCCAGCAGTGGCGAAATGAGCAAAAACGTGTTATTGTTGATGTTGTTGTTGGTGTTTTTTTTTTTTTTTTTTTTTTTTGAGGGGGGGGGGGGGGGGGTAGAAACGATCAACGTAACGTAAATTAGCGTGGGGTCTAGGGTCGAAGCCCCGGCGGGGGTCAAGGGGAGGAGCACACAGAAGCTCAGGGAAAATAGGCTTTTAATTACGGTCAGATGAACACATTTTGACTCCTCATTATTTTGTGACAAAGGCAGGTCACTATTCTTTTTTCCTTATTTAGGAACACTCATAAAAAAATCTAGGAAAATCATGTCATTTTAGTAATATTTGTAAATCACCGGTATCGAATTAGAAATAAACCACGTTTGAATTATATTTTGGGGGCATCTGTCACCCCCTTCCCCAAGCCCAACCCCCCCCCCCATCAGTGCGACAGTGCCCCCCCCCCCAATCTACACCTTAACTATCTTCTTTCTCTTTTTTTCTTTCCCTTTATCTCCTCTTTTTCCTTTCCCTCCTCTTTTTCCTTTCCCTTTCCTTCCTTCTCTCTTATTTTGTGATGGGGGGGGGGGGGGGAGGGGGAGGTAACAGCTGGGAGGCAAGGCCCTTTTGCCGCCCGATCTCCTTTCCCCCTTTCTTTTCTTCTTCCTCTTCTTTCTTTCCCTTCTTTCTCTCTCTCTCTCTCTCTTTTTGCGGGAGGGGGGGGGGGCGGCAAAGTCCGTTCGCCCTGGATCCGCGCCTGTCCGCACTCATTGAGTCATCTCTTTTGCTTTGTACAACTAATACATTTCCTAATTATGAGCAGCACAGCTCATTACGACAATCGTGTCTAATGTTTATGAACTTGTTTTCCATTTTAATTGGTAAATTGATATTTAAATGTATTAATACATGTATGTATTTACATACATGTAGGAGCATCAGCTATCATGGCTTCAAGAAATCATGACACCCAGGTTGCGGGACGTGGACCCTGCTCCTGTGCAACCCACAAAATATGATAAAAATAACATATAATTATAGAATGTTGTACTGTAAAACATCATCATAAGAGAAAAGAGGTGGAGAGGAGGAGGGAGGGACAGAAAGTGTGAGAGAGAAACAGAGGGGATGAAGGAGAGACGAAGGGAGAAAGAGGAAGAGGCAGAGAGAGCAAAGAGAGAGAGAGGGAGAGAGATACAGACAGAGAGACAGGGGGTGGGAGTGAAATAGAAATAGAGAGAAAAGACCAGAACTGAAGAAGAAAAGGAAAATCTGAAAGTAGCAAGTTCAGATAGAGAAAAGGGATGAGAGAGTGAGAGGAAGGATAAAAGTACATGCAACATCAAAATATGAATGAATGGAAGAACCTGCTGTGCCAATCATCATGACAATTAATATTGCACATAATTAATCTCCTCCATTAGATTATGATTTTCATTTCGCCAATGCTAATTATAACACCAATGACTGAGCTGGCGAGGCACGCGCAGTTGAACTTTCCATGAACTCAAATCATGCCGCAATGCGCATAACTTGGCTTGCTTTCCCACGGTCATTAAACTTGCCGGTATTATCCGAAACCCGAAAAACCTAACCGAGGAATCGTTCGGAAAACCGAGGAGTCGAACGGAAGAGCAAAGTAGCCGCCCAAGTCAAACTAAGGTCAAGCTGATTTACGCATCAATTTTCTGATTGGATCAGCGCCCGGGGGCGTTACTTGGGATTTTTTTTGCTAGATTGATCACCCAATGGGTGCTCGTAAACTCATTGTACATGGATAAACGATATATTTGCTTCGTGGGGCAGTAGGGCCAGGAGCGCGACGCTGGTCCAGATCGTCCGCATAAACGAGGATCGTCTCTGTAAACGCAGCCAGACGTGTCCTAAAAAATAAAGATTATCCTATTCAGGGACAATTCTTATATCCGTTCTACGGATTCTTCGATGATGCTTGTTGATTGTTACACTCATTTTCTTCATTTCAGCCTGAAGAGTATGCTCTACGCATTCATACTAAGGCTGTGCATAACCGTGTAATGAGGTATTCGAGTACACTCCCAGGCTTACAGGCGAATACTCGAATATTCGGACGCCATGTTAATTTTTGATTGTTTTTATAATTTTTTTTGTGGATTTTTTTTGCCACCACCATACTATGGGAGAAGTATCAGAAGTCCGTCTCCGAAAACTTAAACAATTTTACTTCGAGTTGCAGTTGAAGGCGCCGATTTAATAATAATAGTAAATATATGCTGTTTTTAAAACCAAAGATGACAGAATAATCCATTTTCCTCCTGGTCCAAACAGAAATCCGTACATTTGACCTGGACATTGGCGCCCGAGTATAGAGTACCGAAGCAGTGACGTCATGAAAATCTATTTTTAGAATTTCTCAATTTTTTTCTTAATTTTCTGAAAGAGCATCAAAAATAATGTCCTAATATCGAAAACCAATTGAATATGTTAAGTATTGGCTGAGATATGACCATCTGAGCGTTATATGCTCTGGCTCCTAACCATTAGGAGCCAGAGGATATAACACTGAGTTCCCATAGGACATACAGGGTATATTTATTCAGATGGTCATATCTCAGCCAATACTTAACATACTGTATATTCAATTGGTTTTCGACATTTGAACATTATTTTCGATGCTCTTTCGGAAAATGAAGAAAAAGTTGAGAAATTCTAAAATTAGATTTTTGATGAAGTCACACTTCACCACTCTATTCAAGTACGAGAAATCGTACTCGAGTTGTTGTTAAGAGTGCGAATACTTGAGTATTCGACTACTCGTCGCAGCCTTAATTCATATGCAATTCAACTTCAGTAGGCCCTACACTCAAAGAAATAAACGACTTTGAAATCATGACCATTATTTGCACCGTTGTTGAAAATTTATTCGATTTTTGGTACGTTTTATTTGTGTGTAGTAGGGTACTCTCCAAGCGAGAGTAGCTAGCCCAGTAGGCTGGGCACACTTGTGAACTATAGGCATAGCGACGTAAAAATGTGTTTTGATCAATATGGAATTTATTGAAATTTCAACAAAGGATGAAATGTGAGGGGGTGACATCACATCTAGAAACCAAGTTGCCAATTTGACTCTCAGATTTGTAGTATGTCATGAAAAATTATGGATTTTAAAACTCATAAATCTTTTCATCTCAATTTTCTCATATCAATCTCGTTTTAATGAAAAAAAATATAAGAAAAACAAATTAGGGAAAGTTTGATCAATGACAATATCTAATGAATAATAGGAAAGTTATGCAATTTTGAAGTTGTCATCAGTGAAACACAAATTGGCAAAACAGATGTATCTTTCAACCCCTCCCCCCTCCAATTTGCTCCTCATTAACTAATGGTGAGATATGTTTCATACAGGGGTTGTATAAAAACGGAAGATTTATTTGTGCAGAGGACAAATGACATTTTAGTGTGTGTGTCATCATAATTTTGTATAGTTTTAAGAATATATGCGAAAAAAATCTCTTCTAGTACGTGATAAACTACAGAGAATAAATATTCTCTCCAAATACAGTTTTATCAGAAGAACTCACCTGAGCTGAGAACATTTTGTCATTTTATTGCTTTTGAAAAATAGTTTCATTTGTTCTTTCCTTGTCCTTTACAGCTCCATGGTCAAGATACTGACTGAAGTAATACCTCAATTGTGATTTGGTTTGTGGAAACAGTTAGCAAGCACAGTAAGCAGATTAATTTGATCCCGGCGTGAGTCAAATAAAGCCAGGGACAAGTGCCTTTGCAGGACTTCTCGAGAGTAACGTTTTCCTGAGAAATAAGGCTTAGCAGGCTATTCCACCATGGACATTGAGAACCAGCCAAACACCGACCAGCAAGACTCGGCAGCAACAGAAGCTCCAGCGAGCGAGATGGAAGGTACTCCGGTGGAAGATACTCGAGTGGAAGACAAAGTGATGGTTGTGAATGAGGAAGGGGCGACTCCAGATGAAGGGGAGGAAGCAGCAGAAAAAGACCCTATGCTCTCCCCGCCTCCCGAATATCATCTCGTGGTTGGGGATCAAGCAGCAGAAGTGCAGAAGGAAGGAGCAACAAAACAAAATGGAGTCCATCCAACAGGTAAATCAGGCCTAATAATTACCAGATTTAATTCAGTTTCCCTATTTTTTTATTTTTTTCTTCTTTTCTTCTTCCCAATTTTATCCCAATTTTTTTGATTTTCCCTTATTTTCTCTATTCTTCCCTATTTTCCCCCAATTTTCTTACTCTAAAGGGGGGAATGTTGTTCGATGCCATGTTTTCCCTGCAAATTCTCTTCTTTATTTTTTACACAAGGGGGGCGTGGTAGAGGGAAAAAAAACTTTGGATACAAACTGGTATACATTTTTTACACATAATTATACATGTAGGTGGTTTGATAATGTGCTCCAGCATCACTGGATGTTAGGTTTTTATTTCGTTAAAGATATAGGGTTAGGGCTTGGATTGTGAATGAGTTTAAGGTTTGATTCAGGGTTAGTTTTTAAGATTCAGACTCATCATCAGGCCCTGGGTTTCCACAACTGAGTAACTGTATATTGTAACAAGCAGTACAGTTACTATAATATGGAGTGCAACCTTTTGCATAGCCTTTAATACCAATAAGTTCTTTAATCACAACTGGAGAATAATCCTTGACAATGAATAAGAGTTCAGAGTTATTGGCCCAGGCCCTTTGGACTTGGAATGTGAGGATGATAATGAATAGGGTACTTATCTCCATTGTCAGCATGTAGTGTCCTGCTGTGAAGCAACAGTGTCTTGGCTATTGGTCAAGCTTTGGTGGGCTCAGGCTGTATGTGCTAATGGTGGGTGGCTTGCAGCTCAAAATACACAAAGTTAATCAAATTCTCGCTACCCCAAATGGCGATTCTGCCGAGATCCGGGGAAAATCCTGAAAACGCGCATTGCATTATGGGATAGCTTTTCGGCATTACAGCTTCCTGTGCCGTCCTCCACAACAACACAGCGTCGCTTTCGCTCGGAAAGTTCGTGATCACAACCCTCTCTTTCACGGTAGAGTTTAACGGCCTTTTGTGCTAAAGTCACTAATTCTGCCCGAAGCTTTCCATTGCATGGTATTCCTCTGTCCGTTAAGATTTTTTTAAGTTCCGAAACTGTTTTTTTATCCATTTTGTGGTCGACGAGAAATACATGAACTGAGTGTTGTCTCTACACTGTTTACTGTATCGTCTGCTCGTGATTGTGACGCTGGTCGCTACATGCACAATTTTAAGACAATTATTTTTTTTTTACTTTTAGATTAACAGAAAAAAAACATGAATAAAAATAAAATCTTTCCTGTAAACTATTTTTTGCTTTTTATTGTATATTCAAATTGAATAAAAACAAACTAAATTTAATGCATATATTATAATCTGTACAAATTACACTGATTGGCATCGATTTTAGCGTGCGTGAAAACTCTGCACAGCAAACACAGGCGCTAGCGCCAGCGGGATGGGACTCTATACCGGAAGTTGTAGTGACGACCCGAGAGAGTGAAAATTACCTCGTCTCGCGAATTTCGAGATTTTCGTACCTATTTAGGGTAGCGAGAATTCAACCACTCATGTATCTCACTAAAACAATACATCTGACATCTGGAACTAACATATCACTCTGTTGAAAAACGAGAGCAAACCGATACGAAAAAGCACTGGGGTGCGGACGTGGGGGTACTATACATGACCGTGTGGGCTATCCTCCCTCTCTCTCACATGGTGCATCTGCAAGCCTACTGTATATCTACATCACCATGCAAGCCGATATTTACAAGCAGCATCTAAAATTATATTTGTTGTCAATTTATGTTCACACTGAATTCAATAATACTTGGTAGTGTAAGGAACACCGGGTCTTTTACACCGGGTATTTTAACACATTCTGCTACACGTGGACCAAAGGAATTTGAATTTTGTTGTAATTTGTATTAAATGTTTATGTGTACTCTCAGCTGATAGCGATCAAGACCACCCACCCTCCAAACCGCCCTCCACCTGCTGCCTGTCTTACGGGACCGCCCGCAAGCTACTCATCGGCGTGACCATCGGTCTCAGCGTCGCCATCTCGTGGGTGGCTGCGACTCAGTTCATGAAGGCGATGTACTCGGCGGATAACTTTGATGCTCCGTACTTCATCATCTGGTTCTCGACGAGTTGGATGGTGGTGTGTTACCCTATCTACATCATTGGCTCCCTGGTAATCTTCAAGGATCAGAGGAATGCTGGCTGGGCCGGCGTCAAAGAGCTATTCAAGTAAGCCCTTTACACTGTAGTACAGCAAAACCTGCTTGAGAGTCCACCTGTATAGAAAGACCACATTTTGTGTTTCCCTCGAAACCTTTACTACAGGAACCTGCACACAAAGACCACCTGTCGATAAATACTGTTTTTCTTGTCTCCCTTGAGCAGTCATTGTATATATATATATACCAGTTTCACTAAACATCCAATTAACCCTGTAACTGATCGTCGGATCGTTGCCCGATCGTTGGCCGATCTGGTGAAATCGGATAATAAATTCTGATCGCAGATCAATGACAATGATCGGCCCAAAACTTGAACATTTTCGGCATAAAAAAAATAATTAGAAAATCTTTCCTTTTTTGTTTGTTGCCGATACCGATCAAAGGTGCGAGGGTGTTGCTCTAATCTTCCGATCTGATCAAAGCCCCAACTTACAGGATCTAATGCTTGATATCTCCTGAATGTGCCAACATGTATAGAGTTCTGGGTAGGATCTTATGAAGCCCTCCGAGAACAAGGTCGCAAATAGTCCATTGATGTTCAATAGCAAACTTACAAAAGTAAGTTTGCAACATCCCTTTGAAATGTGTGTATACCTATATTTTAATTGGATAGCCATAAACTTAGACTTGCTTCAGCTTTGCAAGACGCTGCCATGTGTAAGAAACAAATGTGTCCTGATCAAGGGAAATATAATTTGTTCTCTTCTTTGAAATAGTGATACTTTTCTTCATCACTAGAGCGCATTTTGGATTTAAACAAAACAAAACAAAAAAATATCATAGTGCTCTTTTTCATTACTCCAGTGATCTATGGGAACTCTTAAGAATTAAATTGTTGACCTGTCCCTAACATCTTTTTGTTTTCTTTCCTCAGGGACGACCAGCAAATATATGGACCGAGAGGCATGACCGTATGGACCTTTCTAAAACTGACCGGTCCTTTCTGTGCCCTTTGGATGATCACAAACTATATGTACGCTGCCGCTCTCAAGTTCAAGTCGCCGACGGACGTGACTGCCATCTTCGTCACCAATACAGCCTTCATCTATATCTTCTCATGGATTTGGCTGGAAGAACTACTCATCCTTCTACCTGCTAGGGTGAGTTCCCCTTCCTCTTTCTCCTCCCTCGCCCATTCTCCCTCTCCCCTCATTTTCTTTCCTTCGTTTTTGTCTTTTTTGCCTTCTCCATACCACTTCTGGAAATGTCTTTTGAGTCAAATGATCCAGATCATAAACATTTCGGACCCGTAACTTTCAAGTTTCCACAGATCTTTAAAACATTAATCCTATTTGAATATTTCATATATAAACACTTTCAAAGTGTGGAAGGGGCTTAATTAATTATTATTTTTATTTATTTATTTTTTATTTTTTATTATTATTATTATTATTATTATTATTATTATTATTATTTTTTTTTTGGGGGTGGGGGGGGGGGGGGGTGGGGTAAACCAATAAAACTTCCACCTGTGTACCACGGCAAGCAGCATTGGTGCATAGCTGAGTATCAATTAACTTTTATCAGGACTTATCCACTATTTTTCTCTGTTGGTTTTTACAAATAGTTGGAAAAATCTCCCACATTTTCTGCTCATGTGCAGATTTCATCTCTGAACCGGCTTATCTTTTCATATCCAAAAGTTATTCAAGCTACAGATAGAATAGAATAGAATTCATTGACTCTTGCGACCCTTTCTGGGGTATGAAAGTAACACATTTACATGTCATTATAATGATTCATAATAAAGAATACAAACAGCATAATAATACACAGAATCAGAATACAACAAAACAACAGTTCAAATCTAATGTATAACGACAAATAGGAACGATCTAAATCTAGGCTATGCTAAACATAAATACAATATTTAAACAATATGGCAAGTAAACATGAAAAGTGGAGAATTCCACATGAGCAATATAAACACACACAAAAAAAAAAAATCTACATAATTGTCCTTATTATCTAAAAAATTTTGTACATGAAAGTGAGATGTGATTGGCTTGTTAAGATTTATTCAGACTAACAAAATACGGCATAATTGTCCCTAGAAAGATAAACCTAAATCACTCTTTGCTTTCCTGATAATAATCAGAAAACCATTTCTTTTTCTAAAATTAAGATGGATTTCTATCATAATTTTATGAAGGTTTCCCATTCTACACTATTTTTTTCAATGGTATGGCAGTGGGGAATACATTTCTTGTCTACTTTTGATGACTGCCATTGTGCCCTGCCCTAATTAAATTAAATTTTCACCTTTCTCCCATTTTGTCTTCAGCTGTGCTCAGTGATTCTATCCATTGTGGGTACAGTGTTGATGATGGCAGCAGATGGGTTTGGAGGAGGAAGTGTGATTGGTGTTCTCTTAGCTCTGGGTGCAGCCATTGGAGCAGCTCTCTACAAGGTTGGTCCTACGTAGGCAAGAATCACCATGCTTGCACTGCGCAACCTTGATTAATATTTCTTTTGATTTTAAAATGGTGGTATTGGTATATCTATGTTTTGAGCTGACAGTGTTTAAAGGGATCCGGTAACTTTGTCTCAGATTCTGAAACAAAATCCTGGATTTAGCTCACGCTGCAATGATTATTATAAACCCTTAGGTCAGTCAGAAACCCCATGACTTTAACATGTCTGATTATCAAGATATTTATGATTGGAAATCGAAACCAAATTTGGTAACCAAATAACGGTTTTCATAAAACTATAGTCTATTGAGGAAAATGAGTAAGGTAAAACCGGCCACTCGAAGATTTTTACTTTTTTGAGGCACTTCTTGATCATTTTGAAGCTCAATTTTTTTATGGCTTCAATATCACAGACACTGATAACACCTAGGGCCATGCATCTCAGATTTAACATTGTTAAACGATGCCTGTAAATCTCTCAATTATGTGTAGTGATAGCAAATCTCTTCATATATACTGCAGGACTCATTTGGTCGTTCTGTAGGCTGACAAAAGTGCTGACCTGCACATCAACTCGCATCCCTCCAATTTTTCTTATTTTCTTATTTTTCTTGTAGGTTCTGTTCAAGCGATTCCTAGGTGATGCCACATATGGACAGGTGTCCTTGTTCCTCACCATGCTTGCCCTGCTCAACCTGGTCCTCCTCTGGCCCATCATGCTAGGCCTTTACTACGGCAAGAGGGAGACGCTGGACTGGAATAACTTGCCCTGGGCATTCCTCTGCGGGACATCGGCTCTCGGCATAGGTAAGTTGGGAAAATGTAACATTATGCCTCAGTCACACCTTTGAGTACATGGCTTGCGTTAGGGCTGTGCACAACAGTGTAATGAGGTACCCGAGTACACTCCCAGGCTCACAGGCGAATACTCGAATATTCGGACGCCATGGTTTTTTATAATTTTTTTGAATTTTTTTGAATTTTTTTGATTTTTTTTGAATTTTTGGATTTTTGGATTTTTTGGATTTTTTTTCTTTTTTTGCCACTACCATACCACTCGGCAGTTTCTCAGGTCCCTCGCTGAAAATGCATGCAACTTTACTTTGAGTTGCAGTTGAAGGCGCCGATTTAATAAGAATAATAACAGTAAACAATGCTGTTTTAAAAACCAAAGATGGCAGAATAATCCATTTTCCTCCAAGTCCAAACAGAAATCTGGACATTTGGTCCCAGTTTCTGAAAGGTGAGTTTGACAGTGCTTGAGTTGGGAAACATTTTTACCGACGGTACCATGCCAGCGAACGCCGCTCTCCCTGGCACGGGTAAGCGCTGGCCTGGACATTTTTTTTTTTTTTTATTTTTTTTTTAAATTTTTTTTTTTTTTTTGCGGCCGAATATTCGGGTACAAGAAATCGTACCCGAGTAGTTGTCAACCGTGCGGGTACTCGAGCATACGACTACCCGTCGCAGCCTTAGCTTGCGTATTGCGTAACATTTATTCCTATTTCTTGATATCGGGAAATGATATTCTGTTGTAAAGCAATGATAATTCTTGATATCAAGAATTCATTTCTCGATATCAAGAATTCAATTCTTGGTATCAAGAAATAGGAATAAATGTTAAAACTGCTTGCCATAAATACGCAGCAATACAAAGCCAAATACGCAAAGGTGTGACTGAGGCATTAAGCCCATTTACACAGCCCAAAAAACACCATTTTGAAAATTCATCAATATTTTTTTTTACTGCCTATTGCACTACTGTAAATACCCACTTAAACCTGTCGGTACTTGCTCATTCCGATTTTTGGGTGAATAGTGCGAGGAAAATCAGTGATTTCTGATTGCAATGTAAAGGCAGCTATTGTTTTATGTTATACACTATTGATTGAAGGGGCATGGGCAGTATACCCATTGCATACAATTATATTTCAGTAAAAAACACATTTTCCACAGACTCAAGCCCTAGTAACACTGGGCTGCATATTCACCTACTGAATACATCCATTGATACATAGATAGTCATAGCGGGAAGGCGAGGAGAGGAATGTTGCCATTCAATTTGACAGCCCCAATTTTGAAAAAAATGCAAAAGAAATTAAGGGTACCGGTAAAGCTTTTAATCTGCTACTTTTTACTGATGTTAAGAAATATAGGGGGTGGGGCTGGGGTTGTTACCATCAAAATTGGAATCGTAAAACTATCTCCCGAACATACACATAATATAATGTGTTTTTTGATTTTCTCCTCTCTGCCACAGTGTTCAACTTCCTGGTGAATTTCGGGATTGCTCTCACGTACCCCCTTCTCATCTCCCTGGCCAATGTTCTAGGCATCCCGATCAACGCAGGTAAGTCGAATGACATGTTGAAGAAGATCGTGATTTCTGGTACTGATAAAATGTTGAGTTTTCATTTAACTTGTCTTGACTGACACTGAATTTCACAGTATGCCAATCTGCAGGATTTTGCAAACAAATTGAGAACAGTTCAGGAGATAAAAAAGAACATCAGGAAAAAAAATTGAATATCTTGACAAATGGACCCAAAATTCATAAAAGTAGGGTTTTGAACATTATCACTGTATTACTGTTCAATATCCTCACTTTGTTCAGATTTCTTAATATTCAAATGTCGATTCAAAAACTTCATTCCGGCACCTGTGATTACAAACTCTACACATGAATAATATCTACCTATTGAATGCTACTTGCCAAACAAATTTTGGAAGCAGAATGTGTATGATAGCAGAGTGAGTGGTTAATAACCAAGGAAAAGAAGAGGAGATAAGTCATTTTTGGGTGGCATCGCATGATGTATTATGTTGTTCATTGCATATACAACATAACACTTTTTTCTGTGTATTTACATCACTATGAACATGACAGACAATGAAAGCGGACAAAATATACAGTTCCTCGGGTAGACAAAGGAACATCAATTCACTGCTATTATGTAAAAATGTGTAGAACAGGTGAATATGCATGTGACACCTGTTCTACACATTTTTACATAATAGCAGTGAAGGGATGTCCCTTTGTCTACCTGAGGAACTGTATATTTTGTCCGCTTTCATTGTCTGTCATGTTCATAGTGCATTTACATCTATGATTAGTCATTGTTCAACAACTTGCTCCCTGATTCTAATGAAATGATAGGTCAAACGGGATCACGTGTGATTTATTAACTATTTTTTCATGAAAAAGCATACAATGTTTTTAAGTACTAACAAAGGATTTTTAATTACGCGATGCGCAGCAGTGCGCGTAGGGGTTAGTGCGCTTGTTCTGTATGTTGGCCTGTACTTGCATAGCACTGCATGCCAATGCATATAGAGGTAAGTGCACTTATATCTGTGCCTATCAAACTTGGGGTTTATTTAGCAGCGATACTGACATGAAACAAATCTGAAATGAATTCTTTCTACATCGAATAACAAAGATCTAGGAGTTTTGTTGTACAAAATCAATGATTCATGATTTCATTTGCTCATTGAATGATCTATGCTCTCTTGATGGGCCTTTTTATGCATCTATTGTATGAAGCCTTCAGGCAGAATACGATAGAAGCACAGAGCCTTGACTCAAGTGCGGATAGACCGTATAATGAACTCATTCGCATGCATCATTTGTATACTAATGAGAGTTGATTCCCCCCTCTCTTTCCTCTCCCAGTGATCGACACAGCTTTTGGAGGCGTGCTCCTCGCTCCCCTCAAGATCGTCGGCGCTCTCCTCATCATCGGGGGTTTCGTCATCATGCTCCTCCCCGAGGCGTGGCAGGTGAAGGTGGCCTGCTGGAAGGAGGGCGACCCGCCCTGTAGGCGGAGAGGAAACATGCAACGTATACCAAGCGTAGAACTGGACGAGAGGGCGAGGGAAGCAGACAACGTTGTAAGGATATGACGGAGAAGATGAAAGTAGTGAACAGAGCTATAATAATAAAGCCCAGTTTAGACGTGATGCGGTAAACTGCCCCTAAAAGCGTACATGGCAAGTTGGCAACATTAGCGTGTAAACAAATGGCAAGTTGCAATATTCGTTGGGGTAAATACATAGCTGTGTGCAACAGAGTCCATTATGTGTTCTCATTGATCTATGTGTTACAACATACACAAATATGAAGTGTATGCACTATGTTCATCTCTCATTTGTACTGCTTTAGTGGGTTTTTTGTCCTTCAAAGCTGTTTACTGCCTCAAGTCTAGATTGGCCATTAGCAGTTTAGATAATACTGTCTGCATGTGTGTATGTGTGCAGTGGTGCGTGCATTGTACTGAGTGTGAGCGATGAGCTGATGAGTAATGTATGGTTAATGTAGAATGTAAGAAAGATGATCTGTAATTTAAATTTATCTAAAAATAAATGTAATAACTTGATTGTGTTGGCATCTGTAAGGGTGCGTGCAGATTTGAATGTACAGTAATGATAATTTATATGTTTGATAATACATGTACTAATGTAACTGGCAATTATTTTGTAAAAGTACAGAAGTGTTCTTATCTTATTTAATTGAATTATTGGTACCGTCAACGCAATCATTCCTTTTGAGATTATCATAAAGTAAAGGCATCTCAGTGTGGTGGCCACTGACTGGTGGGTAGGTCACTGGGCTGTAGATTGAATAGTTTAGCCTTCAAAGGTAGGATGATGGGGTGTAGCATGACGAGGCTACGTGTCTTTCCCGTGGCCTGACTCGGGGCCAATCGGGTATAATACGACTGCGGACAACGCGACCGCCGTATTCACGTGCGTGCAACATACGCGAGGAGAACTTTGGTCTGTTTTGCGAACACTTTCGCGTGCTGACCATTATAATCAAGTCCATTTGTTTATGTGCAGCTGTCCCCAAAAAGTCGTAGATGGTATTAACCGGTATTTGCCATGCTACACCCCCTTTAAGTCTTTTATCGAGACATCACGTCTAAACTTGCCACTCTCTACCCAGGAGAGTGAATCTGTAAGGATCACATTAAGCCGTGGTGATTGCCAATTTGCCGTTGCCATGTACGGTTGCGGACATTGCAGGTACACGACGTACATGTATGGCATAGGGATTGAAGATGGTGCACACTTGTGTATGGGCTTGAAATCCAGTGACCAGTCTTCATAAACAATAATATTGGTAATTTGGTATTGAGTGAATGAAATATTTGTTTAAGGTACGGTGTACATGTCTATTGTTAATAAAATAATTTGTTAAGAGTTGAAATTGAGCACAGAGAAATATTGATCTTGTAATTATTTATTTAATGTGATTTATTTTGATTAATATATTAGGAAAATATATCGTAAAAGCTGGTTCTGTAAAGCTAATAATGTCATGTTGGTGTAACATGACACAGATTGAAGAAGAAAAGTTCAATCACTGTATGTTTTCAACTTTTCATGTAGTATAATTACATATAGTGTCATGCGCTATAAATCTTTGTATAATGATGAGTAGTTTGATCAGACTTGTTTCTGATCAAGTGATTAGGGATCTAATGGGAAGTGAATAGGAATCAAATGAAATTGATTGTTCACATTTTTTGTATAAAGTTGTTATATTTTGTACTATTTTTTTTGTATCTTTCATGTAAAGTAATCATCTTCAACTCATGAAAACCTTATAAATGTCACATTCATAAAGCCATTTCGAGAGTAGCGAGAAATACTGACACAAAGATATTTCTTTCTTTTTTTGCACACTATACCTTGCACACCACTATACCCGTATGTATTTTTGTATATTTCATCAGTACCTTCTTTATTTTTTTTGTTCAATGATCTTATGTTATTATTATTCTGTTACTAGCAATGATTTAAATGATTTTAAGTGAATTGTGACTTTTTTCTTAATGATGATTTCTTAGGTTGCATGATTTTATTCCTCCTTTTAATTTCTTAAAAGGTGTGATGTTGCTTTCCCTGCATGACATTTTTGTGTGCATATGAATGTATTGCACCTACATGTGTATTCTCTTCTGTTTGTGGGCCAGTATGAACAAATGAAGCTGCTGTGAATTGTACCAAGAATTTTGCCTGAGTGTGCTGTTTTCTTTGACCTAAGATGCTAATGAAAGAGGCAGATTACTAATTTATTGGGATGGATAATAATCAATAAGATGGATTGTGTAAATAATTTTCTCTGTTGTGATGAAATGCAGTGCATGGCAATGTCAATGAATTTGATCTGGCATGCAATAGTTTTGTATACACAGTTGGATCAAATAAGAAATAAATATGATTTTTGTAATAATGTCTTCAATGTAGCTTTCTAATTACTTGAATGGTGCATCATGACTTAATATTTTCATGATCCAATTATGCATTTTGATATTTCATCCATGTTATCGTTATTGTCAATATACAACTACAAGTTTATAAATGGTCATTTTATTTAGAAAACTGTGTAATTGTGTGCCTTGGATCTGAACCATGTTCTTTTCCAAACATTCCTCTTTCATGGTAATATGAAGAAAGTAATTTTGCGTCCATCATCCTATTAATTGGATGGACCTCATTGATGCTGGTGTGTAGTTGTTGAACTATGTAACAGATGTGTTATATAAACTTCATTACTTGAATTTTGCACAAGTCAATCGTTTTTTGGGCATTCCCAACAGATTTGACTTAAGGCGGTTAGTTATGCAGCATGATGGTGAGAAAGTTAAAACTGATCTACCTGAGAATATTGTATGAATTGTGAATACCTAGGGAAATCCAACGTTTATAGCAGACAAATCAGAGGAGTACACTGGTTAAGTTTATTTGGTACATGTAAGTATTGTCAGTTTTGTTATTTCATGTTTATATTTAGCATTTACATGTAACTTTACTTTGGAAAGAGAACGACAGTCGGTTGAATTTTTTTCTCTTTATAAATGGGACCTTACCAGTACCCACCTACTGATGTAGACATATTTGGCTCTTTTTTTACAAATTTGTGGTGCAGGGGAAAGCAATACAGTCATACATATACATGTATTTACATGTGAGTTTTCCAGCAGCTGATGGTTATTATTGTGGTGAGAACTTTTCATTTTTGAAAACTAGGTGTTATTCTCAAAATATTGAGGCTATATTGCAAGAGATACATTTCTTTAACCCTTAGGCCTACTTTGTCACCAAGGTTTTATTTTATAAACTGCCCTTATATGTAGTTCACAAATAGGCTTTCATTTCAATCAAATTACAGGGTGTACATGTCAGAAACTAGCCAGACCATCTGCCTTTGCAAAATGTGTATAGCATATACACAACAAGATGTTGCATGTACAAATTGTATGTGAACGGTTTTGATAATTTTTGTACATTTGTTATGTGAGGTGTTTAACTTTTTTTGTTAGATAAAGTTTTTTTACATAATCTTGTTTCTGAAATACTGTACGAATATTCGAATGGAAGTTTGTTTGTTGATAATAAAGGTAATAAATGTACTTTTCATCACAAACAGAAATGCTAGTCTTTGTCTCGTGTTTTAGGATAGTCCAGATTCTGTCTACGGTATTTGAAGGAAAAAAAATTCTGCAATTATCTTTCTCCCTCCCCTTCCCAAACACGCATCCCACACAGATCGTGATGTCTCCACTAATCGCACAATCCCTGAAAACGCACCAAAGGGTTTTTAAGCTTTGAGGGTGTGTTTTTTTTTCTCAGCAGAATGGGCATGTGACACGGAAAGAGTCAAGGCAGTAGACTAGAAAATGGAGGAGAAAGAGAAATAGAAAGGGAGAGAGAGGAAGTGAAACATTGATGGGGAACTAAGAATCTATAAGCAAGAGGTAAAAGAAATGATGGGAGAAAGTGACTAGCAAGTTCAGAAATATTGGGGAGGTGGGGGGAAGGGGAAGGGGAAGGGGTGTGGGAAAGGGGAAGGGGTGTGGGAAGGGGATGTGAAAGTGATGAGCTGGGATATACGAGCTAGAGAGAACAACGATAAGAGGGGGAAGGGTTGGATAGGATAGGATACAGTTCATGATCCAGAAGAGAGCGATTGGAAAGTAAGAAAATGGACTACGACAGAGGGAGAGAGAGAGAGAGAGAGAGAGAGAGAGAGAGAGAGAGAGAGAGAAGGGGGGGGGGGGCAGGGGGAATAGAGGAAGATAGAAAGGGTAGGGTAGGACAGGGCTCATGATTCAGAGAAAAGACTGGAAAGATAGAAAATGGAGTAAGCAAGAGTAAGAAACAGATACACAGAGAGAGAGAGAGAGAGAGAGAGAGAGAGAGAGAGATTTTGTGTGTGTGTGTGGGGGGGGGGGGGGGGCGGGAATAGAGGAAGATAGCAGACAGATGGATATGATAGGGTAGGATACAGCTCATGAATTAGGGGGGCAAATGGGGGAAAAAAAAAAGAAAATAGACTAAGCAAGAGAAAGAGATATACAGAGAAAGAGGGAGGGAATAGTACTCAAGTATGGGAAGTAATCAATTATTGTCTTGGACCTTCCCTCATATATATATGTACACAATATGTGCCGGAGTATGAACTGTTTCAGAGTCTTCCTTGCACGTTTAGAATATGAGATCACTATAAATCTGTGCAAATCTCAAATTAGTAGTTTGGTCAGTGAAATGTGAGGTTATCATGAAAAACTCTCTGGTTTATCATGTACTATCATTATCGTTACTTTGTTCTTCTTCTCCAAAGTGCCTTCTACCATGGGGGGACTACTGAAAAAATATTTTTGATAGTACCGTACCTTATATAAGAATTAAAAAACCCTCCTCCCGAGTCATACAAATTTAAAATTGGGAGAATTGTCTGGCACTTTTGTATGGTACCAATACATATGTCATATGACGATTACAACTTTCAAAGTTAATAACTTTAAGAATTATGTTTGATTTTTCAAATAACCAGGCATTTCATAATTTTTTTTTACAAAGGGCTGTAGGCTCAAGCTAATTCTGGAGTTACTTCCAAAACTTGGAAAAATTCTCATTTTCTCCTTCAACTAATTTAAACATAAAAACAAAACAAAAAACACACTAAGCTAAACAGTATACTCAAATGAAACAAGACAATACACAGTACAGTATTATTCTACTTCTACCTTTAATGGTACAAAGATGATAGAAAATGATTGCAATAAATACTGCCCGTATATAGTGTGTGATTTTATACATTTCTTACCCCATAATATAGTTAAATACACTTTTAAAAACACATTAAAACAAATAAGTTGTTGAAAGTCTTACAAGGCAACAGACACTGGAAGAGACATATATGTAGAACCCATTTTTTCCTAATGTAATTGCTGTTACTTTGAAAAGCAAAAGCCCCAAAACATCTCTTGATAATATTCATAGCAAAAAACAATACCTTGGTCAAATTTTTCATTGCACACTTGATATATGTAAATATCTACCTCACTTTAGGTCTGAAAATTAAAAGGCATCCCAAATCATAATTCATTAAAATAGTAAATTAAGATATATTTTACGTTTTCAAATACTTTTGTCTCTTTTCCATTTTAATCTTCGTTTTTGTTGTCACATTATTGTTTTGGTCATATAATAGTGTACATACTTTAATACTATTTAAATTGTAACATTTTCCTTAATATTTGCACACTGTGCACTTAAGTTTGAGTGATTTTGAACAAAACACTGTAAAACAAAACAACCTAATAAACTGATAAACAAAGCAAATATCCATGTTATATATGACAATAATACAACTTTTATTTCAAGTAACTCTTTCAGATAGATAAATGATATTTCAATGTATTTGCACATACTTCTACCCACATTACCATTTTCAGTTTCAAATAAATATCTTACCATTGATGCCAAAGAGTTCAGACTTCAGGGAATTTTTTTTTGTTCCAAGCTATATGTTAAAATCATTAGTCCCTTCCTGTTAAATTTTTTAATAAATAATAGAAATATTGCTGTAAAGCCTCAAATATTTCATGGCGCCTAAACAAAATCGAAGATCTTCTAAATCAATCTCATCACTACATCTAAGTTAAAGTTCACACCAAAACCTAACTTCTACAAATTAAAAAATGTGTACATATATCATTTTGAAAGACTTACTACATTTCTAGTCACATGTATAAACAAGTACATTGTACAAATTAATGTAAATTCATTTCCTACTTAGAACACGATTGTGGTATCTGCCATTTCTTGGACGTACATATATATCCTTCAAGGGATGAAGGTGTCACTTTCTTTGACCTTTACATCGTCTGTTGGGGCCACAAGGACGTACACTCTGTGTTTAATAGATTATGTACTAAGGCCTTATGGCCCCAAACAGATGAAAAGTCCTTGTGAGTATGCGACACCTTTATCCCTGTAAAGAATTGTAAAGAGGGAATGATTAAGCATGCATACAACAATCTTGTATTATTTACTTAATTAGCACACCACCACCTCCTCTTAAATCTCTGTACCATATAAGCGTATAGATGTCTAACTCTGTACGCAGTATCTACCAAGACACAATTTCATACTACCGTAATTAATCATGCATAATTTTACCCATCAAATAATGACTTAACAACTTATTGCTTATAGGTACAAATATGAAGAGATTAGAAAAGGGGTGTGGTCATTAAAACAACACGAACATACAAATGTATATGAATATACAATGTTATGTACCACCTGCACATGCAAGTGCAAAAATTGTCATGGATGTTCCGTCTTGAAAATGACCATCTTGAAATCATTACATATACATGTATATATCTCAATTCAATTATAGAAGAGTACTTTAAATGATTGGCAGTATTACAGAACTTGCTATATGAATAGTACTAATTAAAGATTTTTGTACAATACTTTAGTTTCGCATTGAGAGGATATCAAAATACCATTAAAAGCGTACTAAGGATTGATTATAGTACTTTAGTTTCATATCAAGAGGTTATGAATATATTCATGTTAAAAAACTGACATCATGCAAATATTTAACCAAGTTGAATTTCGTTCTTACGGTTGTCACTTGGATGACATTTTTAAAAGAAACTCTAGGTATTTCCAATTTTCTTAAATGACTAAAAACCTGAAGATTATACCTACCGCCACCACATGCATAAAATCTGAATAAAATTAAACATAATCATGATATTTGTTGCAGTTGTGAGATAATGGACCAGGTGACACCCTCAAACGGATTCAGGTAATAATTAAAAGTGAAATTTTGCTCCACGGTTCCAACCACCAAGGCCCGAATTCACAAAGGAGGGTTTAATTTAAAACCCTGGTCTACACCATGGTTCAAACCTCCACCATATTAAAGCATACAAAAGCGACTTATTGGCCATGGGACACGAGAACTTAAGATAAACCTCCTTTGTGAATTTGGGCCATAGACTCCAATAACATTTCACAAAAGTGTCACGGTTATATCCGTGTATGTACAAGATCCCCCTTTTGTGGGTTTCACTTGCCTTTCTGTGAAAAGGAGAGAGAGAAAACAAGTGTTTATAAATACACCTATGTACACTCTTAAAAGTACAATCCTAAGTATAGGCAGCTCCAAGCATATCTTTCAAATGAAATCAGGAAAAATTACTTGCATTTCTCATACTTTTAATAATCAAATAAACTGCCCTTTAAAGCTTTCATTTTTTAAAGTCCATAGTGGACATTTTGGCAGTTCTGGACTGAATTTATACTTCCTTAAACATTCAATTTACAAAAATAGAAAATAAGTCTTCTTACGCACAACAACTTCTCTACAAACAAATCTTGGACGGATCTTGGACGGATAGTAGGATAAGAAGAAAGAGGGTGGCAAGTGGGGAAGAATCAGCCTGACTTCTTTGTAACACAACAATTTCATCTCATAACAAAAATAAATCACTTCAAGACATCTTATCATGCAGTTTGAATGAATTCGGATTATTGAAACAAGTGGCTATACAAATCGCAACGAATTTGAGAATGCGTAATTTAATAAAGAAAACAAAAGGCGTGATTTTAAAATCTTTTATTTTTTTTATTTTTTCATCTGCATTTTTTTTCTCTCTGTCTTGTCATATATATAATCTTTTGAGAATCAGAAGGGCTTTAGCTCTGTATAAGTAATACAGTCAATTTCTTTCCGGCTCTCTGCAGAAGATATTGTCTGTTGAGAGACAGAAGGGTGTTAACCTAAAGTATGTGAACCTATCTTAGAACTTATATGAGCTAATGCCCCTCTGGCCCTGAGCAGGTAATATGTTGATTGAAAATAACTGTTACTTTTCAGGCATTTCTTCCCACAAACCATACAGCTTTCTGCACACCTTGGCTCGGCTGTCAATCATCATCATCGTAAGCTCACAGTCAAACAGTCATAAAGGCAACTCACAATATGTGGACAACCTGAGAATCCTTTGGCACAGTGTACGTAGCCTGGCATCAAAGGGAGACATGTCAGAAAGCACAGGTACCGAGCACAAGCTCATTGTCATTATGGGGCATGACCCCCAGACTAGCCTACCTTGAATCTTCAGTGTCACGAGGAGATGTCACATGTACATTCTCATCAAGTTGTCCACATTTGCATAGATGCAGTAATACAAGGACGGAATGGAATGGAATGGAATGGAAAACAAGGTCCAGCTTTGGCAAAAAAGTGTCTATTTGATAGCACTCTGCAGGTTAATCTCGCTTGCTCTGTCTAATTGGCGCTGCAATTCAGCAAACATTAGTGTCATTTGACATCTGACAATCTACATTGACCCAAAAAACTGGCTAACAAGACATGAAAAGGCATATCTTGGGGACAATGCCATTGCATGATTTCCTGGAATTTGATAGCCTGAGTTTTGAAAAGGCCAAATCTGACTGAACAAATGAAAGAAATCATGAGGTCCCCTTCCGTGTACTTCCATCTAGACAGTTTTTAAGTTCCAAAATACTTTTCTAATAATACTGGACCCATTATTTAATACAGAGGTTAAATAAAGGTTATAGGATATAGGGTCACAGATTAACCTATGACCTATAGTTATCTTCAGGGAGGGGGGAAAGTGACTTTTCATTGTCTAGGTCATCGTCCTTATCAATAGCATCGACCAGAGACTGTTGACTGAGCTTACGATGATGCTTCTTCTTCTTCTTATCCTTCTTCCTATCCTGATCTTCCGAGTCGCTACCGTCAAGGGACATCGTCCGCGGCGTGCTGACTGTCGTGAGCGGGGGCAGCTCTATCGCATGCCTTGACACACGTGGCTGGATCAGATCGTTGGAGTTGTTTGACGAGAAGTTGTCTGCCGTTTGACTGGCGGGTTTGACTTCGATGGTGGACCTGGAACCGTTGGAGCTGGACTGGACTTCTGGTTGGACCTGGACCGGGGCTGTGGTTGGGTTTTCTCGTCCGTCTTTGAGCTTTTTCTGTCGTCGGAATCTCTTGGTGGCTGTGGTTGTTGTGGTGGTGTCAGCTGAGGGGTCTTCAAAGGAAAAGAGAAAGAAAATGAAAATGGTTGAATGAATTTGTATAGCAAATTGCATAAACATTCTTATATATTAACTTGAATCTGATTGTACTAAAACAAAATTGATAATTGTTAATTAGTTGTCTTCATCTAAAAAACTGAGTTTAAAAAAAAACTCAGAGTGAATTTTGAAATATAAAACCATGAAAACATCATATATCAAGTAATGATGAAATAAATAAATATATATACATGTGAGTGGTTAAACACGACAACCATGGTGATATGTCAGGATACTCATGCAAATAGAGATGTTAAATGTTAGGAGATAGTGTTAAGAAATATATGCATATGAATCCCATTAAGCAACTGATATTATAATGTCTATAGCTACCTTACAAATTACAGTTTTATGGACTTGGAGAATGCATCCAAACTTTATAAGATTACATTTTACTTTCAAAATGGAAAGCATTTACAATTGTGAGAAACAGACAATGTCAAGGACTTAGATCAAACATGTTATTAGTCCTATGATCATCTGGTCTTAAAGTTCACAAGTCATAAGATCCATTGTTCATCACATTTGTTAGTTATAACCGGTTCTATCATAATGCTCTTTGGTCATAATTGGTTCATGACGAAAGAAGAAACATAATGTCAAATAAGCACCACAATATTTTGCAGATGATTTAAAATCATTAACTGCAGTTTTTAAACTTTTTCAAATATCGTTTTAATGTATTACTTTTAGTAAATTTAGAAAAATGAAGTGAACATTTAAAAAAAATCCACAAATCATACTTTTTTTTCTTCTTCAATACTTTCATGAGTACTACAGAGATGGTACAAGTAAAGCAGATGTTTACAATGTCTATAGTGAAATTTTAGAGACTTTTTAGTTAGTTTTCCAATAACCAGCAATAGCTTGCACATTAATTGATATGTGATTTGGGTAACAGGGTGTAGAAGTAGATTAAAAAGAAAAAGTGAAGTATAATACCGGTAAAAGAAAAATGAAAAGAAAATTGAAGGATTAAGAAAAAGAAGGAAAAAGAAGGAAAAAGGAAAGAGTATAAAACAGCAAGAGATAACAAAGAAGAACATGAGTGCAGAAGAACAAAAAGAAAGGGTAAAAGTGAGGGAAAAAAGAGGAATATAATCCCTTCTATGTTTGCACGTTTGCTCTTTAATACGCATCTAAAGTTTGCCTCACTTTGCGTATTTAAGTACATTTACATGAATCTAAAATGTACATAATGATCTGAAATGACAGCTTTAAGATCACCTTTGGCATGATGAGCAACTGACACAATGATGCAGTTTACAACAAATTCCCACTTTCTACATGAGATGGATTCTAGCTCTCGATTTTAATCTGCAATCAGCCCTCTCCAGCATAAAAATAACACCATTGAATAGCGAAGAACATTTTCTAATAATTTCTAACCTCTTAAATTTGTGATTATCTTCACATATGATTTACTTGAAGAAGGAATAACCAGGCACAAGGAGGTGCCTAAATTTCTCTTTATTGTCATATGTTAGCGGTAGCCATTTTTATTTCAATGCACCACTTGTAAATATAAACACAATTTAATATGACTTGAGTTGAGTTGTACATGTACCATTGGTAAATAGCATGAGAGCATACTACAGTATATATATCCACATGTACGGTTTATGTACTTGTGAATGCATTATACAGTTTTGCCCATTTTGGTTTAAAGCCCTTCTGCACTAGTTTGGACAGGAGGGACCTCCCTGCAAGGTCACTGACAGGTGGTTATCTCATCAAATCAGCTCTCAATTAACATAAGAAAAAGAGGGTCATGGGGGACCAACAGTCACTGATTAGACACTGTTTGCTATACAGAGGGCGCAATTGTTCAGATGAAAGAAAATGGTGCTAAGGTCATGACTTCAATGCTAGATGTATTAAATGATCTGAAAATTTTAGTGAAAACCAGACCAGATAAAAATTGGGAAAAACTGATCTGATCGATTCCTTATAATTCTCCCAACTATATTATTACAATTTAATTGCATTTTAGGTGAATGTAAATTGTCACAAAGCAATGAATGGACTCTTTATACCATTCCAAACATTTAAGTGTTGAAATATATTTAAAAGCCTGTCTTATGTCTTATTTTCATGGAAAACGGTTGGGAAAATTCAAAAATGGTTGAGAGAATTTACTGTTACTGAGGGTGTCGCACAGTGACACCTTCAAAGAAAACTATAAGTATCTTTGTGGTTTGAGAAATTTTTCAGGATTTTTTGCATGTTAGAGGGTAAGTATAGCTAGTACAATGGGTATATAATAAGTTACATTTGATACCAAAATTACGCAGTTTTTTCATCAACCTTCAACGATGTTACAAGGTCATTTTAATGGATCAAGTTTCAGCCTTTGAGATTGCATAATTTATCTTGAGATAGGTGAAAATTAAAAAAATATAGCAATTGATTTTCCATATTAAAAAATGTAAGAAATGTTTAGTTGCAATACACCTCTGTACTGTTTGATGAATGCTACTATAATCTAAATGCAGTTTATGTGTTCTATTAGATTGCATTACCAGACCAAACCACCCACATACATACATGTAGATGAAAATATTACAATTGAGATGAATATAAGGACTGGTCAGATATCAACAGTAACAATAACGATAATGATAAAATCGATCTATGCATAGACGTAGATAAGTTATTAGATACCGCTGTAGCTCATCAAGTTTATGCTAATAGCCTTCTGTACCGATTTTCATTGATCCAATACCTATTTTACATACAAGTATATGTACTTGTAGCTTGAATTTATGGAAGGCACCCTTTTCCAAAGTGCGCTGTTCCAAAGGTTCATATTTTTGAAAGTTAAAGATGGTTCATTATTTTGAAAGTTTGTAATTCTGAAAAACTATCCATGGTTCAAACTCATCTTTTAATTACAACCCTATTTCCTTTTCAAAATTATAATCTCCTTTCCTTTTCTGAATTATGAACCTTCAGAAAAAAAGACATTCAACAGATTTTATCATCATTATCGTTATCGGTGACCAGCCCTTAACTAGTACTTGGGGGTACACTGTATATGGAGCTTGTGTTATATCCTGGGCTTGTGATATATGGGCTTGCTATATATCCTGACATATAACATATAAACTTTTTGACTTGTGAGAGGATTGACTGACCTGGTCACAAAATTCACATTTAAGTTGTCAAAGCTACGTTAACACCTGTAACATCATCACCTGGCAAATAATATAAAACAAAATAATCGTAACACATGAAACTGCTTTGAAATATCATGTTATATCTTCAACTGGCAAAGAATACAAAACAATATGCAAATGATAAACAGCAGTGGGCGCACAATTAGTAAGAATTACCCACACAAGGTACTGAGTGTGGGTAATTTACTAATGCCCGAACAAAATCATGTCTTTTATTTGTTTTATAAGATGATGTTTTATTTGTTTTATAACATCATAAGGATTTTACTAATGACCGGTCATAAGTATTTACTAATGACCGGTGTTAGGCAAAATAAATGCCTGGTTAGGTGTACGCTCTCGACCAATCATTTGATTAGGATCCGCTTATCATCTTACATACTGTAATAGAATAAACATGAAACTGCTATAAGATATCATGTTATATCTTCACCTGGCAAAGAATACAAAACAAAATAGTCAAACGCATGAAACTACTTTAAGATATCATGCATCAGGAATGGGAAACATCTCGAAACTTTTCAACAAATGTCATGAATTTTGTGGAAATGTCATGACATTGAACTACATGTAACCATATCAAACTTCACCAAATTCAGGGAATAATTTTCCTGGTATCGCATCGCAATTTGCTATGCATTTTTGCATGACTGCTATACAAAATATCTTTTGCGTAGCAGTTTTCTTCCATAGAAATGTACAGAATTTCATTTGAAATATTTATCCATCGGCTGAAATTGCTAATCAAAAAATTTGAGGAAAATTATTCCCTGAAATTATTTGAAAAGAACAATTTACCAACAAGAGAGTAAACCTCTCACAATTAATACAATGTATGAAGTTGAATTGCATGCTCTGAAATTTCACTGAATTAACAAAATTCAAAAGTTGTGGAATCAGTTTCCCTTTTTCATAGAAATTATAAAATAAACATCCCTCATCATTTATGCTTAAAAAACCCAAGTCATGCAAATAAATCGTAATTAAAAAACAAAACACATTTAATGAAGCAAAACACTGATGAATGGTAATTGCAGTACTTGGCATATAAGCAACACAAATCAATGATTTCACATGGATTACGGACACGCTATGGACCAAGCTTAAGCCTATCAGCAACAGAAAAGAACTTTTTCATATTTGAATTTATCTTCTTCAGACATTAACATGTATATGACCATATATCAAATCATATATACATGTACTTACCTGTTGTCATTCCATGTTTAATAAGTTTGCTATTAACAATCTCTTAGTAACAATATTACATGAATGAGTAAATATACTCTTTACTTTCTATCTATAGAGCACGCATATCGCTGAACATTCATCAAATTAAGGACCTTTGATTTTGAAAGAATAGAAGAAGGAAAAAAAAAAATTGTTTTATGTCCTTAGATCTGGAATATATCCAATTTTGTATTCAATAAAGATAAGGAGCATTCATGTATAAAAAGCAAGGGGCAAAACAAAGATGTGTTAGAGAGGAACACCAAGAAAAAAACTTATATTAATTAAGAAATATTTCATGCACTTGAATGTATTAATTTGACAAATGAGACTGCTTATAAACTCAACAATAATTCCTGATGTACCAGCCAAATTTATTGCGTGGACCGTAAATGCAAGAAAAGAAATATGTGAAAGAAATAAGGTCTTAAAGATGAACAATAGCATTAATTATTACATGCGATAATCAGGCAGGGGGGGGGGGGGGGGGGGACTTCACCAAAACCTTAAATGGCTTTATAAGAACTTCATCAGAAAATCAAGCATAATTGAGATCTAACTTTTGCTTCGGGTAACATGTACAGAAGTACTTTCTACCAATATTATCACTCAATTATATCTATGAGAGTTGATTTCTTCAAGGTCATGTAATGTTATAGCAAAAGTGTGATTATGAAGTACCAACAAATATGTATTGTGATGTTGTTAAATGATCAAAATGATGAAAAAGAGATTTGGAATTGCTGAGAATGACATATAGTGAAAAGCACTGCACGCACATGTGCCATCAAAGTTTAATCCATTGTTCAACCCTCTATAGTTATACAGGTATTTGGAATGTAAAGAGCATGTTGCATGAAATCTGGTAGGATGCGAAATTAATGTGGTTGGATCAGCAAGTGTGTGCTTGTAAAATGGTGACTGGCCAGAATGCTCCACAGGGAGTGGAATATGTGCATACATTGTGTGCGTGTAAGCCTGAATCTGATGACCGAGGTAATAATATATCTGTAAAGCACTTAGACACATCGTTGTATCGATGTATTGGGCGCTATAAAAAGCGGAATATTAATATTTATGTATTTCATCTGCTCAAGCCACAAATACATGCTTATGTTTTAACAATCTCCATGGAAACAATGACCAAGCAAAATAAAAAGGGCAATATTAAAGCCAGGTTTCGTTCAAACATACATGTATCATGAATCCAAGAATAAGACAATATAGACAGTTAATTATTGATATTTCCTGAAAAAAGCCCAATTTATTCAAAGAACATGAAAATGAAAAGGAATTACATGCATGTACTAAATTGAAGTTGTGTTGATGAATAAAGGCCAACTTAAAAGCAGGAATACATGCAGCATGCATCATAAAAGATTAGAAGAGGCATAAGTAGACATTAAACACCATAATTAATAGCGAAGCAAAAAATTTGGTTCTCCATCCGATAGCATTAATTTCATTTCGAGTTGTCCCCTCAAAAATTTAACCCTGTATATTCCCAGATACAATATTACCCTTCTAATTAACCTGGTGACAACTGAATTCCTCTCATTCCCATAGCCTTAAATACAGGGGCCACTCGGTTCCTGTACTTAATGGATTAAAAAATGTGTAATGGAATGTGAAATTGAAGCAAATCAATGTGGGGACCCAAGTGGGCACATATAAAATCAAAGGGTGAAATGGAAAATAGCATCTGACTACTATGTTGTGAACTTGCAAAGGATGAGGTAAATGAAAGTTAAAAAGGGTAGGAGCAGGTAAATGGAAGTTAAAAAGGGTAGGAGCAGGCAAATGGAAGTTAAAAAGGGTAGGAGCAAGCAAATACAAAGACCCCTAGCTCTTAAAGCGTAATATCCAAAACATAGAGCGCATTATGTTTAATTCCGAGTATGCTTATTGCTTCTTGCTCGGGGTTTCTTGATGTGAGTAAGAGGCTGCACAACACTTGCTCTGGCGCCAATTGCTCTCTGTCAATACCCTCCACAAACCAAATTCGTAACTTTGACTGGGCCTGCATGGACCCAAAACTATACCTAACCCTAACATAAAACCCACCAGGTACTGCATGTATGTCAAGCTTGGAGCAATCATTGTGAGAGCAAATATCGTGTCTCCTGGTAAGAATCTTCTTCATGCTTGTTCACGTAAGCTGCTGTAAACTGCTATCAAAAGTTTACCATGGAAGGGGGGGGGGGTGTTAAGCATAGTGTACATGCATGTACATCACTGTTTTTGTATCTTATATTATTAAACACATATGTACGTTTTAAAGTGAGTCCACATAGGACCTTTGTTGTGGCAGTTATTACCTTTTGTCATCCCCACCTGTACCATTCATTGAGTACATAAAACAATTAAAAAAAAAACTTTTAACTACAGCACACGTGAACACGCATTTCCTGGGAAAAGAAAATAACCCAGCAAGATGGATACAGTGAACCTAGCTCAAACAGGGCTTAGCACCGCTTCCCACTTTTTAAAAAAGTTAGTAAAGCAACAATTTCTTCAAGTGTGTATTCTTTTTCTCAGAAACACAAAAAGCAGGGAAACTATCAACATAAATAAAACAGAAACCAAGGAGAGCATGCATGCAAAGGTCCTGGCAACAGGCAAGAAGGGTGGAACAGAGAAAAGGTTAGTACAGCAATGTTTTCTCAAAGTGTGTATTCTTTTTCTCAGAAATACAGAAAGCAGGGAAACTATCAAAATTAATAAAACAGAAACCAAGGATAGCATGCAAGCAAAGGTCCTGGAAACAGGCAAGAAGGGTGGAACAGAGATAATTTCTGAAGCAAAAAACAAGTTTGACGAAACGCTATACCTTGGAAGTGAGAACGGCGTTGAAGTGATGCCTATTTTATGCCTTCACCTCTGCGGATTGTTATACATGGAGTAGTGAAGTGAAGTGAAAAGAAAGAGAATAATTAGTACAGCCATGGAGGGAATGATCGATGTAGGAAACTGTGAAAAAAGTATTGCTAATTGGGCGTAGAGAAAAAAAAAAGTGAGAATTTTAGAACGCGAATGATGTCATAGTGGAGGGAATTTCCCTCATTGTCTAGTAGAGCGGGAAATTTCATAAAACAATGTTACGTACTGAACATGTCTACCTAAAGTTGTATATTGGTGTATCAATTGAATAGCCATACTAGCTGGTGAGACTGTGGAATAGATAACACTTACTATGTTAACATCTTACCCTGAAAGCAACTCAACTGAAGATGTAATGATACGGTTGACAGAATGACTTTATATGAGCTTATATGAAGCAAAATGACAGATTTAAAGGGAAATCAAACTTTAATATCAAACTCTCCATAATAAATAAGTGCCCCAAGGGTGAAGCAATTAAGAAAAGGACTGAAACTTGCAATATTTTTGTACAATAAAATTGGGAGAGTTAACCATCCCTACATTTACAATCCACTGACAAAATTGCCAATTTGAGATTTGCATAGCTGTAGTGATCTCACATATCAAACATCCATAACTTTCTTATCATTGGTCCAATTTATTTCAAACTTTCGCCATTCTTTTTCTCTGATTTTTCTCATTCAAAAGAACTTATTACAAGAGTTTGGATTGCCATTCTATGCCATGTCAATAATCCTTTGTACTTAGTAACATATTGGACACAAAATGAAAAAATACCTTGGACTTTGTCCACATATCAACAAAAATAAAAAAAAATTAAAATGAGAACTTTGCTATCACATCTTCAAAATCTGCTGTATGCTTGACTGCATGTATGTGAAGATTCTGCACGCTGCACACGGAAGAAAAATGCAACACTCTTATTCAAACTTTCCCTTATTGAAGATATTTTGAACATTGTTTTGTAATCAAACAGTTAATAAGAAATGCAGGTTGCCAGGTTTCTAATAATGGCTATGTCAGCTGCTTATATGTGAGTGTGAATGTGAATGTGAATGTGAGTGGATTTTCAAAGAAACAGGTGAAAGGAATCATGAAAACAAAAACAATTGCAATGATATAGTGGAAAAATGAATTGTTGCCAAGTACTTCATATTTTGCACAGAATCACTAAACATTTGCAAAGTGACATTCATACATTTTTCAACTCCATTGATGTTGTATCCACAAATTATATGGTAATTTATGTCATGGAGCTGCAATGCCGGCAAGAAAAATTACCAATGACATTTAATTAAAGGCTATTAAAGAAGTATTGTACCAGCAATATTAAGATGAACCATAAAATTACACTTTAGGATGGAGGATATACATGTAGCTGACTTTGGAAATACATTTATGGTTTTAGTTGAGCAAAGTAACAATAATCAAGCTTGAATCATTAAAAGTGATCATTCGTTAGTGTAACAATTTGATTGTATTTCAAAGAACTAATCCATTGACAATACCCCCAGAACACACACACAAACATCCCTGTACCGGTACATTTGAATGTAAATCATGCTCTTTGTGTTGGAAGGTTTGCATATGTACATGCACATATTGGTAGGTATTTCTAAAGGGTTTCAAAAAAGGTTGAGGAGAATGCACATGGCAGAATAAATACCTGTGCAGATGTGTATAAAAGAACAAACATGGTGGTTAGATATAGTTTTCAAACTTAGGAAATAGAAACTCTGTACTCCCAACACACCATAACCACTCAAGGTTCCCCTACATCAAAGAGTCCATTGCAATAAAAAGGGACATGTGACTACATGTACAATCAGGCACTTATAAATACATCCCAGTATGTATCTATGATTCGTTTGCTCTTTTTTTCACCCTTCCACGCACTAACCCAGCACTAAAATTTGAATTTGTTAACAAGAATACTTCAATATTTCACAGGGAGATGCAATTACAAGGTACATACATGTAACAGAAATGTTTGTAAAAGGCTCAAGCACATTCATGTATAGTTAGTTACATGATGATATACATATATTTTTTTTAAAGTTACAAATATTTGCACACCCCATTGAGAATCCCCATGCATGTACAAGGGCTCTTTTGATTGTTTCCTTTTATGTAAAGGAGGACATTTTGATGTGTTTAGGAGGGCACACTGCCCAGTCCCAGTTGTAATCCATCAATGTTATAGTGAATGCGTGCATGAATGTGAATGAATAGCAGCCAGAAGCCTGATCTTATTTCTATCACTCTCAACTTTTAATTCAATCATATAGAAATTGCTGAGGTTCAGACATTCCGAAATGAAAATTTTACAGTTTTCAGAGGTTTTTAATGCTTTATTAAAATGGGTTGAAATGTAATATGTGAAGATCATCCGACAATGCCAATACCATGTACTTATTAGGTTTGTTGTTCAAATGAACCTACGGTAGCTATAAATGACTTCATAACAAATAATCAATTAACTAGGCGTTGTGGCGTGCGCCTGTAATCCAGCTAACAGTGGAAGTTACAAACTGATTCAGCCGAGGACGTAGGTTCGAAACTGAGTCACGTCTTTCGGATGGTGACGTTAAAAGTTGGTCTCCAGACGTAAATAATCATATCTGATTGATACACGTCTGTAAAAACCCAAATACACACACACACAATCAAATATGTTTCAACAAATTTGATTGTTATTTATAATGTAATTTGGTATGAGTCCTTAAACAGTGTTACCCCATTTTAAGGTGCTGAATTTGAACTCAAATAAGCTAGAAAATGACCATGTCTGTTCAAAACGTTTGTCCCCAGGTACAATTTAACTCTAGCTGTCCAGTAGGCACATTGTGCAAATCTGTATTTCAAGCCAATCAACGGATGAAAATTTGGGAGAACTTTTTCTTGCATTATAGAAAATAAATAATATTTGCAACTCCCCTTTAATGATAATGAAAATAAATGTTTAATCTAGTTTAATGATTTGATTCTGATCTGACATACACACATTGATAAAGGCACTATGAACAGTAAAACCCAAAACATGGCAGCCCAGGAGTAAATAATGTGTTGTCCACACATGAGCCCCCAACATGAAGAAAGGCTCAACTTCTGTGTTGTACTCACTGCATAGTGCAAAGTAGAAGCAGAATGAATTTAAATAAGGAATACATTGTACCTTATAGAGTCAAAGCTCGGTCAAATCTTCAGCATGAATGAATTCATGGTCTGACTTTTGGGGCTCTGAAAAATGGTGTATTTGGATGAGTCATAGCATATTGAAAGAGATAGTTGTGACATTGTATGCGCATCCACGCGTAAGCAAACAGAGTTTAAATCATGTTGATCCAAATAGTCCACCTTCCCCGACACACATTCATACAATCTTTATCAGAGGAAATTATATCACGCACAAAAAAATGTATTGGTTTTTGATTGGTTGAGAGTTTGTCACATGACCAGAAATATTTCAACTGTTATAAGGTTGCTCTGAAAAAGTACTATATGAGAGTACTATTTGGGAGTACTATTTGGAGAAACAAATGTGATTTTTTTTTTTGAAATGATTTTTGTTTTCTTTTTTCATATCTTTATTTGATAAAAAATGACATTTTTTTTTAATTCTAAATTTTTCCCTCCCCAAAAATGGTAATTTTTAATTTTTTTTTTAAAATAATTTTTTGATGCAGGATATGAAACAAATATACCATGCCTTCATTATGAGGTACTGGTTAAAACTATGGGCCTCGGTGACTCCAAAAGTACCATTTGCTTCGGGGCTGTGCCCCTCGCAAATAGAACTATTGGATTCACCTCTTGCGCATAGTTTTAACCAGAACCTCTGAAGACAGTGTATATTTGTATACTATTTGGAATTCCATGAACTGACTGACCAATCAGAAGCAACTTCTGGTGACATGACTATTTCTCTCAAGCAGCTATGAGATGAGTGAAGTCTTGTTCACAAAAGGCAAAACAAAAACAGTTGGTTTTTTAAAGAGTGTACTGCATTTATATATCTCAAAGAACACAGATAAATGAGTAGGCACAGGATTTCTGTTGAGCACAACTGCATTTTTCATCGATCCCCACTTGCCGCTCACTAAAAACACACAAAAAAAAACCCCATGAAAATGCAGTCACTGTGGCTTTTCCCTGACATACAATGTATGTGAATGAGTCCTATAATTATGGAAATCTTTAACAAAACCTGGGCCCTCATTGCATAAAACTTAGCATTGATGGTCACTCTGCCATTATAATGGTAACTTCCACGGAAACTGTGATTAGATTAGTGAGTGATGTCAGCATATAATATTCAATATTGATGGCAAAGTTACCATCAGTGGTACAGCATATATGCAACGGGCCCTGAACAACTGCAAACATTGAACACATGCCATTGGATAAAGTGTCAGCTGTATATGTGATGCATTCTTTAAAGCGAAGTTCAAAACCAAGCAATTTTTTTTAAGGTTACCTTTCTCCTCTGCTGGTTTTGCATCTACATCTACGTGTACTTCTACTGCATGTACAAAGATATATTCAAGTTTTAGAAATTCATTTTTGAAAATATTTTTTTCAGGTATCTAAAGAGCTAACATTTATCAAACGTCAATGAAGAAGATAAAAACGAGATTGGAGACTGAAAACCTAGAATCATGAAGAATCGTTTGAACAGGTCCGTAAAAAAAAGGAAAACAGATAGGAGATGGGAAATGTATGAGGGTTAGCATGTAAAAGGACCAAGACAGTGAGCCTATACAGTAAAAAGAGAAGGAAAGAAGAACTTAGAGAATTTACAAAGATAACACTAGGAAATACAGAAGGGGGGGTAATGACAAGGAAGAAGAAGAAAACAAAGAAGAGGAAGGGGAAGAGGAAGAGGAAGAGGAAGAGGAAGAGGAAGAGGAAGAGGAAGAGGAAGAGGAAGAGGAAGAGGAAGAGGAAGAGGAAGAGGAAGAGGAAGAGGAAGAGGAAGAGGAAGAGGAAGAGGAAGAGGAAGAGGAAGAGGAAGAGGAAGAGGAAGAGGAAGAGGAAGAGGAAGAGGAAGAGGAAGAGGAAGAAGAAGAAGAAGAAGAAGAAGAAGAAAGAAGAAGAAGAAGAAGAAGAAGAAGAAGAAGAAGAAGAAGAAGAAGAAGAAAAGAGACAGAAAGTTGGGGGGGGAGAAGAAAATAATGTACTTGTACCACCACAAGAGAGAAGGAACATATAGAGCAAACGAGAATGTTATGCAGTAAACATACAGAAATGTACATATAGGTACATAAAATCAGGAAATACAATTAATTGATGCCTGTATTAAATGACTGGTGATACCAGCTACAGTTAAATCTTATACAGCGTGTTCACACGTATATATAGCTTTACAAATACGCATGGTTGGTGATAACACTCCTGCTCTTATTGCGAGGTGCAATTAAGGGCACATTATAAATCTGTTACAACTCCAGAATATCCATAATCAAAATTACCTGTTTTGGCTGGAAGTTGTTAATGAAAAAGAAAGAAATAATTGATTATTAAGCTGTTATCGATTGGCTGTCGACTTATACATTCACAAGTCATAGGGCATGATGATAAAACATGTATCAAAGTTGAAATAACACTTTATCATCATGAATTTCATGTATTTTAAAGTATAACATGCTATGAAATTGTTGAACTTTATATGCTTCCATTGTTTATAAAAAACAAAACAAAATGAAAGATACTGTATTATCAGACAGATATAGCGTTCATGCACCCAAGGACAAAAATTAGAGGCTGTCTAAAAATGAAACTATTTGTTTCATCAATGCATCACCAAGGATCAACTCTCTTTTACAGCTCACTTTTAATAACTCTGATCCTGCTCTATTCGACTTTCTGAACATACAACGGTCTGCTTTAGTTAACTTTTGTCACAGCTACAGCAGGGCTTAACACCCTTCAGGGGCCCAGGACACATGGACACCAACAATCAATGTCCGGATCCCCAAAAGCTCAAGATTGTTACATAGGACTCATGCATATATATATATATGCATGTTTTTATATATTGTATTTTACATTTGTAAAACATTGCCCAATTCGGCCTTGTAGGCCGCGACGCATTGTTGTTCTTTTATTCTCAATAAAACCATTATCAATTCAATTCAACAATACAGACTAAAAATTGAATCCTAGACCCCCTTCCAAAATAATTTAGTGTGAAGCACTGGATATGGTATCTATTGAAGGAACATCGTTCACCAAACAATGTGGACAATTTGAAAGTCTAGGAATTTAATTCCTGGCAAGAAATAAAGAGGCTATCGGTAATGGCTGGGGCTTAACGTACCTGCCCTGCCCTTGGGCCCGGACTATCTACTCACCGTTGTTATCGTCGCTGGCATAGCTACCACTCTTGACGGCCGTCAGGGTGATGCCCTCGTCTCCCTTGGAGGATCCTATTTGCTGTTTCCTCTGCTCCTGGAGCTTCTTCTCTCCACGGGACCTGTTAAATAATAATAATATTAAAAAACGGTGCTTATAAAGCGCTTACCACCATAGTCTCTAAGCTCCATAACAAATAAAATACAATGATAAACAGTTTAACATATTAATCAAAACAAAAAGATGCAAATAAACCTACAAATTACAATACATATAAAAATATACATCAATGTGAACAGAGTGAGTTAATCATCAAAATCAATGCTGAATAAATGTGTTTTAAGACAAGTTCTGAATTGGTTAACAGTCTGACAGTTTTTGACATTAAAAGGTAGTTTGTTCCAAAGTATATTCAGATTGAGAGATTCAGATTCAAATTAATTTTATTGGTCCATTTGGAAATTCAGTTGTTGGCATTACATAAGCACATGAACAATATACAATAGAAAATAAAATACACAAATAGATAATACACAGTAGCAAATGTACAATGACATATTCATATGGAAACACGGATATAAATCGTTTTTACATAGTGGAATGATATAAGAAAATAGAATAAATAAATTGACTTCCAACACTATTGAAAATGTACAATTGCGTAGAATTTGGAAATAGTATTGTTATTATATATTATTTTATTTTATTATTATTATCATTATTATCATCATCATTATTATCGTTATCATAATTATTATTGTTACTATTATTATTATTATTATTATCATCATCATTATCAACAGTATTTACTGTTTCTAACGTTTTCTAACGTTTCTTTCACAATGCAATTGCATGACCAGAACTCAACTTTACCTTTAAACTTATTTGGATGTGCAAGTATACTACACTACTTTGGGGTTTCACCCTACGGTACCCATGCATACTTACTGCATGCATGTCAGGCAGACGGCCATGAGTACGACCACGACAAAGAGCACGCAGACGATGGGGATCATGATCTTGTCCATAGAGTTGTCGATCTCGGTCACGCGCTTCTCACCGATGAAAACGATGCCGTCGTCCTTTGTTTTATTGAAGCCGGTGGCAGCATCGATAGCCTCTTTATTGTCCTCCACAATGACTGCACAGAGGAGAAATCGAGCAACAAACATCATCTTTATGATGTAGGTTCTAAATAATGATAAGAACACTAAAGACCTGAATATTGGAACATTTAAGGCTTCTGGTCAAAAGCCAAATCAGCTATACATCGTAGCAAATCACACTACTGGTATATGTCACTGCGATTCTGAGCCAATTTACATTTTCCTCCTTGAAATCCATTGAATTATTTGTAATTTTATAAATCATATATCATCGATCATTAAGATTTCAGGGGTTTGAATGTTTACATCAAAATGCTATTGCAATTCTTCCAAAATCGGATCGTAGTCAATCGTATAGTGTGCTCCTATTTAACTAGAATATTCGTGTACACATACTTAGTCTTTAGGAAATCAGATATTATATTAGAGTAGTGGTACTGTATAACAAGAACATTTTGCGTGCATGAAATTTTCACTAATTTGCAAATGCTTCAGGTTTATAAAATTTTAATTTTGCGAAAAATTCATTCAGAATTGTCTCGATTTATAATGCAGAATTTTTGCAATTTGTGCCAGTTTCTTGCCTTGAAAATGGCTCCCCTTGCAAATAACTACACAAGTTACACGACACAAATATGACTGGTTTTACAGTTATATCATTGTACTGGCATAAACAAGGTATTTCTTAGTCAAGTCTGTAGGCTTGGAGACATGCAGCTCCCCATCATACAATGTACATGTGGTACAGTTTGTATCTCGATCAGTCGCACCTCCAAACCGACTCCACGTTAACCGACTCCACGTTTTAAACCCCCAACCCGACAATTTCGGCCATTGGGGGTAATGCAATTGCTTGCTCGGTCTAGTGTCGGTCTCGTTGGTGTGACTGTGGTGTAAGCTACTTACTTGCGACTGTGTCCTTAGGAACGAGATACTCCATGGCAGCATCGTCAGCTCTGTCGGCTTCAGGAAACCTGACGTAAAAGGTCATTTTGATGTCACCGTTGAAATACTCGGGAGAATCCGATGACACAACCACGGTAAAGGTAGAGTTGCTGCAGAAAGATAATGATATAATTTATTTAATAAATTACTGTATTTATTTTTTAATAAACACTGACTGTTCGTGCAGGCTCAATGGATCAGTTGATAAAATGCAATGCAATAATTAAGCATGTTGACAATAATATCACAAATATAGAGCATAAATATTAATTACATAAAATAATACAATACAAAAATTACAATATTTAACATTTTGAAAACGTTGAGGTTCGTCACATAAAAATGCATGAAAAAGAATCATGATAACAGAGTTTATGGATGGATATGTACAGCATTCATGCACAATTTCAGATAATCAATCTATTTTTGAGCTCTAAATCATACCAAATGTTACATGGAGCATCATCAAATTATGAACTTTGAAGATAAAAAAAAACATTGTCCTATTTCGCGTCAAACATGTTCTCATTTAAATCCCAATAAGCTGCATGTGCACATGAAAAACAATATAGCTTCCTGTTAGTATTACAAACTACCATGACTTTGATGGAAAACAGCATTTAAATTATAATCACATTCCCTGCACTTTCCTTCATGTATTTGACTCAAAACCATATAAATGAATGTAGGATTACATCACATTCAATAAAATATTGAAATTAAAGCATGTATTCTTCCTTATATTTTCATATTCATACACGTGTACAATGTAAAGATAGTATGCTGGCATCCATTTTCAGAGACCTACTATAGCCTGTTCACCATTAGTAACCTAGACATCCCTAATGCGAGTAAACAAATAAATAAATATCTCTCTCAATTAAGTCTTATGCAAATATAGAAATTAATTAAGAGCTGTAATTACCTTTTGCTATTAAGTTATTTCAAATTTTTGCCATTGAAGATAACATACCTTTTTCGTTTTGATAACATGTTTTATGTAGAATATGTACATATAGTTACATGTACTATAGATCCTTAAATGCAAACAAAACTTTGTGCCTTATAAGTGTCTACAATGTACTGGTAGTAATTGCCTAATACTGAATCAATATTTACTCAATATTATATTGACTTATAAGTTAACTCCACCCAGCTGAGTTGATGCTAATGGCTACATCTAACATGTAACTAGCTCTTTATAGCATAGCAAAAATCATTATTACATTTTAGGATATGTTATCTCCTTGGATAAAACCAGAGAATTAACAACAAAAATACTAATAATGTGTGTATAACATGTGTGTAATGATAATAAACATAATAATACTACTGCTTCTATTATTAATTACCACTACTACTAATAATTATAAAACAATTATAACAATATATTAAAATAATAATAATAAAACCAATATTTACTACTAACAATAAATAAATATGTAGACTGATTTACAGCCCAAATTTTGATTAGGAAATCTTCAAAGATTAAAAGCACATGTATGTCCTGTGTTTGGAGTCGATCAGAAAAGAGTTCACTGATAGTATTTTAGATAGAGCAAAGGATATGCTCCACTGCTCATCCATAAACTGCATGATATATGAACAACAATGCACTACCATGTATTAAAATGCACAATGCTTTAATAAGCAGACATCTGTAAATAATAGCACACTCTCGATGATTAATTCATCAATAATAACACACCCACGGTTTTTTCATGAATATCGATGCATGAAGACACAAAAGAGCTTGCAATGCATGGTCTGTCGGCCAGCCTAGATACTTGAATTACACATGCGTGCACACCAGCAGAATATGTTTGAGTGCTTTTTGTATCCCATGCAATGCACTACACCTGTACAGGCATTTTTATAATTTGCTCTGGGATTTTTCTTTTCAATCAGTAATATAGCCTCAGTGTTTTTATTTACAAATTCACTTTTATCACTATATAAACATTAAGATTTCTTTTTGTGTTTGTGTGGGACATACAATGTCATTCGTGTTTGCTGAAAGTATACCCATTTTTATATTTTGCTTGTAAAGTATAGTGTGCTGGATCGATTTTGTAACTATGCACTAAAATTCTCAAATTGTTGTCACACAAAAAATTGTACGCGTCCATATGATAATTAATCAAAAAAACATGCTGAGGTTCAGGTAATATCTTAAATTTGTACATGTAGTAGCAAATTATACACAAACTGAGTCTATATACCTACATTGTACATATATGTAAGACAGCTTTTTACATGTACACTGTACATGTTGATAGTACACTAATAATGTTCATTTGGGATATACATGTACAATGTAGCTTTAATAATTGGCCTACAAAATATTTGATTTGTTGTTGTTGCTTGTTGTGCATATCCTACATGTACATGTACAATATGTACAACAACAAAAAGGTCCTGTGCCCAGTACGCCTACACTGTACACATCTACATGTACATCTACATGTATGACATACAACCCTGCATGCTTTTCATTTAAAATTTTGAAGTGTATACCATCCAACGATCAAAAGAGATAGCACTCATTGCTTTGATGCATCTATGCTTGAGTGACTCCATCATAAAATAGAACCGAGTAATTAATGGCCCTGAGGCTGTTTAATGGACCGATACAATTATACCCTGTGCATATCTCCAAACATGACAATATGACACTGTACATCATGTGTGACATACATACCGTGTATTAAACATGGGCTTCCTTATGTATCTCTTCGATCATTTGAAATTACTGTGTACATGCATGTAGATCATATGTTCAAGTTCAAGTACATTCTTTATTTGTTCTTCAGTTTAAAAACGTGTAAAACATTAAAATAAAATACAAGGCATTTCAAGGTACATGTAGAATACAAGGTTAATTAATTCATATAAAAGAAGAAGAACAAAAGGGCCATCATTAACAGCCTACTGGTATATATGTACATGTATACTGCAGGCTTGACATGTTGATGGTCCCAAGATAATCAAGTTATAAGATTAATATTTTGGCAGAGATAATTTGCAGAAAATAGGTAAAACAAAGGTGCTGGGGGTATGAACTGGTAAACTAATTTGATAACCTATCAAGAGTAATTACTGTGACTCAAATATGTGGGCATGCCTGCCCACAGGAAAGAAATGAGCCTGCCGCATACTCCTGCGGCAGACTTGCCGCAGATCTGCAGCAGACCTGCCGCAGACAGTCATCTTTTTCACATGCAAATTAGTTTTGCCGCAGACTTGCCGCAGACTTGCCGCAGACTTGCCGCATACTCTTTCAGTATGATGAAGAGTCTGCGGCAGGTCTGCCGCAGACTTGCCGCATACTCTTTCAGTATGATGAAGAGTCTGCTGCAGGTCTGCCGCAGACTTGCTGCAGACTTGCCGCATACTCTTTCAGTACGATGAAGAGTCTGCGGCAGGTCTGCCGCAGACTTGCCGCATACTCTTTCAGTATGATGAAGAGTCTGCTGCAGGTCTGCCGCAGACTTGCCGCAGACTTGCCGCATACTCTTTCAGTATGATGAAGAGTCTGCGGCAGGTCTGCCGCAGACTTGCTGCAGACTTGCCGCATACTCTTTCAGTATGATGAAGAGTCTGCGGCAGGTCTGCCGCAGACTTGCCGCATACTCTTTCAGTATGATGAAGAGTCTGCTGCAGGTCTGCCGCAGACTTGCTGCAGACTTGCCGCATACTCTTTCAGTACGATGAAGAGTCTGCGGCAGGTCTGCCGCAGACTTGCTGCAGACCTGCCGCATACTCTTTCAGTATGATGAAGAGTCTGCTGCAGGTCTGCCGCAGACTTGCTGCAGACCTGCCGCAGACTCTTCGTCATGAATATTCATATCTCATATAGACCTGCTGCAGACCTGCCGCATACTCTTTCATATCCAGTACGTGGCAATAAAGTATGCATGTAGAAGAACCAGTGATAAACTGATTGATACTTCATAATCGATATTGGCAATATCGATATTACCAATTAGGTAATACCAATATGTATGCCGATATTACCAATTAGGTATATTCTATTCTCAATTGTATTAACTTCATCACATTGATCATTTGAAGTGTATTCAAGAGTAACATTTAAAGTGACACAGGCTCGTACACATATATATACTAAATATGTATATTGTTTCTTGGTTAGTAATCATAGTTTCTTGGTTAGTAATCAATATATCTATTGCTTAAACGTGAATGTAATTGTAACATGATCAGACAAAATAATCTATTGGTTAATAATGGCAAAAGGAAAATAGAAATCACAAAAATGATGTGCATTGTCTTAATTTGCTTAACAAATCATGATAAATGTATTTTTCTGTCACACGTGTAAAGTAATAATGAATATGCATGAGATGATTGGTTTCAATTGGCCCTATTAGACTTTGATGGGATTTCCTGTGGCAGACCTGCCGCAGACTGTTCCTGTGGCGTACTGGTATGCGGCAAGTCTGGAGCAAAGTTTCGCCCTGCCGCAGATCTGCCGCAGACTTTTCCTGTGGCATACTAGTATGCGGCAAGTCTGGAGCAAAGTTTCATCCTGCCGCAGATCTGCCGCAGACTGTTCCTAGCTGTGGCATACTAGTATGCGGCAAGTCTGCAGCAAAATTTCATCCTGCCGCAGATCTGCCGCAGACTGTTCCTGTGGCATACTAGTATGCGGCAAGTCTGGAGCAAAGTTTCATCCTGCCCCAGATCTGCCGCAGACTGTTCCTGTGGCATACTAGTATGCGGCAAGTCTGCAGCAAAATTTCATCCTGCCGCAGATCTGCCGCAGACTTTTCCTGTGGCATACTAGTATGCGGCAAGTCTGGAGCAAAGTTTCATCCTGCCGCAGATCTGCCGCAGATTGTTCCTGTGGCATACTAGTATGCGGCAAGTCTGCAGCAAAATTTCATCCTGCCGCAGATCTGCCGCAGACTGTTCCTGTGGCATACTAGTATGCGGCAAGTCTGGAGCAAAGTTTCATCCTGCCGCAGATCTGCCGCAGACTGTTCCTGTGGCATACTAGTATGCGGCAAGTCTGCAGCAAAATTTCATCCTGCCGCAGATCTGCCGCAGACTGTTCCTGTGGCATACTGGTATGCGGCAAGTCTGCAGCAAAATTTCTTTCTGCCGCATACTTCGGCATACTCTTTGCCGCAGACTTTTAGTCTGCGGCAGGTCTGCGGCAGATCTGCGGCAGGTCTGCGGCAGGTCTGCGGCATACTTTTCACTTTCCTATGGGTGCATATACATGTATATGGCTGCACTCCTTATTAGAGTCATTACATGTAAAAGTACATGCCTTCTACAAGTAGGCCTAAAGGTACTTGAATCCTCTATCTCTATCTCTCTCTCTGTCTGTCTGTCTCTCTCTCTTTATCGCTATCTCTATTGCTTATAATGCGACATGTACAGTGACCTAAATGTTTACTTAGTTAAACAGAGCAATATGTACACATCAGTTATTATCAAATCATTATTATTACTTTTTATCTTGTCACAATATAAAATGTGGTATATATTGAACATACATGTACATATATACTGTACAGTGTATGAGTGAAAAGTTCATGTCTGACATTGTACATGCAGCCTAGGTTATAGTCCTTGAGTGCAGCAGTATCTGCACGGTGATACATGTACTATGCTGTTTGCATATTGTGCACATATAATGTATGTACCTAGCCAGAGACTAACAGAGCTATATAAAAGGCTCTGCTCAAGGATTTAGGAATTGTGATAACATGTCAAATTTGAGTCTGTGCGTGCAGACTACATGCACATGTAGCCTTTATAAAAATTCAGTATCCATGAAGTCAGTTTTTATAATTAATCCTATCTACATGTGTGAACAAACAATCGTTTTTTAAAGCAAACATCCTTTCTTGTGAAAAGTGTCATAACTATACACCGTTTGTTCCTCTTTCCTTGTGGTGGTCCTATGGTGTCATACAGAAACTAAGTTTGGGGATATTTGCCTTCTCAAATATTCCTTGCACTTCCTGCTTCCTGACTCAATTCACCGAGACCTTCATCTAAATATCTAATACAGCAGTAGACAGTTTTCTTTACCAAAATGTCATGTCTGGAAATGGGAAATATCTAGAAGACTTCCTCATTATGTTCAGATCGAGGCAGAATTTTTTTAACGATTGAAATAATGGATTCAAATTTCAATAAAAGATTAAAGCACTTTTGTAAGATCACTTTTTGGAATCATTGTTCCAAGTCAATCATCAAAGCAGCAGCCACATGTACACTGTTTCATTGAAAATTACAGAAGAAATGATACACTTTCATTTATGGACATGGGTGTCAATCCCGGGGGGGATGGGGGGATATATCCCCCCAAAAATTTCAGGTGGGGGGGGGGGATGGCCTGTACAATCATCCCCCCCAATAATTCACCATCAAAAAAAAAAGAAAAAGAAAAATTAATGATGAGAGCCTGATAAGAGTAGTTCATGGTTATTACTCGTATGATGACCATCAATATACACATTTTGCTATCTCATTTTCATGGTACATACAAATATACGAAATAAATGAGACAACCGTATATGGGGGGGGGGGGGCAGACAAGGACACGATACAACGAATCGTCTTCCTTCTCTAATAATGTAATAAAACGGTAAAGCTTCCGCGCTTTGCGCGTGATGGGCGAAAATGAATATAGACAAGGATTGAGAGTAATAATTTTCTAAACCATCAAAGCTTCCGCGCTTTGCGCGGGAGGGTGGGGGGGGGGGGATTGCACTCAGACAAGGACACGATACAACGAATCGTCTTCTTTCTCTAATAATTTAATGAAACGTGAAAGCTTCCGCGCTTCGCGCGAGATGGGCGAAAATGAATTCAGACAAGGATAAAGAGTAATAATTTAATGAAATGCAAAGCTTCTGCGCGGGGAAACTGAATTCAGACAAGGACACGATACAATGAATCGTCTTCTTTTTCTAATAATTTAATGAAACGTGAAAGCTTCCGCGCTTTGCGCGAGATGGGCGAAAATGAATTCAGACAAGGATTAAGAGTAATAATTTATTGAAATGCAAAGCTTCCGCGCGGGGAAACTGAATTCAGACAAGGACACGATACAATGAATCGTCTTCTTTTTCTAATAATTTAATGAAATGTGAAAGCTTCCGCGCTTTGCACGAGTTGTCGAAAATATAGACGAGGATTAAGAGTAATAATTTACTGAACCGTCAAAGCTTCCGCGCTTCGGGCGGGAGGGCGGGGGGAATTGCACTCAGACAAAGACACGATACAACGAATCGTTTTCTTTCTCTAATAATTTAATAAACCGTGAAAGCTTTCGCACTTCGCGCGAGATGGGTGAAAATGAATTCATACAAGGATTAAGAGTAATAATTATTTGAAACGTCAAAGCTTAACCCTGTTCGCGCAGGAGGGGGGGGGGAACTGAATTAAAAGTCGAGAATGGTACAACGGATCGTCTTCTTTCCCTAATAATTTAATGAAACGTCAAAGCTTCCGCGCTTCGCGCAGGAGGGTGGGGAAACTGAATTCAGACAAGGATTAAGAGTCGAGAATGGTACATCAAATCGTCTTCTTCCTTTAATAATCTAATGAAACGTCAAAGCTTCCGCGCTTCGCGGGGGAATGGGGAAACTCCTCCCTCCCTGCACCCAACCCCCTAGGGAGTGCGCTTCGTGTGCTCACTACCCCCCCCCCCCCAAAATGAAATCCTGGCTACGCGCTTGGGGATGGGGTGCAACCTGCCACACGCTTCTACCTCTAGGTTGCTTTGATCCATTGCAGAAAATATTTTGGCACCTATCATCCCCCCCAACCACGGATACAAATCGTCACCCTTGTTTATGGAATTACAATTATTACATGCTCTATTTTACTTTTTGGAATCACAAACCTTATTTCATGTCCAGAATCACCAACCCTAATTCATTTTTGGAAATACAAACCTTTGGCATTATGAACCTTCAGCTTTCAGAACCTTTCAAAGTAACAAACTTTCAGAGTTCTGATTCGCACGCACAAAAACGTTCTTAGTATCATGCGTGATCAAGGCTTTGGGAAATATATCTGACACTCACCTGCTACTTTCCGATATCTGACAGGCAGCAGAGTTGGTTGGATTCCTGCAATAGGTGTTCACAGCTGTTGTGACTGATGATGTAAAGTTGTCAGTGTGTTCTTGAGTCCACTGAAGAGTACAGAAAAATAAAAAAAATGTGATATACCTAAGCGCAAAGCAGGTTTTGGAGACATGGAATGTTGTGAAATGTTGTTGGGTATCAACGTGTTCAGGGCATGTCACTGCATAATTTCTAGGTGGACTACCTTAAATGTACTGCAGAAGAAAAAACGACTGCCATGTATAACTACTGTTGAACAAATTTGAGGATTGGTTTTTACATGTTTAAATGACGTTCGTATCGTATAGTATGGTGTGGGCTTTACAATGCATGTACATGTACAGTTCCATGCCCGTTGCCAGCAATTATTCCCAACTTTTCTCAGTTTTGTTTGTTTACCAAACCACAAAGAAAACTTGGTGTAAAGTCTCTGCCTGGCAACGTTACTCATGTTATGATTTGCCATCACAATTAAAAGACTGATCACTGAATGTAACTACAGAACATGTGTGCAATGCAAAAATGAGAACCACAGATCTGTCAGTAGTACATGAGAAATGGTAAAACACTTTTCACTATGAAAAATAATAATCAACTCAAATGAAAACTCTCTGACTTCCTTGAGAGCACCTCTAAATTAATGTTGGACTGTGACGTAGAAACGTCCATTTTCTTGGTTGCTGATGAGGAGGGGGATGCATTGTGTACAAACTGTATTTAATACTACATATGTACATGTATTTGTTCCCCCTTCTTTAATACTCAGTTGCAAAGCTACATATAATTGCAAATGTTAATTAGCCTATACATTTGTTTGTAATTGATTAATATTATATAATGTATCTGAAATAATGATACCGCATCTTGCATTTAATTACATAACTTATAATTGTTTAATAGGCCCTAATTACTTTTCAACTTTGAAGGTAACCCAAGGCTAAACTTTTTATTTTTGTTTTATGTAAATCATCCATTGGAATTGGGACAGGAGGCTTTATGCCACAGTAATTTAGTTAACTTTTTCTGTCCCTGGCGTTCCAATGGTTGATAATTATGTCTTATTTTGTATTGTGTACACTGATATGTAATGTTTTCTTTGCCGAATAAATAATAATAATAATAATAATAATAAGTGAACCTTACACTAAGTTAAAAACACAAATAAAAGTTGACAAAGTAAAGTTCATGGTTAAACATTCTTGAACTTTGAGGAATAAGATCTGCATGCTTACGTCATCTACGTCGTAGATATGATCAAATCTGACGACGAGTGAGTCGCTCGCGATTTCATCTGAGGAATAAAAAGCACATACACATATTTCCCATCAGTTTTTGCAAAGAAAAGGATAGAATAAATTTAGGGGATATTAGGTTGAGATTATTTGATTTTCAAAACGTAGGATATACCGACATGTATTTATTGAGATTTGAAATCACATTATAAAATTCATCTGGTTTTTTGGTGTATTGGTGTTTACATTTTACCCATTTATCCATTTGTTTTAAAATTCATGATTGGATTTGAAGCTCGATGTGATGTCTATATAAAAGCATGCAAAATCTAAGAAATGTAATTAACAAAAAACAACACAAAGCAAAGCAAAACAAAACATGTGGCTCCTCCTTATGCTCATAAATTATAATGTACTGTCATTTAAGGACTTTTTGTTCACTTTGCTGGTAGTTAATACCGGTAGTAGTGATTTAGCTTCAAACATATAGAGCAAACATTATATCAAACCCTACCTTTGAAGAAAAAAAGGCCAGGGCTAATGTAATTAGTTATCAAAATGTATAAATGCAAAGGTAGAAAGAAAAAATGAGGGGGGACTCAACAGTGGCATACCACAATACATGCCACACTTTAAGTCGTCTCAGTATTTGAAGAAAAAAAGACACAGAAAAAACAACAACTTCACAATCACATTTTGACTTAGACCTAGTCTTAGACCGAAAGCTTCAGTCTCTATAATCGTCGGTTGTTCCACTGAGACTACGTCTGGCTCCACTAGACCTCCGGTTATAGAGACTGAACGACTGCCTATGCCAGCCTGTGTTGAACTTATTCCGCTAGATTTTAGCCGCTAGGCCCCTCCCACAAACTTGCCACGGCCGTATTGTTATGCCCCCAAAATCCCCCAAAATGTCATTTTACCTCGTTCATTTCCAATTTTAAATTAGGCCTAGGCTATAATACATCGGTTCCACTTACTAACTTTATTGATATAATCCGTTTAATGGTCCCTTTTAAGGAAATTATGGGTCAAAATCGACATCCATGTTGAAAATCTTGCAAGCCGTGTTAAACTCTCGCTGCCGTCAATCTCATCCCTTCTAGTCTACGCCGAAGGCAAAATGATTATGAAGGAAAAACTGCGCCATCTACACGTTCGTAATGGCGTTATCACAGTTTTCCTTCATAATCATTTTGCCTTCGGCGTAGACTAGAAGGGATGAGATTGACGGCAGCGAGAGTTTAACACGGCTTGCAAGATTTTCAACATGGATGTCGATTTTGACCCATAATTTCCTTAAAAGGGACCATTAAACGGATTATATCAATAAAGTTAGTAAGTGGAACCGATGTATTATAGCCTAGGCCTAATTTAAAATTGGAAATGAACGAGGTAAAATGACATTTTGGGGGATTTTGGGGGCATAACAATACGGCCGTGGCAAGTTTGTGGGAGGGGCCTAGCGGCTAAAATCTAGCGGAATAAGTTCAACACAGGCTGGCATAGGCGATCGTTCTGTCTCTATAACCGGAGGTCTAGTGGAGCCAGACGTAGTCTCAGTGGAACAACCGACGATTATAGAGACTGAAGCTTTCGGTCTAACCTAGTCTTAGCCAAATTTACTTTTTTTAATGCATTTTTTAGTCTAGATTTTAGCTCTACATATAATTTGAAGTCTAGTCAAAGTGAATGAGCAGTGGCTTATTTCAAAAGAATGTCCCTAAATAATTTATAGAGATAAAATTCTAACCTGCTAAAGTGCAAAATGCTACATTTACAAATGCACCCAGTAGAAGAATGAGCTGCACAAGTGCAAGCAGTCTTTCACGCGAGCATCCACGCCCTTCCATTGCTTTCACGCCGCTTTGCTCCGCTGATAGTGGTGTATCAAAGCTATGGCTCACGCTCAGTTCAGCAGTGCAGCGATGTCCTGTAAAGAGAACCGTATTAAAAACGCCCTTTATCAGACTGCAGGCCTCGAATTACATCAAATTTGGGTCAAGGCCACTTTTTTGAGAGGGCACAAATCCACTGAAAGGGGCACAAATCTATCCTAAGGGGCACTAAGGCCAACGTGGAAAGTGCGCGTAAAATCACCTCACGCTGTTGTTTTCAAGGGGGGGGGGGGGATCCAGGATTTCTTCCTTAGGGGGGGGGGGCCCACTTTTTTTTTTGTCCCCCCCAAAAAAATCGCAACAACTCAGCCAGCCGCTTAATAAGCGGGGGGGGGGGGGGGGGGGGGGGGGGGGGGGGGGGGGGGGGGGGGGGGGGTAAGAGGACACTTTTTTTTTGGTCTCGAAATTTGAAAATTTGACATTTTGTTCCCTTTGGGGTGGGGGGAGGGGTGGGGGGGGGGGGGGGGTGAGGTCACCTTTTTTAGATCAGCCATTAGCATAATTTTGTGTGTGTGTGTGTTTCATTTAAAAAAAAAAAGGGGGGGGGGTTTGCTCCAAAATACAGACATAAAAAAACATGAAGGGGTGGGTTTAACGCCCCAAACCACCCCCCCCCCCCCTGCGTACGTGCCTGCTCGTCTGAATACAGTTCCCCTCCCTCCGCGCAAAGCGCGGAAGCTTTTACGTTTCATTAAATCATTAGAGAAAGAAGACGATTCGTTGTACCGTTTTTTACTCTTAATCCTCGTCTAAATTCACCCCCCCCCTCCCCCGCAAAGCTCGGAAGCTTTTACGTTTCATTAAATCATTAGAGAAAGAAGACGATTCGTTGTCCCGTTTTTTACTCTAAATCCTCGTCTAAATTCATCCCCCCCCCCCCCTCCCCGCAAAGCTCGGAAGCTTTTACGTTTTATTAAATCATTAGAGAAAGAAGACAATTTGTTGTATCGTTCTCGACTCTTAATCCTTGTCTAAATTCAGTTACCCCACCTCCTGCGCGATCGAAGCGCGGAAGCTTTGACATTTAATTTAATTAGATAAACAAGACGATTCGTTGTACCGTTCTCGAAAATAATTCTCGCCTGCATGAATACAGTTTTCCCCTTCCCGCGCAAAGCGCGGAAGCTTTTATGTTTCATTAAATTATTAGAGAAAGAAGACGATTCGTTGTACCGTTTTCGACTCTTAATCCTTGTCTGAATTTCAAAAATGTTTTTTGTCTGCTCCTTTTTCTTCATACGTCCTCTTCCTTTTCTCTCCTCTCTTTTTGGCTTTTTTTTTTGGGGGGGGCGCCCCCACTGCCCCCCCCCCCCCGGCTACGTGCCTGCGGTCAGATGAAAATCTTTTGATACCTTGTTCGCCCCCGGAAACTCATGGGTTGAAGGCAAATTACGGTCAGATAAGCATTCAGGGGCCCGCCTCAGGGCCCCTGGTGGAGTCGAGGGTGCGGAAACCCCTGAATTTCAGGGGTTTCAGGCATTTGATTACGGTCAGATGAACATGTTTTTATACTTCATTTGTGACACTGGCAGGACACTGCTTGGCGTGAGGTCCAGCGGGCGGAGCCCCAGAAGATCAAGGGTTTTAGGCACTAAATTGCAGTCAGATGAGTATCAAGAGGCCTGCCAAAGGGCCCTTGGTTGGGTCCCGGGGGCAGAGCCCACGGAAGCTCAGGGGTTTTAGGCGTTTAATTACGATCAGATGAGCAATTTTTGATACCTTATTTTGTTGAGAAACTGGTAGTTAACTATTTTTCTTTCTTGCTCTCTTTCTTTCTATTTCTCTTTAAAATGCTTTTCAAAAAAAAATGGGGGGGGGGGGAATTTCCCCCTTTGACATTTCATTGAATTATTAGAGAAAGAAGATGATTCGTTGTACCGTTCTTGACTCTTTATCCTTTTCTGAATTCCAAGGGAAGCGCGGAAGCTTAGACGTTTTTAATAAATTATTAGGGAAAGAAGACGATTCGTCTCGATCTCGACTACCGGTATTATTCTTTTCTGAACTCAATTCACACCCCTCCCGCGCGATGGGCGGAAGCTATGACGTTTGAATTAAAACGTATGGGAAAGAAGACGATTCTTTGTACCATTATCTCGACTCTTAATCCTTTTCTGATTTAATTCCAGACCCTCCTCCCGAGAAAAATCCAAGTTTTTCACTGATTAAAAACTGTGAAAACGCACCAAAAAAGGTCACAACGCGAAGTAAAGATGTTGAACCAACGATGGGTAAACAAAACTTCCCGATATTGATTGGTTCAAATAAAAAGGATGGATTAAAAAACTAAGCCTGAGTCATTACGGTTTTTGTGCCAAACATTTGGATGAAGACATTCTTTCATATCTCCGTATCGGCAATTAAGTCCCGCCAATTAATTTAGGAGTTCCATAGTGGAAATTAAGTCTCGCCAATAATTATTGTTTTAGATCTCCGTAGGGGCAACAAAGTCTTGCCGATTATCATTGTTTTAGATCTCCGTTAGGGGCAACAAAGCCTTGCTGATAATTATTGTTTTTAGAGCTCCGTAGGGGCAACAAAACCTTCCAGTAATTATTGTTTTTAGAGCTCCGGAGGGGCAACAAAACCTTGCCGACTATTATTGTTTTAGAGCTCCGGAGGGGCAACAAAACCTTCCGGTAATTATTGTGTTTAGAGCTCCGGAGAGGCAACAAAACCTTGCCGACTATTATTGTTTTTAGAGCTCCGGAGGGGAAACAAAACCTTCCGGTAATTATTGTTTTTAGAGCTCCGGAGGGGCAACAAAACCTTGCCGACTATTATTGTTTTTAGAGCTCCAGAGGGGCAACAAAACCTTGCCGATTATTATTGTTTTAGAGGTCCGTAGGGGCAACTAAACCTTGCCGATAATAATTGTTTTTAGAGCTCCGGAGGGGCAACAAAACCTTCCGATAATTATTGTTTTTAGAGCCTCGGAGGGGCAACAAAACCTTGCCGATGAATATTGTTTTTAGAGCTCCGGAGGGGCAACAAAACCTTGCCGACTATTATTGTTTTTAGAGCTCCGGAGGGGCAACAAAACCTTCCGGTAATTATTGTTTTTAGAGCTCCGGAGGGGCGACAAAACCTTGCCGATAAATATTGTTTTTAGAGCTCCGGAGGGGCAACAAAACCTTGCCGACTATTATTGTTTTTAGAGCTCCGGAGGGGCAACAAAACCTTCCGGTAATTATTGTTTTTAGAGCTCCGGAGGGGCAACAAAACCTTCCGGTAATTATTGTTTTTAGAGCTCCGGAGGGGCAACAAAACCTTCCGATAATTATTGTTTTCAGAGCATCGGAGGGGCAACAAAACCTTGCCTACTATCATTGTTTTTAGAGCTCCGGAGGGGCTACAAAACCTTCCGGTAATTATTGTTTTTAGAGCTCCGGAGGGGCAACAAAACCTTCCGATAATTATTGTTTTTAGAGCCTCGGAGGGGCAACAAAACCTTGCCGACTTATCATTGTTTTTAGAGCTCCGGAGGGGCAACAAAACCTTCCGGTAATTATTGTTTTTAGAGCTCCGGAGGGGCAACAAAACCTTGCCGACTTATCATTGTTTTTAGAGCTCCGGAGGGGCAACAAAACCTTCCGGTAATTATTGTTTTTAGAGCTCCGGAGGGGCAACAAAACCTTCCGGTAATTATTGTTTTTAGAGCCTCGGAGGGGCAACAAAACCTTGCCGAGTTATCATTGTTTTTAGAGCTCCGGAGGGGCAACAAAACCTTCCGGTATTTATTGTTTTTAGAGCTCCGGAGGGGCAACAAAACGTACCTTCCGATAATTATTGTTTTTAGAGCCACGGAGGGGCAACAAAACCTTCCGGTATTTATTGTTTTTAGAGCTCCGGAGGGGCAACAAAACCTTCCGGTAATTATTGTTTTTAGAGCTCCGGAGGGGCAACAAAACCTTGCCGACTTATCATTGTTTTTAGAGCTCCGGAGGGGCAACAAAACCTTCCGGTAATTATTGTTTTTAGAGCTCCGGAGGGGCAACAAAACCTTCCGGTAACTATTGTTTTTAGAGCCTCGGAGGGGCAACAAAACCTTGCCGAGTTATCATTGTTTTTAGAGCTCCGGAGGGGCAACAAAACCTTCCGGTATTTATTGTTTTTAGAGCTCCGGAGGGGCAACAAAACGTACCTTCCGATAATTATTGTTTTTAGAGCCACGGAGGGGCAACAAAACCTTCCGGTATTTATTGTTTTTAGAGCTCCGGAGGGGCAACAAAACTTTCCGATAATTATTGTTTTTAGAGCCTCGGAGGGGCAACAAAACCTTGCCGACTATCATTGTTTTTAGAGCTCCGGAGGGGCAACAAAACCTTCCGGTAATTATTGTTTTTAGAGCTCCGGAGGGGCAACAAAACCTTCCGATAATTATTGTTTTTAGAGCCTCGGAGGGGCAACAAAACCTTGCCGACTATCATTGTTTTTAGAGCTCCGGAGGGGCAACAAAACCTTCCGGTAATTATTGTTTTTAGAGCCTCGGAGGGGCAACAAAACCTTGCCGACTTATCATTGTTTTTAGAGCTCCGGAGGGGCAACAAAACCTTCCGGTAATTATTGTTTTTAGAGCTCCGGAGGGGCAACAAAACCTTCCGATAATTATTGTTTTTAGAGCCTCGGAGGGGCAACAAAACCTTGCCGACTATCATTGTTTTTAGAGCTCCGGAGGGGCAACAAAACCTTCCGGTAATTATTGTTTTTAGAGCTCCGGAGGGGCAACAAAACCGTGCCGACTATTATTGTTTTTAGAGCCTCGGAGGGGCAACAAAACCTTGCCGACTATCATTGTTTTTAGAACTCCGTATGGGCAACAAAACCTTTTTGAACATTACAAGTCGGGTTGGCTTACGATGACTATAATGTAGGCAAAACTTTTGTGGATTAAAATATTGTGGCCGTAAACGGTTTGATTTTGAAAAGGGCATTGCGGCCAGTGAGAGGGGCATGGCGGCAAATTGCCGATTGCCGGTGGGTAATTCGAGCCCTGAGACTGATGTCGTTCCTCTTTTGATTTAAAACATAGCCATAATCATGACTTGATATTTCTTATTTCATTTAAAAGCCAATGATTGCAGAGTTATTGTTGCATTTCAACAAAATAAATGAAAACATATCGTGCTAAATCACTTACCTGGTCGTGTTTTGCAGGAATTGCTCTGTTATGTTGCCAAGCCTTTTATCATCTTAAGGCGAATCTATTTTTTGTAGGGGAAGCAAGAGTTTTACTTCTTGGAGGGAAGTTGCTATGTCACCAGTTTTGGGGTGTATTTACTGTATTATCAGATAAAATTGTTCTATTTTATTTATGATATGGATATAGAATAAGAAATATTTGAAAATCTTCATTAAATAGGTAACATATTCGGTATTTTATGTTTAAACTTCTATTGGCACCCCCACATACATCTAGAGTGTTTAGTGCATGTGGGCGTGTCAATTGCAATATCATCGACCAAATCAAAATGGCCGCGCCCACAAGTGTTTATTTTGCTGCCAGGCTTGCCGCAATTCCAGCCAAAACATCTCGCTTTCGGACTACTCTATTGGTCAGTATTAATTTTTATGATTCAGACATAAAAATGTATAACAAAGTGTTTCTGCAGGATGTTTTGATAAGCTGCAGCTGCCCGATGTTGTGATTGTGAAGCCATTGATTCTAGACTAGACTACGTCGAAATGTAAAATCTGCATCACTCCAGCTCCAGGGAGCTCCGCCGCCCGCCGTCGAGGGAGGGAGGCGGAGCTCGAGCTCCCTGAAATTGAGTTTTTATTTATGTGATCTTCTTTTTCAAAATCATCCAACTCCAAATTGTTACTCCCCATATTGCTTAATATCTGTGTGTGAAATGACTGGATAGGTGCATCTTTGTCCAGTACATGAATGCATGCCCTTGTGACACTTGCTGCAGGGAGGAGGTGTCACTTATTTTGCTGCAAGCATTTTTGTCATCTTATATAAAAGTTAGACAATATAGTTATAGCTGGGCTAAGTATGATTACATTGTAGGTCATGGATAAAATTGGGTGTACTTCGATCATTGTAGCTTAGAATTAGGGTTAGGTAGAGAGTGTTTGTTCCAGGGTTAAAGTTAAGATTGTTGCCAGAGCATGTGTTGAAGTAGACAGAAATAACCATCTTATTTGGGTCATTTCTTTAATAAAACTGACATTTGTTGTCATTCCCCAATACAGATGGTAACCCAGAGATCTCGTACCGTAGGGGTGGCTATGAACATCTTTTCGTTCACGACATTTTCTTCCCGACTTTCTTTATTTAGATCTAATTTTCTGATTTCTAAATTAGATGTAAATTAGGTTGGTCTATATATCTCCTAATTACAGTTTTCAAAATTTGCTAACCTATCATAGAATGTGAAATTTTCGGACTTACTTATATGAATTATCCAATTTGTATCTTTGAACTGTGAAACAGTACGTTCATGCATGTTCATGCACTCGAACATAGAGCTATATGACCCGGCGGCCGATATATATTTCCGGGTCAATTCCTACCAAAACATAGCCAATGGCCAATCAGAGCACTCGTTTCGTGGGAGTTCGTTGGTCAAGCCGGGCTGACTCGTACGTAGCTACGGTAGCTATTGGACGTTCGAAAAGAAAAAATGAATATTCATCAACTAAAACCAAGCGGATAATGTTGACGACGAGACTTTCTTGAATTAATCATTAATTTAGGATCTAAATGAGCAAGCTATCGTAAGTCAAATAAGCTATATATATGTTATTTTTAATTTTTATTATAATTGCAGCAGTTATGAGGATGTAAAGAGTGAAAATCTCGTTGCATATCTCATTCATCGCGGTCCGGTCGAACCGAACCATTTGTTCTGTACAGTCTCTATAATCAGAGGTCTAGTGGAGCCAGACGTAGTCTCAGTGGAACAACCGACGATTAGAGAGACTGAAGCTTTCGGTCTAGTGTTGTAGAAGAACCCACTATTATAAGAGCAAGCTTGGATTAGAATCCTAATCTTTTTGTGATTTTCATCTTATAACACAGACAAGAAATGTTCTTCCATGCATCAACCGATCTGTTCTCCTACATCAGAGGAGGAGCTTCTCTGCAGAGAGCAGTCCATCACTCACCCAGATCACTCAGGTAGATGGTATCAGAAAGATCACTCTCAGCAATCCTAAAAAGAGGCAAGTTAAATCTTCATACTGATATATATCCATGCTCAAAATCAATTATGGCCTGGTTGACATGCTTGACCAGTGGCCAGTTTCTCAAAACCTTCATAAGTCTAAGTTCATGGACATCCCATACATACGTGTGTTCACTCTATAACACACATTTCAACAGGATGTCCAAGAAGTTAGACTTATGACAGTTTCGACAAACGGCCTCCAGGTATTTGCAAACCCCTCCAGAGTAAGATCCCTAATTATCTTGACCTTCACTCTCGCTTCCCAGGAACAATGATGTAATTGAATGTCCTCCCACATGCAAGAAAAGAAGAAGTACCAGTAAACCACAATGTATTCAAACCTTAATATATTATTAATTAGTAATGGAGTATAGTAATGTCCCTCTCTGCTTGACCAATGGGACATAGTCGAGAGATGCTCTACCAGGGCTCTGTTAGCTGATCATCGTAACTCATTGATAATGATAACATCAAGAATAAAAGTAACCAGGTGATGCTGCATTCATAAAATTTGTTAAGCATTTTAGAACTTATGCCATCTTCATTTTTAAATTGGGTGAGCATACTATTGTTCAATGAGACCCTATTTTTTTTGCCCTAGACTTTATGTTTAATTGGCTTTTCTCACTCTACTTTTATATACAGGAATGCCCTATCTCTCGCCATGCTTACTGAAGTGACCAAGGAGTTAACTCGTGATGTTGATGGTGGTGACCTTAGAGCTATCATCATTGCTTCCGAGGGACCGGTCTACTCAGCAGGACATGATCTCAAGGAATTGGTGAGTTCTACCGGGTTGTCTTTCAAGATTCTGTGGAGTGTGGACTAATTAAAAATTTATTTTGTATAACAGTCAAACCTGCTTTAAGGACCACCTGTCTATAAAGACCACCTGTCTGCAAAGACCACATTGTTGGTTTCCCTTGAAATATGGGTTTCTTATTGAAACATGTACTAAAGGAACCTGTCTAGACAATGACCACTTTTTGTGTTTCCCTTGGGCGGTCGCTATAGACAGGTTTGACTGTATAGTACCTTAGGAGTTAAATTTTGTACAAGTAACCAACACAATTGTCAACAGTGCGTTAGTACGACAGTTGATGGCTTTAATTGTGATTCTTGGCTATACATGTGTTCGCTCTTTGTTAGGGAGCATTCCAGCTAGTTGCTATTTTACAGGTGCACTAGCTCATACTGATCCAATCATATTGACATTTGCATCCTACCTTGTACCCATTCAACCCCTGGGTAGGGAGAAGCAGTATAGATTATATGTCTTTCTCAATGACATACATTCCAAGGCACAAGAGTAAAACCATGGTCAACAAAATGATGAAATGAACCAAAGTAGCCATATATGTCCAAGAGGTTATCCCCCCACCCGTCAGGCCCAACCATTTGATTAGAATTAGATGCTGCTTGTAATTATCAGTTGATTAGTATTGATTAGTATTGTTTCTCTTTCATTGTTGCTCTTTCTGTAGACAACGGGTACAGGGCGTGCTTACCATGCCCAGGTGTTCAAGAAATGCTCTGAAATGATGATGCTGGTTGAAGATCTTCCGATCCCTGTCATTGCTCAAGTCAAAGGTATTAATCTGATGCTTACATTTGTTTGTTTGTTTTATCTGAGTGACTGTCTCAGAAGGCATGTGTTTGCTTGTATAAGTAAGCAACCAGAGGACCGATGGCTTTAGGTCCTCTCTGATGGACTTGATAATGAGGATTAATGCCATACCAAAGGGCAATATCACATCTACTTGATTTTAAACAATTTGCTCTGTTTCATTGAAAATTTGGGCATAGCTATCTTCCTTGAATTTTAAGTTCACAAGAAAGATAGCTTTTCCCATTTTAGAAAGAAAAATGTAGTCATTTTTAGAATGATTAGTAAGTTCACCTCTAAAATTGTTGGGCAAGGTTTGCTACATGTACCTACAGCATGCAATGTTTTAAATATATACTTTCAAAATGACATTGATTTTTTTTGTGCTCAAAATCTTGAGGTCTAAGTTTAGACTGTTTAAAGTATGAATTGATCTGGTGGATAGAAATTATCTTAAGCACTGGATTACTCTTACCTCTAATATCCAAGCACACTTTTCAAGTTTCTAAGGAAGTTTAAAATTGTCCATGTAGGACTTGATATTGAGCAGTACCAATGTTGCTCCGGCCTACCAAAATTAAATACCAGGAAACCGAAATGGGCACAATTACAGCTATGTCTTACAGTTATATATGGTATCTCTTTCTTGAATAAGTACTGATGTATGTTCTCTTGTAGGTCTTGCCACTGCTGCTGGATGTCAGCTGGTAGCGAGTTGTGATATTGCTGTGGCTGCAGACACTGCCAGATTTGCTACCCCAGGGTAAGGACTATGGCCGTATTAACCTTTTTTCAATAATTATTTTGTAACATTGTGTGTACATTTGAATCGTGAATAATCAGCGATTCAATCCCAGAAAACTGATGGTAGCAATTGTTTGAGAACAAAATCTAATGGTTGGATTTATTAGGGTAGAACCTTTGTAAAGTAATCTTCTTCTTTTGTTTGAGCCAACAGAATTTATACATACCAAAACTGTTGGAAACATCAAGAAAGTTACCATCTTTCTCTGGTGGTCATGGTATCCGTCCCCCCCCCCCCCCCCCCCATCTTAAGGGCCAGGACCCAGTGGGTTAGTTATTCACAGGCCCATCACCCCCAGCCAAGTATGAATCTACACTCAATGCCATGACTAGCAGAAAAAAAGGAATGTAAAGTAGTAAAGTAGTAAAGTGAATACATCTGTTAATTTTCACAAAGATTTACCAGCCCTCTCATTTTTTCCCCATCAGTATATCGGTAGGTTTGTTCTGTTCGACACCAGCCGTGGCCTTAGGCAGATCAGTCCCTAAGAAGATCGCCATGCAGATGCTCTTAACTGCTGAACCTATATCAGCCGAGGGTGAGTGGAACATCATTTCAGTTTTGAGAGTTAGGACTACGGCTTGACGAACAAGCCTCCTTTTATTCTTCATGCAAAGCATGCAAAGGGACCATGTCTTCAAATTAGTCACGTACATGTAAATCTAGGCAGAAGGGGTGGGGGGGGGGGGGGGGGTTATTAATAATATTGAGCAATATTCATCACATTCTAATGACCTTGATGCATTTGCCTCTTGAGGTCTCTGTAAAAGATTTATTGTTTAATTATTCCTTTTGTTTCTAATGGTGAGCATGAAATCTCATACGTGCCAGCTAGGACTGATCCAGAAGACCCCTTCGCAATGCTTTTTTTGTGGTGGGGGGCGGGGGAACATGAATTTATGAGCCACCATCCCTCTGAAATCATGTGTGAGAAAGTGTGTCGCAATGACATCATGTTGCCAATTTGATTACCCAGTTTAAGATGAAAGCTAGTATCATCTTCTGATAGCGAACTGTAAAGAATTATGCAGTATTATGTTTATTTATAAATACCAAATTCACAATGAATTTGTCAAATATTTGTTTCATTATTTTATTGTATTTGATAGGATAACATGTATTATTGCCTCTTAGATTTGCCTGTATAATGTAGTTTTACCTATGTCTGTTTATCTATGCGTATTGTGTTTTTATGTAGATGCTCTCAAACACGGCTTGGTCAGCAAGGTCGTGCCTGAAGAAGCAGTGGAGGAAGAAGTGAGTAGAGTGGTTTGTTGACATACCTAACAAAGCATCAGCTCTTGAAGATGGTATAAAAGAAGAAGAAAGAAACAGAATAGATTGCATAAATTCTGCTGTTTTAAATGAGAGACATTATCAGGAGAATTTGATTATTCCTGTCTTATACAGGTTTGATTGATTTGCGTGGATTACAAGTTCTCCAATCATTCGCAAACTTACAATCTCCTATCTCCTGTGTACGGAGTTGCGATTGATATTAAATTCAATTTCAGTTGGTTTAAATTTGAATAAAATCTGTGTCATCATGGCTCATCCTGCAAGATTAAAGATTACCCCTTAATCCACTTAAAGGGTACATTTGTTAAAGTAGACTTTTTGTGTTTTTCTTTCTCCTAGACTATGAAGATAGCCAAAAAGATCTGCGAGTACAGCGGATCCGTCATCTCTCTAGGAAAGGCTTGCTTCAACTCACAAATGAAGATGGACAGAAATTCGGCCTATGAGTAAGATATCGTTATGTAGTTCATATCCGCAATTTAACCAAGACAAATATTTCGATAAACGTAATTTATTCAGTGACCACTCGCAATTATAAGAACGTGTGACTGCACGTATTTAGAAAAAAACAAGTCCTAAATACTTGATGCTGATATAAGCAAAGTTGAATTTGATTTTTGTTGTAGCAACTTTTTATGAGAGACCCTTTAGGCCTGTGACTCAAATTAAGTAAATGAAACTGCAGTCTAATTGATCCTAGATGGGATCCCTGTACATGTGCAATGCATTGGAGTGAATGAACCGTATGCAGAGTTTCTGTTTTGTGCATGGGTATATCTGACATACCAGCTTTGAACCATCTAGGAAAATCTCTCTCACTCCAATTCATTAACGGCATACATAGAACTATCAAAAAGTGATTGATTAAGTTCACAAGAAAATCTTGCTTGGACCCTTCATACTGAGTTGTTGCTTTAGGCAATCGTAGATACTACTTTAGTATAGTTTTGTAAAGTTGCTAAAGATCTGAATCCAAGTCATTTCAGATATTTGAATTAAAGTGGGACTCTCACTCAGTGTTTGACGGCATATATATTTATTTATTGTGATTGTGTAAAATGTCTCATTGTGTTTTTCAATTCATATTTACCTAATTTTTCTTTTAACGTTTCTTTTTCTACCTGCAGTCATGCCAGTGATGTAATGGTGAACAATTTATCCCTGGTGGAAGGACAGGAGGGAATTAATGCATTCGTCAATAAGAGGTCACCAGTCTGGAGGCATGGCTTTGACAAGGCCCATGAATGAGCTCCCTTCTCCTTCTCCTTTTCACTCTCTTTGTCTCTCTTTCTCTCTTTCTTCAAAAAGTCCTTTGCTTGTGTGATGAAGTACAGTACCAAGTCTTCCGTTTTACCTTCATGAAGTGTAGTATTGTGGTTGCATCTTTAAATCATACACTTCTTATTGCATCCACATTACAGAGAATGAGGCTTTAAAAAAAGTTTCCACTATACAGTGCGAGTCAAAAAAAAGTTTACAACTAGAAAATTGCAAACAATGCCTCATGTTCATCCCAGCATGAACACCTACCACACAAAAATGATACCAAATGATTTGGGATAAAACACATTTTCATAAGATGTATAATAATTTACTGTTCATAATTAGCAATTTTCTAGGTGTAAACTTTTTTTGACTCACACGGTATATGAGGAATTAGGTGTGCTAAAAGATGGGGGAATTGATCCGCAGCTCTCACCACTTCTGGATTATAACAATTTATAAGATGATGACGTGGATCCTAATCAAATGATTGGTTGAGAGCGTACACGTGACCAGGCATTTATTTTGCCTAACGCGTAATTTGGATAATGACGGTCATTATCCAATGGTAATTAGTAAAATCATGTTTATAAAACATCATTTTATAAAACAAATAAAACATAATCTTATAAAACAAATAATACACATCATTTTGTCCGGGCGTTAGTAAAATTACCCACACTCGGTACCTTCAAAACAGTCCAAACACCCTCGGCTATTGTCTCGGGCATGTTAGACTGTTCCAAAGGTACCTTGTGTGGGTAATTCTTACTAATGCTCTCACTGCTGTGTATTATTTGAATAATAATTTCTAAGACTGCAATGTAATTGCCATGTATGCAATCGGGTCATTTGGATGATATTGGAATGGATTGTCTGTAGATGAAAAATTTAATTTACACGTAAATGCACAACATTTATCAATGCTGTCTTAACCCTTTATGAATGGTTTTCATTGTGGTTATACAATGTATTTGTAATTTGAATAAATCAAGAAATCATGTATAAATTGTATATTGAAAAAAATTAAATATATTTTATCAGATCTAAGTATGTGCTGTATTCAGACCGTTTGTGTATTCTGATCATGACATGTACAACTTGTTTTAAAATTGTTTGGTTGAGGTAAAGAGTGTAAAACCAGCCAGGTTCAAAATCTGAATTATGTTAATATCAGATGGTGACTTTACCGGTTTATCCAAGACGTACCCCGATTGATAGTTGTACTCATCTACAAAAACAATTTCACCCACACACACACGCACACTGGCCTTCTCATACATACCCCACTCTGATTGATACAGTTGTACTTTTCTACAAAAACATATTCACACACACACATAGTTGGGTTCATACTATCAACAAACAAACAAAAAAGAAGAACTTTTACTGATTCATTGTAAATTTTTATTTGGAAATATATTTTAAAAATAATTATATATGTACACATACATTTACAATGTAATTTTCACAATTACAAATAGACTCTACTTCTGGAAAATGAATACAGCATATGATGAAATGCCATTAAATATTGATAAATAATGCGAAATGACACTGCAAACATGGAAAATGAAGAAATTGGAAGTAAATAATATTGTGACTTGTGGAATGCGTTTAGAGCTTACATTGTAAAGAAACCGCAAATGAAAAACATCTATAAATTAAAGAAGACTTGGAGGTCACATCTCATTTCTAGAAAAATAACTGCCGTTTAAGCCTAATTATACTTTTTATACGCATGCCTTCTTCTTTTCATGCAGAATATCATGTACTGGATTGTCAATATTTGAAGAAAAAAAAAACCTCATAACAAACTAAAAATCAAATTCAAGGTTTGAGTTCATAATGAAAGTCTTATAGTCGGCATAGTACAATAATGTTTGTTTTTTCAAATCACTTACAACAAAGCTATACAAAAATTTGGATATATAGTAACAGCCTCGATGTATTAATAATAAATAAATTATATCATAAGGATATCAAATTACTGTTTGAAACAACTAAAAAAAAAAATGACCACAGAAATTGTACATAATCACAGACGATTACCTACAGTTTTTGTATAGAGCAGCATTTTTTATATTCATTCTAACAATTGTTACTCCTCTAATATGAATAGGTCTATGGCAATAGTATCTAAGGAGCACACTCACAATTTTAAAGGTACAATAATCATCTAACTTCATGTATGTAAGGTACTGGCTATCGGCCAATAATGACTAGTTAATAAATCATAGAGTCCTTATGAAATTACACTTGTAACACATGTCTTAAAAGTGAGGAAAAATCAATCTCTGATAGTATGTCCATTTATACAAACATAGTCTGGAATGTTTCGATTATATTGAGAGATGTAAATCATTAACGTCTATAATTTTAAATTTCTCCTGGTTAGAAAAGAACGTCTCTTTGCAAGGAATTTTTCTGCTGGAAAATTATAATCCTAGTCTTGTCTAATTTTTTTTCCTGCTAAGCATTTATATATGCAAACAAACAACCAACATTGCAGACCACTCATTAAATAACCACTGCAAAAAATAATGCTAAATACCATTGTGAAATATACTATGAAGTTTATGAAACGCACATGTACCTATATAACGATGGTCAACAATTAATTTTCTTCTGCAGCATTCAAATAAAATCCTACACGCAGTATTGTACACACAGGGATGCCATTTAGAATTGATCAGAGGGCCTGAAAATCACCTAGAATGAGCTATTTTGTACACAAACTAGATGGAATTTTGACTGCGCGCAGTCAAAAATGATGCCTCCGCCATAGAGCAACTTTACAAACCAAAACGAAAGCAATTTTTAAAATTCAAGTTTGATTGTAATCCATCTGTCGGTTTTAATAATAATGCATTCACAAGCTATTTATAGTCATACATAATGAGCCCCATGACCTTTGACCTGATGACCCTAAAATCTAATCAGTTAATTGGCTCTGCAAGATACATATATACATGTCTTGAGTTTGATAGTAATCTGTCTATTGGTTCTCATTATAATGCGATCACAAGCTATTTGTGCATACATAATGAGCCCTGTGACCTTTGACCTCGTGACCCCAAAATATAATCAGTTCATTGGCTCTGTTAGATACATACATGACCCAAGTTTGGCAGGAATCCATTGACCGGTTCTTGAGATAACGCGATCACGAGCTATTTTTGTAGACATAATGAGCCCTGTGACCTTCGACCTCGTGACCCCAAAATCTAATCAGTCCATTGGCTCTGTTAGATACATACATGACCCAAGTTTGGCACGAATCCATCGATCGGTTCTTGAGATAACGCGATCACAAGCTATTTTTGTATACATAATGAGCCCTGTGACCTTTGACCTCCGACCTCGTGACCCCAAAATCTAATCAGTTCATTGGCTCTGTTAGATACATATATGACCCAAGTTTGGCAGGAATCCATTGATCGGTTCTTGAGATATTGCGATCACAAGCTATTTTTGAATACATAATGAGCCCTGTGACCTTTGACCTTCGACCTCGTGACCCCAAAATCTAATCAGTTCATTGGCTCTGCAAGATACATACATGATCCAAGTTTAGAGAGAATCCATCAATTGGTTCTTGAGATAACGCGATCACGAGAACGGGACGTACGGACGGACGGACGTACGGACGTACGGACGTACGGACGGACGGACGGACAACCAGAAAACATAATGCCTCCGGCTACTTTGTAGCGGAGGCATAAAAAGCCTAAACTATAATCTAAAAATAACTTGCCAGGGCCTGAATTCAGGCAATTGCCAGAAAATTGGCATCCCCGTACACACAAGTGCATCGAAAATGAGACGATGTAGGCACAATAAATGGCACAGAGGCGCGAACAATGCATTGAAACCTATTGGCACACATATACTCTTGCTATTAATATGTGGTTCCTTAAATAGTTACGCGGTGGATAATTGATCTACACTCAATTTTCCAAAAATCCTGGGTGAAATAAAGAAAGCACCTGAATTATATAAAAGGCACACAATTCTGTATGTACGTACAGTCCATACACTGTACAATCATTGAATGTATTTGAGACTGCTATCAAAACAACAATCTCACATGTTTATGTGTACATTTGTATATGAATATACATGAATCTCAAGAAACCTTCACTGCATTTGAATACAGACAATCCTGCTTAATGACCACCTGTATAGAAAGACCACCTTTCTCAAATCCCTTGAATCTAGTTTCTCATTGCAACCCATACTAAAGGAACCTGTACATAAAGACCACCTGCCTATAAAGACCACTTTTCATGTTTACTTGAGAGGTCTTTACATATAGGTTTCCCTGTAATAGGTATTGAATAATCTGTTACTTTCATGAGTAATGATGAGGCTTTTATTTCTTATTTCGTGCATTAATTGCTTTAATGTTGCAATTTAGCACCATGCAAAAATGAGCTGGCAATTGGTGTGCAAACATGTACTCTTTGTTTGTTTTGATTATAGCAGAAACAACATAAGTAGCAAACATGTCTGTCACCTTACAAAAATGTTGGCTTATACAGGATTTCAAATGGCATCCAGTTTCTTGATATTGATCAGAAGGTCTACAAAAAAGAAAAGAAGGCACTTTTAAACAACCTTCGATTGTCTCTGATTCCTACACACTTCACTCAACACAAATAATGTGCAAACATGGATGTACCCAATGATAACATGTCCAATAGAGGCTCTTTCTGGAGAAAAAAAAATTATTGCCCGAATAGAAATTAAAATCTCATCCCATCACCCTGAATCTGCATAACTACCCTTCCCCACCCTCTCTCCAATCCAACATCATCCTTTATGAAACTCTAGTAAAAATAAGCTCTAATGGCATGAATCCCCTAATTTCCATCATGTGACCCTTTATGAAATGAATCTTTTGATGTAATGGACCTAGCCGTTATGCTCTGGGAGAGTTCCTTCATTCCTTCTGCCATCTTCTCAAACTCTTCATCAGTGAATAAAATAAAGAGCTTCAAGATGCTTCTGGTAAACTGGAAAAGATCTCTGGTAATACATGTATACCGATAAAATACTTAAATATCACTGTAAGAAAATGGCAATTTTATCCTAAAAGAGCTCCCACAAACAGAAAAGTATTTTTTTTACACTGCTCTGCATGGTGCTTTTTACAGTGAATTACTCTCCCCCCCCCCCTTTACTCTTCTTCCATCTCCCCCTCTTCATGAATACTCTGGAGTAAGGGACCTAGCTGTCATGCTCTTTGAGAGTTTCTTCATGCTCTCCGCCATCTTCTCAAACTCTGACCATTTCTGGGTCTGCACGGTGCTCTCCACAGCCGACTGTCTCGACGTTTCATCCAGTCTGATCTCTAAGGTATGGATGTGACTGTGAAGACGACTCACCTCGTGCTCCTTCTCCGCAAGCTGATCAAGAAAGAGTTAATAAAAATGCAAGACAGAGAAAATCAAACAAACAAGCAAGTAACAAGTCTTTGAAATAATAATGGGATTTATATAGAGCCTTTTCCAAAGGATACAAGGTGCTGTCTCATAGACTATCAACAATTTAAGAGGAGTTGTACAGGTATGTTTTCAGTTGTTTTTTGAAGAAATCTAATGAAGTACTGTTTCTTAAGAATGAGGGAAGTTTGTTCCAGAGACGTGGGGCTAATGACTGAAACGATTTGAATTCGGCCTGTTTAGCAAATTAGTCTTTAGTACCAAACTTTTGCAGAAGTTATCTCTTATGGACGTTAAAACTTTGGTTGCCAACTTTGCCCATCTGCACGTAGCTCGTTTTAATACAAAATATGCATTTTTTAAAGAATGTAATATGCACTGATTGAGGGAAGGATTGCTTTATGCAACACAACGATTCTGCAAAATGACAATTTTTGGTCTTGATTAGCTCCATAATTAAGCCTCTAATATTAACACCTGCATGTAGAGATTAATCTTGCATTGGAAAGAGTTAAATCATTTAGAATCCTTTGATTTATCTATCCCATGAAAAATACAATGTGGCACTGGGAGATTATTTGTATGGCATACAAGAGTTAAGCACACATATTTAGGGGTTCTCATGGGGATTTGACACGATTCTTATATCAACCCGATATCGGGTGTGCTCAGCGACCGAGATTGGACTTTGCTTTTACGACTCTAGGTATCATGTCATGAACAAATTACCCACCACTATCTTAAAAGACCTGCACGTAATGAAACAATAACAAACTGTCACAGAGAAATCCAGGGAGGACAAAGATTTTGCTGCAATTAATGCTGATATTTTGATATTTTGTGGATATATATCCAGTAAACTGTATATAGCTACCTGTTTCTGAAGATCAGAGACGTGATCGACCAGTAGCATCTTATCCCGTCTGAGCTGTGCATTCTCCTGTTCTGCCCCGCCCTGCCTGCCTTCAAGCTCGGCCAGACGACTCTTGGTGGTGTTATGGGTCAAGGTGTTGTGGGTGTGTCTCTCATCTTGCTTGGACAGCTGATTGGACAAATTTTAAAATGCATGAGTCAATATGAAGACTTCAATTCAAAAACGAGCTAAATCCACTTTTGGTGAAAATTGAGTTATTGATATCAGAACACTGTTGACTTATGTACCCGTCTTTCAACAAAAGTATCTATCTAAATTTTGGGAGCAATTATGAAAAAATGCACCTTCTACATGTAATATCACTTTTCAATAAACGCCTGTACAATCTGGTAAACAAATCCCTCTTTCTCTGAAGCTACAAAAATGGATTTAGCTCCTTTCGGAATTAAACTTATGTAAAATTGAATTAATTTTCTCTTAAAGGTAAAGACCAGTATTGGAAACGCCCCAATTTCAAAAAATGAAATGGAAGCTCTCATTACCAATCATGTGAAAGCATATGTTTTGACTAATACATTGTACATGATGATAACAATTTTGCCGGGAAACCGCCTACTAATTGATATATTTGGTAAATTAGTTTATCTATTGGTATGTGAGAGATAAACGCATGTGTACAGTGCTTGTAACTTTACGAAGACTGGGCCAAATTTCTTATCATTTTGATGATTCCAGAACCTTGCAGTACACACCAATACTTATATGCTAGATGATCAACCTTTTCTGATTGATTCCACAACGTTTCTTTCACAATGCAATCGCATGACCAGAACTGGTCTTTATCTTTAACATCACTGGTTTGTCAGTTCACTCACTTCACTACATCACGTAAAAGATCAAGAACAATTGGTTCTCACATCAAAAGACAATATACAAGGAGATAGATTTAATACAGATATTCTGAATGATGATTACAAGAAACTAATACTACATTTTATAGTCAAGCTAACACTTAATTGTTTAATTGCAGAAATATGTATGTCCTTGACATAAAGCTCCCAGCATCGATCTTAATACAGTATGCAATAGATACCAACCGCTTACCTCAAAATAGTGATCTCTGCCATTATCAGATACAATGTAATCAATATTCATACAAATTTAACCGAACATGATTTTTTTTTCCTTTCACATATTTACATCAATATAACCTTCACACTTTTAATGCTGCTGCATGGGGAATAAAACAATAAATTACCTATATATCAAATTGATAATAACAAAAGAGAAATAAATATGTACAATTATTTACATACTTGTTTCATCAGATGTGCCACTCTTTCTCTCTCCTGTTTAAGGACTTCCCTAGCCTGATCAAGATCAAACTTGAGCTGTTTCTCTTTATCCCTGACTGTCACCAGCTCAGTGATGTGGGTGGAGTGACGCGTATCGCGATTTTCTCTCAACATCTTTTCCTGTATAAAACATCAGATAAATCATGGTTAATCTTTGGGCATTGCTTGTGCCGAGGGTTCGATCTCGCCAGTCTTACAACTAAATTGTTTTAATCTCTGCCTGGCCTAAGAGGGCGCCCCGCTCATGCCTTGTCCAAGGACGTATGCACCAAGCTAGGATTAAAACTGAGGTAAAGTGAATGATCTATCGCGTCCTCACGATTGATGCCATAATTAACATTCCTTGTTCATGGCTGTATGAGCACATCAGCATTCAAACAAGAAGTTACTTTGTAAAGGTAGAAGTGCAAGGCAAGGGTCTTGGAAGAACCCTGCAAGTATTTCCTTATAATTATATCGACAGCCAACTTTGTTTAAATTTGCACAAAATCAAGTGTGATTTTTATGTGAAATCCATAGAGTTACCGTATTTGCCGGCGTAAAGGCCGCACTCCCAACTTTGACATTTCGTAGAGAGAAAAAAAAAAAAAAAAAAAAAAAAAAACGGACCAAAGAAAATAATCATAATTTTCTCGTAGAACTCTATTTTTCCTACAAACTAATACCAAAATTATCAATCATTTTATAAATTTACAGAAAGTTTACCTAAAAAATGATCGTAATTTAGCAAATCTTCATCGATTTTTAGGCAGATTAGCACATTCATTGGACACTAGAGGGCGCTTCGCATGCATACAGAAACATGAATGGCCTGCAATAACCAAGCTGTGGCCATAATGTTATACGGTTAAAAAGATAACTTCTTCAAATTTGCTGCTGACGTGGTTCAGACTAGATCTTGTCCGATGTGTTTTCAAGTCAATTTTGTTAATATATTTTTTTGCATGAAGTTGCCTACAAATAATGGACGGGCTGTTTTGACTTGCGATTTTTACTGTTTCGGCGCATACGCCGCACCCCGACTTTTTGATATTTTCTCTTCCAAAAATACTGCGGCCTTTACACCGGCAAATACGGTATCACAGATTATCACTATTCAAGTGGATATACTACCACTTCTCCATATATTCAAATTATCTACAATCTCAATATCTCTCAAATCTTTGCTGATTCTAACAGGATATGAGCAAATATACAAGGTAATTGTAATTAGTAGACATTGTATCTTGTTACCGTAGTAACATGCATGCTTACCCTGTCCAATTGATTTTGTAGTTCTAGAACCTGGGTGCCCATCATGGCATTCTCCTGTACTAGATTATTCACATCCTCAGACATCTGAAAATGAAATTAATTCACAGAAGAAAAACTAGATGGAATTCGACTGCGCGCAGTCGAAAATGATGCCTCCGTCATAGAGCAATTTTACAAACCAAAACAGAAGAAATTTTTCGGATTCAAATTCAATTGTAATCCATTGACAGGTTCTCAGAATATCGTGATTACAAGCAATTTCTCATATACATATATGACCCTTTGATCTTTGACCTCATGACCCTAAAATCTACTCAGTTCATTGGCTCTGCAAGATGTCAATCCATCTGTCAGTTCTAATGAGAATGCGTTCACAAGCTATTTTTGCATACATAATGAGCCCATGATCTTTGACCTTTGACCTCATGAACCAAGAATCTACTCAGTTCATTGGCTCTGCAAGTAACATACATGACCTAATTTTGGCAGGAATCCATCAATCGGTTCTTGAGATAACGCGATCACAAGCTGTTATTGCATACATAATGTGTGCTGTGGCCTTTGACCTTTGACCTCATGACCCCAAAATCTAATCAGTTCATCGGCTCTGCAAGTAACATACATGACCTAAGTTTGGCAGCAATCCATCAATCGGTTCTTGAGATAACGCGATCACAAGCTGTTTATGCATACATAATGAGCCCTGTGACCTTTGACCTTTAACCTCATGACCCCAAAATCTAATCAGTTCATTGGCTCTGCAAGATACATACATGACCAAAGTTTGGCAGGAATCCATCAATCGGTTCTTCAGATAACGCGATCACAAGCTGTTTTTGCATACCTAATGAGCCCTGTGACCTTTGACCTCGTGACCCCAAAATCTAATCAGTTCATTGGCTCTGCAAGATACATATATGACCAAAGTTTGGCAGGAATCCATCGATCGGTTCTTCAGATAACGCGATCACAAGCTGTTTATGCATACATAATGAGCCCTGTGACCTTTGACCTTTAACCTCATGACCCCAAAATCTAATCAGTTCATTGGCTCTGCAAGATACATACATGACCAAAGTTTGGCAGGAATCCATCAATCGGTTCTTCAGATAACGCGATCACAAGCTGTTTTTGCATACCTAATGAGCCCTGTGACCTTTGACCTCGTGACCCCAAAATCTAATCAGTTCATTGGCTCTGCAAGATACATATATGACCAAAGTTTGGCAGGAATCCATCGATCGGTTCTTCAGATAACGCGATCACAAGAACGGGACGTACGTACGTACAGACGTACAGACGTACGTACGGACGGACGGACAACCCGAAAACATAATGCCTCCGGCTACTTCGTAACGGAGGCATAAAAAGGTATAATTAATGAATAGAAAGTTTAACTAAAATGCACCAATCAATGAAACGCATACCAGTGACTGTGTTTACAATGGTAAAGGAACGTCAATTAAAGATGATGAATACAACACTTATGACAAGGAGACAAGATGGCTCAGAGTCAGTGGTAGAGCAGTTGTCTGATAACCAGGAGGTCCCGGGTTCAAAATCAAGTAGATGCCCTAGTGGTAAGTGCCCTTTGGTAAGGCATTAATACTCATTACCAAGTCCTTCGGAGAGGACCTAAAGCCGCCGGTCCCCTGGTAGCTAATTACATGCAAGTATGCTTTCTTATAGTCAGGTAAAACAAACCATCAAACCAAACAATTATACAAATGATATTTATCATGTTGCTCAATCTCTGCAAAGAAACATTGCTTTGTCATTTCGTTTCATTTCAATGAGGTGGCTCATCAGAATCTGACATTGCATAATATCCAATTGCAAAAATAAAACATAACAGCTTTTTGAACACTCTTGAAATTACTTTGGGGATTTAATATGACAAAATGAGGGTTTGTCCAACTTGTAGGTCGACACTTCTACATTATGACAAGGAATAGTCAACTTGATAAAAAATTATCAATTACAAAGAAAAAGAGTTATGACTTACTTTACTCTTTAAAAATCGATCTTGTTCTGCTTTCATCTCGGTTTCTTTTAGTTTCCTCTGCAATTGTCTGATCTCCCCCTGTAAACATATAATGATGTGATGTGATATACAAACACTGTCAATTTCTGTCTACGAGTCTATGAAAGGGAACACTTTTAAAACTGTTTTGAGAGAGAGAGGTGAAGAAGAGAAGTAGTAGGAATGGAAGGGATGGAGGAAAGAAGGGAAGGAAGAAGTAAGTGAGAGAAATGGGGATAAAGACAAAAGGGTCACATGATGGTTTTAATATTTAAAAAAAAAATAATAATAAAGAAAAGATAACAGACAATTAACACAAATATAGTTATCAATTTCTGAAATGATACATAACCTATCAACAGTTCATTGGGTATAAAAAACATTCAAGCTACTCTGACCATGCAGCATCACTTCTTTCTATGACTATATAGCCAAAGTGAAGCGATACAAAAATCATCAAAAACATCTGCAAAGTCTCAGCACATTCTTACTCTAAATTCATCGACAGCTTGATCCTGTATGGAGGCTGTACTGGAGTAATATTTGTCCTCCATTTCTTGTAGTTGGGTTTGGGTTTTCAGCAGATCAGTCCTCTTATCTTCCAAGGCAAACTGGGTAGCTTTCAACGTATCAGACTTTTGTTGGACCTGAAAAGGGAATACACTCATTTGTATTATTGAATTGGCATTTTGTTCTTGAAAACATAGGAATACACCAGAATATTTAACAACTTTAAGTCTTATTTCATTTAATCAATAATCAATAATGTAAACATTGTGCAAGTAGTCCCTGAACTACTACTACTTTGAATTTCAATAAACCAAATTGAATTGGATCTGTACTTGTGTGAAACTTTAGATATTTTAGAGAACATATAGTAGTGACTATCAACAATGAATTATTTTACTCTTCGACTTAAACTTTAATACTATCAATATATTATATTTAACACTGAAATCCTCTCGTTTCTCATTTGCTCATCCTCAGCTGAAGTCTATTATCACTTCTTTTCCAAGTGCTCCCAATGCATTCTCTTTCTTTCCTTTTTATTTATCATATTGTATTCATCTTCTCATTCCTATTTCTGTTCAAAGCTCAATTCTTGAACCCCTCCCCTCCACCCCTTTCTAAACTTTCACTCCGCCCCTTTCTAAACAATATTTTTACATTATCTATAGTTTGTTTGCTTCTTACTCTCAACTTCTGTATTATTTTCTGTGTTAAAATACCTTTCAGACCCAATTTTCCCCTCAACTCTTCTTCTTCTTCAACCTCCCTCAATTCCTTCCTCTCTCCTAACATTTCTGAATTCATGATATACTTTAAAAAAAACTTTAAAAAAACATGTATATAAATGTAAATACAGTCAAACTTGTCTATAGCGACTGCCCAAGGGAAACACAAAAGTGGTCTTTGTAGGTACATGTTTCAATGAGAAATCATTTTCAAGGGAAACAAAAAATGTGGTCTTTGTAGACAGGTGGTCACTAAAGCAGGTTTGACTGTATATAGATATATTCAGTATTCACCTCTGCCTCTAGCATCTGGATCCGATGCTCTGCAGTGGATAGAGAGGAGGAGCCCTTCTCTAGCTCTCCCCTGGCCATAGATATCTGTTGCTCTCTGTCATGTATCTCCCGTTGTATCATCTCGTTCTGTTTCTTCAGCTGCACGACCTCTTCTACCAGGAGTTTCTTTTCACGGTGATGATTATCTGGATAAAAGGAAATTTCAAGACAAAAAATTTTCAACTAGATTGATATTGAGAAGAATAAGAAATGTTTATAAAAATTTACAAGTTAATAGGCTGTACAGATGTTTTCAACAAAGAAATCACATCACCAATGTACAATAGTTAGAGCATAAACACAGTTCAACCAGTATGACAAAATACCCTCGAGGGAGAGAAGAAAGTCAACATTTCTTCGCCGTTTTCACGAACCGGCACAGCCCAACGCGCAACGAAATAAGTACATTCTGAGAAAAACGCGTTTTACGTTTAGCCCGTTTTGAATTCGCCAGAAACATGCCTTATGTCAAATTTTATATCACAAAATACATATCAATGAAAGGAAAATATTCTGTATTTTCTATACATTCCATTTGTTAAGCATAATGACAATTACTATTAATATTACGAAGCTTTGGTCTCTCCTGCCGGTTCGTGAAAATATTATTTTGCTGTTTACGTAGCAAAAATATTTTTACGAACCGGCACAAGCCACTGTGTTGTTTTTCCTATGTAACTTTACGCGCAAGACAAAAGTGCTCGCGCTGTCTTAGCGCGTATTTTATTTTCACGAACCGGCACAACCGCCTGTGTCGCGTCGTCTAGGTCTTGTAAGCGCAAAGATATTTTCACGAACCGGCACAGCCCATTGACTTATAACGGCGCGTGCCGGTTCGTGAAAATATGAATCGTGCTTTTTGGCTCGTGTGTCGTTTTTGTCATTTGTGTAACCATGGATATCTCAAAAACTAAAGCGTTTTGGATGCTGAAATTTGGTGAGATGAAAGATTGTTGATAACTTATGCTAAAAATGCAAAAAAAATAAAAACTACATTTTGAAGGGATTTCGGTGGCTTGTGCCGGTTCGTGAAAACGGCGACGATTTATATGCTTCAGGTCTTCATAGACAGGGTCTCTATTAGATGGTGTATTTAGTACAGAATTTAAGGAGAAACATGTACTATTCAAAGGGTACAATAAATGTGGTCTTTCTGTACAGAGCGTTTTTATGGATTGGGTATCTTTGTCTCAGATTCTAAACAAAATCCTGGATTTAGCTCATGCTGCAATCATAAATATAAACCTTTAGGTCAGTCAGTAATCCCATGACTTTTACAAGCCGATCACCTGTCTCATTATCAAGATATTTATGATTGGAATTCAAAATTTCAAAACCGTTTTCCCAACAGCTTTTATAACCCTGCAGGCTATTGGGAAAATGAGTTTGGCAAAACCGGTCACTCAAAGATTTTTACATTTTTAAAGCAGTTTATGATCATTTTGAAGCGCAATTTTTGTTAAGGGTTTCAATATTACACCATATCACAGACGCTGATAACACGTAGGGCCATGCATCTCAGATTTGGCATTGTTAAACAACGCCTTTTTAAAAAGCAGATTTGAATGAGCACCATCTTGATTTCATATTTACCCGACAACACCCTGACCTTTCCATCCAGCCTGTCCTTCTCTGTGCTGACCATGTCCAAGCTAGATTCTTTCCTTCGTACTTCAAGATGGAGACTGTCGACGTCTGATTGGAGATCCTGAGCAACAATCAAAGCAATCAGAAATTAGAAGCATTAACAATTTCTGAACATCCCTTGCTATTGTATTTAATGCTTATCCAGAGAATTATATAAACCAGAGACTTTCTTTTCAAGGCTCTATTTTTTTTTCTCACTTGGATCTGAAACTCTAATGGGGAACTGCAGCTTGCATGTAAATTACAAGGTACGGGGCTCGATCTCCACATCCACTGACACATTACTGTAGCTACGGTTAATAAAGATGTATTTCTTTATAGACATGAAGAATGATGTTGCAAAGGTTATTCATGACATGATCACATTTTGCATTTTTAGCCCGAGGGTTGTGCAAGTAAAAAGTAGCATGTTTTCTATTAAACTAAAGATAAACTTTTGAAATGGACATTAAAAAACAAAACACAACAAACAAACAAACATCAAAATAAACCTTGGCCAGATGGATACTTATTATCTTTAGCAAGTTAATGACCAGGGCATCGTTTTAAATAAAACGTCATAATTAAGTACCACTTCACCGAAATGTGTTGAATTTAATACATGCATTTCAATGGGATGTTGACGAACTTGTACTTATGACAGTTTTGTAAAACGTTGCCCTGTTTTTGAAAGACACGTACAATGTCAATTGCCAATTTGGATAAACACATAATGACAATTTTAGAGTAGTGATTACTGTGGCTATGCTATTATATTGTACGTTGAATGTTATTCCAATACCTTGAGTCTGTGAAGCATCTTGCTGGCTTCTTCAGTCATCCTTGGATGAAGTTCAGTCGCTTTCTTGGCTTGGTCTCGCGTAAAGGATTTGAACAGTCAAGGTCAAAAGTGAAAGAGATCAGACTTTGATATCAATTGAATATTACCTACTTCATTCTGCTCATTGATATATAATGATAAGTAACCTCAGTTATACTACATATACATATACATATATGGCAAAAGGCAAGTGAAATGATGACAGCTAGTATCCTGAACAAACGCTAGAGATGGGTTACTGACTTACTAATAGTAGTCAGCGCCTTGTATCCTCATTCCTCAGTAAAAAGTGGTTTGTAGAACAAGATAGTCTTAAAACTAGACGTATGTCTATACACGACAGGAAAGTCTCACTTAATCACTCTCACTATTCTTTAGAAAGTTAGATGAATTATGGACGAAGATGTCATCACACTCCGAGGGCATAATTGTGTTTAATTACACAATGCCGGCAGGTGTACCAAAAGCGATCACAGTTTATGGCTGGAGCGATTCCTTTCAATGCAATGGAAAATGCAATGTACCTGAACCACTATGCTAACCCAACATAAAACATATTTTGACCTTCCCACATTCAAGACTATTTGAATGTGTACATATACTGAGACCAAATACTACATACATTTTACACAAATTTTTTCTAAATGATAGTAAAGAAAAATATTAGTTGCAACACCACTGGAAATTGGAATTGGTGGTGCACTAACAGGGGGCATTTAAGGGCACATCTCACCATCAAACATTGGAAAAATAAGAACAAAATAATTTAAAAATTAAAAAAAAAAGAGAAAGAGAGAAAAACAGAGAGAGAGAGAGAGAGAGAGATAGAGAGAGAAAGAAAGAGAGAAAGAGAGAGAGATAAAGAGAGAGAGAGAGAGAGAGAGAGAGAGATAAAGAGAGATAAAGAGAGAGAGAGAGAGAGAGAGAGAGAGAGAGAGAGAGATGGGGAGGGAAAGGAGAGTAAAAACAAGAAGATGAGTAGCCTTGCACATTCACATTTAATCCACCTCCTCAACTGATTAGAGTGTTCCCTCTGTATGCCTCTTATTCTACAAATTATATCTTCATAATAATTACTATTTCTTATATTATGCAAAGGATATAGGAAGTTAGCCTCAAGCTCCAGGAAGTAGATCTGCTGCTGCAGATTCTTGATGTATTCAGCTTCCAGATTGTCATAGTCTTTGGTAGATTTCCTAAGAGTGTAAAAAGAACAAATGTAAACATTTTTATTTACGGTCAAAGTTACCTATCTTTAATAGCAGCCTACTATAGAGGCCACCTGTCTATAGTGGCCACGCAGTTTGTCTCACATGAGAAACAAATGTGTGTTTTAGGATCTGTCTAGCAAGGTTACCTGTCTATAAAGTGGCCAGGTTTCCACTTTCTCTTGATTGACATTTAAATGACAGGTTTGACTGTACTTCAGTATACAAGTCATCACTAAATTACACAATGAATCTTTCTACATAACAAAAAACGTTTTACAAATTTTTGCCTAAAGTACTTTTTCAAACAATTCCTAAATTATGTTGATATTTAAATTATACATGTAGAGTAAAGGAGCCGGTAATCGGCCAGCTCCAGTTTTCGGCCGATTGGTTGGATGCAAGGTAAAATCCCTCTAAAATACATCGCATAATATCATATCACATATCCCACACATACCATACCATGCCAGTGTCACTGAAGAACCACATTTGCAATGAAAAATATATCCTAAAATATCACATTTTAGCGATGTAATCGGCGGTCCCACTACCCGAACCTGAAAAATCGAGTATCTTACACGTGTCTGTAAGAAATATGGGTACCACATAATGAGCTTTATTTCAAGTATTTTTCAGATTTTGTGCTAGTCGCAAGCTCAAAAGTATCTCATCGCATGTATTAAATCAATGCAGCCGCACACCGCAACGCACACACCATATCTCTGTCTAATTCAGATTCCAATATCCGATCACCGCAGTACTAGTTTTCGGCCTGGCGAGCTCCGGGGAGCTCCGGCGTGGGATATCTGCTCCGCCCGCTAGTGCTATAGATCAGCGCGGAAACGCACGGCGCGTGCGCGCTTCCTATTGACTTTGTACATGCGGCTGAAAACTGGTACGCTATGCCGAAAACTGACTCTGAAACAGTGAAAATTGAAATGAATATTGTCATGGCAATTCGTGATTTTTTTCTGGGATTCTTGTTTTGTTTAAATAATAATAATATTTGCTTCATGATTTGAACAAAAAATGATAATAAATAGGAAGTAAAGGGTCCAAAAAATAGGATTTTGTCTTAAGTGGCCGAAAACCGGCTCCTTTACTCTACATGTATGAAGGGGTGACCAAAGTTCGCGGATATTTTTCTTTTCTTGCACATTACAAAAAATCCAGATCAACATATATCATGTTCCATACGTCATAAGATTCGTAATTTATCATATAATCAGATTATATAACATTCCAAGGCTTTATTTACTTCAAATCAATGATAAGATGAGAATATCGGAAGCCTTACCACTACCGACGTCCGTCAAAAAGTGTGACCTAAGTTCGCGTATGATATTTACTGCCCTCTTGTGATGGGCTTTATTCCAAAAAGTTACGTAGTTTCAATCAGAAGCCGAACTTTATATTGAAATTTTGAAAAAGATAATAATTTCTCTCTATCATTGAAATATTGCCCGATAAAAATACCCTTGTTAAATTTTGCAAATAAAAGACAATAATTTTCAATGTATGTGTTAATGACAATGTAGTCCCTATCTGCATGTCATTTGTTTGTTTGAAAAAAATTATCATGTGTCTCTTTTTTATATGTCAGCCATGCATGACTTCTTGCTCTTTTCTCTCTTTGTCTCTCCACTTTCCCCTTTTAAATTTGTATTCTTACGAAACCCATAGATTCATTGTAATTCACAAATACAGATACGGTGGAAGCAGGCGCGCAGGTTCCGTTTTTTGCGTAAGAAATTGGAATTTTATCATTATTTTCATATAAAAAAACACAATTTCTTATGATAAAATGCGTGAAAAAGCTAGCTTATTCACATTTTTATGTCGCATTTTGACCTTTGGAGTTTTCGACGGTGCTCAAAGATTTCGTTGTCTCAGTCCCACACAGGCATCGCGTATCCTTCTCCTGTTATAAGCGCTTTTAGTGTTAGTACGCGAACTTTGGTCACACCACCAAACATGTTTATCAAAATCTTTGAAAAAGAAAATGAGATTTTAAAAAAAAGAATGACAGAACTTAAACCAAAATGAAATGTAGACATTTGTTAAAGATAATGAGTTGAAGAGGCATACATTGTTCCTGAGCCAGTCCCAAAATTGGCAGCAATGTTGGCTGATGATCGCTTTGTCAGACTTCCCATGCTGCCGCTCCGTCGTAGAGTGGACCCTCCTGTTCCTGTTCCAGAAAAGCTGGGTCCTGTAGTTCATTACAAGAGACAAAGGTAATCAAGAGTTACAAAACTCAAATAAAGTATTTACAACGTAGATCTGCTTCTTATCTGTGACAGAAAGTTACTAGATCTACTAGTCTAATGTACGATTACAAAAAAAAAATGGAAATGGCTTGCATGTGGTAGGCACATTCATGGGGCACTAGAGGGCGCTTCGCGAGCGTACGAAAATCTGAATGGCCTTGCTGCGGTGGGTCGGCAATAATCAGCCCAAAACTTGGATATGGGAGGGTGGAAGGATATATCTTTTTTATAATGTTATCCGGTCTTACCCCTAACCATCCTATGTTTAATCTATGTAGAAATAACATGCGAGTACGATAAGAGAAACATCGGGCCCATTACTGATGCAACTTTTTAAATATTAGCCTAGAAATGACCACCAAACGGAAAAAAATGACATTTTTTTTCCGACAAATCTTCATAAAATCTGAGTCATAAACAACTCACAACTAGGCTCGGTAATGCAAATACGATTTTCTGAAAATTCAGGTGTGATTTTTTAAGTTTCTTTCAAGTATATTTCTGCGCATCACAGCGCAAATTTTCTTCACTGCTTCAAAATCACCCTTGAAATTTTTTTTTGCAACGAATTTGATACGGGGTCCGCGAGTGTTCCCCGTTCCTTGCGTGTTGAAAGTTTGGTAATACAAAGTTTGCATTGACTCGCGCACGAAAAAATGGCTCGAAAACAAATGTCAAAACGAGAAATAAACAAGCTTTTGTAAAAAGAGATCTACCGAGGTTTCTTTGTCGATATAATTTATTATATAGTCTCAATTAGAATTCAGAATGGGGTCCAGACAACTCGCCACAAAGACAACCCGCCCCAAGACAATCCGCCACAATACCCTGGACATCCCGCCACAATACCCTGGACAACTCGCCACAGCCTTTTCGGACAACTCGCCACACTTTTTCCCATCATGATTTCTAGATCTAAAATGAAATGAAATTGTCATTTTTCATGATTTTCGTGCTTTTATAAACACAGTCATTACAAAGAATAAAGAATAAAGTTGATTTCCCTTGTAACAATAATATACTTTTGATCTAGAGGTCTATAACAGCTGCATTTTTCTGTCCCAGATTTTTTTTAATGGTAGGATAATGGAAGCACTGGCGTACTGATGGGGGGGGGGGGGGGGTGGGCAGTTGACCCGCGAAATAAAATTGGAATGTGGTTTATTTCTAGATTTTCTGGGTGAGTTTCGTCAGAGGCGGCATTCTTGGTTTGGGGGGGGGGGAACACTGTGCTCCCACTTTTCCAGGTTCCCCTAAATTGCCCCCTTATCCTTTGTACATGTCCTTTTCCCTTCTGATAATTTTTAATGGTAGGAATTCATGGAAGGATAGGCCTACTGGAAGCACTGGCGTACTGATGGGGGAGGGGGCAGTTGACCCGCGAAATAAAATTTATTTCTAGATTTTCTGGGTTAGTTTCGCGCTTTTGCCCACAGTCAGAGGCGGCATTCTTGGTTGGGGGGGGGGGCACTGTGCCTCCATTTTTTCAGGTTCCCCTAAAGTGCCCCCTTATCACTTTGTACATGTCCTTTTCCCTTCTGATAAGTGCCTACTTTTCTTTCTCAGATGTTTTAATTATAATGTTACTCATAATTACATAAAAGAACTTGTCAGTCTTTCTTCATTAGATTGTCTTTAATATTCATCATGTAATTTTTCAAATGGGACCTTATACTTTTAGCTCGCTTGCTCGAAAATCGATATTCAGTCCATCACACCAAATTGCTAAGTATGTTGCTTAAACAATCGAGAAGTTATACGGCGATCGTAGTCGTAACTCGTAGTCGTACGCCTGGCTTGGGTTCGTCCAAAATAGATTCTTGTTGCAAGCGCAAGGAAAATCATCTTTATTCTTTAGAACAGCTCTCAAAATAATCACAATTTCCATGTTTCCTGTCATAACTGTGTTTATAAAAGCACGAAAAATCATGAAAAATGACAATTTCATTTAAGATGAGGGTGTGGCGAGTGGTCCAGGGTATTGTGGCGGGATGTCCAGGGTATTGTGGCGGGATGTCCAGGGTATTGTGGCGGGTTGTCTTGGGGCGGGTTGTCTTTGTGGCGAGTTGTCTGGGATTCTTCAGATTTATCTCACTGAAACCAACGATGTTCTCGATCCTAGTTATTTTCACTTTGCCAGCAGACGTTCTAGCGTGGTTTTGGCAAAAAGCTAGCCCGCCACCTTCCCACCTCGAACCTTTCAAGTTCCGCTAAAATTGTGCGCTGCGGAGCTCCGAGGGTGCGATGGTATCGCTGGCAAACTCTCGGGCGGCTAGCTCCCCACGACGGACCATTCGCGGTATGGCGAGAGTGTGTGTGTGAGATACGATTTTGGATTCGAGAACGCACGTACCACAACCGTGCGCGTCATTTTCAGCTGTCGAATGTCTACGACCAATTTTACATGTACGATTTTTAGTACAGATACTTGGTCAGTTTTCTTCTTATATCTTTGGTTTTACAACATTTAAAAATATAATTTCTTCAAATTTGCTCCTGACTCGGTTCAGACTAATTGTCAGATGTGTTTTCAAGTCAATTTCTTGAATATATTTTTTTGCATGAATTTGCCTACATGTGGTCATGATCGATTGTGACAATAAAATTAAAAATTAAAGACACAAGAAATCTTCTGGTCATTCACAACGTCATGCACACACAGATCACGTATCTTATTAAATTGTTGTTATCTTTATGTTGACTACAGATTGATATGCATCAAGCATTTAAGCCTGAACTTGAACTTTGAAGTTCGTCTCATCAGCACTCACACTGCGCTGCATGCACGGCACTCACAATCACAGCTGACAAAAACATAAGATTCATTACAAATCTTTATTCTCAGTTTTCTTATGAAGACTATAATTGATTTTCTTATAAAATTGAAGATATTTATGGCGTATATATTCATTACTGAATGAACGCCATTAAACATTTACCAACAACAACAACAACATAGGGTCTGTTTAGATGGTCGTTTAGATTGACAATGCACACTGCACAACACAGTGCACTGACTTGCTTTGCTCAGCCTCAGCTCAGCTCAGCTGCAGCTCCTACTGTCTTACTGACACAAAAATGAAGAATCACGCTTATTATTTGCTACATATTATACCTCTCGAAGACCTTGTTGGACTTTTGAATCTGGCCATACTTGAAATAGACGTCATCTTCAAAGAGAATCGCAACAAGTTTATAGCAGAAAATCTGAAATCCCCGAACGAAGAGCGTTATTGGCAACGCGAATATATATATCCAAGGAGGGGTCAGAGGTCAAATTTTGTGGGAGGGACAGATTAAAGATTTGCCTGATCACAGATTGGAGACGTCTATCTAGGGAAATGGCTTTCCTGCAGGTAATTGTGGTTAATTTATTAGATTTAAGATTTAAAATACAGTTTAAGTTCATTTTCTTCCTGATTAATAGTTTTCTTGTGTGCGAAAAATGAAGTCTGTTACTGTGTTAGCTCATAAGATTGTACTACAGTCCCACTCGTACAAAATTGGGTTGGTTATAAAATGAATGTGTGTCCTGTTTAATTGTTTAGGCTGTATTGATTTTGTACACAATGACAAAGTGATATTGCTTTGAAATATTAGTGACAGGAATAGGAACACCAGTGGTTCACATGTACATCGACGACTAGGAGCTCACAATTCATTAGAAAAAAGGTATAGTTTCATTGAGTGTAATAAAATAAATGGGGGGATATCAAAATAAACATGTTTATTTTGATTTTCCCCCATTTAGATCTAGTCTAGACTCTATTTTATACACTCAATAAAATTATACCTTTATTTGCAAATATGCTTACTCATTAATTTGATTAAAAAAATTACAATTGGCAGTAGGGGCGCTGGTCCGAGAATAACGATTGTCCACACAAACAAGGATCATCTTCGTAAACACAGACAGCCGCCTCCGCAAATATAATAAGGATCGTCCTCATTTTTCGCTGACGATTCTGATTTCTGATCCAAGCGTTGGCGATGCAAAAAACGGATTCCGTGATGATTTTCTTGAAGCGTTTTACATTGTCTAAGTACAGATGCTTTCACATTATGAGCGATAAATCCTCGGGAAAACGGACAACCCTCATTCTCGGACCAGCGCCCTACTGATTATACCGGTACCTTTAATGGTCATAATGAAGAACTTCTGATAGACTCTATTTCCAGTTATATTAATTCGAGTCTGAATCGTGTCCGAAAAACAAAGGATTTCCACACTGACATTTTTGGCCCTCGCATGTTTTTATTCCCATGCAGCGTTAGTCTTTGTACTTCCGGTTTTCAACTTGGCCAATGAAAATGAGGAAGAACAACAAAAATGTCCAAATTGCACCCCCCGAAAATTGTTTTTGTGATTCGATCTGATTATTAGGTGGCCGATATTTGTGGAGAGGGTCGAAGTGCAATTTTTGCCTCAAAGATTTAAGGACCCCCCCCCCCCCCCCCTGGTATAGCGCTGTGATCAAGAAATGCACATTATGAATAGGAAACGACTCTTAATTTGCCAGGATTGACAAAAGATTTCCAATTTAAATTTTCAGTGTTTTTTTCCAACATCAGTCAATTGAATTGATTGTATTTTTCTGCAATGTAGGTGTCTCCAGTTGTCAAGAATGCGTTGAGTTTGAGGGAATGGTGTTGAGTTTTGTAAAATATATTGAACTATTGGTAATTAGAGTAAAGGAGGGGGTAATCGACCAGCTTCAGTTTTCGGCCGATTGGTTGGATGCATGGTAAAATCCCTTTAAAATACATCGCATAATAGCATATCACATATCCCACACATACCATACCATGCCAGAGTCACTGAAGAACCACATTTGCAATGAAAAATATATCCTAAAATATCACATTTTAGCGATGTAATCGGCGGTCCCGCTACCCGAATCTGAAAAATTGAGTATCTTACGCGTGTCTGTAAGAAATATGGGGATCATAAAATGAGCTTTATTTCAAGTATTTTTCAGATTAAGAGCCCGATTTTGTGCTAGTCGCAAGCTCAAAAAGTATCTCACCGCATGTATTAAATCAATGCAGCCGGACATGGCAACGCACACACGAAAATCTCTGTCTAATTCAGATTCCAATTTCTGATCACCGCAGTACTAGTTTTCGACCTATCGAGCTCCGGCGTGGGATACCTGCTCCGCCCGCTAGTACTATAGATCAGCGCGGAAACGCACGGCGCATGTGTGCGCTTCCTAATGACTTTGTACATGCGGCCGAAAACTGACTCCGAAACAGTGAAAATTGAAATGAATATTGTCATGGCAATTCGTGATTTTTTTCTGGGATTCTTTTTTTGTTTAAATAATAATAATATTTGCTTCATGATTTGAACAAGAAATGATAATAAATAGGAAGTAAAGGGTCCAAAAATTGGATTTTTGTCTTAAGTGGCCGAAAACCCCCTCCTTTACTCTATGTTCTTTTTTGTTTGTTTTTCTTTCATTTTTTTAATGACTCATAACATTGACTATCAATCTGACATGTATTTATTTTTATCTTCATATTTTAGTGGAGGAGGTTTAATTTCTTTGACAAGGAAGTTGTGAAGTATCCTGACAGCACAGAGATCTTTGCAAAGCTTAAGGTACAAACTTAACTGATTGATCAGAATCATTCTCTTTTTAGAGGTGTTATTGTGTTAGTGTCTAATAAATAAAACATAAGTGGGCAACATCTAACACCTATTATGCCTATTATGCCACTTTATTAGTTGACTGTTGTTAGAATTTTAATTTTGTTTTTTATTGTCAAAATGTAGCACAAAATGTCTTCATTGGAGACCAGCATCACTACATTTACAGTTTATAATAAACCTGTTCCTGTATCTGTTTTATAAAGAAAATTCTAGGAATTGCTAGTTTGAACTAGTTTGCAAATTATGCTGCCTCTGCACAGAAAGGGGTACCTTTATACAATTACAATGTCCCTCTCTTCATTTGCATTTTCCTGTTTGAATGTTGTTAATTTTGGATGTCAGGAAGGTTAATTCCATCAAATTCTGTTACCTATTTTGAGTTTCATAAGTATGGGCAATGTAATTCCATAAGATTTGTATGCAGATTGATATGTACTTGTACATAATGGCAATTCATGGAAATTGTTCTAACTGATAATTTTACTCTTACTTCATGTAGGTTCATTGTTGCACTTGATTAAAGTTAAAGTAAACTATTGTGCACACAGCCACACACCCATTTACTTTCATAAATAATTTTATGCATAGGACATTGACATCACAGCATCTGCAAGTGGGCGTGGCCAGGTAACCCTGGGTGACTCGGAAGGCAATCTCTTGTTCCTTGACCGTAACCTGGAGCTGGATGGTTTCAAGGCCTATGAGCTGAGGGTGACTCACATCCACCAGCTCAAGCAACACAACATCATCTTCACCATAGGGGTAATTAATGTATACACATTGGAGAAATGTATGAGGAGGAGAAGGATATGGAAGGAGGAGGAGGATGAAGATATTGATGATGGAGAGAGAGAGGTAGAGGAGGAAAGAAAGGAAAGAAAGAGACAGAGAGAGGGGGAGAGAGAGTGAGAGGAGGAGGAGAGAGAGAGAGAGAGAAGGGGCGAGAGCAGAGAGAAGCGGGAGAAGAAGAAGAGAGAGAGAAGGGGCAAGAGCGGAGAGAAGCGAGAGAAAAAAAAGAGAGAGAGAAAGAGGGGGCCAGAAATGGGAGGGGGGGGGGATATTTAGGAGAAATTAAACAGTTGTGAATTGTAAGAGGATGAGTAGGAGACATGCCAGTTAATTCTTGAAGATGTTGTCACAAGTAAAAGAATTTTTTTTTTTCTGTTTTAACTTGTTTGACACAAAGAAATTATAGTGATAATGATATCAACTGCTGAATATCACCAGATGTACATGTAGGTGTTATGATAACACATATAGTAATGCTGAATTAAAATTGTTAATTATGTAATTTGCTTTTTTTTTTGTACAGACTAGGTGGAACTTTTAAAATAGATTATCCATATTAGTCTTTTAAACTTTTTATGTTTATTTTCTTGACATTTTTAGCAAGATGAAGCTGGGACCAACCCCGTCATTAAAGTATGGAATCTAGACAAGGTACAGTAATAGTTTCAATGTCATATGCTCAAAGAAAACTGCATCATTTTGTTATCTCTTTAGAAGTATAAATTCAGATTGTTCCCTTTTTTGGTATCTTTATGTGACTATATGCAATATTATAGGATTTAAATGAATTAGATAATTTGAAATCACTCCCTTTGTTTAAAATGGGAGATTTATATGAGTAAGTTTTCCTTTTGCATAATATATATATTCTAAACAAGCAATTTACTTTGTATTATACTGTACTGTTGGAAATTATAATACTTTAAGTAATCAATATATTGTGTTATTACATACCGGTAAGATGAATTTGCTTTAGACTTACCAAATGTATTGAAAGGTACTGCAAAAAATGTATTCCGGCTGAAATTTATTTTATTCATGTACATGTATGTATTTAGTTGACAAAATATTAAAACCAAGCTGTTATTTTCATCCTTTTCACAAGAAAATGGGAAGGATGTCTGCTAGAGTAGCTGAGGAAATGGTGAAAGGATTTGAATTACAATTAATTTTCTTCATCTAATTTGTAGCGTGACAAGTCCAACAACCCGTCATGCAGCAGGATAACCCGTGCTCTGCCGGGCAGCAACGCAACGGCCAACGTGACAGCCATAGCAGTCAGCGAGAACCTCAACATGATGGCCATTGGGTTTCAAGATGGTGCTGTGACGCTCTTCAAGGGAGATGTGACCAGGGATAGGTAAGAATGGATGGTGATTGATGATGATGATGATGATGATGATGATGATGGTGATGATAATTATGATGGTGGTGATGATGATGATGATGATGGTGATGATAATTATGATGATGGTGATGATAATTATGATGGTGGTGATGATGATGATTATGATGATGATGATGATTATGATTATGATGATGATGGTGGTGGTGATGATAGTGATTATGATAATTATGATGATGATGATGATGATGATGGTGATGACAATGGTGGTAGTAATGAAGGTACATTTACACGTAGTAGCACTATCTGTCATGGTGTTTAGGTTTAGGGTCATGATAATGGCTGTTGGGTTTCAAGATGGTACTGTGATGCTCTTCAAGAGTGATGTGACCAGAAATAGGTGAGATTAGATGATAATGATGATAGTGATGATGATGATGGTGACGATAGTGGTGATGGCTGATGCATGATGAGGATTATTTTTATAATCATAGTGATGATGATGATGGATGATGGTGTCAGCGAATGAGGATACTGATAATCATAATGCTACTGTTGATCTTATTAATGATTATGATGATGATTATGATGAATGAGGATGATTATTATGATAATGATGGTGGTATTAGAGATAGAAATGTTTGTAATGGTGATGAAGTTAATGATGATGTGATGTTAAGGATGATGAATGCACATTGTATTCATATCCACTCAAATTCTGTTTTTCTTTTTTCTTTAAATGCTACCATTAATAAAACATTTAATTTCCTTTCCATTTGTATACAAAGCATTTTTCTATGAGATGAAGAATGAGTGGATCATTGGATCATAAATGTTTTTGTGACATATATGGTAGTGAACATGTATCAATCAAATGATAGCAGGAAATGTGGTCGTTCCAAAATATCTATCAATTTAACCCACTGACTACTGAATTATCTAATTCCTGAGCAGACCTGCCAACCAGTACGATTTAGTTGTATTAAGTACGATTTTCAGAAGCAAATACGACAGTACGATTTTCCTCAATAAAATATGATTAAAAAAAAACTAAAAAATAAAGTTTTTTATTTTTTATTATTTTTTAAATGTTTTTATATATTTTTTTAAATAAATATTTTGTGTGTGTGTGTGCCAACATGGCAAAATGCCCATTCTGTCCTATAAAGTATCCTACAAGCATCTCACATCGGCGATTTGAGGATGTTCATTGGTTCATCGAACACAGCGGTCGTGAGGAAATTATGCATATCCAACCAATGATCCATAACAAAAATTCTTCCTGTATGTACTATGTAGGAACTGTAAGAAACATTGATCCACATAACAGTCTGTGTTTATTTTTAAGAATACAACTTTTGGGACTCCAGAGGTTGGTAGGTCTGCCTTAGGCTTAACACAGGGACCATCCAGTTCCAGTAAGCAATGGGTTAACAATGAATGCTCTAATTCCCATATCTACTTGATACAACAGACACAGCAAGTCACCCAAGGTCGTTCACAAGGGTCGTATGCAAGTCACAGGTTTGGCATTCAGACACACTCAGCGAAGTAACGTTCTCTTTATCTCCACTGAAAACGCTGTCATAGCTTGTCACATCGGCGCCAAGGATGTCCGTACAGTAAGTATAGCAATTGGCAGATGATGTAATGGTGATGGTGATGGTAATGATGATAGTGATCATGATGATGACGAGGGTGATGGTGTTGATGGTGATTATGATTGAAAATGATGATATCGATGGTAATGATGATGGTGATTGTAATGATGATGTGATTGTGATAATAATGGTAATCATGAATTTAACATTATTTAAGGTTTGCATTACTCAAGCATGTCTTTGAGTATAAAAAGGATCTATTTCAAGAACAAGCATTTTTATTGCAAATTTACTATTACTCCTGAGTTCAATGTTCAATGAAATATGTTTGTGTACTCAGATTGATGGGTGACACCTTTTCCAAAGTTAAATGTTACAAACTTAAAATCATTTTGTTGTATTGAGACAAAAAGATCATGATAGTGATAACAATTAGATTCTGTAATATTTTGTGCATATCACAAATGGAGCAATCTCTTTCTGCACCTGAATACTTTGGAATCTTTACCTCAGCTCTTGCTGTTATTATTGCTGCTGTTTCTGTTGTTGTTGCTGTAAATGAATACAAAGAGACCATCTCGCTGCCTAAATATCAGGTGATGGTTGTCCAAATATTGAATAAATTTGTTCGAATATTTAAAAATTGAATAGAGGGAGGGGTGGGGCTGCAGGTCAAGGGGGATGAAGTGCAACAAAGTACAGTCAAACTGCTTAAGTGACCACCTGTCTACAAAGACCACATTTTGTGTTTCCCTTGGGCGGTCGTTATAGACAGGTTTGACTGTATTTACAAAACTGCATGTACTTTTCTCTCTCTCTCTCTCTCTCTCTCTCTCTCTCTCTCTCTCGCTCTCTCTCTCTCTCAGGAAACCTTGGACAACCATGGTTGTTCATCTCACTGTGCAGTCATCAGTGATACAACGCAAGACAATCAGTTTGTCATTGGCAGAAACGATGTAAGTGATGCTCTCACTTGAACTTCAGAATTTAGCATGTACTCTGCAATTAGCCAGGAGTCACTGTAACAACTCTTGCTTTTATAGCCTTGAAAGCATTGATTTCTTTCCGTAATGATCAAGAGAAGCATGAATCCTTTTTTTAATAAATATTGATAACCAACTCCACTTTCTTATGCAGAGTAGAATGTCATAGCATTTAAAAAACATATCTTATTGAAATTATGAAGAGAAGCTGACAGTGTATGAAACATAAAATTTGAGATCTTTGCTTTAATACCAATTTAACTGAAAACATTCAGATAGTCATGATATTGATCTTGTGCAATTACTACTCTATCAAAATCAATATAGGACCTACTGCTTTTATGTGTATTGATATCATTTTGAGTGCAGAGGTATTCTCAGTACAAGTCAATGCACAAAACATGAATAACGTGCACATTATTTGTAAAGTAATTTATTCCAAAATTTTAAAGGCACAGATCAAAAACTGGTATCTTATTTGCTTTTAGGCGGTGTACTTCTACCAGCCAGATGGGCGTGGCCCTTGCCTGGCATTTGAGGGGCGCAAGACCATCCTTCATTGGTTCAGAGGTTACCTGGTGGTGGTAACCAAGGATAGCAAGACAATACCAAGACAGATAGCAGGGTGAGAGTCTGAGAGATGGATGGATGTATAGATGGAAAGATAGATACTATAGATAGGTAGATTAAAGGATGGGTAGATAGCTATAGATAGATAGATAGATAGAAAGATAGATAGATAGATAGATAGACAGACAGACAGACAGATAGACAGACAGATAGGCAGACAGATAGATATAGAGATGAATACGTAGATAAATAAGATATCGACATATATATATATATTAAATAGTGTTCTCGTTAAATCTGATAAGTATTACAAATACAGATATGGTTAGATTTCAATAGATAGGTAAGTATATAGATATATAGAAAGAAATAAAGACAGAAAGATAAATGGAGTGGTGTAAGACCATTTTAAAAAACATACTCCATTGTGGTTTGGAGGATATTTGTTGATGGTAGCTAAAGATAGCAAAACCATACCAAGACAAATTTCTGGGTGAGATTTTTGATAGATGGATAGCTAGACAGACAGACAGACAGACAGACAGAAAGACAGAAATATAGATAGATAGATAGGTAGATAGATAGATAGGTAGATAGGTAGATGGATATGCAGATAAATAGATGGCTAAACAGACTGACAGATAGACTGACATATAGATGGATAGACATAGTAAATAGTGTTGTGGTTCAATCTGACGAGTACTAAAGATGTATGATAAATTATTTACTATTTCAAATACGTGAACAATGGATTATGAATACTTAAAAGAAATTGTTGGTTGTGCTGCACAGTGAGGTGAGCATCATAATGTTATAAATTTGGTGTAAAATAGTTGTTTATGGCATTATTCTTATCCTGAATTTTTCTTCCAAACATGCAGAGAAGGCATGTCCAGGATGATGGATACTGTTACAGTCTACGACATCCAGAATAAGTTCATAGGTAAGTTATCAAAATTTGAAGTGGTTATTCATGACAAAGTTAGGACCATGCAGTAATGAATGTGCACTCATACGTAATTTAATGGAGAATGTTTGAAATGCAGCCTTGGACTTGGTTTGATTATCACTGATATGCATGTATTTGCAATGATTGCCCATAAATTAGTCTGTTGCTTTTAAAATAATTAACTTTTTTGACATGCCATTTATTAGCCAATTTTTAAAAAATTTAGATTGAGGGGGTATGGGATAACACATACTGTCATGAAACTGTCTATCGAGTTAGGTTCCTGTACCTGTGTCTAGTTACATTATCGAGCTGTAGTTTAAACCAAGGTAAAAAGAAGGTGAGTACAATTTTAAGATGGCTAGTGTTTTTTTAAATTCTGCTTTATCCTTATTTTTCCTTCAGCTTATTCTGCACCTGTACCAGAAGTCCTGGACATCATTCAGGAGTGGGGCTCCCTCTATGTCCTTGGTGGAGACAGGAAAGTAAGTACTGTACATGTTATTGTTGAATCTAATTGTCAACCATGAAATTAGTTAGTAGTAAAGATCATCCACTCTTTCTATGAGAATTGATCATAATGATATCATCTCATTGTTTGTACAGATATCCGCTGTATGAATAGCTAATACATGCAATGTCGGATTTCTTTTATATGCAACAGATATTAACTGATGCCACAGACCGATATTGTCGATGAATACATGTTTCGTTTACATGAAAATAAAAATGAAGTCCCAAATACATAATTTTCTCGAGCTGTATAGAGAGAGGCATTTATAATCCAACTGCTCTAACTTTAATTCTCTTGTGTTATTATAGCTTTTTTTTGTGTCAATGTTGTTCAAGATAGATATTTTGTTTCCTTTGCAGCTGTATCAACTCCAAGAGAAAGACACTCAGACCAAACTTGAGATGTTGTTTAAGAAGAATCTGTATGTCATGGCCATCAAGTAAGTACCACATATCTATTTATTTATATTTTAATATATATTGGTATATGAGAACTGACCAGCAGCGTTGGCTGAAGGGGTCAGTTTACAAATTACTATACATTGCACCAGTGGGCATACACACTTGATGTCAAAGTAATAAGGAAAGAGAGATAAAGGTATAGAGGGAAGTAGCTGAGGTGAGGAAGAGAGGGAGAGAGGCAGGGGGGGGGGGTGAGGAGGAACAACATCAAGAAAAGGAGGGGTAAAAAGATGTGAATACTAATATGAGGGGAAAGATAAAAGGTGAGGAGAAATCGAGCCGAGAGTGAGAAAGAGAGAAATGTTGAATGGTTTTCAGAAAAAGATATCAAATATGGATTTTGTGTGTAAAGTGTAGTCATATTCAGTTAGTAGGTCTTTTTTTTTGCATCTCACATAGGCAAATTAAGACTAACTGTATATACAAATTGCGAATTAAAAAAATAAAGTATCATGACAAATTACATTACCAAATGTCCTTGCAAATTACGCAAGTGTTAACAATAATTTTCCCAACGATTCATGCATGTTTTGATAGAAATTAATACCAGTTATCCTTACAATTGATATGTTTTCAAATTTCCTTACAAATCATAATTTGAATGTCAAATGCCCTTCCTATCCTTTTCAATTTTTTATAAATTTCACATGATTTAACACCAAATGTCTTTACAAATTACGTATGTATGTATTTATTTTGATACGCAGCCTTGCCAAGAGCCAGCATTACGACTACGATGGACTGATTGACATCTTTACCCAGTATGGCGATCACCTGTACAGCAAGGGAGATCATGATGGAGCAATAGCACAGTATAAGAAGACCATAGGGAGACTAGAACCATCATATGTCATCAGAAAGGTGAGAGAATGTGGGATGGTGATGGTAGTGGTAGTGATGTAGGTGGTGATGATGGTGGTGGTGGTGGTGGTGATGATGTTGGTGGTGGTGATGATGATGATGATGATGGTAGTTATGATGATGATGGTGATGGTGGCAATGTTGATGATGATGATGATGATGATGATGATGATGATTATGTTGTTGACGACGATGATGTTGATGATGATGATGATGATAATGATGATGATAATGATGATGATAATGATGATGATAATGTAGGTGGTAGTTATGATGATGATGGTTAGCAAGGGAGACCATGATGGAGCCATAGCACAGTACAAGAAGACTTTAGGTAGACTGGAACCATCACATTTCATAACAAGGGTGAGAGGATGTAAGATCGTCGTGGTGATGATGTTGGTTTTCAAAGTGATGGTGGTGATGTTGATGATGGTGGTGATAATGGTGTTCATGATGATTATGAGCAGCAGTACAAGAAGAGATACTGGAACAATCGGTTGTCCACAGGAAGGAGGTAAGATGGAGGTGGCGGGAGAGATGAAGCTGGTGGTAGCGATGATGATGATGGTGGTGTTGGTGATGGTTGTGTTCTGGAGGTTATGATGGTTATGGTAATGTTGGTATGACGGTGATTTTGATGATTTGAAGGAGGAGGAGGGGGAGGGGGGACTGAAAGATTTGTGTTAGGAAAATATTTTTGGCCTTACATTTAGATACATTCATAAACTTGTTTATCCAGATGCTCTATCAAATTATCACTTCTTTTTTTCTCCCTTCCATCCTACTCTAGTTCCTTGATGCTCAGCGGATACACAACCTGACAGCCTACCTTCAAGAGCTTCATAAGCAGTCCATAGCAAATGAAGATCACACTACTCTCCTACTCAACTGCTACACCAAGCTCAAAGATACAAACAAACTAGATGAATTTATCATGGTACGTCAAACTTACACTTTACTTGCAAATTACAATCTTTCAGTAGTAGGAGAAGTAGTAGATGCTATTCTTTTACTTGTGCAATTAAGAGCATGCAATTTTATCTAATTCTAATTCTTCTCTCTCTCTTTCTAGACAAAGGACAAAGATGTTGACTTTGATGTGGAAACAGCTATGAAGGTATGTTCATAAAACACTTGTCATTTAATTCAGTATGATGTCACATACAGATTCAGTAACGGTTATCCCCCACAATGGAGTGTTCTGAAAGTGAACAAAGTGTAGTTGTGCTTGGGATAAGTTCCATGCAAATGAAGAAAAACAAGTGTCTTGAATGCAAAGGTGTCTAGTTTTACAGTATTCATACCCTGGATTGCTTTAGTATTGATGACTATCTCCATGAATGCTATACTTGATCATTTCCCAGGGGGTTGTTTCACAAAGATCCTAAATCAAACTTAACTCTGAGTTGGACTTGAAAAATATGGAGAGCCAATTGTAGTCTTAAAATAAAATATAATTCAAAGCGAAAATTCAAATATTTAGACTTTTTATAAATTCCACTTAAAGAACATGAAATCTCCTTGATAATAGAAAATATGAATGATTTAAATCAACAATTTTATGCCTTATAAGATAACTTTACAAACTATTTTCATATATGCTAACGGCTTTCCATAATTGTTAAGTCCAACTTAGAGATAAGTTCAACTTAGGATCTTTGTGAAACACCCCCCAGGTATGCAGACAAGCTGGTTACTTCAAGCACGCCCTCTTCCTAGCCGAGAAGCACATGCAGCACGACTGGTATCTCAAAGTACAGCTAGAAGACATCAAGGACTACCAGAAGGCTCTCAATTACATCACCACTCTGGAATTTAATGAGGTATGATTAACAACAACTTTGACAAATGTAGATTTCACATGATTGATGGGGAGGGGGGGGGGTAGGACTGGGGAGGTAGAGGGAGTTTAACAAGCCCCCCTCACCTCTTTGTATCATTATCCTGCGATAAGAATATATTTGGAGACTGTTTTAACCTTTTCAAGGGTTGGTAAATTCAACAAAAACAACAACAAAAGGTAATTCTGTATCCAGTTACTTCTGTCTTGCCGTAATTTAGAACGGTGTTATTTATTTTGATGGATCTTATATTCATCACTCCTTAGATAGAAATGAACATGAAAAAAAAGAGTAAATAAACCTTTGTCTTCTGAAACCCGATTTGATTCAAGGAAGACATTTTGCATTTGGTTCACTCAGTGTCAAATTAGAATATTGCACCTTTCTAGAAAAATGATGGAACTTGGTAGCAGTTGACATCATGTGGGATTCATGAATGTTTTCTCTGCAACATTACCGTTAGAAATATTGTTTACAGTACTCTTGATATACTTAAAAATGACAATAAAGATGTCTGTAGTGGATGTCTCTCCATTGTCCCCCTAGCTTTCTTTACCTTGAAAAGTGATTCACAATACACCCCTTCACAGTTAAGGCCGCCATTTTAATTTGCGAGAAAACATTGCGTCATCGATGCTTTCAGACGCGTATGTATTGTTGCGTCACTGCCTGCGCTGCACGCTTACATCGTATTGACACATGCGCTTTATTTGCATGCTGCATAAAATCAAAGTTACTCGCAATTAAAAATGGCGACAACGGCGCATGCACACTTTTGTAAACGTGAAAGGGTGTATTAGCTCCATGTGATTTTGGGCCACTCAAGCAAGAATACTCCAAGAGGTCAGTTGAGCCAAGGAGAAAACCCATATTCTGTAGCTAAAAATAGATTGACTTCAGGAGTTTCTTGAACTGGTCCACAGATGGAACTGTCTTTGGGATTGGTGGTGGTGATTAGAAAGCATAAATGCTTGTTATTAAGCAACCAGAGGACCGGCGGCTTTAGGTCCACTCTGAGGGACCTGGTAATGAGGATTAATGCCTTTAATACCAAAGAGCACCAGCGTATCGACTTGGCTTCGAACCAGGGTCGCCGGATTACAAGACCACTGCTCTACCTACTGAGATTGCAGGTAGCTAGTTTCACATATTTTCAATTTCATTTCATTTCCTCCTTCTACCCTACCCTACCCTACCCAGGCAATGGACAACATCAAGAAATATGGCAAGATCCTGATGACAGAGGTACCCAAAGAGGCCACAGACTTCCTCAAGGTCCTGTGCACAGACTACAAGCCTGCTGACAGTAAGTACACATTGTGTTGAACATCATGATCTTAAAGGGATTGGGTAACTTTGTCTCAGATCCTTTAAAAAAATCCTTGATTTAGCTCATGCTGCAATCATAATTATAAACCTTTAGCGCATACATGAATTCCATGACATTTACAAGCCGATCGCTTGTCTGATTATCAAGATATTTATGAGTGGAAATTGAAATCAAATTTTGCGTTCTCCTAACGGTTTTTATAACACTACAGTCTTTTGGGGAAAATGAGTATGGTAAAACAGGTCACTCAAACACTTTTACTTTTTTGAGGAACTTCATGATCATTTTGAAGCGCAATTTTTTTAGGGCTTCAATATTACTCTATATCACAAACACTGATAGCACGTAGGGCCATGCATCTCAGATTTAACATTGTTAAACGATGCCTTTAATATCATGTGTCAAGTCTTGGTCACACCTTGGGAGTGTTTCACAAAGACTAAGATCGACTTTGAGTTGTACTTAAATAGGGCAGGCTGTTCATGCCACTGTTTGCTCTCACCATTTACTGGCATTTATCTCTCAAGGGACGGCATACAAATCATGGTCACAAATCTACAAAATTTACATTTTTTGATAGTTCATTATTGAAGGAATTTTAAAAATCTAAAGATCATAATGGTGAGAGCAACCAGTGGCATGAATGGCCTGCCATAGTCAAGTCCAACTTAAAGTCGATCTTAGTCTTTGTCAAATACTCCCCTGATGCTGTCAACTGCTAAAATAAACACTGACACAAAATAAAATTGGAACCGGGTGGCTCCTATATCAAACCTATAAGAAATATGAGAATTCAGTAGTAAATGGGTTAACATCTATTTTGTGACAAGAATTGAAGTCAATTTGAGAGCTTGCCATTAAATCTTCAGATAAGGGGTATACATGACAGTGTGCTCAATTTGCAGAGATACTATTCAGTGTGCTGCCCTCTTTGTAACTTTTGAAAAATGTAAGATCTTACAAAAAGCATTCATTACTTTACAGCTTTTGATTAAATCCTTGTGAAATTCTAAAGAACTTCAGGAGATACTACTACTATAGTAACCATGAAGTTTAATCGACGATGGTTGAGTACTTTCAGGATGCTGCCAATCGAAATCTCATTCCCCCCTTTTTTTTTGGGGGGGGGGAGGACGCCCTGTAGACGGTTAGAAGAATTAGCCTATATTTTACAAAGCATGTATGCTGATCAGGGGCAATTAAAATTGAACTCACAATGTTTGTTTCACAGCCCAAGAATCCATGACATCATCCGATAGTGAACATTCCAATGGTAATTGATTCAAGCATGGAATGATTGCACGGAGATTGAAAGAATGTTATTTACCAGATTTTGTTCTGCATGAATATCTACCACAGATGGACTTATGTTAATGCCTGTATATTTCTCTCTCTTTGTGAATAACATGTACCTGTAACAATAGTTGATAAATGCATTACATGTACAATGTATCTGTGCACAATGAATAGTTTCATAACGGTAGTCAAAATGTGTATTTTTCACCTGTTTGTTTTGTTGCATTGGATTCATAAAATTGAAGATAAATCAAAAATTGTGTATACCATCTGAGTTCTGATGCATGTTTAATAGTGAAGATGCATAATAGTAAATTGATTGTTATGTCAACTGATGCAGACATTTCCTAAAATCATCACGCAAGGGAGGTATGATAGATCACCAATACAACGCTGCGTGCTTTCAAAGGACTACACTTATTAAAGGAATTTTGGCACAGACAGGGCCCCATTTGAGACTTGATGACTAAACACCTGTTAAAAAATGAAGGGAAAGTCCTTCTTATTACACAAATTTAGATAGTGACTTTAAACAGGACATTCAGGTGGTGTGAATTGTTTAAAGTGCACTGAAAGGGTTAGGGCTTAGATGTTTTGATGCATGCTGGCTTTGAAAGATTTACTTAGATCTTACCACTACTGAGTAGTCTTCTTCGTGTACCACAGTGTAAGGGGTTCCTTGGTGCGGACAGAGTCTTGATGCTGTATTGACTCATTGAATACAGGAACTGGGAGGATCCTGTATCAACTTAGCCTATGGGAATGAGCAGATTCAGTAGTCAATGGTTTTAATAATCTTAATAATGAAACTAGGCTAATTATGAATACACAATACAGTTGCACCATGTGAGAGAGGGGGGGGGGGAGGGTTGGAGAGTCCTGAAAAGGACTTTTGGTAATCTTTCTTGAGCTTATAATTCTAAAGAGAACTAGATTTTAATTCGTCACTTTGATGATTTAGGTGATACGTATGCTATTTTTTTTATCATGAAAGTGTGCCGATGATGATCTAATGATAATGTTCATAAATACGATAATGACGATATTGATGATGATGATTTTGGGGTTTTAAATGATGATGACCATGATTAAAAGTGGTATAGCGCCCCCTTCAGGTATTTGATAGAGAATTGTAGAATCAGAATTTCAGAAAAAGCAATTAAAAATTTTACGCGGACGTACGTGAAAGCACATGTTAGTGCGCATTTATTGACCTGAAATTGACCGGACAGATATTGACCTTGATGATGATAAATATATATGAGAAATGACTTTCCGTTTATGAAGATATGATCATGAGTGGATTTTCACAAAATGGCGCCTAGATGACGTCACGATGACCTTGATTCACTGAAAAGTCACGCAGTTCTAAGTTAGACTAATATCTATCATCATGGCAAGCTTCATGATAATGGCTTTATTAAGTCTTGAGATATCCTGCAAACAAATTTGAGGAAGAATAATATTAAAAATAAATAATAATAAAGAAAAATCTTGACAAAATCAAAAGGTGATACGTCTACATGTACGTACGTATCACCTAACTATAGATACAATCACTATACAATCTCTTGTTCTCCTTCCTTTCCTTCCATTCACAATAGGGCCCCTAGTTGACCCCTCCACCCTCTCAGGGGGGATGCCCCCTCCCATCCAGAGGGCCTCAGTAGAGGAGTTCATCCATATCTTTGTCAACAACTCAGCACAGCTCATGGAATTTCTGGAACATATGATCAAGGTAAGAGTATTCCAGTATTGTGGTGATGCTGATGATTCACGACATATATATCAAGCCATATTTCTGTTAATGAAATATCTAAAGGCGCAGGCTCCTCCATTGAAGTTGGTATGTTCACATTTACCGAAATAAGGGGAGTTTTGAGGCATGATATAAAGTGTTTTTAGAGGTAGGAAGCGACTTCCACATACGATGCATAGAGCAATGGATGGGAAGGTATATGGTCTCCTCCATATCTCTAGTATGTGTTATGATTACCCGGAGAGTGAGACCTTGGCCCCATTTCACAAAACTTGTCATCAGTGACAAATGACAGTTTTTGTTATAAGCTAGTGAAATCCTTGCTTCTGATTGGTTATTTGCAGATTTTGTCACTGATTTTTGTCAATTGTCATTGAAAAAAGGCTTTGTGAAACGGCCCCCTGATGAGTGCAACCCAGGACAAAGATGACGCTGTTCAATGAGGGAAGCCATAAATCTTTATAAATTAAAGGCCATCTGTACTAGTTTGGCTAGGAGGGATTAGACCACCCAGGGAGGTCACTGACAGGTGGCTATCTCATCAACTCAGCTCTCAATTAACATCAGAAAAAAAGGATCATGGGGGACCAATGGTCACCGATTAGGCATTGTTTTCTATATAGAGGGCGCAAGTAGATACAAGTAGTACAGTGTGGCTTTAAACTTTCCTTGCATTCTTCGTGATTTTCTTGTTTTTCTTGATCAGGTCCAGACAGAGTCGTCCAGTCAGATCTACAACACTCTGCTGGAGCTCTACCTCCATGACATGGCTCACGAAACAGAGAAGCGCCCTCGCCTGGAGCTCGAGAGGAAGGCCATGGCATTGCTGCAGACGGGAGAAGTAAGAATTCCATTAGTGGGAAAGACGATTGGGGGATGGGCAATTTTTAGTCGATGGTCGATGACATACTGGTAAAGTTTTTCCTTTCCCATGGTACTGTACCCACACACAGACATGCAAGTGGATGCATTTTAAAGGTAAAGACCAGTATTGGAAACGCCCCAATTTCAAAAAATGAAATGGAAGCTCTCATTACCAATCATGTGAAAAAATATGTTTTGACTAATACATGATGATAAAAAATTTGCCGGGAAACCGCCTACTAATTCATATATTTGGTAAATTTGTTTCTCTCATGGTCTGTGAGAGATATAGGGTAGTCCCATATACATCTTTCTGTGTATAGTGCTTGTAACTTTACGAAGAATGGGCCAAATTTCTTATCATTTTGATGATTCCAGAACCTTGCAGATGCTAGATGCTAGATGATCAACCTTTTCTGATCGATTCCACAACGTTTCTTTCACAATGCAATCGCATGACCATAACTGGTCTTTACCTTTAACATTACAGGGCCCTGTTTCAAAAAAATTGGTATCAACAACAAGTTACAGTAACTATTATAAGCTACTGAAATTTCAGCTTTTTATTGGCTAAAGGCAAATTTTTCATAGATATTTAGCGTTTGTTATTGATCACAAGTTTATGAAACAGCGTCCAGCTTCACTCTGTATTTGAGCTGCCAAAATTACATGTAAAACCATAGAGTGATTCTCTGTAGTCAGAATCAACATCATTGGTCTTTTTGTGTTTCTTGTATGCATTTGTACTGTCATGTATCCTAATATGTGTTCTGTGAACTTTTCATATTTCTCTGACAACAGACCAGATACGACATAGACCAGGCTCTTGTTCTTTGCCAGATGCACAGTTTCCAGAAAGGAATACTTTATCTGTATGAAAAAGCTCAACTGTAAGTTTTCATTTTGTTTGGTCTCAAAAAAAAAATCATAAACTGATGAATGTATACTTACTTTGGTTGCCTCTTTTTCTCTCTTTCTTGCCCTCATATTCTCTTTCTGTCTTTTGCTCCTTTTTTGTCTTTCACACTCTCTCTCCCTCATTCTATCCCTCTTTCTCTGTCTCTGTTTATCTCTCTCTCTCTCTCCCTCTCATTCTCTTTCTATCTTTAACTTTTTGTCACACTCTATGTGGTCCATTCTATTCCCCCCTCTCTCTCTCTCTCTTATCTTTCACTCCTTTTCTTTCTTTCACGCTCTATCTATGTGACTCATGCTATCCCTCTTTCTCTATCTATCTCTTTTCTCTCCTCTTCTGGTGACGGGAGACATGTAATAAAAGGTAATACAAAATTCTAGATCTAAATTTTAAAACCTTGCAAGCAGAGATTTCCTAGAATGATATTCTAGATACATACTCATACAAGTCATGTATATGTGGAGATTTTTCAAACAGGAAAGAAATCAAACAAATGTATTTTTAACATAGTTACTTTTATTGAGATTGTGATCTATCATTATTAAAAGTTTGTCTCTCCTATGTTTAATACAGCTACCAACAGATACTCCACTTTCACATGGAGCACGACAGTTACGATCAAATCATTGAGGATTGCAAGAGATACGGGTAAGAAATACATGTACATGAATAAACAGTTCATAGAAAATGTTAAGACAATGAATTAGTTTTAATCTTGCAGTTTATGTTTAGTTGTAATGATAATGCATGTTTTAACTACATTTTCTTTTTATTAGAGTACGGAGATCTCTTACTGTACTAATCTACCTGAAGAAATTAACCAGATTTCTTTCATTGAAGAGCTTTAATAGAGATATTTTGAGATAAAATTCAAAGTAATTCAAGGATTTGAATAAAAAAAGGCTATGAATGTAGCTCACCTGCATTTTTTGTTTGTCCCTTTAAAAGAGTAAAGAAGTTTAAACTGTAATAAATTGAGTCACAACAGTATATGAAATATGAATCTTAAGAGTGTTCCCATTAATCAAATCTTACTCTACACTGTGTGTTTGTCCTACCCCAGGAACCAAGATCCTAATCTGTGGGTACAGGCCCTCTCCTATTTCGCTGCCAAGGAAGAGAATTGCAAGCCGTACATCGTAGAAGTCCTCTCCCAAATTGACCGAAGGAATCTGCTGCCCCCTCTGTTGGTGATCCAGACGCTGGCCCACAATTCCACAGCCACACTGTCGGTCATAAAGGTATGTGAAGGAGATCTTGTCATAAATGAAATGAATGTGTAAGCACCATTAATTTTTTTTTTTTTTTTTTTTTTGGGGGGGGGAGCCGCGATATAACATTAATGAAGTAAGTCAAGACAATATTTAAATTCCAGTGTAATCATATCTGTCAATAAACATAGGAATATTATAGCAAAATCAAGGCTTCAACCCTTGAAGGTTATGCACATTTTAGTAAAGAATTGTTAAGTATGCAATAGTAGCTGCAATTGTAATATTGATGATAATATCCTTGTCTTGTCCCTGGATTACTAGGATTATATTGTAAGACAACTTCAGCAGGAGAACAATCAGATCACGGACGATGAGAGACTGATCAAACAATGTAGGGAAGAGAGGAAGAAGACAAGGAGATGAAACAAAATTGCAAAATTTGTGGAAACCCTCATGAAAGTAAAAGCTTGTACAGTAGCTTCAATCATAATTTTGACAATAATTCTCTTGTTCTGGCCCTTTATTTCTAGGATTACATTGTAAGACGACTACAGCAGGAGAACGATCAGATTGCTGATGATGAGAGACTGATCAAACAATATAGGGAAGAGACTAAGAAGATGAAGAGCCAGATCGAAGAGATGAAAACAAGGTGAGAGTCACGCTTCTAAAGCATTAGATTGCAAAATATGTTTAGAATATCTTATTGGCTAGAAGCTTGCTCCATAAAAGTTTGATTCCTATATAGTTTTGAAATGTGGTAATTGACAATAAGGAAGTATCAAGACATTATTTATTTTGTTCACAAAGTACATATTTATTGTGTTTTTAGATAATCTGATTTTCACAGATATTCAAAATACTTTGTAAGTATTGATAATGCAACGTGTTCTAATGGATACATTAAGTGATTGCAATGGTTTCCTTGAGAAGTCTTACACTCTATGTATTTGTCTCTCTGTATCTATCTCTGTCTCTCTCCTCCCCCTCTTCTTTCTCTCTCTCTCTGTCTCTCTCTCTCTCTCCCCTCCCTCCCTATTTTCCCTCCCTCCATTTCCTCCATTTAAACCCTCCTTCCCTCCCCTCCCATGCTGTTTCATCTCTCTTTCTCTCTCTCTCTCTGTCTCTCTCTGTCTCCAGCGCTAAGATGTTCCAGGTCTCTAAGTGCAGTGTGTGCAATCATCCCTTGGAGCTGCCTTCTGTTCACTTCCTCTGTCAACATTCCTACCATCAGCAGTAAGTACTTAAATTATCTAAACCTTTTTTCCCCTTCATTTCATATAGTTTAATATACTTGAACATGCAACTGTATTTGTCTTTGCTCAGGTAGCTCAGCGAAATGTATATACATGTAGTTGCTCAAGTAGCTCAGCATAATGTACATACATGTAGTTGCTCAGGCAGCTCAGTGAAATGTACATACATGTAGTTGCTCAGGCAGCTCAGCGTAATGTACATACATGAAGTTGCTCAAGCAGCTCAGCGAAATGTACATACATGTAGTTGCTTAGGCAGCTCAGCAAAATGTACATACATGTAGTTGCTTAGGCAGCTCAGCGAAATGTACATACATGTAGTTGCTCAGGCAGCTCAGCGTAATGTACATACATGAAGTTGCTCAAGCAGCTCAGCGAAATGTACATACATGTAGTTGCTTAGGCAGCTCAGCGAAATGTACATACATGTAGTTGCTTAGGCAGCTCAGCAAAATGTACATACATGTAGTTGCTCAGGCAGCTCAGCGAAATATACATACATGTAGTTGCTCAGGCAGCTCAGCAAAATGTACATACATGTAGTTGCTCAGGTAGGTCAGCGTAATGTACATACATGTAGTTGCTCAGGTAGCTCAGCGTAATGTACATACATGTAGTTGCTCAGGCAGCTCAGCGTAATGTACATACATGTAGTTGCTCAGGCAGCTCAGCAAAATGTACATACATGTAGTTGCTCAGGTAGGTCAGCGTAATGTACATACATGTAGTTGCTCAGGCAGCTCAGCGTAATGTACATACATGTAGTTGCTCAGGCAGCTCAGCGAAATGTACGTACATGTAGTTGCTCAGGTAGGTCAGCGTAATGTACATACATGTAGTTGCTCAGGTAGCTCAGTGAAATGTACATACATGTAGTTGCTCAGGCAGCTCAGCGTAATGTACATACATGTAGTTGCTCAGGTAGGTCAGCGTAATGTACATACATGTAGTTGCTCAGGTAGCTCAGCGTAATGTACATACATGTAGTTGCTCAGGCAGCTCAGCGTAATGTACATACATGTAGTTGCTCAGGCAGCTCAGCAAAATGTACATACATGTAGTTGCTCAGGTAGGTCAGCGTAATGTACATACATGTAGTTGCTCAGGTAGCTCAGTGAAATGTACATACATGTAGTTGCTCAGGTAGGTCAGTGTAATGTACATACATGTAGTTGCTCAGATAGCTCAGTGAAATGTAGTGGCACGAAAAGATGAGTCCTAAACACAAAATCCATAATTGTTGAAAGTTGTAATTTTATCACACAGAGGTATAGATCGACATCATAGACTTGGTAAATACATGTACTATCTTGATTAGGTTAAATGTTACCTAAGCTTACATTCAGATATGTAAAAAAGAACTTCTAACGAGCAAATACGAAAACAAACTAGATGGACCTTCGACCGCGCGCGGTCAAAAATGATGCCTCTGCCATGGAGCAATTTTACAAACCAAAACAGAAGCGAGCTATTTTTGCATACATAATGAGTCCTGTGACCTTTGACCTTGGATCTCGTGACCCCAAAGTCTAATCAGTTCATTGGCTCTGCAAGATACATCCATGACCCAAGTTTGGCGGGAATCCATCAATTGGTTCTTGAGATAACACGATCACGAGAACGGGATGTACGGTATGACGTACGGATGGACGGACGGACACCCCAAAAACATCATATGCCTCCGGCTAGAAGGCATAAAAAGCACATTTATTGTTTCCCTTGAATATGTTCTCTCATTGAAACATATAACATAGGCACCTGTCTTGGTTCAGGGAAAAAAAAACTTTTTAGTGCTGACTATCACCCCTGACTGTACAACTAATTATTAAAACTAAAGTAATAAAATCAACCTTAATCCTGCTTCCTTTGTTACAGTTGCTTTGAGAGTTATGCTGAGAATGAGCAGGAGTGTCCTGCATGTCTGCCTGAGAACAGGAAGGTTCTGGATATCATCAAGGCACAGGAGCAGAGCAAAGACCTCCATGAACAGTTTCATCGACAGGTTAGTAGACATTTTTCTTCTCACAATCACACCATTTCCCTTTAATAATAATAGATCACATTTATAACGCGCCTAATACATTGTTTCTAGGCGCTGTGGTGCTGTTGTCCCAGCAGCCATTAAGTGAAGCAATGTCCTTACACAAAATAAAAGCCGGAACTACAGCACCATGTTTACACAATATTATTCAGTACAAAATTACGGTATGTTACGCTATGTTATGTTACAAAATTACAGTTTGTTACAGATAAATTAATAAATCAACTTAATCTAACTTAAATTATGCTAAAGATGACTTATTTCATAACAAATAGTAGTACGACATCATTTATTTATTTTGACATGTTTAGAGAAGACAAAATTCATGATATGGATTTGAACAGATGGTGTTTTTAACATTACTTTGAAAGTGGATATAGAAGGAGCATTTAGGATGTAGGACGGGAGGCTATTCCACAACTGGGGGCAGCTACAGAAAGTTCTCTATCACCGTATCTTGTTTTCACAAGAGGGCCAGGAAGTATTACACTTATATACCATATTTCCAAGTGAAAATGGACGTGTTTAATTTTTACATTAATCTATTCCCAGAAACTAAACAACCACAAAAGCAGTTATTGAAACTGAAGCAGACATTTATTTTCGAATTCACCCAGAGGTAATGTCTTACAATTGATTGAACATTATATAGTTTATCATTTTGTGTCCTTGGGGAAAAGCTCTTTTAAATCCGATAATTATCGTAGCTGTTATCATCTGTATATATGCTTTACAAAGCTATGTTTTTGAGCTTTGGATTTCTATTGAATTTTTCAGAAATTAATACATTATAAAAGAATCATATTCTATTCAAAATTGTTCTTGTCTAATGTTTTTAACTTGTTCTCTCTTTCTCTTATGTCCATTATTATTGTTTTACGTAGCTGGAAAAATCTCAAGATGGCTTTTCAGTTGTAGCAGATTATTTTGGTAGAGGAGTTTTCAATAAGGTAAAGAAGTAACTTATTTAGTTTGAATGATGATTGTCATGCAATGTTTTTGTCAGAGAGGCAATGTTTGCATAGTTAGACCTTTATGAGTTATTATGTCAGTGTGGTGTAATGCAGTCTTTATGTTATCTTGTGAATATTATGTTCACATAACTGTCTAATTGTGAATGTGTTAGTATTATTATTATTTATTTATTGCAACCAAAACTTGAGGTTGGATTTGTATTTGGATGTTGTGCTGTGCAGTGCATTTTGTTGTCTGTTTCTGTAGACTAATGTACTCTTTCACTCATACTGGTAGACTTACATGTACATGCATTAATTTCCGCTGATTTTATACAGGCCATTTAATTAAGGCATTTTCAACAGCGGTAATAGGACCTCCATTATATTGTTCTGAATTTATTTCTCTATTTCCAAACATTCCTTTGAAGTGATATGAAGACATTTTTTTCTTCAAATTTAACAGATGTATATAGGATAATGAACATTTATTCTTCATATTAAAAAAAAAGGAACTTACATGCAAAGACATTTTTCATCCTAATTTACAAAGAACAGCCAATTTAACAGTCTTTATAGCCTTTGAAATCATAGTATATTGATTTGAAATATGCTAAGAGGGTTTAAACAGAAACAAAAAGAACTTGTTAATTCTCCCTGATCCCTCCTAAACTGTGTTTTACTGTTGTGATGTGTTTGTGTATACCCGTCAGAAGTCTCCTTAATCTTCTTCAATTCAGTCTCTAATCTTTCTTTCCTGCAGAGAAATCTGACTTAAAACAATAAAAAAGACGACTTTGATTAGAGACATTTTAAACAAGATTTAGTTTTTGAAAACGTTAACATTAACATTAAAGGCTTGTTCAGATACGGTGTGAATGGCAACTGCGTGCAAGGAAGGACTTGCGCGTATTAACTGAGCTCTGTGCTATAAGATACAGAAATGCGAAGCATACTATGTTATCATTAAAGTTAAGTTTTGCCGCGTCACATCTGAATAAGCCTTAAAGGTAAAGACCAGTTTTGGAAACCCCCCCTCTCAAAAAATGAAATAGAAGCTCTTATTACCAATCATGTGAAATAATATGTTTTGACTAATACGTGATGATACAAATTTTTCCGAGAAGCCGCCTACTAATTGATATATTTGGTAAATTAGTATATCTATTTGGACCTGATAGATATCGCGCACGTGTCATGTAGTCCCATATACATCTTTCTGTGTACAGTGCTTGTAACTTTACCAAGGCTGGGCCAAATTTCTTATTATTTTGATGATTCCCGAACCTTGCAGTACACACCAATACTTGTATGCTAGATGCTCAACATTTTCTGATCGATTCCACAACGTTTCTTTCACAATGCAATCGCATGACCAGAACTGATCTTTATCTTGTCCTTTAGCCTGTCCCTTTTTAACATTCTGTCTCTAATCTTTGTACTTGTCTTTCAATCTGTGTCATTGCATTGTCAGTTGATTGTGTCTTCTGCACCATTTTCCGACAACTCTGTGAACGATTCTGTTCCGTCTCAGACGTTGTCTTCACGCCCTGACAACCTTTCCTTCTAAAAGCATGAAACCAATCAGTTGCCTGCTGATTGCATTTTGTCTTTAGTTTGCATTCTTGTAAGTGTTGAGAGTCACCTCACGGTAAAGCACAGTTTTGGAAAGGGCCATGAAATAGGTTTCCTGTTGCATCTTAAAAAATAAAAAATAAATAAAAAATTTAATTATTAAACATTACAAATTTCATAAATTCATAAACAGTTCATAAATCCTTTACTTTTTTCACAAAGTATACCCATTTCATGAATCTATAACTTTCATGAAACATTTCAGGTACTACTCTAAATTGGCGCTTACATATACATCTGTATCTATTATCAAAATTCTCATATTTTCTGCCTCATATTATGGCTTTGACCAAAATTGTGTTTTACCTTCACTGCATGCTTCCATTTTGACATTTAGACTTGTTCACATTTGATGTGGGAAACCACCTAAAAAAAAATTGTAGGAAATTCAAAATGTTTTATGTGTCAATGAAAGGCATGTGGATTTGAAGAAAAAAATGAAACTGAGTGATGCAATGACACTAAAGTGTATTAACCTGCATGTACCTTAGTGTTTTAAGAAACAGAAATGTGAAGTGCACTATGGTTATGTCATTTTATCTTGCCACATTATTTTTTAACGGCCACTTTATTATGTCATGTGTGAACGGCTTTCACAATGGAGCACTATTCTATCGCATGTGAGATTAAATGTCGAAAAGGGATAAAGTTTGACTAACATACAGTATTTGATATATTTGAGTGAGGTTTGCGGCTTCACCGCACCTATTCTTTCGACAGGGTTAGTTGGCCCTGAAGAGGGTCCACCCATGCTCTATCTCGACTTTTCAAATGGTTGTACCTATCATCTTCAGGTTTCCTCTTTCAGGACCAACTCACCCTGTCAAAAGAATGCGTGGTGTAAACTCAAACCCCTCTCAAATCTTTCCTCACCATTGAAGCCTTCACAGATAACATATTTAATTTAGTAATTTAAATCAATATCTGGATCTCCTATGTCCATATTCTACCAATTCAGTTGAAACTGAACCAAATCCAAGATCACATTTAACAAAAGGAGAATTAAGAACATCACATTTAACAAAAGGAAAATTAAGAACTCAGGCTTACTTCTTTTGTTTAATCTGAGTTTTGACAAAATTTGAAATTTGAGTAGAATACGGGCCTTAGGGTTCTTGACAGGTCCCGTAGGTTCAATGATCTGCATGTACTTTCTGATTGCCTAGAAGCTCGTGCATGTTTCAGAAATATTTACTTGTGACATGATAACACAGATAAATTAATTACCTGTAGACTAATATAAACTAGACAGATTTTGAAATTTACTGCAGAGTTATATATGGATGTAAAAATAGTTCATTCTATACGATCAGTCAACTGATTGGGTGAATGAGGTAAAAGTCTTAAATGTTAACATAACGGTTGATTCAGTAGTTATTCTAACTAATACTGGGTACTTTCATTTTCTCATTGTGGATAGGTCACCCTTCTGACTGACTCATTTAGTAGTCCATCCAAGTCGGTAACCCCGGTTCAAAGGTCACAACCTAGCCAGCCATCTAGACCACCTCCCCCATCAGCTCAGCAAGTCAGATCTGCAGCCGCACCACCCCGTCCCACCCCAAGTGCAATGTCCGCTGCCCCTAGACCCCAGGGAGGTGTATCCACCCAACAGCCGGTCAAGACCAAGGTCACCAGGGCCCCAACCGCATCCATGCCAAGCTCTCGCCAGCAAGCACTCCCACAGCGACCATCCACACCCCCAACAAAAAGAACCCCACCCCCATCCCAGCAGCCTCCACCAACCAGGTCTATGCCTCCTCCGACCCAAGCCACGGCAAGCCGACCAATCAGAACTGCAGACCCTCCTAAACGTGTGCAAACCCCGGCCCAGCAGAGCCAAGCTCGGAGTACCCCGCCCACCAAGGAGTACAACCCATTTGATGAACCCAGTGAACCAGTGAAACCTGCATCCCAGCAAGGGCGTGGTACAGCTGCCCCCGTTGCACCAGCGAGGCGGAGCTATTCCGGAGTTAAAGGTTCAGGCCAGGACGCCCAACCGGGCAGGGGTTCTCCATCATCAACTGGGGGGCAGCAAGCTGCCCCTCGGAGGCCACCCACCCCTCCTAATCCATTTGGTGAGGAAACAAGCTCTGATGGAAAGAATCCATTTGGTGAAGAAACAAGCTCTGATGGAAAGAATCCATTTGGTGAAGAAACAAGCTCTGCTGGAAAGAATCCATTTGGAGACGATATAGATGAAGATGACAAAAATAACCCTTTCTTCAACTGAAATTCTTTGATGTTGCTGACATGTACATGATATGGTATGTTAATAATCAGAATGGTGTAAGCTTTTTGCTATGGTGTTTGTCCCAAAGGTCCAAAAGATGTTTACATGTATGTTAGCTCTTAACCCATGGTTAAACCTCCACATGTGTAGTTTGTGTATATCCTCATGTCCAAAGAGCCTTCAATGATATGTTCATGTTCATTTGATATGCTTATATTAGTACACCTATCATTGTCTAAGATGGAGGTTTGACCTACAGGTGATAGACCCTGGATTAGTTCAAACATCCCTTGTGAATTTAAGCCTACAAAAAAATTGTGTTGTCCAAATTCATGAAATATTACAACATAAAGTGATTGCATTATCACACAAAATGTTGACAATTTTGTGACAATTTCTAAGTGGTGAAAGTGTCCACTTATTTTAAAATTTTGTGAAATATTTTGGTTGCAAACAAAAATATGATTTTACAGTATTTTCCTGGCATGCAGACTTCCAGGTAGTCATGAAATAATCGATTTTAGAGGAATCATATTTAAAGCTCATGTACAGTATTGACAAATTCCCCAAATCGGTGTGTTCAAATTCTTTGATGCTAGTATGATGCTAATAATGCAAAGTAACTTCACCTTTTTTCTTTTTTTTTGTGCAAAGATTAGATCTGGTAATAAAGTATGATGGATTGGCAAGCAAATGCCTTCTCAGATGTTTCCACTAGCCAGAAATTTACAGGATCACACTTAATTTTCCATTTTTATTTTGACACTTTTTCATAGTGTACATAGGCTTTATGTTGTTATATATGTTCTTGTGATGTATTTGTATATTTATTGGAGAGATATATCAAACTTAGTGGTATTACAAGGTAGGTAATGTGTTATTGTTTTATGCTAATTAATATTAATTTTGGAGAACTTGCAAGCTGTCCATCAAGAGTAATATTTTTAGGATGAGAGAATTTCAATGCATCTTTTGTCGTTTAAGCTTCCACCAACCTAAAGCCGTGACAGTGGACTTTTCCTGGCAAATCAATCCCTCAAATTTGTGTAGTTTCTTGTTTTTTTTTAGCTAACAGTAGTTCACTGGAGCTAAGATATGTGACAAGGTCATGTGACCATCCCCACCATTTTTTTTCTTGACCAATGTCAATATACATGCGTTTCACTGAGACTGCGAAAAATTATATTTCCAACCCTCTCATTGCTTTTGTTTTGTGTGAAAAGCCTTCATGGATTGAAAGGAATTTCTTTCTGCGATGTATCACTGTGGTTAAAACTTGCACATCAATTGTTTAACAAGTTTAAATACTGTAAACAAAGTGATGACCAAGGAATGATGATGAATTCCATGAGGTCAGATTGTTTCTTCTATCGAAATGATATGATATCAAATTGTTTAACAAGTTTAAATACTGTAAACAAATTGATGACCAAGGAATGATGAGGAATTCCATGAGGTCAGATTGTTTCTTCCATCAAAATGATATATCAAATTGTTTTATATCTTAATAATGTTCTATTGAACCCTCTTGTAGACTTGCTTTTCCTTCATTTTCTTTTCCAATTACAAGAATTAGAATATGGCACCTTAAGTCTACAAGTCATGTCCATATTCCTTATTTTGTTAATATTTGTATACCATTCTATCTATTTCATTATTTCAAGTTGATGAAAAAGTAATGTTTACATAGAGTTAGAATATTATCACAATTTCCAGTCAAAGTTTTATCAGTGTTTTATCTTGCCTTAATTGTATATTTAGAACAAGAAGTATGTCTTAATTTGGTCGATTAATAAAGCAACTATAACTCTGTCATACATGTAAATATGGAAGGAAAAACAGATTTCCATCCTCTCTTATGATGTGAAGTAAAGTGTTGATTTGATTTTTTTTTTTTTTTGGGGGGGGGGGGATTTAACATGCGTTTCTATTCTGGTAGTGAATGGCAGGGTTAAAGAACAAATATATAAATGTTTCAGGAGTTATTTTGGAGAAAAAAATATTGATAATACCTGAATATTTAACATTTGCTGGTATTGCAAGTATGGTTTAATTAATGTACAAAGTACAACAGACTAGTGTAAGATCAGAGATTTATCATGAATATGATAGTTACGTAATAAATGTAATGGAAGACTTTATATTGAAAAATATATATTGATGGCTCATTATGGATATTCTTTTTTTTAATACAAGAAAAAGAGAAAGAAGAGAGAGGGGGAGAAGAATAGAGAAAGAGATAGAACAAGGGAGATGGAGAAAAAGAGAGGGGGAGACATAGAAAAACAGTGAAAGGTCGCGACAATTTATCAAAGGGAGCAAAATGTTTAAAGATGAAGAGAGATCAACAGAGAAGGAAGAAAGAGAAGGAGAGGATGGAGAGATAGAGGGGAGGAATACTGAATAGAGATAGAACGAGAAAGATGGAGAAAAGAGAGAGAGAGAGAGAGAGAGAGAGAGAGGATCATATAATATGGAGTTATTGACGAATGGAGGCAATTTTAGAATGTAGTAGTGTCGGATTAGGAGAAGAGAACAATTCTAGAAGGAGAAAAACAAAAGGACACCCCCCCCCCCAAAAAAAGGGTAGACAATCGGGCTTTTTAAAGTGTACATATCCTCCTGACCTCTTCGAATATCCTTTGTACAAATAAAACAAAACATCCGCATCACAAGTAAAATACATGTACATTCAGGTAAATCTAGTTCATGTTTGTTTGTATGAAAATAATAACTGGGTGCTTTTTACGGTGTGTAAATATTTGTAAGGAGGTCACGCGTGACAGTTCAGGCTGCCACTCCAAAGACGAAACAAACTCCACAATCGCAATAAGAAAGGGACATTATTCAGAATCTACTGACGCTCGTTGTCTAAATCACGAGATTATAAGCCATTTCGTAATTCCCTTTGCGCATGTGCCAGCTTCGTCGGGTCAAAGGTCAAAAGAAGTAAAATTGCCGTGTTTTGCCTTTGTTCTGGAGAATCGTGCGTTTAACTCGATTCATTTGTGCTGTGGTAATTATTATCACTATATGAACATGACTGACAAAAAAAAAGCGGACAAAATATACAGTTCCTCAGGTAGACAAAGGAACATCCCTTCACTGCTATTATGTAAAAATGTGTAGAACAGGTGTCACATGCATATTCACCTTTTTACATAATAGCAGTGAAGGGATGTTCCTTTGTCTACCTGAGGAACTGTATATTTTGTCCGCTTTCTTTGGCTGTCATATTCATAGTGTATGAGCGTGTAATTTCTTACTTTTTTTGTTGAATCACCGCGATCATCTCAGGAACAAGTAGTTGAAAGGTTAACCTTTATTTGTTTCTTAGATTAGAACAAAAGTATATTTGATGGATTTTTGAGGCTTTTGACAGCGAGTTTCGTGATCTCATCCCGTCGACGACCGACCCGCTTCACCAGTCCCCGGCCCCCCCCCCCCCCCACTCAGTGTTATTTAGGGTACGCATATGCTCGTACCCTCTTTTTGAAAGCACCCCCTATCTGAGGACTGCCAACATTTCCGAACCCCCCTTTCGCGGGCTTTTTGCGGGCTTTTCCTGCCTTGGAGACCCCCCTAAATCAGGAAAAATGCTCAATGTACCCCCCTAAATTCGGAATAATTTCTCAGGATTCCAAAGAGATGAGAGAAAAAAAGAAAAACACCCCCTTTTTAAAGAAATCTCCGGGTGAAAAGTCAAATACACCCCTTTTTTTGCAAATCTCGGGCCGGACTTTGTCGCACGAAAAGTACCCCTTTACCGGACATTTTGGCAACACGCATGCGGTCATTCCGACCTCTGAGTGGGGGGGCCGGGCACCAGTCATCAGTGTCGTCCGAAATTAAATTTCTTGGTGATGTTTCAGAAGAAAAATGCAATAAATTCACCCCGCGGATGATAGGAAGACATGAATAAATAGTTATTATCAAGTACTGTTATGATTATGCAATTTGATTACCGACTTGAAATCTGACATTATACGTCGGTTCCACGCATGAATTTTCATGTTTGAAAATCTAAGGTAGATCTAGATCTATTTTGGGTGGAGGGGGCCGGGGATGGGGGATATCAATGATATTGTCACGTGTGTCTTGATTTTGCTTTCCTAGGAATTATTTTTGGTTCAATTAAACCTGAAATTGTAATAAATTTTGCAACATCATGTGATTAGATGCTTCATTTGAGATGATTGATTGCTCAGACTCCCCTCCTTGTACAAGTCCATCAGGGTCCGGCAAGCTACCTGTTGGTGTCTTCAACAAGTCTCCGTAATGTTCCTTCTTCTGCTGCTCTGCCCCCGGTGGGGTCACTCCCTGCAAAGAGTGACACGTATGACCGTTACCACCAATGCATATAACCCCCTTTTGCGGTCAATTTCAAGGACATTTAGTGAAATTTAACCCCCTTTTTTACGTCAAAACAAGGACAAAATCGTACTTTGGAATACCCCTATTTATAAGATTGTAAGGACACTTTCGCAAATTTACCCCTATTTTACCATATTTCAAGGACAAGACTCGGCTCCGAGAATTTTTCTTCCCGGTTTTCTCTTTTCCCTTTTCCTGACCCCTATTTGTCAATTTCGAGGACACCTGTGCCCCCCTATTTTCTTTATTTCGAGGAATATTTTGTCCTCGGACATTGCTTGAAATTGACCCCTTTTTCCGCGATTTTGGTAACGGTCATGCGGTCCGGAAGTCACATTGAGTGACCCCACCGGGGCTCTGCCACACCGGCTGAGGTGGCTGGCGCCGCGAGCTCCAGCATCATCTTCGCAGCAAACACAAGCGCTACCAACTCCTCCTTTCGCCCGCTGACTTTCAAGTTCCTTTTGCGAAGATAATCTTTGAGGGCAGGAACTGTCCACAACTTTATGTCATCTATAGACACCACCGTATCGTCTTCCATTGTCAATACGAATAAAAAAGCAGTAAATTAGACAAGAATGCAGGCGCGGATCCAGGATTTTCCAATAGGGGGGGGGGGGGGGGCGGAAATTTGAAAATCGCGCAGACCGTTTTTCAACTCAACATACCAATACTGACAAGGTCATATTAGAAGCACCATACCGGGCCTCTTGCCCGAAAAGGTAATTTTCTGGTTTCACAATTCGGCTAGTGAGCGAAGCGAGCGAGAAAAAAATTTGAGGATAATACTTCAGTAATCAGATGACGACCGTGTACATTATTTCACTTTCTGAATGCAATTTTTGTGAAAGTGTTATTTATCACCAAAATATACGAGAAAAGATATACAAAATTCATATTCGGGCAGCTCAAGGTTCCCCCCCCCCCCCATTACGCGCGAAGCGCAGAAGCTTTGATGTTTCATGAAATTATTAGAGAAAGAAGAGGATTTGTTGTACCATTCTCGACTCCTAATCCTTGTCTGAATTGAGTCCCCCTCCCCCCCCCCCTCCCGCGCGAACGCGGAGCGCGGAAGCTTTGACTTTTCATTAATTATTAGAGAAAGAAGACGATTTGTTGTACCATTCTCGACTCTTTTTCCATGTCTGGATTAAGTTTCCCCCCTCCCGCGCGAAGCGCGGAAGCTTTGACCTTTCATAGTTTTATGAAATTATTAGAGAAAAAAGATTATTCATTATGCCATTCTCGACTCCTAATCCTTGTTTGAATTGAGTTCCCCCTCCCGCGCGAAGCGCGGAAGCTTTGACCTTCCTTCAATTATTAGAGAAAGAAGATGATTTGTTGTACCATTCTCGACTCTTATATATTCCTTGTCTGAACTCAGTTTTCCCCCTCCAGCGCAAAGCGCAGAAGCTTAACGCTTCATTAAATTATTAGAGAAAGAAGACGATTCGTTGTACCGTTCTCGATTCTTAATCATTGTCTGGATTCAGTTTCCCCCCCCCCCCCCCTCCCGCGCGAAGCGCGGAAGCTTTGACGTTTCATTAAATTATTAGAGAAAGAAGACGATTCGTTGTCCCATTCTCGATTCTTAATCCTTGTTTGAATTAATTTCCAAGCTTTGATCTTTCATTACATTATTAGAGAAAGAAGATGATTCGTTGTACCGTTCTCGATTCTTAATCATTTTCTGAAATCAGTTTCCTCCCTTCTGCGTTGAGCGCGGAAGCTTTGACGTTTCATTAAATTATTAGAGAAAGAAGACGATTCGTTGACCCATTCTCGATTCTTAATCCTTGTTTGAATTAATTTCCAAGCTTTGACCTTTCATAGTTTAATGACATTATTAGAGAAAGAAGATAATTCGTTGTTCTATTCTTGACTCTTAATCCTTCTCTGAATTCAGTTTCCCCCTCCAGCGCAAAGCGCAGAAGCTTAACGTTTCATTAAATTATTAGAGAAAGAAGACTATGTGTTGTACCGTTCTCGACCTGTCAGAATTTTAAAAAATGTTTCTTTGTCTGCTCCTTTTTCGTCTTATGTCCTCTTAATGCCCCTACCGCTCCTAGCTACGCATGATTTAAAGGGAAAATGAAACAATCATGATTGTGATAGCACACAATTAGGTCAGTAGACATGAAAGGGGAAAAATATAAACTAAAAATTACACCAACCATGGAATATTCACGACCGGGAGCGTCATTTCATAGTTTTGTGTTATCGGGCGAGGGCCGGGGCGTAGCGACCAAGCGAGATTTTGCAATGTAGAATGCTGAAATATTATGCATTCTAGAAAACCCCTAAGCCCAATATGTACGTTCCTTCTGCTACATGTATATTTCTTTCTAGCTATATATATAAATTTCCAGGGGGACGTGTCCCCCTATCGGACCCAGGATCGCCGCCCCTGTCCATGATTACTATCAACATGAGTTCAAATATAAGCACAAGCGAGTTGGTATGAGCTGAATCCAAAGGAAGGGCAAAATAAGAGTTGTGAAGCGGCCCTACCGTTAATTTAAAATTTGACTGTTGAGTATATAGCTTCTATTTGAAAGACATCCAAAATATTGTGCCATTTCATTTTTTTTCCTCAAAAAGCAGGGGCTGTTTTAAACGTTTAACTTTGAATCCGTGGCTCGAGATTTTATGCGGCCGTTTCGGCCCCCCCCCCCCTGGATCCGCCACTGAGAATGGGCGATCGTATGATTGAATTTCCGAGAGTTTATACGCTGAAAACTAGTTGTACCGGTGTACGAAGCGTGCATGTACACACACACAGCGCTAGCGGGTTCGAAAGCGAGATTTTGTAGGGGAAATGACCTCGTGACCCAGCCAAGTCATGTGACTCGCCGGCAGCCCATGGTCTACTATTACGAAATCGCTTATGATAATAATTTGCCAAACGTGCAATTGCATGGGTATTCCCTCAAAATCCAAAACGAGTTGTAGTGCATACAAAAGGGATACAAAACCCTTTACAGAATAACTGTGGAACGGAAGATATGTCGTCAAATTGGAGATATACAGATTCAACAAAATTGCAGCGCATATAGTTTCGTCGTAGAAGTAGAAGTATTTCCATTTATATATCTATAGCCTCGGTCACAAATGCCATTACGAACTGCTACGAAAGCCGTACGAACAATTTTCAGACAATGGAAAAACAGGGAGATTAGTACGAAATTATCGTTCCTACGAACCATATCTAAGATGCTTTTTTGTGGAGGCCGGCCAACAACCGACTCAACTGTGTGAGAAAGAGAAAGTACTAGTCCTTTTGTGAGACACCATGAACGCTATCATGTCATTGCTGGATTGTCTGGTCGGACCTTTCGCCGGCCTTGGAGTGCAGACGATATTTAGGTTACTCGGCGTCCTTTTAACCCTTATAGCTGTCTGGTATATCGCAGGATCGAGAAAGCGGCCTCCACCAACCAAGTCCATGGCTCCTGCGTCCCAAGCCGTGGCGAGCCGTGAAACAGATGCCCTCTTTGCACCATTTCTGAGGATGAGGCGGGGCCGTTATGGAGTTAAAGGTCCGGGCCAGTCATACCCCGCAGAATACAACCCATTCACAAACCCCGACGCCCAACCGGGCAGGGGTTCTCCATCATCAACTGGGGGGCAGCAAGCCGCTCCTCCGAGGCCACCCACCCCTCCTAATCCATTTGGTGAAGAAACATTAAGCTCTACTGGAAAGAATCCATTTGATGAAGAAGCATGCTTGAAAGAATCAATAGGGAGACGTTATAGTAGAAGATGACAAAAAACAACCTTTGTGGAATTCTTTAATGTTGCTAAAATATTTTTAAAAACTTATACAATTTGTTAAAAATATATTCTCTATATTTATTTATGTATTCGACCTAATGTATAAACGACAAGACCAATCCTTATAGACAAGGCAAAAATTTACAATCTTATGTTTTTGGTTTAATCTTTCAGTAGGGCGCATATATGTATAGGTACCATTACGTCATTAATTTGAGGCGAAACTATTCTCTATAGCATTCCATGTACCTCATATACCTATTTTGTATAACATGAGTTATAATCTATTTAGAAAATTGCTATATTAGGTATTCTGTAACTAAATATTCGGATGTATTTTGGTACCGTTATATTATTTACTTTATGCATTATGTGTAGTGTTATTACAAGAAGAAAAAAGAGTTTATCTGCTGTATATAATTTTTCTTCTGTTTTGCTCCGCTGCATTTTATATATATATATGTTTACAAACAGAATATTGATTTGTTACATTGCATTGTAAATTGATTTATATGATTTATATGTTTATAAAGATTTTTGATGTACATCAATGAAGTTTAATAAATAGTATAGAATACAATACATGATATGGTCAGTTGATAATCAGAATTGATGGTGTAAGCGTTTTGTTACAGTGTTTGCCACAAAGGTACAAAAGATGTTTACATGTATCCTAAGTACCTACGGTTTTCTTCCAATTCAAAAATTAAAATATGTTCCTTAAAATGTACAAGTCATGTTCCATAATCCTGATTTTGTTGATATTTGTATACCATTCTATCTATTTCATTATTTCAAGTTGATGAAAAAGTAATGTTTACATAGAGTTAATATTATCATATTTTCCAGTCAAAGTTTTATCAGTGTTTTATCTTGCCATAATTGTATGTTTATTACAAGAAGTATGTCTTGTGTCTTAATTTGGTAGTTTAATAAAGCAAACAACTGTAAACCAGCCATAAGTACATTGGAAGGAAAAACTCTGATTTCCATCCTCTCTTATGATGTGAAGTAACGTGTTGATTTTTTTTGTAATTAAACGTATGCGTTTTCTACTCTGGATGTGAATGGCAGGGTTAAAGAAAAAAATATATAAATGTTTCAGGAGTAAATTTGAAAAAAGAATATTAATAATACTGAATATTTAATAGTTGCTGGTATTACAATTATGATTAAATTAATGTAAAACGTACAACAGACTAGTGTAAAATCAGAGATTGATCATGAAGAAATGTAATTAAAGGCTTTATATCATAAAATATATATTGATGGCTTATCATGAATATATGTTTTTGCAGAAAAAGAGAAAAGCAGAGCGAGAGAGAGAGAGAGAGAGAGAGATAAGAATAGAAAAAGAGATAGAACGAGGGAAATGAAAAGAAAGAGAGAGACAGGGGAGACATAGAAAAAACAGAAGAGAAAGACAATTTAATAAAGGGAACAAAATATTCGAAGATAGAGAGAGAGAGATCATCAGAGAAGGAGAAAGAGAGGTGGAGAGGGGGAAGGATAGAGAATGAGATAAAACCAGAAAGATGGAAGAGAGAGAGAGAGAGGGGGGGGGTGTCATTGTGGAACTATTGACGAAAGGAGGCAATTTTGAAAAATAGTAGTGTCGGGTTAGAAGAAGAAAAAAATTCTAGTAAGAGAAAAACAAAAGTAACCCCCCCCCCCCCCAAAAAAAAAAAAAAAAAAAAAAAAAAAATGGTATACACCCAGACATGTGAAGGGTACTTATTCTCCCTACCTCTTCGATTATCATATGTATAAATAAAATAAACGTCTGCATCACGAGTAAAATACAAGTTCATTTTAAGTCAGGCAAGTATAGTTCGTGCTTGTTTTCATGAAAATTATAACTATTTTTTTTGTTACGTGGTGTGAATATTTGTCAGGAGGTCACGCGTGACAGTTCAAATCCCTCACCAAAGAGGGACCAAAATCCATAATCGCACTAGGAAAGAGCATTATTCCGAATCTACTGACGCTTGTTGTCTAAATCCTGAAACTATTGATAATAGTTTGCCAAGCGTGCAATCGGGTGTTCCTGAAAACCCAAACGAGTTGTAGTGCAGACAGAATGACTCTGGAACTGGAGATACTACGGTCGTCAAATTGTAGATCTACAGCGTCAACAAAATTGCTGCTCCTAATTTAAGGGCAGCTAGCTCTGAGTGTCGTCGTAGTGAAGTAGAATTAATTGTCCATGTTTATACATTTAGTTAGGATACATTTTGTGCAGGCCAACAACCAACTGCGTACGAAAGAGGGAAAGTCTTTTATTATTGACGAGACACCATATTACGTCATCGCTGGACACCATTATGTCATTGCTGGATTGTGTAATCGGAGCTTTCGCCGGCCTTGGATTGCAGACGATATTGGTTGGGTTACTTGGCGCCCTTTTAGCTCTCTGGTATATCAGATCGAGTAAGCAGACGACACCGAACCTTCCACCCGGGCCCGTAGGCCTACCGCTTCTGGGGTATCTACCATTTCTAAAGCTGCCGCCGTTCAAAGGTCGGAATATGATTAGATATTGGTTGTTCATAAATGTTTGTTTTGCGAGATAGGTGATTCTTTTTATCAGTGACATTTTCCTTTTGAAAATGTATTCATCATATAATTCATTTTCGTATGTTTTTTTTTGTAAATACTTCACGCTTTATTTCTCTCTCTCTCTCTCTCTCTCTCTCTCTTATCTAGGCTCTATTTCTATAACCATTCTCGTTCTCATTCTCTCTCTCTCTCTCTCTCTCTCTCCCGCCCTCTCTCTTCCCCTCTCTCCCTCCCCATTCTCTCTCTCTCTCTCTCTCTCTCTCTCTTTCTTTTCACGCTCACACACTTTTTGCATTTACTTCTCCTACTAGTGGTCAATATAATAATGGTGCCATGTGTCTCTCGAGTTATTCGTGTAGGTACGTAGTCAAAAATATTATAAACAGTGAATCCAATCAATAATTGAAAGACTCCCAATTAGAAGACAAGAATTAAAACTGATGAAGCTATATCAACGGTAAATCAGACCAAGTTATTATTCTGATTGTTATCATAAAAAGACAAATGATTTGGAAAGCGTATTCAACATCTGAATGAATAATGACAATTCGTTAATCTTTTCCTCTTCTTCTTCTTCTTCTTCTTCTTCTTCTTCTTCTTCTTCTTCTTCTTCTTCTTCTTCTTCTTCGTCTTTGTCTTTGTCTTCGTCTTTTCAAAATGATATACCGTAATAGGTTTCGCTCATTTGGCAACACGATACGGTGGGCTGATCAGTCTCCGACTGGGCACCAAACTGACCGTCGTGCTCAACGATGTCGACTCCGTCAAACAATCCCTGGTCAAAGAAGCCGACGTGTTCACCGACAGGAACGTTCCCATTGAGTACTCTCTGGCTCTTCCACTTGAAGGTGAGAATAATGAGAGTAATGAAAGTCCAGGACAAGAGGAAGGGTGAGAGAGGGGCTGTTATGTCCCCTCTGAAGAGAGGGAGAAGGGACAGAGAAGCTGATAAGAGAGGTAGAAAGAGAGAAGAGACGGGAAGGGGGGGGGGGAGAGAGAGAGAGAGAGAGATAGGGGTAGAAAGTGGCATAACATTACGGATCCTAGATAGAGAAATAAAATACCAACAGAAGAGAGAGAGAGAGAGAGAGAGAAAGATAGAGATAGAGAGTGGGGGAGGGAGATTGGTAATACAGAATTGAAAAGAGTGGGGTTTGAAGTGAGGTTATGGAAAGAGCGAAATGTGGAATGAAGAAATAAGGATAAAGTGCAAATTGTTGAGAGAGATCAATTTTCTATTATACAAAACAAAGAAGCTAGGTAAATCGTCACAAAAAAGAATTAAAGTGCTGAAGGGTTTATAATATCGATACTCATTTCTACTTTTATTCGTCGTATTTCTGTCCAGGTAGCCTGGCGTTTGCAAGTGGTGATAAATGGAGAGAACTGCGCACATTTGTCGCCAAGGCGTTCAGACAGTTCGAAGTGGAGAAGGAAAAGTTGGAATCGGTGATTGTCAGAGAATCAGAGCGACTTTGCAAAGCTTTCCAGGATGAAGCAAATAAAAGGTTTCGATAAAAATTGAATAAATGATCACATATGTAAATTAATATCCATATCAATAACAAGAAAATATAATAAATTGATCATAACAGATATGTTAATAATGATCATAATAGTGAATGAAATGATGAAAAACAGAATTGACAAGATGCGAGATGTGTTTGTTTTGGAGCAAACTAATTGTAGAAATTTAATTTTGCAAGTTTTAAAAGGCAAATTGAAGAATTTTGAAAATACAAAATAAACTAAATACAAAAGAAATAGAGCAACTACATTTTTTCTCAGAAAATTGCAAAAGATTTCATCACATCTTAAATGTGTTTTTCTACTAATGTATTTTTCTCTCTCGATGTACCTATCTCTTCTGCGCTGCCCTCCACGCTCTCTCACTCTCTCATTTAATCATTCTGCATGTTATCCTATCTCTCTGGGTAGCGTTTCACGAAACAAGTTCACCGACGATCAATTGAATTGCGCGTATTAAATTCAACACTTGTTTCAATGGGAAGTAGATGAACTTGTACTTATGGCGGTTTCGTGAAACTATGCCCCGAGCTCTCCCTCGCTTCCTCATATCCCTCTCTTTCTCTCTTGATCTCCAATATTCTGCTATTACCATCACAACAGTTCTTCAGACATTCAGGGTTTTGACCCGCATCACATCATCAACAACGCTGTTTCCAACATCATCTGTAGTATGTGTTTTGGCCAAAGCTACGAATACTCGGATCCAGAGTTCCACCATATCCTGACCGTCGTAGGTTAGTATTTGCTAAAGAATTTTCATACACATTTACATTGAGTTTGTGTTGTGATCGAGCATTCACCCCATTGTGGATCACACTATATGGGATTCGAAGTCCAGTGCCACAGACTAATGCCCCTTGGCAAGACATTAATCTACTTTTGAAACCCTCGACCCAACCCAGATGACAGAAGCGGGTGCTTCAGCACTTTATCACTGCAGCTAATCTAGAGATGGGGGTAATGATTCAATTCAAGCCCTTTAGAAACGCATAGAGACACTTCGCTTTACAAGAATGGGGTGTTGTCATCATCATCATTTCCACAGATTATACATGTTTTGTCATTTCATCAACTTTGTATAGTATACATGCCTAGCGAAAGAACATTTCTCTGAGTAGTCGAGTTCTTTGACTCGTCATCAGGGGCGTAGCGTGGGTCCATGCATTGGGGACGGGGGGGGGGGGGGGACAACATTGCATGGGGCACCGGATGTGATAGTTGCATGGATGGAATATGATTTAACACAGAGGGTGTAGGAGTCCTTTCGTCTTCTTTTCATATTTCCTTTCCTCCTTCCCTTTTTTGTTCGCCATTTAATTGGGGGAAACGTGCCCCTTCTAAATGTAAAATTATCTAAATATTCCCAGTAATATATTCTTGCGATGAAAAAAGTACATACGTAGCCTCAAAAGAAACACTTTGAAACACCCTTTCACATCAGGCAATTCATTCCGGAGTTTGTCACCGTCTGGGCTACTCCTGGTCAGCAGATATTTCTACTACACCCCTCTCTACCGCGAAGTCCGCCGCAACCTCGCCGTCCTCCAGGACTTCATCCGGGGCATCGTCCAACGTCATCAGGAAACCTTTGACCCCGACAACACACGGGACATCATCGACATGTATCTTGCCGAGGTCAGGCAGCTGAAGGAAGATGGGATGGACACGTATCTCAAGGTATAGGTTTTGTTTCACCCTTTAATCGCTTTTAACATTTTTGTTCCAAGATCACATGTCGCTATTTTCGTTTATAAACGCATTTGTCAGAAATTTTTCGCACTTTATGCCCCCCTTTGAACTGCTGCCCCCACCCCTCTCCGTATTCAATTATTCAACTTCATGTACCAATATTCACCTGATATTCGAGCAGTGAGATGATCTTTTTGTATTCATTTTGGTCTTGTAAAGCTTGTTTGACAACAACAACAACAACAAAATAACAACAAATACATGGATATTCAACCATGTTCAACCCTATTCTCCAGTAGTGGATGTCACTGTGATAAAGTGTTAAACTAAATTGCTTACTTTTTTTGACGCTCGCAAATTTGAGAAACTTCAATCAACTTTCGGCGACAGGCGGGCGACAGGCGACAGTTCTACCAATAGAAGAAATTGTGCCCGTTCGCTCTTTACCTGAGTCCTATAGCAAATGAATACCCCTTGTCGATTTTGATTTGTTTCTATTTTTTTTTCTTGTAGGAGGAAAATATCTGGCGGGGTGTCTTCGACATCTTCCTCGCTGCATCCGAGTCGATGACGTCAGCTTTGCGATGGATCTTCCTCTATCTCATCGACAACCCTGAGCTACAAAGTAAGGTAGGGAACTTTATTGTCATGCTCGGTCACTCACTTGTTTTGCCGAATTAGGCAGGAGTCGGGTGCTGAGCCGGGTCCGAACCACCCCATGATAACTCGGGGGAGAGACTAGAAGAACCTGGAACATGCAATGGCAAGCTAAAGTTCAAAACCGCTTTATTAAACCGACTTTGCATTTCGCGGATTGTCATTAGTAATTAGGTGCCAATGGCAGATTCCAGAGGTGGGTGCCATGGTTTGGGTGCCAAGGTTGGGTGTTGAGGTTGTGTGCAATGATTGAGTGCCATGGTTAAGTGTCGAGGTTTGGTGCCTAGTTTGGGTGCCGGGTCGTGAGCCAGGGTTTTAGTGCCGAAGTTAGGTGCCTAGGTTGGGTGCCAAGTTTGCGTGCCGAGTTTGGGTGCCGGGGTTGGATGCCAGGGTTAGGTGCCAAGGGGTCGGGGTCGGGTGCCAGGGTTGAGTGCCGAAGTTAGGATTCTAGGCTGAGTTCCGAGGTTGATCACCGACTCTGGTGCCGGAGTTGGATGCTGAGGTTGGGTGCCGAGTTTGGGTACCGTGTTTAATTAGGTAATGGGGTTGGGAGCCGATGTTGAGAGCCGGGAATGAGTACCAGGGTTGAGTAACGAGGATGAGTGCTGAGGCTGGGTGCCGAGTTTGGGTGCTGAGTTTGGGTGCCGGGGTTAGGTGCCGGGGTTGTATGCCGGGTAGGGTGCCGGGTTGGGAGCCGGGTTTGGGTGCCAGGTTGAGTGCTGAAGTTAGGTGACTATGTCGAATTCCGAGGTTGGGTGCCGAGTTTGGGCGCCGAAATTGGATGCCGGGGTTGTATGCCGAAGTTGTATGCCGGGGTTGGGAGCCGAGGTTAGGTACCTAGGCGCCGAAATTGGATGCCGAGATTGGTTGCCGAGATTGGGTGCCGGAGTTGGATGCCGAGGTTGGGTGTCGGAATTGGGTTTAGAATTTGGGTACCGAGGTCTTGCGACAAGAATGGCTGCAGATGCTGAGGTTAGTTGCTGGGGCTGGTATCAGGGGTCTGGTCCCGAGTTAAGTCTAGAGCTTGCTTAATACAGCTCGCATAACATTTGGATGGCATCTCAAGGAGACAAGGAAAGGCTTAGCCGGTTCGGTAGATCTAACAGTGACTCATACTCAATGCTGAAGATATTCGTATTTTCTGAGCTATATGCTTTAACAAAATTAAGTTCCCTAGTTGCTCGCCCTGCAATTGGCATTGTGGGTTTTAGTTCTTCGCACGATTCGTTTCCAACTTTGCTAGGTAAAATAGCTCTAGCCGGTTTCTATTGAATTAGAGTTTTATGTCAATTTGATTGCCCAACTTAACTTTCGTGTGACGGCGAATATAAAATGAAATATATTAAAAAGAAAACTAATATACAGCCAGCCCTACCCTTATCTCCAGAAAATGCCTCTATCTGTGAATGCTTAGAACACTGAAAATCTGATTGGAAATGATAAATTTCTCTTTCTTCATTTCGACGAAGATTCGAGCTGACATTCTGCGAGTCATCGGGCCAACCCGTAACCCCACCATCAAAGACCGAGACGAACTCCCGCTCATCGAAGCTACGTGCATGGAAGTCCTTCGTCTTCGACCACCGGCTCCCATGGGTGGTCCTCGACAGGCCAAGCGGGACGTAGAGGTCAAAGGTTATGTCATCCCAGAAGGAACGTTGGTCCTGACCAACGTCTGGTACATTCATCAGAACGCTGAGAATTGGCATGAACCCGAGCGGTTTAATCCGAGTCGGTTTTTGAGTGAGGATGGAAAAGAACTGGTGAAGAATCCGGCTTTCATGCCGTATGGAGCAGGTGAGACCCATGATTGTTGTATTATTCACTATGAAAAATCTACAAGGGGCAGGGGGAGGGGTGGGGTACGTACCACACCCAAATGGATAAAGAAGGGAGAAAAGATAAAGAAATGGAAATAGGGAAAAGGATGATGTGGCCAGGGATTAACGCTCAACGCGCCGCTCCTCATCTGTGGATCTGTACCCATGCTATGTCATTTCCCTTGGCCCCCTTTCTCTTTCAACGTTGGCGAGGGGGTGGGTTGCATAGGCGCCAGTATGAAAGATGATGACATGGAAAATTGTTTGACCTCTGTTTATTAGTGATATTAAATCTCATAAACAAAAGCAAAATTTCACAAGGCCCTGTGGGTTGAACCAAATTGAAAGTGGATGTAATTTTATGTGTCGTTACTTTTAGTGAACTAATAAGGGTATCATCTTAAGACTAGTATTAATTGCCAGAATTCACGTAATCGAATTATTTGATGGCACGGACGAATCCATGATGGGGGCCCAATATTAGAAAATAATGGTCAACAAGGTTTTCTTCGGGGCCTCTTTTACTCTTAATTCCCCCCACTGAGCAAAATAAGAAAAACAACAACTCAAAGGGGATGGGAGAGGCGTTGCCCCCCTGCCCCCCCCCCCGCCCCCCCCCCCAACAAGCCGGTGTTTCGACGAATGAACTGCCGAATAATTTAAAGAGACATTTACCCTAGCATGGTTTGTTGCCTTTTCCAATTACTTAGTCCTGTTTATTCACACTTTTCAAGCTCCTACCCATACCTTCGATGACGTTATATTTCTTCTTTTTTTAAATGCCTTGTTTTACAGGTAGGCGTCTCTGCGTTGGGGACCGGATCGCCCGGATGCAGATGTTTTTATTTTTGACCACCTTGATCCGAAAGTTTGAATATTCCTTGCCCGATGGGGCTGTTCCTGATTTTAACGTGGATGGCGGTAACTTCACCCTGTCCGCTGTTCCATTCAAAATCGTCGTCACGGAAGTGGAGACCCCGATGCCGACTCACTGAGAGATGAATAATTTTCAGAATGTTGAGAACATGATTTATTTTTTAAAGTCAAAGAAAAACTCTGTAATTAGCGTGTCAGACATAATTTGTTTTTTGATCTATAGCTACTTGATCATCATTTGTATTGATAAGTAATATATTTTTAATCAGTATTAAATATGACCCTGCAGTCCCTATAGAAAGGTTTAATTATATGCATAAATAAGAATCCAATATTATTAAATATAAAGAAAGAATATAAAGGTTTGCTATGTAACCTAAAATATATTATTTTAAGGAGGGAAGGAAAAGACGCAAAACACACCACTTAGTATAACTATCGTACAGTGTGATATAGCTGTTTATACAACACCTACGTGGATCCTTGTCATTTGATTGGACGATTGTTGGTCACATGATATTCAATAGATGGTATATTGCACGGTCGTGCATTTTTGGTTATATGCGCCGTGCATTTTTGGTTATATGCAGACTGCGTATCTCTCTGCTGCATGCATGTGCGCGCGCGTATCCCTGCGTGTATCTGACGCGAAGGCAATCTGCATGTAATTGAGAAGAATTGACTCGAACTGTAATTTATCTTTATAAGGAGTAAAGCATAATTTGTTGATTAACGTTCTATTAGGTCTTCTTCGATGTTGTATAAAACAAATAATGAATGTTTTTCATTCGTTTAATAGTGCAAATATTTTCATTCGTTAAAAGATTAACGTTAATTCTATTCAACTCGGCTGACGCCTCGTTGAATAGAATGTTAATCTTTCAACTCATGAACATATTCGCACTATTGAACTCATAACCATTCATTATTTGTATAACATTGAATACAATAACTAAATGTTTCATTAACATAATTATTTACGCTTTTTACTATATTGACTATGACTATGTGTAATTTATATCCATTTATAATTTTGACAATAAAGCCAAATAAAAATTGAGTTGTTATACAAACATATAGCTGGTGACGTACAGACAGACCAGTTCACCACATTGAGAGAGAGGTAGAGAGAGAGAGAGAGAGAGAGAGAGAATTATAGATCTGGAATATGATAGAGAGAGAGAGAGAGAGAGAGAGAGATACAAAGAGAGAGCGAGAGAGAGAGAGAGAGAGAGAGAGAGAATTATAGATCTGGAATATGATAGAGAGAGAGAGAGAGAGAGAGAGAGAGAGAGAGAGATACAAAGAGAGAGAGAGAGAGAGAGAGAGAGAGAGAGATCATCAGACAGACAGAGGGATCGAGACAGATTCTGATCAGGGAGAGGGAGGCCGGGAGGGGGTATAGATTAAGGTGAATATAGTAGACAAGTAATACCAAAGTTTCCCAAAGTTATTTGGGAAATCGTTTAACAAAACAGGGACCTTTGCTATTTATGCAGCCACTTGGATGAGCACGAAACAATACTACAGTAAAAACACAAGCTGCGGATCACTTGCACTCTAAATATTCATAAACGTAAAAAATGACATCGTGAAAAAACATGCATGCATGCAGGAGTGAAGCGCATAATGCAATCATAGGCCCCCAGGTGGTCACTCTCATACACAAATGTTATACCCACCCGTGTCCATCAACATCTGAAATGTACCCTATTGGCGTATTGCACTTTTTCTGAAATGACCCTTTTTTTTAAGGAAACGTCGAAACCTGTGACCCTGAAAACGTATACCCCCCCCCCTTTTTTTGTGCGATCAGTGCTTGAAAAACACCCCCTTTTTAAGGAATACTTAGACGACGCCGAACCTGTGAATCTAAAAAGGTACACTTTTTTTGTTTTTGTGCGATCTGTGCTTTAAAAACACCCCCCTTTTTTTTAAAGGAAAACGTCGAAGACACCCTTTCGCCGCTTAGCCAGTTATGATGGGAGCTGTGACCCCCCCCCCCTCCCTTGGGCATAGACCCTCCCATGTTGAGGGGTCTATGTGCAATGCATACTACAGTGTGTCCCGAAAAAAAAAACACATTTCAATTATTGTAAGATTAGTTGAACATCTCATTGATTTATTCAATACCCAGGTAGGGATAATGTAAATCGAATATTCAAATACGGTTTGTTGAAAAAAGGAATGTCCAAGATGTCGGCTACTTATTCTTCAGGTAAATGGTAACTGAAATGTGGGGTGAAGGTTTTTATTCAAAGTCACAAATGTAAAAAATAACAGTTTGTAACATGGAAATTACAACATGTACCATCACCCCATCCTGACTCTCATGAACACACCACTGAGTCTATACCAGGGAAAGTTACAATGCTACAATAGAAAAATGAAATTCCTGTTCCGTGCATAAAAGTTTGGTTTAATAAACCATGGAATTCACTCAGCAAATCATGAATTTATCATATCACCCTCAATGTTGTAAGCTCCAAAGGATTTACCTCTCACACATTGGAAGGCTAATTCCTGCGCAACCTAATTTTCACACCCTTTACAAAAGTGAGCAGTGCTCACCCAAGCATGAATTATTCTCACACTTGTTGGTGTCATATGAAAGTTGAGTTTATGGGCTTTCCATACATATATACATCTTTTTCCCCTAGAATCATATATTTTTTATTCGGCAGCCATTTCAAAAGTGTATAGTTTTTTTCGGGACACACTGTAGTAAAGAAAAGCTTAGGATTATCCAACTGGGGTGTGGTTTTGGAGAACTTCCATGAGAGAACGTGGCAATATATTAAACTGCCTAATTGTCACAAATGTATTTGGTGTGCATGCCCCGTTAGTTACCGATTTAGTTAATCCCAGTCAGGTTAAACAGGTCGAATATCTCCTGTTAAACGAACGTCAGGTTAAATTTTAATCTAAGAGGGAGTGGGGGGTTGGAGAGGGGGGGGGGGGCGGTAAGAGCACATTTTTTTTTTGTCCCGAAAATTTGGCCGATCGATATTTCGTTTCGTTGGGGGGGGGGGGGGGGGTTAGGTCACCATTTTCTGGTCACGGCATTTTTTATATTTTTTTAGTACGTAGGGTATGTCTTTAGGTTTCTAAAATGAAAAAGGATCAGTAGTGCCACCCCCCCCCCCCCCCCCCCCCCGCTCTCTCCTCCAAACTCCGCCACTGAGGTCCGGATCCGTGTAAAGGAATTTAAAATCGGCGGAAAGCGTCATACTTTTTTTTCTCTCTGAGAGTTTGTACCTTCCAAGATACCGTTTCTTCGCTAGCGCGCAAAGTTTGGTATTTTCTGGATCAAGAAATCATGGATTCCGACAAAGAATTATTGCTAACAGGAGATGACTGTGAGATTTTTGGATGGATTTTCGATTATGCTGCTTGGATGGCATGGGATGAGTTCCAACAGAACCATACCGTCGATTCCAGAACAGAAAGATCGTTTATGACAGGTAATATATTTCGCTTTGGCTTTGTTATGGAGTGAGTGGGGCCTTGGGGCCTGGGGATAATACCTGAGCAGTGAGAGAGCCAAGGCTCGGCCGCAAACGGCGCTTGAGCTTGATCACAACTGTAACCATACTTTGGACCTGTAACTCGGGCGTGGAGATTCCTTAATATAACACACCAAAAATCATATAAATATTCCACAATTGTTTAAATAACGATCATGATTTAAAACTTAAAAATCGTTATCTTTCTTACCTGTTTTGTGTCAATTTTTTAATTTTTTTTTGCAATTTTGGAGTGTATTTTCTTAAAATGAAGACGTTAGACTTAAAGCCCAAGTCCACTCCAAAAATAACTTACTTTCAGTAGAACCAGAAAAATCAGACGAACCAATCAAAAAAAGTTTGAGCAAAATCGGATAACTAATAAGAAAGTTATGAATTTGTAATGACATGACAAACTTTGAAAATCACTACACAAATTGGCAACTCACTCATGAGTCTGTGACGTATGGTCCTCACTATCCACTAATTATTTTCTTTATATTGATAATGTAAATTTCCTATTTTCACCCTAAGAATCTTTTTTCTTCTCACCAGCATCCAAGTTAGATTGTTGGTAATATGTTTTTGTGTGGATGCACAAATAAAGAGTAATTTTTGTAGAGTTAAATCATGAAAAATTGAATTTTGATAATTTTTTTATATAAAAATCAATAATTATGAAATACAATATTCAGAAAATAGTATCAATTCTTAAAAATTCATAACAAATTCTGGGAAATGTCATGCATGCAACTATGATACAAATCATATAACCTGGGCAAAGGCATGGGGAAATCAAGTTTTGGGGGATAAAAAGGGAAATTAATGGGATTAAACTATATAAAGCAATTGATAAGTTGTGAGGACATGACGTCACAAACTGATAACCATCTTGGCAATTTGTGTTGTGATTCTCATTGTTCCATAGTTTTACATACTTTTCAACAATTCATAACTTTCTTATTAGTTATCCGATTTTGCTCAAACTTTTTTTGATTGGTTTGTCTGATTTTTCTGCTTTTATTGAAAGTGAGTTATTTTTCGAGTGGACTTGTCCTTTAAGTTAGTCTTAGAGTAGGGTGTCTGATCGCGCACCCAATGTTGTGTGCTAAAATACTTCCCATAGAGATTGCACGCATCCCTAGACCTATGCAGTCTACGTGCATTGCGCTACCATGAAAATTGGTCAATGATTTTATGAAAAAATTTAAAATTCAAACCTTTAGGCTTCGTGATCCTGAAGGTGAAACTCAATAAATGAGGTGTCATATGAAAGAGCAGGTTTTTCTCCATATTTCCCAAGGGGGGGGGGGGGGCACCCCCGAAATTCTAAAAATATCTTGGTCAAAACAGCGATTGAAATGTTGTTTACATCCTAGCTCCAAAATTTGCCACTTTCCTGAGCCGCCCCCCCCCCCATGGCTTAAGTGGGGCTAGACTTAAGGATAATATCCAGGTGCTTTTTTTCCCGCTAGCCCCAAGGGATCATTTGGCACAATGGTTTGAAAATTTGAAAATACCCTTCCCACATATTTGGAATCAGCTAATTAGGCAGGCGGGAGCTCCGCTTAGTCCAAACGATGGTTACATCGCGTAACATCTGCGCGTATTGTGAAAGAAAGTATGGATAGCCGTACTAGTCAATGGCACATATCGCGGAGACTACGTGGCTCAAGCTGCAAGTTGCGCATAACATGCGTACGCTATGCATACGCTTGCATATTGCGCGATACAGCTGTTTGGCTAAATTTAGCAAAACAACATAACTCTGCGTGTACGTCTTTTTCGTCGATTCTGGCCAAATCGATATGAATATTGCAGCATTCTGGAGGGGCTGTATCTTTTGATAGAAACATTTTTAATATGAGATTAATGACTAAATGAGCTAACGTGCGATTTACATTACAAAAACACTGACCTCATACTAGTAGACCTACTAGACCTAGATGCCTGAAATGAAATTTGACAAAATATTCTACTAGCACATTACAACATTTTCATTGATGAGAATTTTCATCTTGTGGTAAATGCTTTACAGGAGTGATGGAGTACACCCCTGGGGTCGACCAGGAGAGGATCCACCACGTCGAGTTCATCCATCTTCTCTGCCTGCTTGCCGACGGAGAGCAGACCAATCTCAGCTACACCAAGGGGGATGAGGAGCATCGCACACCCCTGGAGATAGCCCTGGACAACGTGGATAAACTTGAAGCAAGCCTGGAGAAAAAGAGTCCGATAAGGAAGAGCATAGCTGAGATGAGGCGGCTGGTCAAGATCCAGGCAAGGACATATTTTCATTTTCGTATCATTTTGACTCAGTCTGAGTTGCTGCAGTTTGTAAACCAGGGGGGCGTTTCACAAAATTTGTCATCAGTTACAAATGACAGTTTTTGTTATAAGCTACTGAAATCCTTGCTTCTGATTGGTTATCAACAGATTTGTCACTGATTTTTGTCATTTGTCATTGAAAAAGGGCTTTGTGAAACAGGTCCCAGGTCCCTGTTGTGACCTATGGAGCCTGGATTGATTTTCTCTTATCCGGGGCACTGATCTCTGCATATGAGACAACAGTACAGATTTGCATTGAATCTGTACATACTTTACCTAAACTAGCTTGTGCAGTTTAGACAGGTAGCTAGTTTTTGTCTCGCCTGCGTAGCAAAAAGAGACATAGGCGCCGCTTTTCCGGTGACGGCGGCGGCGACGGCGACGGCGTCAACATCAGAAACTTAACCTAAGGTTAAGTTTTTGAATTTTTGATATAATTTTTAAAGTATAAGTTCTTAGTCAATGAAACTTTGACTATAGGGTAATCAAGTATTCCCAATCATGTGAGTAGAATTTCAGATCACAAAGTCAAGGTCAAAGGTCATTTCAGGTCAACAGACTTGGACTATGTTGTAGCATCATCATCGAAAACTTAACCTAAGGTTAAGTTTTTGAATTTTTGATATAATTTTGAAAGTATAAGTTCTTAGTCAATGAAACTTGAACTATAGGGTTATCAAGTCTCCCCAATCATGTGAGTAGAATTTCAGATCACTAAGGCCAAAGGTCATTTAAGGTCAACAACTTAGACTTTGTTGTGGCATCAACACCCAAGATTTTCAAAATGCTTCTTCTTCATTATTTCTCAACCGATTTTGATTCTGATTGTTTTATATGATAGGGCTAGGAGGGGGATTTAAAAATTTCTACACAGAATTGTGAAATTCATTATCTATGCTAATTTATGCAAATTTATTCAAAATCACAAAAAAAGGCTTTTTCTCTTTCATTTCTCGACCGATTTTGATTTGGTTTGCTTTGGTACACTAAACTTCTACACAGAATTTTGAAATTGTTATCCATTAATTAATTATGGTAATTTATGTGAATTTATTCCAAAAATACCAAAAATTGCTTCTTTTCCCTTATTTCTTGACCGATTTTGATTTGGTTTGCCATATCTGGTAGAGCTAAATTTGGAACACTAAACTTCTACACAGAATTGTGAGATTTTGCTCCATTGATTATTTATGGTACTTTATGTAAATGAATTGAAATTATGTCCCTTCCAGGGCATCAAATTTTTATTATTTGACCAGTTCAAAAGTGTACCACATAAAATTTACGATAATTGTTGTTGCGAGATGCGGATGAGCGCTACGTCACACTATGAACACGACAGACAATGAAAGCGGACGAAATATACAGTTCCTCAGGTAGACAAAGGAACATCCCTTCACTGCTATTATGTAAAAATGTGTAGAACAGGTGAATATGCATGTGACACCTGTTCTACACATTTTTACATAATAGCAGTGAAGGGATGTCCCTTTGTCTACCTGAGGAACTGTATATTTTGTCCGCTTTCATTGTCTGTCATGTTCATAGTGTCATTAACGTTCTGGTTTATCATATTGAATTGCGTTATGCAGGCGAGACCGCCGAGAGCGTTTCCCTTGTTTTTATTTCCCCCATTACAGCAGGTAAAATTTTATGCCACTGCTCATTCTCCAAAAAATTATGTTAGTATTCTTTCCTTTAGAACCCATCTGTTGGTTTTCTGTTTGTAAAATTGAATTTTGCTTTCAAAATAGTGAATTTCTCCAAGTGCTTTTCTTCTCATACATGTAGGGTCACTTGTGTTTATAAATGTTTGTGAACGTGACCCTACATATTTGAGAAGAAAAACACAAATACAATGTTAAACTCAGTCATCCCTTCTAGTTCCTGGACAGCCAAGCTTTGGTACAGCCACAGTTTGAACATTGTAATGTATTATTACCAAAATGAAGAAAAGATGAATGATTATTTTATTCAGCAAAGACAAAATAAAGAAGACAGTGAAAACAAAGCAGTAGGAATTGTAGTGAGTCACAAAAATGCCAGGAAAAGGAAAAGATTAACAACTAATTCTTTGGTTGACATGAAAAAGTAAGCACAGAATACGTTATATAAAAACAAATGATGAATTGCAGACTGTATAAAAGAAAACAATTAATGTCACAAACCATACATTACATAACATAAACCTGGAGAGGGCGCTCTGTAACTGAATACTATTCAACCAATGTCTGCAACTACCAAAACAATCTGTGTTTGTATGATTATGATATATCATGTCTATGATCTATATTGTTATTTATGTGTGTAGGCTGTTCTTGCTCTGTTAAGGGCTGATGAGACAGAGTCTGCTAAGGATCTCCTTGCTGCATTCTGGCCCAAGCAGATTAAACGATCGGCAGAAGACAAGGTAATACAATTTTCACCAACTTGAAAAGATGAATTTATCCTCATTACAGTATGTCAGATTACCAAGCTAAACTACATTGTTTACTTCGTGTAACTCTTGGATCATTATATCTTTCTATCTTTTCTGCACTGCTCTATCCACCTCTTCTACTCTCTCGCTCTGTCAGCATCGTTGTCGTACAAAACTGATAAGATAACCAAATACAAAACACTCGAAATACGTTAATAAATAAAAATAATTTTGTTGAAGAAGATCATACCCAAGGTAGTGTTGAGGGTCAAGGGAAACGTGGTAGGCCAAAATTTTGATGGGCTGACGGAATAAAAGAGATTACTGGCATGAACATCTGCACAGCTAATCGCTATGCCCGGAATAGAAGTGGTTGGAACTTCATCATCAATAGGGTCACAAAGGGTCACCGTCAGTCATGACTCATTGAGGACGATGATGAGCTATTTTAATGTAAGCAAAATCAAAAAGTGCGCTTTTAAACTAAGAACTGTTTTTATGCCTCCGTTACGAAGTAGCCGGAGGCATTATGTTTTCGGGTTGTCCGTCCGTCCGTACGTACGTCCGTACGTACGTACGTCCGTCCGTCCGTACGTCCCGTTCTCGTGATCGCGTTATCTGAAGAACCGATTGATGGATTCCTGCCAAATTTTGGTCATGTATGTATCTTGCAGAGCCGATGAACTGATTAGATTTTGGGGTCACGAGGTCAAAGGTCAAAGGTCACAGGGCTCATTATGTATGCAAAAACAGCTCGTGATCGCGTTATCTGAAGAACCGATTGATGGATTCCTGCCAAACTTAGGTCATGTATGTATCTTGCAGAGACGATGAACTGATTAGATTTTGGGGTCACGAGGTCAAAGGTCAAAGGTCACAGGGCTCATTATGTATGCTGAAACAGCTCGTGATCGCGTTATCTCAAGAACCGATTGATGGATTCCTGCCAAACTTAGGTCATATATGTTACTTGCAGAGCCGATGAACTGATTAAATTTTGGGGTCATGAGGTCAAGGTCAAAGGTCATGCGGCTCATTATGCATGCAAAAATAGCTTGTGATCGCATTAACATTAGAACAGATTGATGGATTCCTCCCAAACTTAGATCATGTATGTATCTTGCAGAGCCAATGAACTGAGTAGATTCTTGGGTCATGAGGTCAAAGGTCAAAGGTCATGGGCTCATTATGTATGCAAAAATAGCTTGTGAACGCATTCTCATTAGAACTGACAGATGGATTACTATTTAACTCGGGACATCTTGCAGAGCCAATGAACTGAGTAGATAGATGTTAGGGTCATATGGTCAAAGATCAAAGGGTCATATATGTATATGATAAATTGCTTGTAATCACGATATTCTGAGAACCTGTTAATGGATTACAATTGAACTTGAATTTGAACAATTTCTTCTGTTTTGGTTTGTAAAATTGCTCTATGACGGAGGCATCATTTCAACTGCGCGCAGTCGAAGTTCCATCTAGTTTAAAAATGTAACAACTGACACAACTGACCAAAGGATCCTAATTTTCAGGAGGTTGTGACTAGCCTGTCTGGCATGGTAGCGGGTAAGAAGAACAAGCCATTTGATGTAGCGCACAGTCATCACAAGTTCTGCCAGGCTTTGATACCAACCCTGAGACAGATGCACGACCAGTTCAAGAGACCATTCCTCCTGGAGGTAAATTCAGGTTCATTCTCAGTTTGAAAGATGATCAGGAAAAAAAATTGCTTAATGAATTGACAAGTAGAAATCTGGAAAAAGTCCTTGTTGAATTGAAAGATAAACAATCTTGGGAAAGGTCTTGGTTGGATCAAACGTTGCTAATCAGTTTAGGTTTTTAGCTTTGTGGTAGTTCTGATATTTCTTGAAACCCATCAAGACTAACCATGAACCATTTTCCATGGAAAATAAGTCTGGCACAAAACAGCAATGTGTAATCAAATCAAACAATACCAGTACATTTATCTGCTATAAATTCAAGCACAACTTGGCTTTATGATGACGCAATGATGTCAGTGTAAGAGAAAACTTGGTACCGTAAACCTATTGTGATTTTTTTTATTGTCTGTCTCCAAGTGGGTCATCACTGCGACTGCCATTGACAGTACATACATATATGTAGATCTTCTTCGGGCAGCCAACAATATCGAAAGGCTCTATGATTTTTAGTTAAAAGGGGAGAAAGTTCTGAAGATTTGCTGATGACTATCTTTAATTCTTCTTAGCACATACCCATCATCCATGTACATTTGCTTTTGAAAATGATTTTGCATGGAAGCCTATTTAAAGAGCCAATATTTACTATTGATCATCGAGTGCCATATTTATGAATTAAAATAAGGAGAAGGAGGAAAGTATTTTAGAATCTTTTGTTAGGGGCTCAAGTGATCAAACTACTGATTTTCCTTGAATGATATGAAATTCAGTCATCAAATCATTTCATATCAGATTTTAGAATGCATGTACAAATTTTATGAGGTAATATTTTAAATCAATTTCTTATTTCATCATTTCATCTTGAAAACTGAATACCGGTATTCTGATCTGATCTGTTTTTATCAATTTAATTTCTCATAGATAATCGCCAAGAAGAACAATATCCAGAAGCATGGCCCAGCACGACCAAAACACATCACTTGCAGTCAACTGAAGAAGGCATGTGGACCTAAAGTATGGAAAGAAGTTCTTGAGGCGTCAGAGAAAATGGTACATGTATCACTTTCTCTCCCCCTCTTCTAAAAAGTTAGATTAGCTAGAAGATAATACTGAGTGAATGAAACAATAAGGTGACATTACAGTTTTGCCAGATTGGCAAAAACAAAACAAACAAGCAAAAGAAAAAAATGAAATACAAGAATGAAGTGTTTTTTTTTTTCATGCACTTCTAAAGAGTGTGAGGTTATTACCCAGCTCTAGCCTAGCTATCCTGATAAAGCACTGAAACATTCAAGGAATATCATCCTATCAATATGAATTCACCTAACACGAGTCAAGAGTGGCAGATATAAACGAGTGTCTTGCGAAGGATGGTAAGCGCCTGTGGCAGGGATTTGAACCCTGTACCCAGTGAACCACAGTCTGGTGATATTAATCCAGTAGACTACAACACCACTGCATTATCAGGCTTCATACAATAACGTTAACCCTCACTTTAAAATACATATTCATAGTCCATTTGACCCCTATGATGACATATAACAAAATTTACCTTCACAATGATTTAAGAAAAGATATTAATATGAGGTTGGTTCAGTGTCCATCTATTTCATGGTATCAAACTTCTCAATGAATATTAAGATGCAAGCTTTTTGAAGCCCATCTGTACTAGTTTACAGGAGGTATTTGACCACCCTGCAAGGTTACTGAGGTGGTTATCTCATCAATTCAGTTCTCAATTAACATAAGAAAAAGAGGATCATGGGGGATCAATGGTCATCGATTAGGCAATGTTTGATATATAGAGGGCATAAGTAGCTATAATTAGTGCAGTGGGGCTTTAAAGGTAAAGACCAGTTATGGTCATGCGATTGCATTGTGAAAGAAACGTTGTGGAATCGATCAGAAAAGGTTGATCATCTAGCATCTAGCATCTGCACGGTTCTGGAATCATCAAAATGATAAGAAATTTGGCCCATTCTTCGTAAAGTTACAAGCACTATACACAGAAAGATGTATATGGGACTACCCTATATCTCTCACAGACCATGAGAGAAACAAATTTACCAAATATATGAATAAGTAGGCGGTTTCCTGGCAAATTTGTTATCATCATGTATTAGTCAAAACATATTCTTTCACATGATTGGTAATGAGAGCTTCCATTTCATTTTTTGAAATTGGGGCATTTCCAATACTAGTCTTTACCTTTAAGGTATGAGATACAATACATTTATTTGGACAGTTTTAATCCCCTGTCGCATGAAGAGTGAAAGTCGTTTCATTCTCCGTGGCTTAGCTTACAACTGAATTATTTATACCCTTACCAAGTTTTGTAATTTTTAAACTGTGAAAAAATGATTTGTGCCAATTTATGTTTCTTGAGAATATGACATAATTAAAAATTACATTTACAAGTATTTAACAAAGACCCTAATTCAACCAGTCCAGTGTACATTCTTTAGTTACAAAAAACATGAATTTACAAGGGGTATGAATAATTTAGTTGTTAACTGTATATAAACAGTATTATTCAACATCGCTTTTTTGTTAGAATTGGAGACATGGATAAAATGGAGAAATTGCTTTCAATTATTTATTTATTTTTCTTTCTTTTGATAGGTTGGAGAAGCAAAAGCCTCCACATCACAAGAGGAGTCGAGCTCGTCCTCACGAAGTTCTCCACGTAAGTGATAAAAAATTACTATTGATGGACCTTTCTATTTAGCCAGCAACAAATACAAAATTAATAACTGCACTTTAGCAAATTTCTTCACATAAAAAAGGTAGAAATTCATGATTAGCAACATTTTCTGGCTTCACAGAAATGTTAGACAAAATGAAAATGTAGTGTAGTGTAGTGGTGGTTATTTTGACTGCTAAGAAAGCATAAATGCTTGTAAGTAAGCAACCAGAGGACCGACAGCTTTAGGTCCTCCCTGAGGGACTAGGTAATGAGGATTAGTGCAATACCAAAGGGTACTAGCGCATCGTCTTTGTTTTGAACCCGGTAGCAGTATTACGAGATCACTGCTCTACCAACTGAGCTATCGCGCCTCAGCATCTTTAATACCATTGATTATCTGATCCTCTGTCAAAGGAAATCTTATTGTCGTTTGTTTATGGTTGTTTTCTTTTAGGGCGTGGTCGAACTCTGACGGCTTCCTCCACATCTGAAGAAGAGTGTAGTCCAGCAAAAAGGTGAGAAATGGCATTCTTAAATTGTACCATAGGGTTATAATAAATGTCGTATTATTATATGCAAAATATGAGCATGAGATGTTACTTCTGTCAATCACAATTATCATCAAAGCAACTTGTGAGTAGACTACTTGACACACCCATATGCCCTCGCACAAATTAGGGCCCACACGATACAAGGGTTGTATATATTAGATACTGCTCTTTCCCCACTCTCCAACCTTGATTTGTCCTCATAGCTGAAATCATTGTATCGTATGAAAAAGAATATTGTCTTTTGGGAACTGTTCATTTTTCTGAATCGCAGACCAGGGAAGGGGGGGGGGGGGGGAAAGAGGTTACAAACATGTTTATTAGAAGCATTTATCTGGTAAGCTGTATGCCAATTAGAACTGTGGGCTACCTTTTAAAATCCTTCTCACCCAATATTTAATGTATATATTTTTTTTTTGTTATCCCATGAAATCAGCTCTCAATTAACATAAGAAAAAGGGCATCATGGGGGACCAATGGTTGCCGATTAGGTATTGTTTGCCATATAGAGGGCGCAGGTAGCTATAACTAGTGCAGTGGGGCTTTAAATCAAACAAACTTATCTTTTAAGCTCTCAGTCAGCATGAACTCACGATTATCCTGTAAAATCCTTCTCACCCAATATTTAATGTAGATCTTGTTTTATTTGATCTTGATACAGGGGAAGGAGCATTCGATCATTGAAGTATGGAGAGAGTTCCAGGGGTGTAAAGTCTGGTGCGAAGGACAATGCTGAGAAAGTAGAATGGGACAGCATATTGGAGAGTGAAGAAGACGATGCATTGAGAACAAGGATTAATGGTAATGGCAAGGATTTCTACTTTGAATTTTGAATGGTGATTCAAACAGCGGGACATTTCAATTGGGAAAAGACAGGGAATCTTTGAATGTCGCTACTGTCCAATGCTACCATTGCTACATGTACATGTAATCTTATGTATGAACAGTATTTAGAGTTTACCATTATGCAATCCTGCGAAATAGATTTAATCGAGGAGATGTAGTTTTACATTCAAAATGCCACTTTTTATGCATGGAATTAAAAAAAGAAGTTGACTTAGCAGTTGATGTTTGAAATGACACTTTTGACATTCAAAGTGTCATTTATATGCTTTGAATTAAAAAAAAAAATGATGTAAAGTCAACTTTATTAGTTGCTGTTTCAATTTCTTTGCTATCAGGCGATAAATCCATCAGTACGCCCAAGGTAGATGCCACCCTGGGAGAAGTCCCTGGAAAGCGGCGACACTGGAAGGTGCATAAGAGCGCCTCACCAACCAAGAGAAGGCCCTGGTCCTCGGACGAGGAGGAACAACTCAAGCTCGGCATCAACCGCTACGGGGTCGGCAAGTGGGCCGAAATCAACATGGCTTACACTTTCCGCAACAGGACGAATGTGCACCTGAAAGATAAGTACAGGACAATGGTAAAACAAGGCCTCATCAGCAACTAGGAACACGGATAATGGTTTTAGACGACAACAGCTGCAGAAAAGGACAGTCATAGACGAAGACCTCATCTGTATCAGCATCTAGGAGCTGGTTTGAATGTATGTGAGTTGAGCTTTGTCGTCACCAAGTGGGCCAAAATCAACATGACTTGCACATTTGACAATTTGAGTTCTTGAGCCCTTCACCAATCAACCACGATGTGCTTGGTATTATCTGCTTTGTGGTCAGAAAGTAGGCTGAAATCGACATGGCTTACACTTTCTACAACCAGGATGAATGAACAGCTGAAATATAAGTACAGGACGATGGTACACCAAGGCCTCATTAGCAACTAGGAATATGGCTAAATACATTCCTGATAATTCCGGTGTTGCAAAGGATTATTGTAAATAAATACCTCATCGACGATGTTATCAGCAACTAGGAGCTCAGCTGGTATGAATATAAGCGAGTTTAGCTTCGTAGTTAGCAAGTGGGCCAAAATGTAATGTCTTGCACTTTTGACAATTAGGGTTGTTAAACAGGTGCTTTATCACCAGCCAGGATCTTATATGAATTTATGTGAGGTGAAGTTAACCTTGTGCACGGCCCTACGTGTCATCAGTGTCTGTGAAATGGTGTAATATTGAAGCCCTAAAAAAAAGTGCACTTCAAAACGATCAAGAAGTGCCTCAAAAAGGTACCAGACTCGTTTTACCCAATAGACTGTAGTGTTATGAAAACCGTTAGGAAAACGCAAAATTTGATTTTGATTTCCAATCATATATATCTTGGTAATCTGATTGGCTTATAAATGTCATGGAATTCCTGACTGACCTAAAGGTTTATAATTATGATTGCAGCATGAGCTAAATCGAGGATTTTGTTTAAGAATCTGAGACAAAGTTACCAGATCCCTTTAAGGTTCATATGGAGTCCTTCAACAATCAACCACAAGGTGCTTGGTATCGCCCGCTCTGGGGTTGGCACGTGGGTTGGACCACAGGATAAATGTCCAGCTGAAGGACCAGAAAAAAGCCTCTTCAGCAACTGGGGTCTTGTATGAATGTACATGTATGTGAGTTAAGCTTGGACTTGACCTCATAGTTTGACCTCATAGCTTGAAGTCATGAGAATTTCTCCTACTACCACTAGGATGTGCGGACATCGCACTGATTTGTCGAGATTTTCCATTCAGTTTTATTCTCCATGATCTTCGGGAGTTCCTTCTTTGGTATAAAAGTCTGTTCTTTTTTTCTTGAGGTTTGTAAGTCATTGCAGGTTGACCTCTGGCAAGTTTGCCCCTTGAAGGCTCCCAGAAGAGCATTTGGGAAATTATCTTACTCTTGCTCCTCCAGCAATGACCACTAAAACGCACAGTGTATTAATAGAATACAGATTTCCTCTATAAAGAAAGTGCACACTGCTATTTTGAGTCACCATGATAAGTTTAATACACAGATTAAAGCAGTGGATCGATTGGCACTGACTTTGCGTTTGGTCACCAAGAGATATTATGGTATTTTGAATGAATGAATGATGGTGGTTATTTTACCTGACTGCTAAGAAAGCATAAATGCTTGTAAGTAAGCAACCAGACGGACGACGGCTTTAGGTCCTCTCCGAGGGGACCTGGTACTGAGGTTTAATGCCTTACCAAAGGGCACTGGCGCTTCGCCTTGGTTTCGAACCCGGGTCACCGGATTACGAGACCACTGCTCTACCGACTGAGCTATCGCGCATATATAGCATATGTTGCTTTGTCGGGCAAGCAAACATAAAAAATGATTTACACCCATTATAAGAATGTTGTCATAACACTGTGTATAGCATGTTGATATCTTACAAGAATATATGTTCTATGTCATTTGACATAAGACATTTGACCCTGTGCCATTGAAACTGAAGATTTTATAAAAGGATTGATACATGTAGCATAGATTTATGATTGTTTTAACCCATGTAATGAAATGAATTGAATGAAGGAATGAGCAAGTTGGAATTGTCAATTTGGGGATGTGACATACATGTAATTGTAGAGTTATCCACCTTTGAACCCAGTTCTATCTTCACATGGAACAGATGAACTATGAAGAATTTCATAAGTTTCACCTTTGTCCAAGGTTTGAAAGATATGTACATGTGAAACCATTTTTATGCATATGCCACCAAACGTTGTGATGGAGGTATCATGTAATTGGGTTTTTACAGTCATGTATCAATCAGATATGATTATTTACGTCTGGGGACCGACCTTTAACGTCTCTTTCCGAAAGACCATTGAACAGATTTTAACCAGACTTGGATCAAGTCTATTGAATGCATAATTAACATTGGATTGATACAATATTTCATATGTATATATACAGAAATGTACAAAATTATTACAAATATATTGAATGCATAATTAACATTCAGTACATGAGATGCAGGAGGGCTACAGCATATTAAAGCGAAGTAGCTTGACGCTGACTCAGCCCTCAACTCAGATAAATAAATATTCTCTTAAATTTCACCTTGTGAAATCTGCTTTTGATTCATCCAATATTTCTGTATTTCATCTGTGTCATGCTTGTATATTTCCTTAATGTATATATGAAGGTTTATGATTTTCATTTACACTGACTGTCAGTGCCTAGATCATCTTATGAAATGGATTTGGCACTTTACAAATACATGACTCATACTTACTGTTATGATTTAATCATTTTACTGTATTGTCTGTATGAATCGAGATGGTCAGTTACCTCTGTGTAACACTCTTCTGGCGCTTCACAGACAATATTTTACCAACAAACTCATGCACTGATTATATAGTTTGGTTGTTTTGGTATTTAGTCACACTTGTCTTGAAGACCACCTGTATAGAAAGACAGAGAGTCTTTGTAGACAGGTTTGTTTATACAGTGGAACCGCATTATAAAGAGCTCTGATATAACAAAATGTCTATTATCACAAAGTGATTTTTGCTGGTCCTACCTCCTTTTTTTAAAACCCTGATAAAACAAGATTACTGATGTAACAAATAGTTTCCATAGTCCCAAGGACCTCGCTATAACGAGTTTCCATTGATTTAAATTATTATCCTAGAATTTTGAAATTTTATCAGGGGAAAAAGGAAATACTTGGGGAATTATTTTTGTATGAAATGACGGGAATCCAAGTTGAATATAATAATACACATGTAGTCACTTTGTATACTGTCTGAAGCTCCACTTTATTGTTATTTGTTGCACATGTATTTGTTTGATACATGGACGCCTACTCAATTGAAGTTTGGGTTTTCAATGAAATGAAGGTGAGGTGGATTTTGGTCTGCGAATGGACCTTTGTTAATAAAGCCCAGTTTTATTACAATCTGATTTGTGTTTCTCAGTTCAGGTGTGACAGCGTTGCGGATCATTAGTTTTAAACGAGGTCAAGGAGAGAAAAAAAGGGAAAAGAGTGGTTACATGATGACCAAGAATTTTGACAACATGTGTATTGGGGCAATAGCAAAAATGACGTCAGTCCGTAGGTTGATGAAGGGGGAAAGCCACGCCAAAATAGTTGAAAGAAAAGAAAAAAGAGACCACTTCATTGCTATTTCAGCTTTTTAGGTTATTGATAAGAAAATACTATAATATAAAGACTTGATAGGAAGTGGAATTGGTCGTACAAATTGTGAGAGGAGAAAAGGGGGGGGGGGCGTGGGGTTAATTGCTTCCCCTCTCTAGTCTTTGATTGCTTTCGGGATGGCAGACAATAGAGGAGAGTTGTGGACATTATGGGTAATGATGTTTGGAAGAGAGAGAGAGAGAGAGAGAGAAAGAATGAAAAGGGAAAACAGAATCACACAAGGGCATTTAGAAAGCTTAGATTCAACAGAACAGTTTAAAACGCAATTGTGAATGTACCTCTTTCTGTAAAAAAAAAATAATAATAATTACCCGTAGAGATATAGATTATCCTAGGAATGATAAAACAGAAAAATATCTTGCATATTTATTGGCGTGTCTTGATCAAAAGTTTCGTATAGGATGTACGCGTTATAAATCAAAATATTTTTTTTTCATCAAATGTAGCTGGTTGATGTAATACAGGGGGAAGGAAGAAAGTGTGTGAGAGAGAGAGAGAGAGAGAGAGAGAGAGAGAGAGAGAGAGAGAGAGAGAGAGAGAGAAAGAGAAAGAGAGAGGGCGATATTCGTGTATTCACCCTTTTGTTAATTGCTTCATCCGCGTGTAATTAGAACAGAATCGAAGCATGCCGGATGTTTTTTCTTATAATCATGCTAGCTTCTTTGTTCGCTTTTTTCTTCTTCAAAATGATCGAGACATTCATCCAATAGACTAGGGTGCTAGCATGGGTTTCTTTCTTCTCCCTTTTCCCCTTTTTTTGGTTATGCGTGGCATAGGAATAGGTCCAATTCGAGAATTATTTAGATTTTTTGTTTATTGGTTGGTTTTTAGTTCTTAGTTTAGTTTAGTTTAGTTTATTCTAGTTCTTTTGGCAGAGTAAGTAAACATTGAAAATTGATAAAAGTTTCAGTTCAAAGTCGACAAAAGTTCAACACAAAGTTGTTTTTATCACAACTGCTAGGGTTATATTTAAATGCATAGAATGTAGTGATTTTGATGGTAAACTATTGTTTTTCTTTTACATTGATCTGGGGGGCAGTGACGTATCTGCAGTGAAAAATGCCCTTAAATAAAATATAAAAACAAAGAAAAATGAAGAAAACATATTTTCTTGTGTTTTATCTTTTCCCCTCGTCTTTTGTACCTCTCTATTTTGAATATACAGTACGAATATTTGAGCTTGGCGGATCAAATGAAATAAAATAAAATAAAATCATATGAAATCAAGTGTTATGTCAGGGGTAAAAGTCGGTTAGCATGGGAAATTACCGCGGGGCAATGATCACATGATCATTTGTGTCGGACAGCCGTCTCTTTGTATTTGTACAAATGCACACTAGCGCACTGATGGAAGGGGGGGGGGGGCTTTGAAGGGTAGTTGACCCCCTAAATACAATTCAAACTTGGTGTATTTCGATACCAGTGATTTACAAATGATGCAGAAATTATATGATTTCTGGGTTTTGTCCTCACTTTTGCCAGAAGCGGTACTACCGGTGGGAGGGGGGGGGGGGGGGCGCTATGCCCCACCTTTTCAGTAGCCCCAAAGTGCCACTATTTACATAGGATAATTGCCCCTTTTCTTTTCTAATTACTGTTCTTTTCCTCTCTTTTCATCTCTGATGAGTACCTCTTTTCAGGTGCAAGAAGTTCCCCTTTTGACCTCTGATATTTTTGCCCATTTTTACGTTAACTCGTGCCCCTTTTTCTTTATAATAAGTGCACTATTTCCTTCGTAATAAGTACCCCCTTCACTTCCTCCTAAATGCCACTTTCTACCTCTTATAAAAGCCTCTTTTATTTTCACACGTGCCCATTTTCCTTTTTAATGAGTATCATATTTCCTTCGGATACTAGTGCTCCCTTTCCTTTTTATGTATGAGCCCCTCCCTCTTTTCAAAATGCCCATTTTCACATCTGATAAATGCCCCTATTTAAACCTGATAGGCGCCCTTTTCCTTCCACAGATTTCCCATTTACATACAAGTACCCCTTTTCATCTCTGTTGAGTGTCCCTTTTACCTTTTCAGGTGCAAGAAGTGTCATTTTCGACTCCGATGATTGCCCTTTTTACTTTGACACGAGCACCTTTTTTCCTTCTAATTACTGCTCTTTCCCTTTTGATAAGTGCCTACTTTTTCTTTCTCAATAACATGCATCCCTAATTCAAGGCGACCAGCTTAGATCCCTCTTTTCTATTATTTTCCCTAGACTTCGCTCTTTACGCTCGCTCGCATTTATAGATGTAATAATTACGTTATTTATAAAATAACTCTTCAGTCTTTCTTCATTAGATTTTGCTTAATGCTCATCAGGTTTTTTTTTTTTGGTCTTCACTGGGACCTCATAAATCTTAATTTGTTTGCTCGCTCGCTTTGCTTGCTCGAAAATTAACATTTCAGATTATCACACCCAACTAAAAAAGTATGCTGCCTATATTGTACCACGTAAAGAAAGAAACAAACAAATATTGATGTCATCCCTGATAGTGTAATCACGATGAAGCGGTAAATACATATGCTTTTTTGATGTTACCATTCCTTTTTTTATCTTCCAGAAAGTGTTCTTTTGTGTGTGGGTGTCCCCCTATGTTGGATGACTCACCACCGCCCCTGCATTATGCTACTTGGTGGTGATGCAGATTTTGTTCTGACCCTCCAAAAGTTTTTTTCGCTTTTTACAAATGCCTTTTTGATGTTTTCCTTTGTAGGTGCCCCTTTTTTTCTTCAAGAAAGTGCCACTTTTTTGTTGGTGCCTCCTATTTTTGGATGACTCACCGCCGCTCCTGCATTATGCTACTTGTTGGTGATACAGATTTTGTTCTGACCCTCCAAAAGTTTTTGCTCATGATGCCACTGCAAATGCAAGACTCTTTCCTGACTTTAAACAGATTGCAAATGTACGAACTGAATCATATGCCCATGAACAAAGTAATTTCGTCCTTTTGTAGTAGTTAGTATTTTTCCATTCGTATACAATTTCCTGAGATAAATCTGCCTCAGGCGTGGAAAGAAATTAGAATACATTATTATGCCTGATAACTGAACCTTGTCAAATCTTGGACAATGGCTTTTCTCTCTTCTACAGGGTAACACTTTTTACATGAAGGTGCGCTCATATGCAAATAATAGGCTTGTATTGAAAAAAAGTATTCCTTTTCCCAGAGTTCCGTGGTCATACAGACGTCCCCGAATTTCTATCAAACGGGGTTTTCAATCCACACCCATAGGGAGCTTGTGTACACCATCGCGATTATTTCGGAAATTATTTGACAATGCCAGGCGGGTATGTAAACTTTCCTTTTTCATGTTTATGTCTTGAACCTGTACCTATCAAATCCATATAAGCCACAAATATGTTATAACTATTGAAATTTCTCCCAGGAAGCATTACATTTATAAAAGTTATTGTCCTATGGCGGACTAATGAATATTAATAAGTCAGAATGAATCAGGAGAGCTTGGGTATTTGTTTCTATTTCATCGTGACTGTGCCATGGACCAGTGATGGCCAGGTAATAGAGTCGCTGCCCGGCAAGCAGTAGATGGCAGGTTCAAATCCCGCTGGTTCCAAGATTTTTTTCTGACTTGTTTTTCAATTACAGATCGATCAATCGATCTTATTTACTGCAGTGGCGGATCCAGGAATTTCTTACGGAGGGGGGGGGGGGGGGGGGGGGCACAAAATCGCATGGGGTAAAATATATGAAAAACGATGGAGCGAGGCGTCAGCGGCGAGGGAGCGGAGCGACCAAGCGGGGTTGGGTCTGGGAGGGGGTCAGAACCCCTTCCCTGAGTAGGAAACATTTGCAATTTTAGAACCACATTAGGTGCATTTTCAGGCACTTCCTGGAGTAATATGACGTAAAATTGCTTTTTCCTACCCCCTCAAAGAGTAGAGATCCAGGGGCGGGGGGGGGGGGGGGTTGACCCAATGACGACACGGAGCATCGTCCACGAGCCGCGAATCGGCGAGGCGATTTTTTTTTGTTGTTGCTATTTTGAACCCCCGTAAGTGATGTTTTCCAGGCATCTACTGATACAATGGAGACCATAAAAAGCAGTGCATGATAATTACGTCTTTTTAAATCAAGTAACAGTTTAAGGGGGGTCGACCCAAAGACAATGCAGAGCATTGTCCACGAGCCGCGTATCGGCGAGGCGATTTTTCGGGGTGTTATTTTGAACCCCTGTAAGTGATGTTTTCCTGGCATCGATCTGGCTTTTTGCTAATTATAGGGGGGTTGACCCAATGACGACACGGAGCATCGTTCACGAGCCACGAAGCGGCGAGGCGATTTTTGGGGGGCTATTTTGAATCCCCGTAAGTGATATTTTCCTGGCATCTACTAACACAATGGAGACCATAAAAAACAGTGCATGATAATTACGTCTTTTTAAATCAAGTAACAGTTTAAGGGGGGTCGACCCAAAGACGATGCAGAGCATTGCCCACGAGCCGCGTAGCGGCGAGGCGATTTTTTGGGGTGCTATTTCGAACCCCCGTATTCCATATAGACATAATCAATTTTTGATAACATAACGAACGTGAAATATTAGGAAGTACTTTCTGACCATAAACCATAAATAAGCAAACAAACATAATACCTTTTATAGGGAAAAATAACACAACTCTTCAAATTATCATATTTTATCAAACTTTTTTATACAATTATTTCCGGAAGAACCACTATCATTGTAGGTTAATTGCTTGAAAAAATATGATAGCCCAAAACAAATCTCATGAATTGATTGATATTTATGCAACATATTAGGATAAAGATGATATTGATGTTGATGTCGACGATGATGATGATAATATTGATAATGAAGATTACAATGAAATTAATATAGACAGAATGAAAAAACAGAAAAGTTGACGCAGAAATTTCACCTTTATTATTTGAATAAGAATTCTAAGATTGACAATGCCTATAAATTTATTGTAAGAAAGCGTATTTTGATAATAATTAAAAAAAAAATGTTTTACTTTGGCTTAAAACGAGTAGAAGGAGCAACAGAATTTAATCAATCTATAGATCGGGTTGAATAGATGAAAGTTATAGGAATTATGTGTATGGTAGAGTAAATGGTGTTATTCATATTTTAGTAAAAAGGTTTTGAAATGAAAGTTGGAGCATATTATTTAAAAACCTAAACATGAACAGTAAACTTTGTCAAAGACTGTTAAGGTTTTTAATTTGTAAAATAATGGACTTGTGGGAGACAAATATGGTGAACCAGTGCATACACGAAGAGATTTCTTTTGATTTTGGTTCTGGCGCTTGTGCCCCACACTACTATTATACAATAGGTTATACACGGTAATATCAATAAACAATAAAGCATCCAAGCGTGTTACATGGGATAAACTTGTTTTCTTTAATTTTTTTATTTTATAGTATACCAACACCCTGAGAAAACGATTTAGTTATTTGACATATATATTTGTTCCAATTTAATTTTCCGTCAATGAAGACACCCTCAAATTTTGTGTACCTCTTCATTTCAAGAGTTGTGATAACATTTAATGGCATGTAGATTTGCGTGTCTAAAGTGATTTTTTTGTTGTTGATTGGACATAAAAGCATTTCAGTCATAATTGGCTATTTCTGCCTCTTGTGCTGCACTTGGATTTTGAAATGAAATTTGTTTTTATCTATAAAGGTTAGTTTATATCACCTAAACTATTGCTTGCTCTCTTTTCTTTTTTTCTTTTCTAGTCTCAATTACGAGTCCGGCGAGCCGATTGTCAAGTCGAAAGGGACGCCGGGATCGGTGAAATGTGTAGTACTCGTGATTACCCTGTTCATCATCGCTGCTCTTGTCGCGATAGCGATGCACATCTATAACATAGGTGAGATCTCACAGAAAAAGAGAGACAGAGACAGAGAGAATAAGAGAAAGAGAGAATAAAAAAGGGAAAGTTAGATAGGAGAGAGATGGGTACTATAGTATACAAATGGAAAGAGAAAGAGAGAGAGAGAGAGAGAATGAGAGAGAGAGAGAGAGAGAGGGAGAGAGAGAGAGAGAGAACGAATAGATATAAGGGAGAGAGATAATTATGTAGGAAGGTAAAGAGAGAGAAAGAGAATTAAAGAGAGAAAGACGTAGCCTTGAAGAGAAAAAAGAGGGAGTGAGAGAGAAAGATGGAGAGAGAAAGAAATACATTTGGAGAGAAAGAGAGATATATATTTATAGAGAGAGATAGCAAGCTAGACTTGAAGAGAAAGAAAGTAAGAGAGAGAGAGAGAGAGAGAGAGAGAGAGAGAGAGAGAGAGAGAGAGAGGGAGAGAGAGAGAGAGAGAAAAAGGGAGAGGAGAGAGGCTCTTAGCAATCGTGAACTTTTATTATATCTTTTCTTTGCTTATTATGTCAAAATAACTTTGCTTGATTTTCGATGAATTTGTGAACATTTTCATACAGTTGATCCACTTTTCACCAAAGACGAGCAAAGAACCCACTCCCTACATTTCTTTTCTTTTCTCTTTTTTTGTTGTTGTAAAGCCATTGGTGGAACAAATTTGACACAAAGGAATAAATATTTCGAACTACTACTGGTAAACAGCTTGATTGTATCAGTCCGAATGTGTTAGTCAAGGTCATTTAATTGTGTAAAGTATACAGCCCCAAAGAAATGAGTTGACCCAAACAGTTCACCCTTTGAAAAGTTTGCCTTCAATAACATTTTCATAATAGGACATGGTATGTCAAAAACTGACTTGGAAATGGTCTACAAGCCCAATAATATAGGTTAGAATCAGTAGAATAGGCATTTCTGTATGCGTACAATGAAGAGTTGACCCCAACGAAAATCTTCGATTTCTACTCAATTGGTTGCCAAAGTGTGATTACTACTGCTGCTGTTCCTTTTATATTTGTCACACGACACCACAACCACTACCACTTCTGCTACTGTTGCTGCTACTGCTACTACAACAAGGGCTGGGGGAGGAGGGGGGGGGGGGGTGGGTAGGGTAGGTGGCCAGGTGACGGAACCCTTTGAGTATTTGATATTTAACAATATTTGTGTAACCGCCGCTTCCTATTCGAGCACCTTTTGAAAAATCAAGTACAAGATATTCAATAATATATAATATATTTGATTAACATAAAACGTGACAACTGAAATACACACAATTTACATAAAGATTGCAGTTTGAAAAATGTAAATTTTAGCAATTTTTTAATAAAATATTGGCTCAGTATGGGCTAAATAATGAATGTGTACAAATACGCAGTCACGGTGATTTCTTTTGGAGACAATATATTAACATCGTTTTCATCTATTACGATTACACCATACCATGTTACAATAAGATATGTATGAACAAATGAAAGAATTGTGAAGCATAAATAGTGACTTTTGTGAAAGAAAATATTTTGATTTATATAGAATGCCTATGCCTCTCGAGACTAACATGTAAATGTTATTAATATGGCTATTCCAAGTTAAATTTGAATCAGTCATTACACCTAAGAATTTTGTAACTTCTTTTTCAATTACGGGCATGTCATTGACACACATATTATAACGAATTACGTGTTTGGAGTGCGTCTTTCTGAAATAAATATAATTAGTCTAATTAATATCTGAAGAGATTTTTTGAATTTGAACCAAGATGACAATTTATTTAATTATAAATTGAGGGTTGTAATAAGAATGCTTAAATCTACTGCATGTAAATAAAATACTTTAGTATCGTCTGTGAACAAAAAGTTTGTTAGGAGTGGTGATGCATTAACAATATCATTCATATATTAAAAAAAAACATTAAAGGACCTAAGATAGTGCCTTGTGGTACTCCGCACTTTATGGTGGAAATATTATATGCTTTAGATATAAAAAATACTTCTACCACTACTACTATTACTACTACTACTACTACTACTACTACTACTACTACTACTACTACTTATATATCTAGTATTTCTACTACTAATACTACTTATACTACTACTAATACTGCACCTACTACTATATGTACTACTACTACTAGTCTAGTGCTACTACTACTACTACTACTTAAAATAAATTATTGTCCAAGTCAATGTTATTAGGCTCCCTCTAATGAAATGTTATGGATATATGCGTGTATATGATAAATAATGTATATGTGACCGCCCCCTATTTTATATGTTAAATTGAAGTCTCAGGCATGTGTGTGTCTGAGTGTATCAGTGAGGGTGTGTGCGTTTGTGTATCTGTGTGTGATAATATATGCAGGCTTGTTTGTTTATTTTTAATCTTTGATTGTTTTTCACTTTTTCTTCTTTTGGAATACCATGTTACAAGCATGTTGTTTCTCGGTGTTCCTAACCATAATTGTATTTACTGTTTTAAATTGATATATTGTTATTGTTTTCATTTTATGTTATTTTATGGTTGAATCAATAAATACAAAAACAAATACTATTACTACTACTACTACTACTACTACTACTACTACTACTACTACTACTACAACTACTACTACTACTAATAATACTACTTTTATTTCTACTACTACTGCTACTAATACCACTTCTACTACTATTACTACTACTACTACTACTTCTACTACTACTACTACTACTACTACTACTACTACTTCTACTACTACTACTACTACTACTACTACTACTACTTCTACTACTTCTACTACTGATACTACTATTATTATTACTATTACTACTACTACTACTACTACTACTACTACTACTACTACTACTACTACTACTACTACTACTGCTATCACTAATAGTGTGCCAGAATACTATTAATACGACATACTGTTATCGATTTACTCTTATAATTATGCTGATTGCATTTTGTCAATTAAAATGTCTATTTTTCTCTCTTTTGTTTTTACACAGAACTTGCCAGACAAGGTAATTTGAAATCCTGTTTTAAGTAATGTTTTAAGTTTGAATATTGGTGTGTAAAAAACCTTTCACATGACAATATTACTGAAATTCTTATTAAGCTAAAAAAAACTATTTGAAATAAAACGAATTGTAAAGTTAGTCGTTTATGTTTCCATAGTAAAAAGATAAAGAGATGCCAATTAGATAACTTATAAATTACTGGGAACTGGAATGAAAATTCTGCTGTCGCATAAGATCGACGAATATGTAATTTACCGGGGCTATTCTACGATAAGTTTCACTGGACATGTAGATCTTCCACCTTGAATAATCCGCACAACTACAGCTGAGTGGTTTGCTGATGATATTTTAGAATATTTTTTTTTACTTCCAAGTGGGTGGTGGCCCCGGGAGGTGATTATACTTCAGTGGTAATTATTCTAGGGTCTATTTTTCTAGAAGGTACTTGTCCGGATTAAATTGTTTTAGTTAGTATTTTTCAAGATGATAGTCCATGAAGTGGGGGATGGGGGGGGGGGGGGGGGGAGTTTGTCGAGTTTGTCGAGTTTGGCGGTAAAAGATCGCATATTACCATCGGGTCGATTGAGAGATTAGCTCAAATAGTACTATAACCTTTCATTTATATACATTTGGAGAAAATTTTCTTTTATTGAGAACCTCTCTTACTGCCTTTGAAGATTATCCATGCGGGGTATCAACAAGCGTAGACAACTTCTATTATTTACCTTATATAGCTATTCACATTGCTTGCAGTTCACCCAAAAAAGTAAAACCGGGTTTTCAGGGGTGGCTTCAGGGTTTTGTAAAGGGGTCCAATTGAGAAAAATAATAATCTGCCAAGCAAGCAAACAAAAAGAGTTATGAGACAAAAACGGAGGCTTTTATCAGATAGAAAATGATGTTGACTACCACCCCCCCCCCAAAAAAAAAAAAATAATAATTGAAAGCTCATATTATCTTGTTTAATATTATACTACAATCATGAAGTCCAAAAGGGTCAGGCAGGTCAAAAATGACTGCTTCGAAAGGAAAGAAATTCAAACATAGTAAGAAACAAATTTATTTACTTCATTTCCTTGTGAGATCTTTCCATAATGATTTGGGTGTCATACAAAAGAATGAAAAGAACATAGGCCTAAGCTTTTCAATGATGAGAAATTGGGAACATTTTTTTCTCTTGGGGGTGGGGGGGGGGGATGAGTCGGATTTATTACTTTTTTTTGCAACATTAAAATAGACCTGTTTTCTAGTTTTATGCCAACTGTTATAACAAAAGTTTCCCTGATGACTGAAAAGCTAGCCAGAGAGCAGAGGCTAATGTATGGGTAGTGAATTCCATCCATAGACATGCATTTTGCATAACAGGAGAATGGAATTGTTGGTAACCAACGCACAGTGGGCCAGGGAGGAACCAAAGTGCGCCAAAACTCATGTTTGGGGATTTATTTTTTATAAATCCAGAGGAAATGTTTGGATTTCCAGGGATTTTCGTTTAAATTTTATTACCAACATTTTCTCTGATGTCTAAGCTTTAAGTTAATAGCAGATTTGGCTGCCCGATTCTGCCCGTTATTATGTTAAAGCCGTTTTCCTTGCAACATTGCCCCGAAAAATGTGTTTATTTTGGTCCGCGGTGTCAGAACAAGTGTCACGCGCCCCCTCGCGCCGTGATTTATGACCACGAATCCTTCATGATTCAGCCGCGGACCCCAAAAACCTACATTTTTCGGGGCAATGTGGCAAGGGAAATCGGCTCTAACATGACAACGGGCAAGATCGGGCAGCCAAATTTGGTATCAACTTAAAGCTTAGACATCAGAGAAAATGGTGGTATTAAAATTTAAGCGGTACACTGCGGAGATCTAAACATTTCTTCTGGATTTATAAAAAACATTGTTAATTAGTCCATTTTTCAGTGAATTACCCTATAATATATCATGAAGATTGTGTTTCTATTAATTCTAACCCATTCATTCAACGAAATGAACTATCAGTAATATGTGAGAGCAATTTCATATCAATAACTTAAAAACTTCATGTTGAATTGAAAGATTTATAAAATAAGTCACTTTTGCACTAAAACTGTGAATATGTAGGATTTTGCTGTTTGAAGTAGTAAATTTATACCCTTATTGTGCATACCGGAATTAAATATTTCACTGAGGTATTCCTCTATGTATTACCTTTCAACTGGGCAAGAAAAAAAATTGGAAAATAAAAATCACCCAAACTTAGTTTTGGCGCACTTTGGTTCCTCCCTGGCCCACTGTGCAACGGTTCTGGAGCGAAAGAAATATGCATACAACGAAAACAGCCATTTGCTCATTTTTGACAAATTGAAATCTGAAATCAGTTATTTATTATTTTATTGTATATAATTATTATTAATCATGTTTTGGGAGTCATATGAACGAAGAGGAAATGGACTTCCTAATGATGCGCAATAATCAACAAAGAAACGATTTATACGGAAGCTTAAAGGCACACTGTCCTACTTGTAGCTACTTGCTCCCTCTATATAGAAAACTTCCCAAATTGGTGCCTGTTGGTCCCCCATGATCCTCTTTTTCTTATGTTAAATGAGAGCTGAGTTAATGAGATAGCCAGCTGTCACAGTGACCTCGTTGGCTCGCTGTGTGGTCTAATCCCTTCTAGCTGCAGTAGTAACTACCTTTAAAGGCGCCGACGAGACAACGAGATAATTACGAACAATAATTAAAGGAGACGAGTTGTTGGATTGTTTTAAGTCGGCAAGTCGACGTGTTTAGGAAGAGAGGACGAAATGTCACGATGGCAACAGCCCTAAAAGATCGCTCAAAAGGGAGGAGTATAGGGACGTCGGACGTTCTTTTCCTTCCCTTGTCAAATTTCTTAACATTTTGGGGAGGAGTAAGGATCACCTCGTACATAATTAACCTTTCGGCTGACAAGCGATTACAAATAAAATAAGAGGGGTTGAGCCATATTATAATGGGGAAACCCCAGAAAAGGTTTAATGCCAAATCATAGATGATGGGGGGGGGGGGGGGGAGGGGCATACCAAATACAACTTGAGTAGCCGAGTTCCAAGAACTCGTTATACCGTCTTTTCGTCCTAAAGAATTTGACTTGCCGATTTCAAACGACTCCCTATCTCGTCTTCTTGTCCAAAACAAGTCGGCTTAGTACTTTTAGACATGATAAGTGATATATACATGAAAAAGTTAACTATCATTATTATTTTCAGTATTAATATTCAGGCCTGAGATATAATTAGAAAGTTAGGCCACGTAAATAGACTCATAATGAAGGAGTTTAGGTAAATTGATTTATTATAATAACTGGCTTTTTACATTGTTATCTTAAAAGGTGGTAGCATCATGGTAACTGAGAATGTGACAACACAAGCAACAGAAGCAACAGAAGCAACTCCAGAGCGTAAGTATTACATCTCTTTTTCCCCATTTTTGTTGAAGTATAAGTTTGAACAAAATATAAGTTGTTAAAATTGTGTCCTTAATTTCTCTAATTAATCCTAATAATTGTGTAATGTTTATGATAAGCAATGCAAATTTCATACTACTATTTTTAAGCTTACATAATTTCATATTTGTAATGACCCCGATTATGATTATGTAGTGTTTATGATAAGCAATGCAAATGTGTTTTCGTATGTGTGTGTATGGGGGGGGGGGGGGGTGGGGGATTCATTACCTTTTTTTTGCAACACAACAATAGTCCTGTTTACTAGTTTTATGCATACTTTTGTAACAAAAGTTTCTTTTGATGACCGAAAAGCTTTGCCAGAGGGCAGAGGCTTATGTAGGGGAAGTGAATTCCATCCACAGACATGCATTTTTTTTTTTTTTTTATAGCAGTTGAATCCAGAATCATGCAGGTATTGATGTAAATCAGTATACAGATCTATTATTTTGAAAAATTGAAATCTGAAATCAGTCATGTGTAATATTGTATTGTTTTTTGGGAGTCATATGAAAGAAGAGGAAATGAGCTTCCTATAATGATGCGCATTATTTTTAAGCTTACATAACTTCATATTTGTAATGACCCCGATTATAATTGTGTAGTGTTTATAACAAGCAATGTAAATGTGTGTTCATGTGTTTTTGAGGGGGGGGGGGTGAGGGGGAGGGGGTGGGGTGGTGCATTGGTTATTAAATGGTAACATAACTGACTCGTGTACATCTTGCACTTGTATGATTCATTTTAAATGATCGCAACGTCTTTTTTTTTTTTTAAGATGCCGGCGGATTGAATTTGCATTTTGTGTGAGTGCGAAGAATGAAGAACTGTTTATGTACTCAATGCAAATGCGAGGGGGTGCCCGCTATTGAGAAAAAAAGGAAGCAGAAAATCTGGCAATGCAATCGTCTCAGATCCTTTAGGAAGAGCTGCCAGATTCATCAAATTTGAACTCTGAACCACCCCTTATATCGGTCACTTCTGAATCCACTTCTTTCAATTAAATCGATATGCTGATGTTTAGGATGTGTCAATTAAGTAAATGTATGCGACGTATAGGTATTTAGTTGTACAATTAGGTTATACCCCACTGAAAGCGATTTGGATAGCAGTACATGTTGAAATAAAATTGGAAGTGATCAACGAGTTTGTTATATGAACACAATGGATTGTTCTCTTTCATTTTTGTATGTCTATCTTACTCCTGTTGTGCCTTTAGTTATGATGCAAATGCATTGATGCGATTTCATTTTTACAAGAGTGCGTATTTGGCGCCTTACATGTACTTTTAAAGGGGAATTAACCACGAACTACATGTTAATTTCAGTTTGTAGGCCATTTAAAACATTATCTGAAAAATATAAAACATCGTACATTTGACGAAAGGGAGGACGGAACTCTTTTTCAGAACCCTTCGTCTTTCACGGCTATGAGAATTTTCAGAACGTCGCCATTGTGTTTGCGCTCTCTATGTGGTCTCTTTATTGTACTTCCAAGACGATATTATTTGGCCTACAGCAATGCTTTCTATATAAAATAAAAAGTTGCTTTACTCTATATGTCATGGTAATGCTTCATAGTCGAGAGGTTAATTCTCCTTTAATAATAGCATTAATGTAGATAGGTCGCATTATGTGATAGAACCATACAGACTCATATATATTTCCAATTATTCTTCTTCCTTCTAAATAAAGCATGTATGATGCCCGAGGAAGCTTTTACTGGTAAGTAAATGTATTTTTGTTTTATGAATTACGGTTAAATGTTGATAGGAACAGTTCTAAGTAGTGCAGTGTACATGTGTAATCCCAATATAGTATGACCGGCTAAATAAAGGAATAACTTAAATGATTATAATAAACCACCGCATTGTTATATGAATCATCACAGGCGCCACCTTAGTCAACAGATCAATAGTTTTTAATAGAGATGGAAAGTTAATTGAATTGCATTTTTATATGAATAACAGTACTTCTTTATTCATAAATAAATAAATAAATAAATAAATCTCTGTTTCTCTCTGTTTCTCTCTGTCTCTCTCTCTGCCGGGCTCTGTCTCTCTCATCCTCTGTCTCTGTCTCTCTCTCTCTCTCTCTCTCTACCCCCTCTCTCATTTTCTGTCTCACTTCCTCCTCTCTCTGCCCCCTCTATCCCTCTCTCTCTCTCCCTCTCTCTCTCTCTCTCTCTCTCTCTCTCTCTCTCCTGTCTTCTTCGACACCACCATCGAACGCTTCGCAGAGCAAATCGAACTCGAGGTGGGTGAAGTCCTTGAAGTGACGTCACCGTGTTTCCCCTCCGAGGATGACATCCCTCGTGGTATCACCATGGTGTTCAATGCTTCAGAAGGGTACAGGATCAAGATAAGCTTCAAAGAGTTCAGATTCGATGAAGGTGAGCCATAAAATAATGTATATCCATCACTTTTCACCCTTAATATCGCATGGTTTATTGATTTATTGGCATCCTACCTAGACAGATCATTCGGAAAGGAATTAACATGCGTCAACCAAGCCAAGTTAAAAAAAAAAAAAAAAAATCCTACCGTAACATAAATTATTAGTGGTAGTGGTGTACTGGACTCTTTTTTTTTTTAATCCCTGAATTAAAAGTTTTCCTTGTTAAAAGTGATTGGAATAATACAGTTATTAAAATTCCGATGAATGAGAGAGAGAGAGATAGAGATAGAGAGAGAGAGAGAGAGAGGGGTGCAAACATTAAAGAGGGGTAGGGAGAAGGCAGAAAAAAGAAGAGATAGAGAGAGAGAGAGAGAGAGAGAGAGAGAGAGAGATGAGATATAAAAAGTGGGGATGGAGAAGGCAGAAAAAGGAGAAATTTCTTGTTTTTGTTATGTAATTGAGTTGAATACATCAAAAGCAAAATATATCCTTTTTACCACGATTCACAGGGATGCATTTGCGCTCCCAAAATTTCAGTCTCTTAGTGATTTTAACGAAGTATGTTAAATATATATATATATATATTCGTCACCCTACCTTATTTACCCAGGTGGACTCAACAGGATCTGGGTCGGTAACGGCGATGCGCCCCCATCATCCGAAGGCTTCATCCAATTCTTCGATGGCTACGCCCTCCCACCTGATCTCGTGTCCAGTGGCAATGTGATGTGGCTGGAAATGTACGCTCCTTTCCCTTGGATGAACGGTGCACTGAAAGCCGAGGTTTCTGCCGTCACTGATCAAGGTATTCAAAGGCGTCGATACAGGAGGGGGGGGGGGCGTTCGGGCATTGGAGCCATGATCGTTTTTCTTTCTTTCCTTATAGGTTTAAAAGTAATTTGTTCATGTCTGAAAGAGTATTTATACATGTATATGCTTTTGTAAAAATCTTTTATAAAAATTACGTCATAGAATGAGATTTATTTATTTATTTATTTATTCAAGTTTTATTTAAAATAGAGGGTAGGTACATTCAGTAAAAAAAAAAAACTGCTTTCCAAGCACGCCCTCTAGGACGACATAACAAACATGTTCCAACAAACAAACGAACCAAAGCTGACAATTGTTTGAAGTTGAAAAGGTTTACACCTTGACGTTTACTGAATGGTACATTGAAAACCGAGGTTATTATGATTTTCTTTTTTCTTTTACTTCCCTAGTCCTGATTGGTTTGTAATAATTGCAGTAGTTTGTACAATAAACATTTTGCTTTTGCTGTCTTCTGCTTTTGTGACCATATAATGAATTCCTTCTTCTCTCCCTCCAATCTATCTATCTATCTATCTATATATCTATCTATAAATCTATCTATCTATGGCCCTTTCATAAACATCCATCTCTCTGTTCTTTTTCTTCTTATTTTTCCCTCTTCTTCTTCTTTTTTTCCTTCATATTATCATTCTTCTTCCTTTTCCTTTTCCCCCTTCTTCTTCTTCTTTTCCTCCTCCCCTTTATTATCATCATTATCTTCTTCTTCTTTTTCATTTTCTTCTCCTTCTTCTTCTCCTCCTCCTCTCCCTCCTCCTTTCCCCTCCTCTTTTCCCTCCTCCCCTCCTTATTCTTCTTCCTATTTTGTCCTGCTCTGTTGACTTCACTGCATGTATCTCTAGATGTCCAGATGAACTGCTCCGGTACATCCCAACCGTGTCGCTATGCTCTTAAGTGTTTCACCGAGGAAGAAAAATGTAACGGAGGCAACGAATGCCCAAGTGGGACTGATGAAATGGAATGTGGTGAGTATAACTACAGTGTTTGAATTATTATGTTATCAATATTGTCATTATTATTATCATAATCTTTATTATCATTTTTTAAATTTATTATCATTATTATTATTATCATCATCATTATTATTATTGTTATTAATATTGTTTTTGCTATTGTAATTATCAACTTTATTATTATTATCATTATTATTATTATCATTATCATTATTATTATTATTATCATTATCGTTAGCGCAAGTAGTCGTCGTCTTATTAGTATTAGTATTAGTAGTAGTATTAGTAGTATTAGTAGTAGTACTAGTAGTAGTAGTAGTAGTAGTAGCAGCAGTAGTAGTAGTAGTAGTAGTAGTAGTAGTAGTAGTAGTAGTAGTACTGTAGTAGTAGTGGTAGTAGTAGTAGTAGTAGTAGTAGTAGTAGTAGTAGCAGTAGTAGTAGTAGTAGTAGTAGTAGTAGTAGTAGTAGTAGTAGTGTAGTAGTAGTAGTAGTAGTAGTAGTAGTAGTAGTCGCAGTAGTAATAGTAGTAGTAGTAGTAGTAGTAGTAGTAGTAGTAGTAGTAGTAGTAGTAGTAGTAGTACTGTAGTAGTAGTGGTAGTAGGAGTAGTAGTAGTAGTAGTAGTGGTAGTAGGAGTAGTAGTAGTAGTAGTAGTAGTTTTTGTAGTAGTAGTAGTAGTAGTAGCATCAGTAGTAGTAAATAATAGAAGAAGTGTTATTTTTGATTATTTTTCGTCACCTGCGCCTGATAGGAGAAACATATTTTTGCGCCCACTCTTTTTAGTGTTTTCCATTCCCCTTGTTGTGGGGCGCCAAGTGTACATCCCCTGCCCCCTTGCTACGCCACTGCTTATTTGGCACTTAAACGCGGAGTGCAAACCGACCATTGTGAATGATCGCCTTTTATTTAATTGTTTCTTTGATTTTGTGTTTGCTTGTTTGTAGATTGTCTCTACGCTCGGGATTTCAAATGTGCGGACGGTCAATGCATTCCGCGGGCTAGCCTATGTAACGAATTTCCATCGTGTGATAACGATAATGTCAACTGCAGTAAGTTCATACACCCTTCTCTAATTTTCAAGGAAAATAAGAATGCAAAATTCAGTCAGATGAAGAAAATCTTGAGAAAGTTAATCTGAATGATTCTTTAAGTCGTGGGTTCTTTAAGTTCTATTTAAAAGGCTATGAAGATACTGAAAATGCGGGTTCAGAACCTCCTAAAATAATTTCTTTTTCTTTGAGAGCTTTTCTTAATAAGTTCTTTATTTCATGTTATGTATATATAAATGGTTATTATCATTATTATTGAAATTACTGTTATTATCATTATTAATGTTATCATCATGACAATTATCATTACTCTTATTATTATTCTTATTCATATTATCATCATGACAATTATCATTATCGTTATTAATATTATTATGATTACTACTATTATTACCATCGTTTACTGATATTATTATTATTATTGATATTATTATTTGTATACTCTTACTGTTATCATTATTAATATACATTTTGTACAGCCTTCGCGTGTCCTCAGGGATTCAATATATCCACGGAGTTTGTTTGCGATAGCGTCAATGATTGTGGAGACCACGCAGATGAACAGAATTGTCGTAAGTCATCAAAATCCGCCTTTTTACCCATCTTCCTCTTCATAAACGCTTTTTAAAATCCATCCATTCATTAAGATTAATTGTCATTCATTCATTCATTCATTCATTCATTCGTCTATCCCTCCGTTCATTCATGTATTCATCCGTTCATCCGTTGATTCATTCATCCATCCATCCATTCATACAATCATTTTTCTTTCCATTTCCCGACATTCTTTGATTCATTCCAGGGGCGGTCGAGCGACTTCCAAAGTGGGGGGGGGGGGGGGGCACCAACAAAAAAGGGCACTTTCTGAAGAAAAAAGGGCACCTACAGTGGGAAATCTCAAAGCGAAAATATACAATTTTTTTGACATTGGTACATACCCCTGCATTGTGATTACATTATCAGGGATGATTTCAATATTTGTTTCTCTTCATACATCATACAAGATATCGCTTAAGCATCATACTTTACAGTTGGGTGGGATGTCTGAATATGCATTTACGAGCTAGCGAAGCGAGCGAGAAAATTTTTAAAGATCTGCGAGGTCGCAGTGCGAAAAATTACATCTTATAAAGAGGAAAAAAACCAATCGTGATGGGGTTATAAGCACATTCTCATAACGGAAGACTGAAAAGACCTTTGATAACTTACATAATTATATCATCTTTAAATGTGAGCCAACGCAGCGAGCGAACTTTGGGGGAAATTGCTCTTAGTCGCTTTAAATAAGGGGCATGTTTAATGATTTCATGAAAAGGGGACAATTATCGAAAGGGATAAGACACTCATTAGAACAGAAAAGGAGCACGTGTCAAAGTACAAAGGATAATTATAAGAGGTGAACATGAGGCATTTTTTTCACCTGAAAAGAGGCACTCACCTGATGAAAAAGAGGCGTTTACGAAAATGGGAAATAGGCAATTGTTGACGGAAAAACGGCACCCATCAGATTTTGATAGGGGCACTTATAAGAGGTGAAAAGAGGCACTGACCAGATATGAAAAGGGGCACTTATGAAAATGTAAAAGGGGCACTTATAATAAAGGAAAATGTGCATTTGTTGAATGAAAAGGGGGCACCGTTCAAATTTAAAAAAAGGGCCGTTATGAGAAGGGGAGGGAGCTTTTTCTTTTTAATGGGTGCACTTATCATAAGGAAAAGGGGCACTTATTAGAAAGGGAAAGCGGTAGTTATGAGAAGGGGAAGGAGCTCTCTCTTTTTAATGGGGGCACTTATCATAAGGAAAAGGGGCACTTATTAGAAAGGGAAAGCGGTAGTTATGAGAAGGGGAAGGAGCTCTCTCTTTTTAATGGTGGCACTTATCATAAGGAAAAGGGGCACTTATTAGAAAATAAAAGGGGCACATGTTAAAATTAAAGGTGTGCTCATCCGAGTTTAAAAAAGGGGTAGTTATTAAAAGGAGAAGGGGCACTTCTTACAAAGGAAAAAAGGGGCAGTTGTCAAAGTAAAGGAGCACCTCTCAGTTTTGAATAGGGCAATTATCAGAGGTGAAGGGGGCACTTATCAAAAGTGAAAAGGGGCACTTCTCGTACCTGAAAAGAGGCACTTACTAGAGATTAAAAAGGGCACTTATTAAAGATAATTTCAAGATTTATGAGAATGGAAAATGGACACTTATTGCAAAGGAAAATGGGAACGTGTCGAAGGAAAAGGGGCACGTGTCAAAAATAAAAGGGCACTCGTCAGAGGTGAAAAGGGGGGAAGGGGCACTTTTATTTAGTAATAGGGGCACTTGTCAAAGTAAAAGGGGCACTTTTCCTATGTAAAAAGGGGCACTTTTGGGGTATCTGAAAAAGTGGGGGGGGGGGCACTGTGCCCCCCCTGCCCCCCCGGGAGAACCGCCTCTGATTCATTCTGTTATTAATTTATTCATACATGCATTCATTCCTTCATTTACTGATTCATCGTTCCATTCTTTCATTTGTTGCATTCGTTCTTTCTTTAATACTCTGTATTTTTGCGTTCATTCCATCATTGATTCCTTGACCCATTCTTTTATAAATTTATTAATCGGTTCATTCATTAATTCATTCTTTCATTTCATTATTTTTTTTCATGGAGGATTGTAAACTGATGTCATTAATTTGAAGTGAAAAGGATGTTTTCAATATGGAAATTAACCATGATTTATATTCGAACAGCAAGGATTTTGGTATAATATGCCCTTAAATCAAGACTGTTCAACTTTGTTTGGAGAATAATATAGTCAATGCGACAAGTGTTTCCTTGATTTGATACTAGTAAACAAAAATGAGGAAAGGATTTTGTTATTAACATGTCAGAATTTTAACAATATTATGTTTTTTTTAAATGTTCTTTCTACAGCGTGTGACAACGAAAACCGATACCTGTGCGATAGTGGGGAGTGTATCTATCTGTACAATGTTTGTGATGACTTCGAACATTGCAGTGATGGCTCCGACGAAGCTAAGTGCGGTAGGTACGATGATGATGATAATGATGGTGGTGATGATGATGATGATAATAATGGTGATAATGGTTATGAATCATAATGATGTTGATGATAATGATGATGATGATGATAATGGCCTTAATGCTGGTGGCGGTGGTGATGATGGAATGATGATGATGGTAAAGATGATGACGAAGATGTTGGTGACTGTGATGGTGTTGGTGGTGATGATGAAGATGATGTTGATCATGATGATACTGATAATGGTTATGATGATGTTGATAATGATGATGAAGATGATGATGTTGTTGATATTGGTGGTGGCGATGGTGATGCTGATGATATTGACGATGATGTTGATAATGATTATGAGGATGATAATGATGATGATGATGTTGATAATGATGATGTTGATAATGATGGCTATGGTGGTAGTGATGGTAATTGTAATGAAGATGATGGTGCTATTGAAGATGATGTTGATTATGCCGCTGATAATGGTTATGATGACGATGTTCCTGATGATGATGTTGATTTTGATGGTGGTGTTGGTGATAATGATGATATTGACGATGATAATGATAATGATTATGAGGCAGATGATGATGATGTTGATTATGATGGTGGTTGTGGTGGTGATGATAATGATGATGAAGATGATGATGCTATTGAAGATGATGTTAATAATGATGGTGGTGGTGGTGATGATAATGATGATGAAGATGATGATGCTATTGAAGATGCTGTTGATGATGATGCTGATAATGGTTATGATGATGATGATGATGATGTTGATTTTGATGGTGGTGGTAGTGATTATGATAATGATGATGAAGATGTTGATGCTATTGAAGATGATGTTAATAATGGTTCTGGTTGTGGTGGTGGTGGTGGTGCTGATGATGATGGTCTATTATAATGACGGCAACGATGATAATTGATATATGGAGGCAAATTTGCATTATTGGATAATAATGACGATAACTTAAATGAGAATTTCTAACTTGATGCAAACTTACTTATTCTGTAATGACATCTTTAAACTGCATTTTAACGTGTTTATTATAGAAGGTGCGCTACAAAGATAAATACTATATTATCAATGTTAATATAATATGTTTATTTTGTTTTTATTTTATTGAAATATACATATATATGTTTGCTATAGTTTGTCAAAGCTGGGAGGTCACATGTCGGAACGATAATACCACATGCAAGCCGTGGTGGACTAGATGTGATGGAGTCGACGATTGTGGTGATAATAGTGATGAAGAAGACTGTCGAGGTAATTGTAGGATCATTGTTAGTAGTATCGGGAGAAGTAGAAGTTGATGTTGTTACTTTTACTGTATAAGTTGCTGTATTATTATTGCTGTTACTATTATAATTATTATAATTATTTTCATTATCATTATTATTATCGTTATGAATATTTATTATTATATTAATATCAGCATTAACATAAGAAAAAGAAGAAGTATATGTACTAATGTTCAATTCAGTTTAATTCAATCAAAGATTTATTACAAGCCAATACAAGAAATAATATACAAAGATATTTGGAGATAAAAAATCATCGTGGCTAAAAGACTAATTAGCGGAAGATATCACATTGAAACAATTGAAGGATAGGAAAAGACTGTGACGCCGTTAAACATATTGTAGTGCATTACAGAAAGGATGAAAGCGAAACGAGAAACGGAATGTTGTGATAGAAAATCAACTCATTAAGGTTTAAGCAAACTGACTTAAACAAAAGATGACCTGAAAAATCCATAGATAATGAATAAGAGAATCTTTCAAGGAAATACTTAGTGGTGCTGCGGTCTACAGTCGCTGGAATATAAACCATACGGTACTGGGTTCGATTCTTTACCACGGCACAAAGTCACTAACGTCCTTTGGCAAACCTCCTTTTGCCACAATAGGCAGACCCAGGGATACCTGTTAGGATTTATTCCTTGAATGCATCCGGCGCTCTGGCTCACAGAAATAAAGCTGAGGTAATAATGTCCAAAAGCCTTTTGGGAACCAACTCATACTTCATAGAGATGTTGTAACAATGTGATAGGCGTTATACCGGATCAGAATATTATCATGTAATCTTTCTTTCTTTTTCCTTTCCCTTTTCTTTTTGTTTTTAGTGTGTGGTGATAACTACTTTGACTGTGGCAATCAGCAGTGTTTGCAAGCCTACAAGCGGTGTGATGGATCGCCGGATTGTTACGACGGACAAGACGAAGAAAATTGCAGTAAGTTTTTAGGAGTCAGCTCTTTATAAAGAGGCAACATTATTGGTTTAGACAGCAAGTAATTCGATAGTTAAGGGCAAAAGATGAAGGGGTGAATTTCCCATACCATAATTCACATCTTTAAAAATACGTTAGACTAAGTGTTCTTACCCCCACCCATTTTCCAGCTCAATCAAATCACGTTGAAACAAGAGTCTTTAACCTATCAGCTGAAGATCTTTTGGAATACTACTGTCCACTCTCGTTACCAGTAACGGTCATGTAGTTGGCAAAGGGTCTCAAGGCTCTCCCATTTTCTCAAGCCCCTCCCCCCCATTTTGTCTTGATTATAAATGAACTTAAGTGAGACACATGTCGAGGAATGAACGCAAGAATCCCCGAACCCCAAGCCCCATATGATACTCCTAGAACCGCACCCTTATATCACATGCTTTCCGTTCCTCCTACAGCTGCTCCAGAGCCGTGTGAGGAGGGCGAGTTCCAGTGCTACAACGGGAAATGCCTCCGAGAATCCCTGAAATGTGACTACGTAGAGCAATGCGATTACGGTGAAGACGAGGACGACACGCTCTGCGACAGAGGTAAAAGAACAATTTAAATACTTTATCGTCACGGTATTGCCGATAGAAACCATGTAAGGATTCGTGTTGTCACATTTCAATAGGAGATTTACTAGGCTATTGAAAGAGCTTTGTTTGCCTTGGTTATTTTTTTTAAAGTCTTGGCGATTGTTGTCTTACGTGCTGTGGGCAAATTTGTGTTGCAAATATGCTAACTACTGCAACTAGCACTATTACTGCTATATCACTACTGCTACTACTGCAGCTACTACTACCACCCCATCACCGAATTGAAGCGTATGTAATAGTTTGTGATGGTGGTAGATATATATATGTCCGGTTAAATCCTAAATAGAAGTAGTGTTAGTGATTAGTGATTAATCTTAAATAGAAGTAGTGAATGATTAGTGGATGTTACTTGTTAGATTAGATGGGTACCAAATCGTGCAATATGTAATCCTATCATAGCTTTTTTTAAATTATCTAAAATGATTACAATACTTAAATTATTTACGTTAATGTAACTCGATTTAACTGAGTAAAAATGTATTCAGCAAAATAAGTAAATTCTACTTAAGATGCCGTAGGTAATATTTACTTAATAAAAATAAGGCAATTCTTTTCCTCAATTTTATTGAGTTATTTCGACTATTATTTTTTTACAGTGTAGTAGTACTACTACTACTAGTACTACTACTACTACTACTACTACTACTACTACTACTACTACTACTACTACTACTACTACTACAACGTCTACTAATACCACTAAAATTACTTCTACCACCAACACCCCCAATACTACTTCTACGACTGCTACTACTACTACTACTACTACTTATTTTGTCTTATGTACTCAGGGAATGCGAGTAGTTATTTCTCCTCTTACTGGAGGCTGTGCATGGTCAAGTACCTATTTAAAACACATAGATCGAAAGGGACAAATGTGTTCAATAATTTAAGCATCGACCGAGGAGCGAACCGGAACCTCTTCTATGAGGGTCAACAGCCCTCAAAAGCATGCCACAGCGCTCCAAATATGTCATGCAACACAGATTCTTGGTTGCAACAGCCTGGATTATGTAATGATAATTTTGTAATAATAATAATGTAATAATAATTATGTAATGATAATTATGTAATAATAATTATGTAATAATAATTATGTAATGATAATTATGTATGATAATTATGTAATGATAATTATGTAATAATAATTACCACATCAATGTCAATTGATCTAACGTATACCAATGATTTAATTCCATGTCACGTGATTCACTCACCTATCACAGAGCCGGAGGAGTGTTACGAATGTTCAGATGGGTCGGGTTGTATTCCTTATTACTGGATCTGTGATGGAGAGGGCGACTGTGCCAGTTCTGAAGACGAAATAGATTGTGACGTATCCGACGGTGAGAATGAGACTATGGCTATCAAATATTGTCATAAAGATATAGATATATAACAAAGGTTGTTCTTAACGGAATTTAAAAGGCAGCCATATCTATGAGCCTACCGTATTTTCCTGTTTCATTTGATTATAAATAAGGGATTTATGATAATTCATTCATTTTAAAATAGTATTTACACGTGTTTATAATTCCATCAATTATATGCATGAAGCGACTTGCAACGATATGTGCCAGCAACATAGGAAACACGCTGGCTTTAGTCCCGTTAGTCTCCATCAGTGCATTCCAGTTTGATCATTCTCTCTTTCTTACCTTCTCCGTCTCATTCGAATATTCCACTCCACATTTATTTTCCCATGTACGATTTCATCGACTTCTGAGTAACCCCTACTTATCTTTCTATCTGCTTCATGACTTATGTATTTGAAACGTTAACAATTTCAAAAACGATAATATCTACCTTAAATAAAAAAAATCCTTTGTCAAGATCTTTATTCCATGAATGTGCACCAAAATAAAAATATTGAATCTTCTCTTTTTTTTAATTTCTTTCCTTTTGCTCATCTTAGATTTATGTGAAGAAGGTTACTCGGTGTGTCCCAACCGATCCTGCATCGCGAATGAATACGTGTGTAACGGTATTCTTGATTGCCCAGGAGGCGTAGACGAGTCCAATTGTACTGATGCACCAGGTAACTTCGCTGAGGTCCTTTGTATAGCGACCTTTACACACACAAATCCGAACGCACTCACACACACACGCGTGCACATGCACTCACTTAGATATACATAATTATATTGCTAATTCCATTTTTACAACCATTTACCTTATATTATGAATAAATAACGCAACAAATGAAAGCCAATGGCAACAATTACCCTTACCCTATATTATTTTGACGAAATAAACTCGCACTTAAAGCTTATCTGTACTAGTTTATAGGATGGATAAGACCACCATGCAAGGTCACTGGACAGGTGGTTATCTCATCAACTCAGCTCTCGATTAACATAAGAAAAAGAGGATCATGGGGAACGAATGGTCACCGATTAGGCATAGTTTTCTATATAGAGGGAGCAAGTAGCTACAAGTAGCACAATGTGGCTTTAAATAAAAACATGTCGTCCAGAGGAAATAAAGTTGATTCGTCTTCTCCGATTTCATCATCCACAGACCCATGTGCATCCGTCTCAGCCTCGGACTACTTCGTGTGCGACGGCAAAGACGATTGCCCCGGAGGATCCGATGAATCTAACTGCTGTAAGTATGAATTCAGGGGGGTATTTCACAAAGATCCTAAGTTGGACTTAACAATAATGGAAAGCCGTTAGCATCTATGAAAATATTTTGTAAAAGTTATTTTAATAGGCATAAAATGTTGATTCAAATTATTCATATTTTCTTTTATCATGGAGCTTTCATGTTCTTGATGTGGAATTTATAAAAAGTCTAAATTTCTTGAATTTTCGCTTTTGAATATATTTTATTTTAAGGCTACATATGGCCCTCCATAATCTTTAAGCCCAACTTAGAGTTAAGTTTGACACCCCCCCCCCCCCTGGCATGTTAAGGGGAAGTTCCCCCTTAAATAGGAAGTCCAATCAGATAATCAAGTCGGTTTTAATAGGAGCAGAAAATTAAGAGAAACAGATAGACCAGTGAAAAATTTACCAAAATACGAAACCCAAAGACAGTGGCGTACGCAGGATTTTTTCAAGGGGGTGTTTTAAAATATGAAAATCGCGCCGAAAATTTCGCAACGACTCAGCCAACCGCTGAATAACTCCGAAACACAATTTCCCATACCAGGGGGTTTATAATTCCGAAATGAAATAGGGTTCATTGTTCCGAAGGTTGGTAATTCCGAAAACGATTCAGGGATATATTTCATTTTGGGTATCATTAACCTTCTAAATTATGAATCCCTTTTCATTTCCGGAATTGCAAACTCTTTTTTCATTTTCTGAATTACGAACTTTTGTTAATAACGAATCATCTGGACCTTCTGAAAAACGGCATGAAACTAACCATTGTATTTGTTTTGTCGTTGCAGCTTGTGGAATTAGACCCATGGCTCAGTCCAGGATCCTAGGTGGTCAGGATGCGGGCAAGGGAAACTGGCCCATGCAGATCCTTCTTAGCAGTGAGAATGTCAATTACATATAGACCTTAGTATACAATTTATATTGATAATTAAAATAATATATACTGGTAATGATGATGATGATAATAGCAATAATAACAATAATGATGATTATAATAATAATGATAATTATTGTTTTAATATAAATAACAATAATAGTTTTAATATTAATGAAGACACGATGATAACGATAATATGAATAATAATGATAATAGTTATAATAATTGTTATGATAATTATCAAAATAATAATAACAGTAATAACGATAATAATAATAAGGTTAATAATAGTAATAATGATACTACTACTACTACTTATAACAATAATAATAACAACAAATTATAATGATAACAATAAATTATGTCGTGTTTACCCACGGTACACTCAGCAGTATTAAAACAGTTCTCTGAGAGCCCTGCAGTCATGTAATTACCCAGGATTACCCCCCCCCCAAAAAAAAAAACAAAAAAAAAAACCAAGTCTAAGACAATTTCAATATACTATTGTATATCCAAGAAAAATCGTGTTAGGATTACGTAATAGGTCATTGCTACGTTCCCACAACTCAAGAGGTGACGCACAAGGGTTTTCGAATCCTCTTAGGGAAATAGAACAAAAAAGATTGAGGGAAAGAGATGGAGGGCGAAGGAGATGGTATATCAATATTCTTAGCGTAAAGTAAATATTCACAGGATTTCGTAGATGCACCTTCATAACATTTGAATCATATATCTAACCAATTGATTTCATTATCATTCCCTTTCACGCAGGGGATAATACCTCGGCCAATCTAATATGTGGAGGTACTATCCTCAACCGCCGTTGGATTCTGACTGCCGCTCATTGTGTGTAAGTAGTTCCAGAGAGCGTTGATAATTATTTAGAAGTGGATTTGAAAAAGATTTGAAATTCAAAATGTGAATAATTTGTAACAAACGCAATATTGAGGTTTGATTAAACCTTTTTCCAAAATGAAGGAAAGTTTACCTACACCATTAAGTTATATGATAACATAGATTAGTGATATATATAACAACAATCCAAACCAAAGATATCGTGCCTAAGGTCTTTAAGCGAGGGGAGGGGGTTAGTTAGATTCATAATTCAAATGCGTAGGTGTACCTAGAAAGTGACGTGAAAGAAATTCCCCCCAAACAACAAACAAACCGATCTTAAGACAATTTCGCTCGAAATTTCTCTTCCTAGGACACCATATTCGGTAGGCAGAGTCTACGTCGTCGCCGGGGTGACCGACAGGGAAGAGGAAGACAGATCTACCTGGCAGTTTAGCCTTATCAACGACGTCGTATGGAATCCCAAGTTCGGCTTCGGCGATTACTTTGTCTTTGATGACAATGCCCTGCTGCACCTCGAAACACCACTCGAGTTCAACGACTACGTGCAGCCGGCGTGTTTACCCAACGCTACCTTCCCTCTGGACCCCGGAACCTTCGTCACCGCAGTTGGATGGGGGCAAACAGGAGGAGGTGAGAAAGGGGTCGTACGACCTTGCTACTGCGTCAATGGACCTGGGCAGCGTCTCACGAAACCGTCATAAGTACAAGTTCACCGACATCCCATTGAAATGCGTGAATTAAGTTTAACACGCGTTTCAATGGGATGTCGGTGTACCTGTACTTATGACGGTTTCATGAAACGCTGCCCTGTTTACTAGTGTATTTCAATGTATGCATGTTTCTCTCCCGAACCCTGTTACCAACTATGTGTTAGTCGCTTGCTATACGCAAGCGGCATCTCAATTCATGGAAATCATTTCGCATACAGTAGTTGTTGCTTTGTCGGGCAAGCATCTGGCAAGATCTTCAGTCGTCGAGATAACCTTTTGTTAAAAAGTGTATGCAAAAGATTAACAAACAGGTCTAATGCTCTGATGGTAATTTTCTACACAACCGAATTCCTAGCTTCAACCCTAGACCCAACATAATCCCTAACCCTAACCTAAATCCTAACCCTAACCTAAACCCAACTACAATCCTAACCCTATACCTTTGACGAAATATAGCCCGGAGCAATTGTAGCCGGAGAGAAATGCAGCGGTTGGAAAATAATAAAGGAATCAGATGTAGCTTCACTATGGCATGTAACGAAGACACCATTGTGCATACAGATGCATTCATGCATTTAATCAAAATTAAAACTATGTCCGAAATGTAGAGTGAGGCAACAAATCAAACAGTGAAAATAACACTGGTGAAGTAAGGGAAATAAGTGCTGAGGAGAGGTCGAGACAAATACTTAAACATTATGGGATACTCTCTTGATGACGATGATACTCTCTTGATGACGATGATACTCTCTTGATGACGATGATACTCTCTTGATGACGATGATACTCTCTTGATGACTATGATACTTTCTTGATGACGATGACACTCTCTTGTTGACTATGATACTCTTTCGATGACTATGGTACTCTTTTGATGACGATGATACTCTCTCGATGACGATGATACTCTCTTCATGACGATGATACTCTCTTGGTGACTATGATACTCTCTTGAGGACTATGATACTCTCCTGATGACGACGATACTCTCTTGATGACGATGATACTCTCTTCATGACGATGATACTCTCTTGGTGACTATGATACTCTCTTGAGGACGATGATACTCTCCTGATGACGACGATACTCTCTTGATGACGATGATACTCTCTTGGTGACGATGATAGTCTCTTGAGGACGATGATACTCTCTTGATGACGATGATACTCTCTTCATGACGACGATACTCACTCGATGACGATGACGATGACTCGCTACTCTCTAATGTCTTGATGACGATGATTTTTTTTTTTTTAAAGACGATACTCTCTCGTTGCTGTCTTGACGATATTTTCGTGATGACGTTGATACTAATGAAATTCTCACATTCTTTTAGTGATGATACCTAATTGACCTGAATTCTATACCAGACCAAACACTGCTAATTGTTATTCCTACGTAACTTCACGTTGTAAATATTCTTGATGAAACCTAGCTGTCCTGTTTCAAATATTTTCTCTATCCTTCTCTCAACATCACCACAATCTAAAATGATTAACACCACCACCATTCCCAATTCTTCTTCCAATTCTTATCAGGATACTACGCAACTGTTCTCCAAGTGGCTCGTCTACCGGTGTGGCCAAACGCAATATGTGACAGATATCATTACATGTCGGCCGACGAGGTTGAGAGAGTAATCTGCACAGGTTACGAGAGGGGCGGCCATGGCTTATGCTATGTGAGTATACTGTACGCATAGTGGGTTTATAATATATAGTTGCGAAAACGGAAATTGCTTTTGGTTGCATGGTCAGTCATTTCACGAAGCCACCAATAGGGGGAAGAGAAGAAAGAGAAAGAAAGAGGGAGGGAGAGAGAGAGAGAGAGAGAGAGAAAAGTCGGAGAGACGGAGAGAAAAGAAGGGAGAGAAAGAGAGAAAGGGGGGGGGGGACGGGAAGAGGGAAGGTGAAACGAAGACCTATGGCGACCCTTCCCCCACACTTTCCTCTTAAAAGGAATGAATTTGTTGATTTAATTCTTATTACACCAAGCTGGTAAGACAAACAGAATGCCAGTGCTCCTCGATGTCTCGGCCCACGCTACCATATTTATGTTCGGCAGTACAAATCCAATTTTTCAGAAGTCATACTATAATTGAATCCACTATGAAAATAATTATCAAGCGACCACTTTGTGGCTGGGTTCTGGCTGGGTTTTACTATAATTGGCAGTGAATTTTACTCCAAAAGAAGTGATTAATTATGTAACTTCTAAACGAGTGCTCTTCTGACTGGAGAACGTATGCCTCTGTAAATTAAGAAATGTTAGCCATCTTTTTAATATGCTGATGCCCATTACTCATTTCCTGCAGGGTGATTCTGGAGGTGCAATACTTGCCGAATGGAACAGCCGCTGGTACGTAGTGGGATCTGTCTCCGGTGGGATTGAATGCGGAGCGCCGCTCGTGCCCGGGATAGTAATGAGGAATCAGTATTACCGACAATTCTTCCTCGACGTCATAAACAACGTGTATTAAAGAAAAGATCACCCGGTAGCTACTTTCTTAACTGAAATATCTTTGATTTGATTTGACAGAGTTTAAATATCTCCCGGTAGCTTACTTTCTAGGGGAGACATCTTTACTTTAATTTGATTTGATTTCACTTGGTTAATCGATACATAATGTAAAATAATACATATTTCACCCAGTAGACCATTTTTTTTTAGCTGAAATACATTTTATTGATTTTACAGGTGTTTTTCAAAATAGATCTCCTGGTAGCTTAATTTTTAGGGGAGAAATCTTTAGTTTAATTTCATTTGATTTCAAATGGTTTATCGATACAAAATATGACACAAAGAATAGACCACCAGTAGCTAGTATCCTAGCGAAATGTAATTGATTTGATTTGATTTATTCAAATTTAAGTTAAAGTTTAATTCAAAGTTTAGTCAATATAAAATTCACCACAGCTAATATCTGAAATTTAGATTATGATCTTTGTTTATAACATTCAATGGTATCGAAATATACACAGTAAACGAAACTGTATAATAATGATAGACAATCAACATAATTGTTTGTGTACTTGATATTGGTGGTGATTTCTTTGTTTAGTGATAACGATTATACAATGTATTCGACAAAATAATCTATTTGGACGATTCGTCTACTTATTTCGATGTGGACTTACAATGTATCTTATACTTGTATTACGTCCTAAAGGATGGAACTTTAACGTTTGATATACCGGTATAATATTCTTGGTTTTACTTTAGAATTTCCGCAAACTGGATTTGTGTACATTTTGATATAACAATCATACAGAATAAAACGGTGAGTCCAAGGTATTTGTTCATTTTTGCTGTCCTATCTTCGCCATTGAAACTGAACAAAATTGGAAGACATTGAAAGTGACATTTTCTTTGCAAACTCGAGTAGGGCTATTGGCTGGATATACATATGATAAAGGCATGTCACGTATATGGGGAAAATACCCTGGACTTGCCAATAAATAAACATTCATGTATGAATTGTACTTATTTTGATGTAAGCTATTAAGTTTTTTGTCAATTGCTAAATGTTTGTGTGCATATTGGTGTACTGGTAATGTACTATTATTTTATAAGATAGGGATAGGGATAGGGAAACTATTTGTGTATATAAATGGTCTATTTCTGTCCTGTTTCTGGAGGGAGAAAAAACACAATGTACCGAAAATTTGATGGTTTTGCCCCCCCCCCTTCCCATCTGAGACTGAATTGGAATTTACAGCACTACCTGCTTTTCCCTCCATTTAAAAACTGTATAACAATAACGAAAAATGAGAAGCGGATGCAAGCCTCAGGGCCGTATCCAGAGTTTGATGTTGGGGGGGGGGGCACTTGGAAATTGTTTAGGGGCACGTGCCCCCCGTACCCCCGTGCCCCCCCCCCCCGTGGCTACGGGCCTGGCAAGCCTTGATTATTGTTTTAAGGTAATACATTTATTCGTACATCATTTGCATGAAGTGTGATTTTAATTGTGTTCATTGTTTAAGCCCATGTATGGGTTAAAGAACATACAACAAGACATATTCATACCGCGATAATACTTGGTAACGTATATGGGACATCAAATGACCAAATACTGATACATTAGTAGGCAGGACTTACCTAGCTCGTAATTGTAATGATATAGTTTTATTATGCCATTTTCGTAATGTAGTCAAATTTAATGCACAAATCTTTGCTAAGTGCCATGTTACAAGTTACTCCATTCACCTGTTACAAATCATTGTATTTCAATAGTCAGAATGCGAACGGCATGTATGCATTGTTGCTAGGTAGGAAAAACATTATGGCTTGTCCTTCCTACCAGCACAGAATGTATGCGATTTGCATTTTGACTATTGATAAACAGTTTTTCGTAATATAGGAGAATGCAATATTTTTTAATGAGGCACTTAACAATGATTTTTGCATTCAATTTGATTACATAACGAAAATGGCCTATTCTGGCGGTTGAAGGGATATAACTGCAGGCTTGGTTTTTTCTTCTTTTCTATATACGATCATCACGTCAATTGAAGTAACCTAATGTTAGTCAATTGAAGCGAAGAGGTATACACACCCTTCTAAATAGTATGAACATGATTCTAATTAAACAAGAAAAGTATATACAATGATGTGATTATATATGATGATAGTAAAACTATGTCTGAATTTGATGAAATGACTACGCTGTGGAAGCTCATATTCAAAAATGTATTCTTGAGCTAATAGTCACGAATGTTGTGAAATGTACACGATATTTTTTCTTTACATGTTAAACAATAAAAGGGTATTGGTATATAATTGATGTTGTCAGTTTAGTTCATCCCTTTAAGCTTTATTTACATGCTGTTTACATGTTTTTTAAAATAATAAGACAATGATAGGAAACGAATCACTATTGTCCGACCAAACATGACATTTCAAACTGTTTAGTTAACCAGTAACTTAAAACCAATGGAATCGTTTTAGTAACTGAGCCCCTTTCTTTTTCTCTCTCTTTCTCTTTCCCTCCCTCTCTCTCTCTCTCTCTCTCTCTCTTTTATTTCTCTTTCTCTCTCTCGCTTTTCTACATGTCGCAATTCAAAGGAGGAGGAGGGGGTAGGGTTTGTTGTTGTTATATTATGTTTTAATGCAATTCAGTAAAATCTTACTACACTGTTGGTCATAATGGTGGAATATTTTTTTTACCCCAATTTATAGGATGATTTTACCCCCTCCCCCGAAATTTGAAAATCGCGCCGACCGGGGGAAGGAGTATTTGTTTTTTTTCTTCAAAAAGAAAATTGAAGGGGGGGGGGGGTTAACCCCCAAAACACCCCTGCGTACACGCCTGGTTGCCAGAATATCAGAACTTTAATCAAAACAGATAGATAAAACATTCAGGGTGTTTTTAAAATTCTAAAACATCCCCCTCGCTACGCCAATTATGACCTCATCTATATATCCCATGCATTAAACTCTCTCAGAGAGAATTAGTATGGCTGCAATTAAAAAAGAAAAAAAATTAAAAAAAAATCGACAAACGAACAAATAAACTAACAAACAAAAGAAACAAATAAACAATCTTGAAGGGATGTAGCCCTTTAATATCCGTTTAAGTTTTCCGTTATATGCTCATGGACCAATTATAGCATAATGAATAAATAGAGCTATGTCTGTAGGCTTATACATCACAATACATCTTATGAACTTTCCGAAATCTGGACCGGGGGTTGCAGATGCCCTCTGGATAGAAAGAATAGTGCACTTTGACCAAATTTACTCCTATAAATTCTCCGATTATAATGCAAAAGCAATCGTTTTTTCCAACTTTAATAAGTCATATATACTTTTTTAAATTCAATTTACTTTTATCTTGAGTAGGCCTTTACACTCCAATTTTCATTTGGAGCGATTTCATTATTTATTTCATATCGAGTGAAATTATTTTGTATCGTAAACTTCGATGATAGGCGTAAGTATAGATAATCTTTCAAAAATTCAACCTCTTCCTTTTCTACCCCAAAAGTAAAATTACTATTATTAGTTCGCTTTTCTCATGCACCGCCCCCCTCCCCAAATAGTGTTCCAAAGTATTATGAAATATGAATGATGGACATCTCCTATTAGTCTCGATTCAAGGAGCCCTACAACAGTTTTAGCGTAGTAGTGAAATGAAAATTAGATTAATGGAGATAAGTGTATAGATGATTTAGGTTCTGAAAAAGACTTTTAATGCTAAAGAAGATTTAATTGGTAAAATAGTATCAAATGGTAAGTGCGTATGGAGTATCTATAAAAACATTGTACATTATTATTGGACTATTAACTATTACAAAATACGACTGGTTTTGAGTCTACTTGTTTCAATCAATCCGCAGAGAAAAAGAAAGGCCCAAAGTGATGCCCCAAAATATGACGTCTCTGTACACTCAGCTTAGCCCTGATGGGCCCAAGGCCGGAGGTGGACTTGTAGGTGGCCCTGCTGACTTACCACCTTTAAATTTATTCGAAAGAGAGGCAAACGAAGTCCGAAATCACCGCGTCAATTGGCAGTCATATCTTCAGTGAGTATTTCAATGGGTGACTGTATGTAGTAGACCTACATGTATGTGCATGTAATCGTGCACAGCACTGACACTGTACGTTATGAGTGGTCATGTGATGAGCGGTGCAGTGCCAGCAACAGTGCATTGCAATCCAGTGGCAAATGCAAAGGCTAGTGAGTAGTGCATAGTGTTGATGGCCAGAGACATTGAAGACAGTACAAAATCTGATGTCTGTATGTTTAAGCCAAGAATCTGGGCAGTGTTTTACGACAACGCATCACAAGTTCGCAGACATTTCATGTTGGCTTGGCATGCCCATGGAAGTGAAACTAGACCTAGAGTAAAGCCAAAGGATCCCGTTTTCGGCCACTTAAGACAAAATCCTATTTTTAGGACTCTTTACTTCCTATTTATTATCATTTCTTGTCAAATCATGAAGCAAATATTATTATTATTTAAACAAAAAAAGAATCCCAGAAAAAAATCACGAATTGCCATGACAATATTCATTTCAATTTTCACTGTTTTGGAGCCGGTTATCGGCCGAGCGTTTCAGTTTACGGCCGCATGTACAAAGTCAATAGGAAGCGCTCGCGCGTGCCGTGCGTTTCCGCGCTGATGTACAGCACAAGCGGGCGGAGCAGGTATCCCACGCCTGAGCTCCCTGGTGCTCGCCTGGCCGAAGACAGGCACAGCGGTGATCGGAAGTTGGAATCTGAATTAGACAGAGATATCGTGTGTGCGTCGCGGTGTGCGGCTGCATTGATTTAATACATGCGATGAGATACTTTTGAGCTTGCGACTAGCACAAAATCGGGCTCTAAATATGAAAAATACTTGAAATAAAGCTCATTTTATGGTACCCATATTTCTTACAGACACGCGTAAGATACTCAATTTTTCAGATTCGGGTAGCGGGACCGGCGATTACATCGCTAAAATGTGATATTTTAGGATATATTTTTCATTGCAAATGTGGTTCTTCAGTGACACTGGCATGGTATGGTATGTGTGGGATATGTGTTACGCTATTATGCGATGTATTTTAGAGTGATTTTACCTTGCATCCAACCAATCGGCCGAAAACGGGAGCTGGCCGATTACGGGCTCCTTTACTCTAGTTGTACAAAAAAAAGACAGTGGGGGCGCTGGTCCGAGAATAAGGATCATCCGCTCAAATGAGGATATCCTCTTAAACACGGACAAATCGCATCCTATATTTTTTCTTTGGCGCTCTGCGGATGCAGGGTTCCCGATCTGCGCGCTGGCAATGCAAAAAAATGATTCCGCGTAATAAAATACCCCCAGTACACCGTCTACTTTTACAGGTTGTCCGTGGCGTCTTCCCGAGGATTTATTTTATCGTTCATAACGTGAAAGTCTCTGTGCGAAGAAAGTGTGAAATGCATTGAGGGGGGACTGTGGGGTAGGAGGGTTACGGACAAATCAAAGCAAATATAATCCTTTATTAAACCTTCAAATCTTCAAATGGGTTGACAAGGGAGAAAAATAGAAGTTAAATCTTCAAATTTCAGACAACTTTCTGTTTTTCTTTTTCTTTTTTAATAACTAGATCTCCAGGTAATTCTTACAAGCTGAGCAGAGAAATAACTGTTCGTTGTGTTTTGTGTATTTGGTTTTAGTCGCTGAAAAATGATGGAGGGTGTCAATTTCATTTCCCCTAGCCCTAACAGCTATCACATTGGACAATTGGCTTCAAAATAGTTGTTATTAGGTGTTTTTGTAATACATGAAATCGTCGGTTTGGACTCTAGAGCTAGAATGGCATTAACTCATATGCTTTAACACAGAGTGAATGCCCTTCTGGCTCTTAACAGATGAAATACTGTCAAATTAGAAAAATTTGCAGTATATTAATTTCGCGGATTTTGCACTAAGATCGGTAACCGCACATTTTAGAACTTACAAAAATATAACCATGATTTCTTATGCGTGTTTTGGACGGGCTGAATTGCGTGCAACGCAAATTTAAAAGCCAGCAAATTTGTTTTGGGGTTGCTTAGCGCAAAAATAGCAGCGTTTACAGTACTCTCTTTACAGACCAATTGCAATTGATCCCAATCAATTACAATGTTTCCAGTCCCTTTCCTCTTATTTACATGTACTAGATACACATGTAGAGTAGTTGTTATTAATATCAATTCTTTATAAGATGGTGGCATGTGCTTTTACAAAGATCATTGCTTATAATAATTGATGTTTTCCTGAATGTTGGACAATCACAAATGTGCAGAATGTGAACAAGAGTGTATGAAACAAATGACCTCGAATTTCCAACAATTTAATTGAATTCCTATCAAACATATAGTAATTAATATTTGAAATTCAACATTTATCTCTTATTTATTTGTATTATTGGAGGGACAGAGAGATAGTCAGGTACATGTAATGTTGATGTACATGTACTTTGGAGATGACTGGGTCAGGATTTGTGTGATTGTGTATATGCCTATGGTATGTAGAAACTGTAGATCTGTGACAGGAAGTGAGCTAACTCTGTACTACACGTTTGGCTACATAGTTCATACATGTTCATGTACATGTATGTAAAGTAGGAGGTTCAAGTGTTTTCAAGGGAATAGTGGAAATGCAATTTGAGTAATGATTTGTTCATTCATTTAAAAGGTGTAATGAACTACAATGTACATGTAGGTTAAGTATTATGAAATGTACGTTTAGTGATTGCATACATTTGCTTCTGTAGTGATGCTTATTTTAAAAGTTTAATTCAAGTAAAATTTTGTTACTAAATATTGTTTGTTGTACCATTTAGGAACTTGCTTCATGTACATGTACATGTTTATACTGTAGGACTGTATAATTCCTTTCTTGAACAAAAGCCAAATAGTTATGACAAAATTGAAAATTTTGTAATAAGCTCAGAATACCGAAATGAAGTTTGAAGTGAGCTAGATTTTGAAGTTTTCAACCTATACAGTCTTTTTGTTCCCCTGGTTTCTAATAGTACATGTTTTTTTTAATATGATCATTATGCAAATTGAATTATAATATAAAGTTCATTTCCTGTAAAATATTGATTGTTTTAATGGGTGTGTTCAGGTTTCATTTCACAGTACATGTACTAATGATTAAGATAATATGAAATAACAGTAATTCAAAGAAGAATCAGTTTCCCTTAGATTTACTTACATTTAAATAGTATAGATGAAAGAATTTGTAACACATAATTTTTCCCCCTAGACTCTGTCAGATATTTTCAGAGCATTCTTATAAGTTTTCCCAGTTTTTTTTTTCTCTCTCTCTCTCTCTCTCTCTTTTATACAAATATCAATTAGACTTTTTTTAATAAATTTTGATATTGCAAAAAGTAGAGACTTTCCATTACAAATTTCTATGTGTATGATATTGATCATTGATACAGCTCCTTAAATGGACCTTAATTTTATTTTTTATGCAGACATGTACATACAGTATGTCAATAATCACTTATATTTATCATTTTCAGGGGCCAGATGATTTCACAGGAGGACTTTGCATTCATCAAGGACTATGATCTAGCTGGACCCGAAAGGAGAGACCAACTGATCCAGGCCCTGGGCCCACTCTGTGCCAAGACCCTGGTCCGTCTCATGGGCCGCATCGCCAAGGAGATGACAGTGCGCTACATCCTCACCCTGGTAGATGATATGCTCAAGGTAGGATCAGCAATTGTAGAGGTCTCATAGTCAATGGTTTAAAGGCATCGTTTAACAATGTTAAATCTGATGTGCATGGCTCTACATGTTATCAGTGTCTGTGATATGGTGTAATATTGAAGCCCAAACAAAATTGCGCTTCAAAATGATCGTGAAGTGCCTCAAAAAAGTAAAAATCTTTGAGTGACTGGTATTACCATGCTCATTTCCCCCAATAGACTGTACTGTTATAAAAACGTTGGAAAAACAAATTTGTAAATTTTGATTTCCAATCATAAATTTTGATTTCTAATCATAAATATCTCGATAATCAGACAGGCAATCGGCTTGTAAAAGTCATTGGGTTCCTGACTGACCTAAAGGTTATAATTATCATTGCAGCATGAGCTAAATCCTGGATATTGTTTTAGAATCTGAGACAAAGTTACCCAATCCCTTTTAAAGGGGAAGTCCACCCCAATATTAAGTTGGTTTAGATAGAACAGAAAATGAGAAGAACAGGCCAGTGGAATTTTGTGCTAAATCCAATTAAAAATAAGAAAGTTTTTTTTAAAGGTTGGGATCGATCAAACACAAATGGACAACTTTGTGCCGTTTCTTGCGACGTCCCTTCCCATTTGCTGTTAAAAACAAACTCAGAACTTTCTATTTTTGCTACAGAAAATGACTTCAATCACATGTGCACCCTAAATATTATTATTGCGAAGTACAGTACTGTACATATCTGTGCACATGTTATGATACTATAGTGAAGCTTCAAGATGATGTGATGATGAATATTGTATTTATCTGTTTTGTGTGATTGACAGGAGAAGCCAGAGCGGGTTACAGTGTTTGCTGAGCAGGGCAGGAAGAGTAAGACGAGTCCATGGGTTCCATTCCTCACACTGCTCAACAGAGAGGACCAGTTTGCAACCACCCAGGTACATTTATTTGTCATAATATATCATTTACCACTGTATATACAGTCAAACCTGCTTTAGTGACCACCTGTCTACAAAGACCACCTGTCTATAACAAGCACATGTTTTGTTTCCCTTGAAACTGGTTTCTCATTGAAACATGTACTAATGGAACCTGTCTACAAAGACCACTTTTTGTGTTTCCCTTGGGCGGTCGCTGTAGACAGGTTTGACTGTACAAGCTACAATGTTTATTGTAAATTTGTGATTACTCCAGAAACTATACCACTTGTTGATTTTCCTGTTTATATAATTGTTCATGTATATGAATGAAGTTTACTAATAAATTCAATTCAAATTCAAACCCATTGATGAAGTGGGATTAATTGTATTCACCTCCGACATATTTTAATATTGTAACTACTAGTAACTACAAGTAACCCTAAAACCAGACTGAGGGCTGCCATCATGTGCCCCCCCCCCTTTCCATGAATTTGCAATATATTTAGGATGCTTACTTTATTTGCATCTAGCACTTTTGTGGCCTTTTTAATCTTTTGATACCAAGTTTTAAAATAGGATATAATGTAAGATAACTTTCTGTAACCTCATGTCATCCTTGAAAATGCATAATTTTGGGGATTTGTGTACAAAACATTGCACTGAAGACATGTAAATAATGTGCTAAAGATACCTTTCGCATGGTCTTCACTTATTTATAATATTGATGTCCTCAGCTCTTCATCTGTTGCTGGAGATAATTGTCTACTGAAATTCTTCGGTGGAATAGTAAAATATATATATGTGTTTTTTGTTGTTGTGATATACATGTATGTCTTCTCTTATTACTCAGCTGTAACTAGCACAGACTTGATAACTTGTAATGCTATTTTTTTCCAGTCTTGCCGGATCGTAGCCAAACTTGCCACGTACGGCAAGGAGCGTATGAACTCCAGCGATCTCAAGTTCTTCTTCAACTGGATCCGTAATCAGCTGACGACGCAGAACAACGAGTACATCCAGACAGTGGCCATGTGTCTTCAGCAGATGCTCAAGTATAACGAGTACAGAGTGGGATTCATGGCAAATGACGGAGTCAGCACGTATGAAGTTATTTTGTTTTTACTGTTACTACTTTAAAATCAGAAACTTTGGTAAATCGGCAAGGAGGGCTTACTTGCGGGGTAGGGTATTTTGCTGCTGTTCCATAATTTCTACCCTGGAACATATGTTTGCACATATATTATGATGCCAATTTTATTGGTATTGCCATTTTATCTAATATTGATGACTCTGGCAATAAAAATGAGTTTTAGTATTGGGGTTAGGGTTAGTCTCGGCAGGGTCAGGGTTTAGGTCTGGAATTAGGATAAGGGTTAGGGCGAGGTTAAGGGTTATGGGAGGGCTTACTTGTGGGGTAGGGTATTTTGCTGCTGTTCCATAATTTCTACCCTGGAATATATGTTTGTACATATATTATGATGCCAATTTTATTGTTATTGCCATTTTATCTAATATTGATGACTCTGGCAATAAAAATGAGTTTTAATACAAATCTAAATACCTGAAAATCAGGTACCATTATATATTGATTTATTAGCATTATTACAGAAAATCCATACATTTTAAGATTGAGAGCCCACAGTACAGTTTTATTGTCTGTAATTCCACCAAAGATGATCGTAAGTATTTTTTCTGCAAAACTGTTATGATTTCATGTTTTGGAAACTGATGTGACTCTATCATTGATATTTGCTTTTTAATAAGCTTCTTCAACTCTTGTGTTCTTTATTTCTAGGTTGATTCTTGTGTTGTCAGGTAAAGTTAGCTTCCAGATTCAGTACCAGCTTATCTTCTGTATCTGGATGGTGTCCTTCAACCCAGCTCTGTGTGCACAGATAAACAAGTAAGTTTTGATTCAAACTCACTTGAATTTGGTTATAACGTTCATTTATTCATCAGGTATATTACCCTTATTCATTTTTGATAATGTAAAGAATTGAGTACAACACAAATTAAGAACATTTTCTGCATTTGGAGGTAAGTTTGAAGGTTTGAAGCAGGATTACTTAAGAAGGTGAGAAAGCTAAAGACTGAGAGGAATGCAAAAATATCTTGATATTTTGGCGTAGTTTGCAAAAGTAGTAGGCATTAAAAAAAAAGGTTTTAGGAGCACCCCCCCCCCCATATTGGTGGTGGATGAGGATCTTTGTTTGTTTTTGTTTTTGTTTTAGGGGTGCGAAAGTGTGATAATTTTTCTTTTGCATAATTTAAAGTATAAAGTAGCCCTGTAATATCTTTTTTCAGTATTTGACATGTGTTAGTGACTAAGTTATTTACTCTTATCTTTCTTTTTTGTTTGTGTAGGTACAAGATAGTTCCCGTGCTGGCAGATATCCTGAGTGAAAGTGTAAAGGAGAAAGTGACAAGAATCATCCTAGCTGTCTTTAGGGTAAGCCAAAACCTCAAGTTGCAAATATGAGCTTGTTTTAATAGTTAATACCTCAGTCAGCCCCATCTGACTTTAAACTGACTGATTACTTGGCCATTGAGGTAAAATAATTTGTTTCATCTGTTGTTCTGTGTCATTTTGGGGGTGTAATTGGGGCATCAGTATTACGATCAATTTTTAGTAAAGGTAAATCTTGTGGAACCTTATTGAGAATCAGCGATGTTACTCTCTGCGTTAATGGTACCGATAAATGGGTTGAAAAGGGCACAAGCATGAATGGGAACCATAATTGGAAATCTAGGAACAGTTTAAAAATTAGAAAATTTAAGAACCAAAGTTTAAAAATTTACTGCTACACAATTTTTCTTAGTAGTGAAGCAAAACTGATGTATGAAGGAAGTGAAAGAGCATTCTCCATTTTATAAAAGGTTATTTCATATCACTTCCATCTTGTTGTTATTTGTATATTGGTGATCCCATTATGTATTTTTATGCCTCCGTTACGAAGTAGCCGGAGGCATTATGTTTTCGGGTTGTCCGTCCGTCCGTACGTACGTCTGTACTTACGTACGTCCCGTTCTTGTGATCGCGTTATCTGAAGAACCGATCGATGGATTCCTACCAAACTTTGGTCTTGTATGTATCTTGCAGAGCTGATGAACTGATTAGATTTTGGGGTCATGTGGTCAAAGGTCAAAGGTCACAGGGCTCATTAGGTATGCAAAAACAGCTCGTGATCGCGTTATCTGAAGAACCGATTGATGGATTCCTGCCAAACTTTGGTCATGTATGTATCTTGCAGAGCCAATGAACTGATTAGATTTTGGGGTCATGAGGTTAAAGGTCAAAGGTCACAGGGCTCATTATGTATGCATAAACAGCTTGTGATCGCGTTATCTCAAGAACCGATTGATGGATTGCTGCCAAACTTCGGTCATGTATGTTACTTGCAGAGCCGATGAACTGATTAGATTTAGTGGTCATGAGGTCAAAGGTCAAAGGCCACAGCACACATTATGTATGCAATAACAGCTTGTGATCGCTTTATCTCAAGAACCGATTGATGGATTCCTGCCAAAATTAGGTCATGTATGTTACTTGCAGAGCCAATGAACTGAGTAGATTCTTGGTTCATAAGGTCAAAGGTCAAAGATCATGGGCTCATTATGTATGCAAAAATAGCTTGTGAACGCATTCTCATTAGAACTGACAGATGGATTACTATTTAACTCAGGACATCTTGCAGAGCCAATGAACTGAGTAGATTTTAGGGTCATGAGGTCAAAGATTAAAGGGTCATATATGTATATGAGAAATTGCTTGTAATCACGATATTCTGAGAACCTGTCAATGGATTACAATTGAACTTGAATCCGAAAAATTTCTTCTGTTTTGGTTTGTAAAATTGCTCTATGACGGAGGCATCATTTTCGACTGCGCGCTGTCGAATTCCATCTAGTTTGTTTAGTTTATAGAACCAGAATTTACCTGAGTTTTCTTTTTTCCCCCCTTTTCCTTTGTAGAATCTGGTGGAGAAGCCTGAAGAGAAGGAGGTCACGCAGGAGAATGCTCTGTCCATGATCCAATGTAAGGTCCTCAAGCAGCTGGAAGTCCTGGAAGGGCAGAAGATCGAGGATCCAGATATCGCAGAAGACATTGAATACCTGAACGAGAACCTACACAACAGCATGCAAGATCTGAGGTGAGGAGGAGAAAAGATGTGTAAATACTGATGAATGGATGAAGGGATAGATTGAAAGGGGGAGGGAGGGATAGATGAGTGAAAATATGATAGAGTGATGCATTTGTAAGTAAGAGGAAGAACCACTGGAGGGATATATGTAGATGGAAGAAATGGTAGATGGATGTTCATTTGGATGATTGTAAGATAAGAACATAGAGGAAGCAATACAAATGTAAGTAAGAGGAAGAACAAATAAATGGAGGGAACTTTGATAGTATGATAGAATGACGCATAGATAGTAAGAAGAAGAACCACTGGAGGGACACATGTAGATGAAAAAAAATGTAAATGGATGTTCATTTGAATGATTGTAAGATAAGAAATTTGGGGAAGAGATACAAATGTAGGTAAGAGGAATAACCAACAAATGGAGGGAACTTTGGATAGCTGAAAGAACAGCAAATGTATGGATGCAAGGATGAAAGGGATGATGTATGATTGGCCTGTTGAATTAAATCAAACATGTAATGTAACACCATTTCAAGGAAATAGGAAAGCAATATAAGGTTGCATTAGATGAATTGATTCAATTTGAGCCGGAATGGATTAACTTGTATTTGTGCAATATCCGATTAATGTCTTCTATATATACTAGCTCCTTTGATGAGTATTCCACAGAGGTGAAGTCTGGCCGGCTAGAGTGGAGTCCAGTCCACAAGAGCGAGAAGTTCTGGAGAGAGAATGCTGCCAGGCTAAACGAGAAGAACTATGAACTACTCAAGTAAGTGAACTGGGTTGGTGATTAATGTATGAATCATAATCATGTTTTTTTGGTTTAATGTTTTAAGGTTGAAAGAATGTTTCTCCATTATTTCATGGTTCCATTTTCTGATAAATATGCATTTCAAAGAGCTGCCAAAAACGTAATGGGGGTGTTTTACCTGTGATTTTTTAACAAAAGTGTATATTTAGCTAGGCTGATAAACATCCAAAGGGTCGACATGACCCTGTATAGCTTTAAGCGCTTTCCTAGGGATTAGTTGATCTAGGATTACCCTGGGACTTAAATATGGATGTGGAATGTCTCAAGATTAATGATATATCTACTGTTATTTGTCCCTTTGTGTTATTTTATATTGACAAACCATGCTTTGTAATGGTGGGAGTTTGTTGAAAAATTCACACAGTCCTGTTGAATCACTGGCACTAATTTCACGAAGCATATATTTAGATTATCTCAAATTATGTTGGAATAGTTAGTGACTCACCTGTGACAAGTACAATGACTGGTTTTTATTTTAATGCATGAATATACTATATATTTGATGATTGAATGATGTCGTTGGAAAAAAATTCTTATCATTTTACCTCTCTCTTTTCTTTTTTCCTTATCTCCTCCATATCTCTCTCTCTCTCTCTCTCACTCTCTCTCTCTGTCTGTCTCTCTGTATGTTTCTATCTCTATCTGCAGGATCTTAACAAGACTGCTGGAGAGTTCCAAAGACCCCCTCATCCTGTGTGTAAGTGCTCATGATGTAGGAGAGTATGTCAGACACTATCCCAGAGGAAAACAGTAAGTAGTGTAATCCTTCTTTGGATATCTTTCCCAAAATCCTTGTTCATATGCTTCTTATTAAAGGCATCGTTTAACAATATTAAATGTGAGATGCATGGCCCTACGTGTTATAAGTGTCTGTGATATGGTGTAATATTGAAGCCCTACAAAATTGCTCTTCAAAATGATCATGAAGTGCCTCAAAAAAGCAAAAATCTTAGTTCAAGTTCAAGTTCAAGTTCAAGTTCACTTTATTCAATACTTTCATTAAAAATATACAAGGAAAGCAAACATATAAAAGTTAGAATAAAATACATGTATCAATATATAACATGAGGATAACACAAGTGGAGAAGACATGATGGACGAGGGAAAAAACATTTTTAAACATGTACATTAATGAAAGTATTTGGAGACTAGACAGGAAGGCCGGGCCTTATGTAAAAGTCTGTCTCCAGCAATTGTATAAAAAACTAAGTACATTATTTAAATTTTGTATTTGTTATAAAAAGGAAGGAAAAAAGGGGGGGGGGGGGGGAAATTGCATTCACACATACACTCTCTCCCATACACACCAACACGCACTTTTCTGTCTGATGAACATTAAGAATATAGGTTATTGCACTATTGAGTATTGTCTTAACAGGTACAGTTTAAATTTTCTTTTAAAACTATTTAGTGATGGACTCAGTCGAATAGTGACCGGTTTTACCATACTCATTTTCCCCAATTTGACTTCCTTGATTTAAAAGTCCACCACATGTTTGAAACCAACATTGAGACCTCTTTAACTTATTAGAAATGGAAAAGGTCATTCTTATTTAGTGCCAAGTGAGCTTTCCGAGTACCAATCCAGAGCACTGATTACTTTGACCAAAGCTAATGCTGTTGTTTTGAGTCTGTATATTTTGCTAAAGCAAATGCTTTAAAAGAAATTAAAGGCATTATGAAGAAGATTTTGAGATCATTTTGAGGTACTGCAAGGTGTAAAAAACAACAACAATATTTGACACTTTTGATGTTTAAAACTCGTATCAGATTGAGCTTTGTAAATTTTGAGGATTAACAGACAAAGACTTGATTTAAAAAAAAATATATAAAGATGCAAGAAAATATGTAATTGAGATAATGCATTGTTTTGTTTAACTTTGTTCATTCATTTACTTGTTTGTGTATTGCAGCGTGATAGAACAGCTTGGAGGTAAACATCTTGTGATGCAATACATGACACATGAAGATCCCAACGTTAGATACGAAGCTCTGCTGGCAGTCCAAAAACTAATGGTCCATAATTGGTAAGCGATGTCACATCTTTGATTTATAGTTTATATTAAAGCTTATTTGTTGCAATTAGATGTAAGTTATGAATGCTATCATCCGCCTAAGCTGTCAGGCTTTGTTTCACTATAATCTGCTTTATTACCTTGAGGGCTGAAAAGTGTATGCAGTTTCTAGTTTGTCTTTTCCAAGCCAGCCACCAGTTAGTTTTCTGATATTTTACAGGGTAATACAATATCTGGTTTTAAAACGATTGTCACAAAAGGGTCAAGGAAGATGGTCCAGTGCCCTTCTGGCTCTCAGCAGATGCTATATTGACTTTTATTATGGTAAATGACGTGTTTTCTCAAAATTCTTATATCCCTTGTTTCCTTGTATCGTTTCAATAGGGAGTACTTAGGAAGACAGCTGGTTCAGCAAGATACAAGCTAGGAGAAGTCTATCTGACAATCTAGCATCAACAACTAGCAACTCTTAGAAATGATGTCTGCTTCTATTTGTAACAGCATTCCCATCAAGTTTGGACTGGACATATCTATAATTTTTTCCAAATATTCTCTCTTTTTCATCCTGATAGTGATACGAACTGTGCATGACTTTTCAGAATTGAATTTATAGACATGTTTTCATTTTTGGTCAATTTTGTTTAGTACCAAAGTAAAGGGTATTGCAATGTTAAAAAACAAAATACATTTGTCATTTACATTACTCCTCATACATTTTTGTTAAATGATGAATTGAAATAGAATTAGGGTCTTACGTTTTAAAGCCCCACTGTAGCTACTTGGTCCCCCATGATCCCCTTTTTCTTATGTTAATTGAGAGCTGATGTGATGAGATAACCACCTGTCAGTGACCCTGCAGGGAGGTCTAATCCCCTGGTTAAACTAGTGCGAAAAGGCTTTGATGTAAAATGATTTCTTGTCCATTAATTTTCCTTTCATTATCTGTTTTTATTTCTTCTCTTTCACCTGCTGGTGGTTTCAAAATCTGAAAGAATATGGTCTGTATTTTGTTTAGTTTTTAAAGATCGTCATGTTCATTATGATTGAAGGGAAATGGGTATTGAAATGTATGTGTGGAAACAAATAGTCTGCAGCAGAATATGTGCATATTGATTATTATGCATAGTGCAGAGAACACTTCCATGCTTTGCTGTTTTGTCAAAGAGTATTGAAAAAATGTGGCTTTTCTGCCAATATAGAATTATCAGCTCATACACATCATGTCTTCATGTAATGGCAAGGGGGGGGGGGGGGATGTATTATCAATGTAAGACAGGAGACAGGTACAAAAGTATGTCAAGATTATCTTTCAAGCAATACTGTAGGCAATGTTATGGTGGATCTTAAATGTGAAGTCTAGATGTGTCTTTGTAAATTTATGTCTCTTATAAAATTCTTGATTTGGTTGTTATCCCTCATTTGGTGAGCCAGTTTTGAAGACATATTTCCAGAATGTGCAATTTGGTGAATCGTTTTTTCCATAAAGTATTATCTTGGATGATTTCAATGATGTAATTATCATACCCTTGTTGTCATGTGGTGAATTCTCTTTCATTAAACACATTTTTCATTGTTTATTTACAATTTTATGCAAAGCAAATAGAGTACTGTAATTTAAAAAGAGAAAAATCAGGGATGTTTGCAATTTCGGAGGGTCATGGTAATCAAAGTTTGTCAAAGTTTGCAGGTTTTCTTTATCAAAAGAAAATAATTACTGGGGGTAGTGTCATTGTCAAATGGTTGAATCGCTTGTCTAGGGATGCAACGGTTGTGGGTTCGAGCCCCTGCCTCAGCATTCGTGCCGTTAAGTAAGGTATTTTCTTTACATTGCTTCTCTCTGCCCGGGTGTCCAATGGATACCGAGAAGGATGAGAATGTTATTGTAAATGGCTTAAAGCATGTGCGGGCCTGTAAAAATGGCAAACTGGTTGGACAGCTCCCCAGTGGAGTGTGAGTGTTAACTGAATTTGCAGATATGAATTGATTTGAGTGACTTTGGTAAAGTGCTTAAGACATTTATTTGTAACTGGTAAAGGTGTTGGAATGTATTGATTCATTGGTGCTTTTATTTGGGGGGGGGGGGGGGGGGAGGAGGGGGTGGTGATGGGATGGTGTGTAAGCATGGAACCAACTACATGTTTATACATGTTTAGGAGAAGAAGAAGAAACAATCATAGTATACGTACCTAAAAAAAATCAATTTGATTACCTCTTCCTTTCTTTTGTTGTTATATTGCTGCCAATTATAATAAATTCGATCGAAATGTTAAATGTTAAAAATTATGAATGGGTGGAACCGACGACAATAAATCATAGATGAATGTGATACTGGAATTTGTCAATGTTATGAATACCTCACAATGAGGAGTTTGAAGATTTAGAAGAGCTGAAAATGTTGGCAGAATTCTTCTTGCTAATCAAAGGAATTTGTCTTATGGTATATGATCATTTTGATTTGCTCCATGAATTCTGTCATAAGAGTACATTATGCCAATTAACCAGTAGCAAAATATGACAGATATTTAAGACATTCCATAGTAAAACCCCTTGTTTAGATAGATAGGTATTAGTATATGTATAGCATTATGGAATCATTGTTTATTGTACAGCTGTGAAGCAGCATTGGTGTTAAACTACACGCGAAACTGTCATTTTATGTGTTGAGTACTATCTATGTATAGATATGGAATTATTGGAGAAAATATATATTATATGAAATAAATGTATTATCCTGGTATGTATTACTAAAACAGTAACAGATATGTCTTATCATTCTTTGTTTGTGTTTTGGGAGTGTCACAAGGAGTGAATAGTACTAAAATACCCCCCTCTCTTCCCCCTCTCTCTTTCTGTCCTCTTTCTTTCCTCTCTGCCTTTCCTGTTTCTTCTCCATGTGTCCTCTTTCTTCTGTTCCTTTCTTCACTTTCCACTCCCCTTTCTCTCTCCCCTTATCTTCTTCTTTCTCCCACTTTCCTCTCGCCTTTCCCATTTCTTCACATGCTAAATATTAATCATTTTCGCCCTCTGTCCTAAACTTAACTTTGTAAAGCTTCTAGTGAAACATTTCTTAAGAGCTGAATTAATGGTCATTACAATTTTGACTTATTTATCACAAGACTGTCTCTCATATGACGATTCCTATATTCTTAGCTTATATACAATTCGGAAGACTCCATCTTACTTGCGAAAGATTGAAACACACTCACAAAAGAAGATATACGACTATTTTGTCCATTGTATATTTTCATCTGTTTTATACATGACAAAACAACAGCTTGATGTACTTGTGAACCAAAATGTCAAATAAATACAATCAAACAATATCAGACCCAAAAATATCACACTATTCAACTACACCATCCACCTATTTCAGATTTGGCTACATGTATACTACAGGATATTAGTTATCTACAAAATAATGTCCGCTTCTACCAACTGGATCATACTATAATTATGCACGAACTATTTATAAGTACATTATTATCCACTGACTTACATGTCAGCAAGTGGATTGAATGACGATCTCTGCACACTTATGGGAGCTATAGTGAAGTAAGTATGCAGTCTGGAAAGGCGAGGGTTACGTGTCCCCCAGTTAAATATAAAGATAGGGGGAGACATATAGAAAGAGAGAGAGGGTGGAGAGGAGAAGGAAAAGGAGGGGGAGAGCAGAGAGAGAGAGAGAGAGCGAAATAGAGGGGGAGAAGGGTAAAATGCATGGAGGGAGAAAGAGAGGGAGAGGGGGGGGGGGGGGGCACTACGCCAACAAATGTGAGATAAAAAGATGTTCATATAGTGCACACCAATTGGAGATGTTTAAAGTGCCTTCGAGCATAGTTATGTCTTACAATGTTGTATCAATTATCCCACATCATACATGCATTTAAGACGATGGCAGCTCTCAAAGTGTTATATCCAACAAGGAAAACGTTTTACGATTAGTAAAATATATATTCCGAAAAACTTTTCTTGTTCTCATGACACACATCTTGTCCTTAACAGTTTTTGATCTGCGGGATACGACATTGTACCTATACACAACATAAATCATTGATTTGTTGAAATATAAAGCGGATCGCTTGATCTTGCTGTCGCTACATCTTGTTTCCCCATACCGAAGGAGAATAATAGAGTTGATCTCAGGCAAATACTAAGTTAATATGAACACTGAAATGAGACAGTTTACTAAGGTATGCAGCATGCACATTACTTGAATGACTTACCCCGGGACTAACCGCAGTTACGATCGCAAAGACTTTCGGAAAATCAACCGAAGTCAACTTCCCGGGGCAAATTCAACAGCCTTGAACATTTCACTGATGTAATTATAACGTTATCAGAACATGATTTATATGGGATATATTTATAAATATCTATATTATATACATGTATATATATATATATATATATATATATATATATATATATATATATAGGCGTGAAGAAAAAGGAACGTGAGACGTAGCTGTACTTTGCACTTCAGAACCTGAAGAAGGCCTCACAAGCCGAAAGCTCGTAATAAAATTGTAAAGTACAACTACGTCTCACGTTTCTAGACCATTTTCTTCACGCCTACATTTTCTGGAACACCCGTTGTCATGTCAAAGTTGAGAATTCTCGCACTTTTATATATATATATATATATATATATATAATTATATAGGGGTATTGAAATGGTATTGAAATTTTCCTTGACGTGATTTCTCGAAAATCTCTGTGATTGTGTGTACGTAATTTCACATTTTATAGTGTGAATGGAAGATATGAAACGTATAACTAATCGCTTAAAGTTCATTACAAACAAAGCATGGTATACTTTAAGTTGGATATTCCTGATAGTTCAAAATTGGAACCTCATAATCAAAATCGGTGCATGTATAATATATAAGCAGCCTGTAACGACTGTAATTGGTTTTTTTTATTAAAGAGTCCATAATCTAAAAGATCGAATTGAATGAATGTTGTTAAATGCATTCTTCAATATGCATTATTGAATAACAGATACGCATGAATCATGGTAATTGTGTTATCTATTGAATGAAACATCCCTCCCAATGAAAAAGGATAGCGCATCAAATTTCATAATAATAATTTTCCAAATGGAATTGAAGAGACTGTACTGTGCAGCGGAGTACAACCTGCTTCACAATACTCTTAATCAATATTTGCATAACACACACAGCGAGATGATAATAGAAGATGTGTATTATGCGTATCGTTGCTATGTTACGAAACGTCCAGATAGAAGAACGCTCGTCTGGCTGGCTAAATCAATGACGCATAACGTAATAGAAGAAATATCATTTTTATTATCAGCAAAATCAATCATCGTAAGATTAACACGATCACAAAGACTTTCGGAAAATCAACCAAGGGCAATTTCAATAACCTTCTGCACTGTCCACCTATTAATATGTGCAAAAATTACAATGTTGACCGACTTATTTCATAATCTGAACATAATTTCTGAAGGCAATTCAAATGAGGTATTGAATTTACCCTAAACTTCATGCGTGATAAATATTTGCGACCATATTGAATGTGTTTTCTAATGAATTCAGCAAAAGTGATGTCATTCGTTCATTGCAAAATCTGACTATGTCATGGTAATGGGCATATAAATTCCTTTATAATGTATTGTTTTCACAATTGACCTATTATTACAATCACCCGAAAAATAGGCCTAGAGTAGTATTATTCGGACTTTGTTTGCTGATTAACACTGCTGATGCACGACAATATAATGGCACAAGACGTTATCTTAGACAATTAATTGGCGCTTGGACTTTGTTTTTTAATAGTTGTCAGTAAACAGAATAATGTCAACTTAAATCGTGCGATACTAATTGACCGTATATAAATACGGTCCGTATTTATGTTACTGATCATTTGGTATGTTACGTAACTCGCTAATTTTAAAAACAATATGCTGATGCATCGATCGGGAATTAACTAGCACGTAAATGTTGATTTAATGCAAATAGATAAAACTCTTTTAAAACAATACCTCAGTCACACTCAGCCTGGTCACACTGCTAACCCGACTCCAAGTCGATTTCTAATCGACTTATTATTGGCCTTTGAGTGTAATTTAATCTTTGGTTCCGTCTGTTATCGGACCTTTGTCATCCTCGAGAAATGAATGAGGTATTAAAAATAAATTGCCTTATTAAGTGTCTAATTAAAATGAGAGGTGGACCTTGCGCGTCTACCATGTGGAACAGATCAAATCTAATTCACATGCTAATCGCTTGCCTATTACATCTATGCCAGCATAATAGATGATATCTGTTATCAGTTGAAGTAAAGCCGGATTCAGTGGACTTCAGTCCCATGTAATGAATTTGGATTAAAGATGCCGCGTAAATGCACATTGGACATGTTTAAAGTGTTTACACTGCTATAAGTTTCCTGGATACATTTTGTTTCTCACTTTTCATCTCTAATTATTTCTTTACTTTGCAGGTTGAGAATCAATGTCATCAGCATTTCATGTTGTTTGCCCATTTCGTTTATTTTAGTCATTATCATATACCTTTGGAACAATATGATAACAAGTACTTAAGGGACTTTCTTACATATCTATTAGCCACATTTAAATGAGTTTACTGTGTAACATATTGTGTCATACTCATATCATATTTTTATTATCTTTTTAAGACACAATCTATTATTCTTGAGTTAGTTGTAGTTTTGATCATCAGTTTCGGTTGTATTGAAAGATCGAATAAACAAGATTCACACTCAGTCAACATCTATTAATTTCAGATTTTAACTGAACGCCTTGTCAGTCAAGTTCCGATAACAACCTGGCATCCGACCACTACATCCGAAATCCGGTATCTGCATTGTCATCTCGTTGACGATGATCGTTGATCAATAGCTGCTATATATTATATGTAATCACCTCACAACGTCCACATTTTCGAGTCCTTTGGCACACATAACCATTTTGTACATAATTTGATTTGATAAATAATATAAAAATTTACATTTCGATCTCTGTACAAATTATAAGGAGTCTTTATCTCCCGAATGATCGGAGAGTGATTTGACGTCGTTGGATATCCGGATACAGTTTTTCATTCTCTTTCAATGTCATTTCGAATATTCCAACAAAAGCACGATCGACGGCTACGCCAAAAACTGGTACCAGTTCGATTGGCTATCAAAATTGCTCAAATAGCTAATGAGTCTAAAAATTGCGAGTTTCGCTGAGCCTTTTCAGTCGTAACATGTCAACTCTTTGTGATGCTTTTTCCTGTTAGTCGTACTGAGTCTGTGTTGTAGATCGACCATTGCCTTGGCTGCTCCTGATTTCTGCCTGTGTCCGAATCGCTGGTTGGATGTGTTGGGAACCGATTCGGAGAAAACCGACAGGTTCTTCGGTGGTTCGGTTTTTTCCTTTGGATTGCCCTAAACAAAATTCGAAAGAGAGAAACAATCTCATTGAAATAACTATTACGACTCATTTCTAATGTATTGACTGACCAAACAATACTTCCAAATAGTCTACAAAATATTTTTTTTGTTATCACCTGCATCAAAATAATTCTTATACTGTTATAGAGGTATATGATTATATGCTACATATCGAAAACAGAATAGGTTGAATGAACATTTGAAAAATATCTAAAATTTGTATTTTTGTGCCATTGAATCAAGCGAACTTTAACCTTCGTTATGATCATACTCATTGGCGAAAGAAAGACTTAATACTAAAAATTGATGTAGGCGTAATATATAACATGCTGAGAAATACCAGAACATTTCTATTTACATTTTGAGAGTGCGCTAAAACCTAATAAATTTGTGAATGAATAAACAGAAACCTGTCACGAAATATGCTAAACATGATGATAACATATTTATATGTGCAAATTTATGTTTAGATACTAGATGACGTGCTTAGTTATTTGTAGTTACCACACCTATCATAAGTTATGAATATCTTTTGTCTCACCTTTTGATCAAAGTCCTTGAGAAACCCCCAGCCTTCGTCCCTGTCAAAGAAGAGAGGAAAACAATAGAAAATCGTTAGATTATACTGGCCACTTTGACCGCGAGGACTAAATATTGATCCCCGGTTTCTCTAACGGTCTTTGTTGGAATCCAGCTTGAGCAGATGAACCACACCCAAGTCGTCTGTAAAGTGGACCATTTGCCTGTTCGATAATACAGACTAGGACGACTGTATAATACTTGGTCTTTAAGTAGGAACCCGGGTAGGATATTAAATTGGAGGTCTCGATTTTGTTTTCTTGAAAGCAAAGTTGTGAAATGACGGCAAATTTTTGCTTTAATCGAATGAGAAAAGAATTTCAACACACACTTATGAAAGAAATGCGCTCTGCTATTTTTTCTCACTTTTCTCGTTTTACTTGGGAGTCTACAAAGTTGATATCAATTTCCTCTATAAACCCTCTTAAATCTATTACAATCAATGATTAAGTCAAAAGAAAGTCCCCCTATTAGAGTGACCTTCAGGACAGGATTCGGTCCGAGTTTCTGATGTGTTCTGTGTAACCGACATGCAGTAATCCTCCTGGGTTACTTTTGGTCTCGACATAACTCTTCCTCAACCCTTTCCTTCCAAATCTCATTTTAACCACATAAATTACCATCGCTTGTCGAGAAGGGTATAGGAGGAATAAATGTGATTAAAATGACACTCGACTGCACAAAAAAATGATTTGCTTCGTTGAAGTGAGACATCCTTTATCAAGTCAAAAGGCTTTACGGTGTACACCATGAAAAGGGATCAGCTAAACTATACATTATTCACAATAATAACCCTGGCTGTTGCTTTATAGAATGTAAGAGTTTTGTAGACTATTGGGGGCATCAAAAGAACAAGCACAAAAAATGGCGTCAGCGGGGGTGCTTCAGTGGTCTGTTATACACCTATTAAGAGCCATTATTAAAGTAAGTAATTATCTACAAAGGATACCATTTTCATCGAGTAGTTGTAGGTTTGTTTACAGTGGAAGTGCCCCAGGTGTTTAAAAGATCCTTTGGCTCAGGCGCAGCTTCCAACTGGCATTGATAGACTTGCCAGCATTGAGAATAAGTTAGACAAGGCTATGGAAATGTTTACAACCAATATACAACTCCTGATAGGCAAAATTGACCAAAAGGCTGATAGGTCTGAGGTTGTTTCCATCCAGACACAACTCACTGCAGTCAAATCTGATTTGGACTCGCTGAAAGTGGACCGACAAACAAATGCAAACAAAGATGTTGGACTCTGTGTGAGTGAAATGGAAGAGAGAGAGGTAAGAAAACTAAATGCTGTGGTTTTCAACGTTCAGGAGAGTGATAGCATAGATGATAAGATTAGGAAAGAGGAAGATACTAACTTGTTTCAGGCAATACTCACACAGATTGATGCTCCACCCACTAAGATCATAGACGTTAGACGTTTGGGGAAATACAGCAGGGAAACGGCCGCTGGCAAACCACGCCCCCTTAGAGTTAGCACCGAAACAGTCAAAGAAAGGGACTCGATCATAAAATCAGCTCCGCGACTAAAACAATTTGTTAACACAAAGAGAGTTGTTATTCGTAGAGACTTGACCCCGATCCAAAGAGAGGAAGAAAAAAACTTATACATGGAATTGCAGGAAAAAAAGGGAGAGTCAGCCCGTCAAGGGGATATGAATGCACAGTGGGTGAGAAGGAGGGGAAGGGTGACCAACATCGGGACATATATAGAAGCAGCACAAGCAAAGAGAATGGAAACAAATGTGAGAAGAAAGACAAACAAAACACCCGTAGAACAAGTAAAAGACCTGGAGAGCCGCGAAGACTTCCCAGAAATCAACCAGTAGGTTGTAAACTTAATAAACTCAAGTGCATTTATGCAAATGTAGATTCATTATTGAATAAAAGAGATGAATTTAAATCAATCATTACTTTGTATAAACCACAAATAATTGGCATTACAGAAGTTAAGCCAAAGAATTTACGTTACAATGTTGAAGTAGCTGAAGTGAAGCTAGATAGTTTCGATATTTTTCATAATCTCTACGAAAATGGCCGTGGGATTTGTTTGTATATATGTAAGAGCCTCAAAGCAGAGGCCTATACAAGTTTTTCTGTTAGTAGCTTCAAAGAAGCAGTTTTTGCCACAGTTGATTTTCAGGAAGGTGGTAAACTCCTTGTAGGTCTTTTTTATAGAAGTCCAAACGCAGATAACCGTGTAAATGATGGGTTGTGTGCACTTTTCCAAGAAGTGGGTCAGAGTACCTTTCAGGATGTTTTGTTAATTGGGGATTTTAATTTTCCAGACATAGACTGGGGATTAGAATCTTGTACAAAGGGTGTAGAGCATCCAGCTCATAAATTTATTGAGAGCACTAAAGATGCTTTCCTAGTACAGCACCAAGTTCAGCCTACACGGCACCGTAGTGGCCAATGTTCCAATGTCTTAGACTTGGTTTTTACAGCTAATGAACATGCTATTGCAGATATTACAACCTCTGCCAGTCTTGGCAGAAGTGATCATTATACATTGATTTTTGACATGAAAATAAGAGGCCAAGGCGCCAAAACTGGAGAAACAAGATACATTTATGATAAAGCAGACTATGATGCAATGTATGATAAGATTATGGAAATTGATTGGAATAATGAATTTTGGGAGATGTCCATGGAAAAATCATGGTCTTTCTTCAAAACTACACTGTTAGACATCTTTAATTGTTATACACCAAAGAAAACACTAAACGTAAGTCAGAGGAAAAAACATTGGATGAACAGAGAGACTCTGGAAGTGGTTAGAGAAAAACATAGACATTTCAGAAAGTGGCAAGAGATGAAAAGCGAAAAAAATCGGGAAAAGTATTCTAGTGCAGAAATTGAACAGCAAAGACGTTGTTATAGTAGATCCAGCAACCAAGCAAGGTGGCAGTGTAGGAAGGCGGTGAGTTCATATGAGAAATATATAGCCTCAGGAGTTAAGAAGAATGCAAGAGCCTTCTGGTCATATGTAAACTCAAAAATAACAACTCGGGAAAGTGTCTGTAATTTAACCAAACCTGATGGGAGTAAAACAGAAACGGATCAGGAGAAGGCTGAGGTTTTGCAAGATTTCTTCTCTTCAGTTTTCACCCAGGAAGATTTACAAGATATTCCTCTCCCTTTAGATGTTGAATTTGACACTCCACTAGACGACATACAGATTACGTCAGGAGATGTGTTTGAATTACTGCGTAGACTTAAGCCTAATAAATCTCCGGGGCCTGACAAAATACATCCCCGTCTACTAAAAGAACTAGCAGATGTGTTAGCTCTACCGATTTCTTTGCTGTTCCAAAAGAGTCTTGAAAGTAAACAGTTACCCCAGGACTGGAAATCTGCAAATGTTACCCCGATTTTCAAGAAAGGTAACAAAAGTGATAGTAAAAATTATAGGCCAGTTAGTCTAACAAGCATTATTTGTAAAATGATGGAGAATCTTGTGCGTAAGCAATTGCTTGACCATCTTATGACGAATGATTTGATTTCAGTTCACCAGCATGGGTTTGTAGTTGGTCGGTCTTGCATCACCAATCTTTTGGAAGTGTTGGACCAGTGGACACAGATTTTGGATGATGGAGGCACAGTAGATGCCATATATTTGGACTTCATGAAGGCGTTCGATACGGTGCCTCACCACCGACTGCTTCTCAAATTAGAATCGTATGGAGTTCGTGGGAATGTACTTGCATGGTTAGAGTCTTTTCTGAGTGGACGGCAGCAAAGAGTAGTGGTCAGAGGCAAGCAGTCTAAGTGGGGCAAAGTCCTGAGTGGAGTGCCGCAGGGCAGTGTGTTGGGTCCATGTTTATTTTTGCTATTTGTCAATGACCTTCCAAAAGTTGTCAACTCAAATATTTCGATGTTTGCAGACGACACAAAGTTGTATGTCCGTGCTGATACTGCAGATTTAAGAAAGCAACTTCAAGAGGATCTGTCACGTATGGAAGAATGGGCTGAGAAATGGCAGCTTTGCTTTCATCCTGATAAGTGTACTGTTTTAAGGCTTGGGAAGTTACCGGCAGAAGCCTCTACAGACTATTGTATGAAAAAGGGGACAGACTCTGTAACACTATCTGTTACAAAAGTAGAAAAGGACCTAGGTGTCCTAGTAGATTCACAACTATCATTTAAAGATCACATTTCCCAAACAGTTCTCAAAGCGAATCGAGTACTTGGAGTTATCCGTAGGACATTTATGTACCTCAATACTGATACTATGCCGTTTTTGTTTAAAGGCCTCGTTAGGCCCATTTTAGAATATGGACAAGCCGCATGGTCCCCATACAGATTAGGAGAACAGAGAATGTTGGAGAGCGTACAAAGACGTGCAACAAAGATTATTCCTGGCCTTAGAAATTTAACATACCAGGAGCGCTTGACCAAACTCAAACTACCAACTCTTGTTCACAGGCGTAAAAGGGGGGACATGATCGATGTGTATAAGTACGTGAATGGCTTGTACACTGTGCAAGAGATGCCCTTTAAGATGAGTACAGAAGATCGAACTCGAGGTCACTCTAGAAAACTTGAAAAGAAATATTCAAGGCTAGATATAAGAAAATACTTTTTTAGCAATAGAGTCGTGGAACTGTGGAACGGTCTCCCAGAAAACGTTGTGGCAGCTGGGTCGGTAAACTCTTTTAAGAATAGACTTGATAGTCACTGGTCAAAGAGTGTACCAGTAAGCCTTCTGTATGAGCCGGTCTAGGTGTTGTCTATTGTCTCATGTTATTACACAACCTCCTCCCTCCACAAAATAGCAGTAATCACGGAAGAATCCTGGATCGATGAACAGGCTTAGACCTACAACATCGTGTTTTAAAGTAAAGTAAAGTAAGTAAGTAAAGTAAAGTGCATAATCATTGCATACATCTTATGATGATCACGACACGAAAAATGGTGGAAGGACTTTCAGAGCACAAGAATCAGAAAAAAGAAGAAAACAAATATGAGTAAGCTGATGTCAGAATGACAATTTTAAGCATATTACCGATTTTAACAGGAAAAGATAGGAGTTTTTTCTTTCCTCAGTTAACATAATTATAATGATTGTATGACAATATGCTACCCTGTTTAAAAAGGACACTTAAAAAAAAACGTTACAGTTGTGAAAACAATATTGTATCAAACATGAACAACCGGTTGTATATGCGTTCTTTAATCAGATACAAATAAATAATAAGAACTGTTACTATGACCATTCTATAATATGCAATCTGTCAGCTTTTTTTGCAAGTATATATTTGATACCATAACAAAGTATGTATTTAAGTAAAGGCCTGCACAATGACATATGATCGTTGTCATCAACTTTACAAAAGTGGTGGACAAATTGTATAAAATGAGGGGATTTCCTTCATCATGTCCAAAAGTAGTTGGAAATAAAAGAATGGCAAAACTCACCATCTTAATTGTCCGTTCTTCTCCCTGCCAACCGTCTCCCTCCACGTCTTATCCTCAATCACAGAATTACACTCTCTGAAGTCAGCCCGTGTGTGTCTCCCGCTTACTCCTGCACCTCCTCCTCCTCCTCCTCCTCCTCCTCCTCCAGCCGCTCCTGCCCGTGGCTGATGATCGCCTGCCCGCTGCTGTGGTTGCTTGGGCTCGGGAGCGCACTTGTTGTGGTAGGCACTGGAGATTCGGGTAGAAGGGATGCGGTAACCGGCCGAGGTGGCACGGTCGTGCATAATATGAGACATGATGATAAGTTAATAAATCAATCGATGATAATATGTTCTCCAAATTGTCAAAAAAGTTGTTTGATCAGTCAAACTATATGGCAATCACTGAAAGACATGCCCTCCGAAAACTCTGAGATGGATCAGACAAGTTTGGCAGAGTCAAATCAAGATTTGTTCTTGATGTTTAGAGCGAAGTCAAAGATTGAGATATACTTCGACGGTCTCGATATATCATTCGATCATAACTCGACATCGTACACGGTAACATGTAGTAGATAAATGAACCGAGCCACATCAAAAGAACATCTCCTAGCTATTCCTAATCACTGTTGAATGTTAAATGAGAGTGTTCCCGTTCCTTCCATAATCTTGGCCACTATCCTGGTCAATAGATAGCTTTCAATTTTAATCAAACGCGATCGCGAAATGAAAATAAATATGGCGTCAGAATTACTATCACGAATATATGCCGACGACGAGACATATACCGGATGGCCTATACGGGAGAGTGCCTTATCGCGGTATGACAGTGCTGTTATGTGGTAAATATTTGGATCACAATAAAAGAATTGAAGAGCTTGGATGCATTGATGCATTGATTCTATTGACTGCATACAGAGTGCGAAACCCGATCGAGACCTTTGGTTTCGGCGAGGTTTTTGTTCGGCACCGGCGCGGCGTGTCGCACTACGGACTCGTCGCTTGGCAACGGTAAACAGAAGACGATTGGGGATTTTCTTTTTCTTCTTAGCTGGTGTGCGTGCAAGCTATATAGCAAAGTACTGCAAAGGCTTTCTCAATGACATTGGGTGTCTGAGAGGGTATTATCAGCTGTATACGGTCGATGATAAGATGAAGGGGTCTAAAGGGGGACATTCCCAGCGCCACATCATGATAAGGCCGACACATTAACAGGTTTGGTGTTATGCTACTGTTTCTGTCTCTCGAGTATGTGGAACAAATGGAAATGAACAGTAGATCAATATGGACAAAGTTACGCAAAGGGAATTATGTGGGATCAGATATTTATCGGTTGAAAGTAACCAGTAAATTATGTTTCTTGTCTTAATCTATGACCATTAATAAGTCAATAATTTGTTCATGTAATTATAAGATATAAGTTTGTTCTTTTGCTATTTGTTAGTATAGATAGCAACATAATTATAATGCGCTATATAAGCCTTGCATTATTATTTTTATTTCCATTATTATTGGACGTGATACATGTAATAACAAATACAGTCTATATCATGGGTAGCACTAATCTGTTAGGAAACGAACCCATCAAAATGTACAACGAAAGATAATGTTCCTTTAAAGAAAATGGCACATTGTAGGACATTATAAGACAAGTTTTACGCCACTTTTCTATGAATATCATTTGGACGTACACATGCCTACACAAGTACCATAATTACCCCAGCATCCCCCCTTTAAGACACTTGATTATATATTTCTTTTGATTTTATGCTTTCTATAATTATACTCTCTTAGAACACCATCTACTTTTAACCCAATATCTAGTTTATGTTGAAGTGCTGAAACGAAGGTCGGCCAAATAGAAAGAAACGGGATATATACAGGTACACTGATGCCCATAAAGTTTGAATATATTTCTCTTACCTCTTTCCGTCAAGTTATAGTAAGGAATTACGATTTATTCTTGACAGATATGTTTTATATAAAAACTCAGATTTTTATTGATCAATCTAAAGAATAACAGAAATTGGTCAATACAGTTCTGAGAGAAATGATTTTATTTATAAATAATAAATTATGTATTGTCACAATAATGTCATGAAAAAATCCAACTTTATAGGCAACAGAGTAGAAAGTATTGGCTTGACGTTAGCAAATGGTTTCATGAGCAGTAATTATTTGGGTTTGTGCACTATTTCATCTAATTGTCTCCCAAGTCCCTGCATATTCCTTCAGAAAGTGATTAAAAACAGCTAAAGGTCCCCACTGGGCTTCATTATCCTGTTCGAAGCCGTACAATAAAAACAAAAACTAAACCTTGTCTGCAAGTAACATGGATCGTTTGAAAGGAAAAACGCTTCGCTAAGGCGTAAATTTATATAATGCATCATGTCGCAGCACTTTCGTGACTGTCATAAAAAAAAATAATCGAGAATGTCTATACTTGACACTTTTAAAAAATCAATCATTGGGATTGCGATATATTTAAAAACTATCAACGAATTTCACATGAGTGATGTTTAATAAATGATTTATGGTTGGTTTATCCCGTCTCGAAATCATAATTTTCATTTTGTAAATTAGAAATCTGTTTTTCTCTTGAAAATGGGGATTCACCTACACTTTCGTTTAATGTCATTCTTGTTTATTTCCATTAATGCAACTACCTCACGATATACATGTACATCGAATAATAACACCCTCTTCTAAAAAGAAGGGAAAACTCCTACTTTTATATTGATTGTAACTAAAAATGATGTTTTGGTACATATTGATATTGTAGCTGTAGTAATAGCTGTAGTAGGAGTAGTAGAATAAGACAAAGAAGGAGTAGTAGTATACGAAGTAGTAGTAGTATTCGTCGTAGTATTCGTCGTAGTAGAAGTCGTCTTATAGTATCAGTAGTATTTGTCGAAGTAGTAGCAGACTTACATTTATTGGATGGCATTGAATGAGCATATTCTCATTAATGTCTGTATGTTTGTAAGGTAAGGACTAGGCCAACGCTATAAATTAGTTGTATTACAGTTTAATACATCATTTCGCGCTCAAAGAATAGAGACAATAATTAATTCCAGGCAGGCTTGTTGACAGGCAATGCCACGATCAAGAATCTATTCTTTCATTTCAAGTGAAATCGCAAGAACTACTTATCGATTTGTAATTGTTAATTACACGGCTGAATAACGTTAACTGAGATCGAGTTAAAAATCAATGTAGCAGGTCGAAAGTATCTGAATTGTCAACCACGCAATGGTCATATATGCATAATTTATTTGTACTTCACTTTCAATTCAACAACAATGTATTTAACAATTTCACAACCCCCCCCCAAAAAAAAAAATAAAATAAAATAAATAAATAAATAAAAAATAAATAAATAAAAAAAATAAATAAATAAAAATAAATAAAGATTCAAGTTCTTTCCCAATCACATCTTAACATTAAACAGACATCTATATTATTTCAAAATAATTGAGAAAAAAAAATCATGTAAAATCACGTGATTTTTACCTTTTTGGGGGGTTGGGCCCCCCCCCCCTGGCGCTCAAGGGGGGGGGGGTGCAAATTGAAATTTTTTTGAGGATCAAAAAAAAAAAAAATGTGCTCACTACCCCCCCCCCCCCCCACTGAGCGACTTTTCGGCCCGGCGCGATTTTCAAATTTTCGGGAGCAAAAAAAAAAAAAAAGTTGGGCCCCCTCCCCTAAGAAATCCTGGATCCGCCCTGGGTCTAATGCCTCCTGGTCAAACTAGTGCAGATAGGCTTTAATATATTATAAGAACAAATATTATAGCCCTTCTCTTGGGATGAGGAAAAAACATAATCTCGGAACAGATACACTTTCTAGTGTCAGATTTCGATACAATATTGCACCTCCTTTTCAGACTTTCCCCGGATTTTTTTCAAAATCAATAAATTTCATTCACTTAAAAATTCCAATCGATTTCCCGAGTGCTACCACCTGTTTGGAAGCTTCGCGTAGGGGGCGGAGACTTCCGATTTCCACAGCTATTTTCTGAACTATTAATAATTGATATCAATAGCTTATGAATATTTTAGCTCGCCGACAGCAGCAGGTCGTCTGCACAAGCCACTTAGCGTAATTAATTTTCTATCGAGCCACTCCGCGAAGGCGAGAACGGATGTTTACAGAAAGGTGGCATTTTTACGCATTTTATCTCTTGTGAACTTTACCAAAATAACAGTATTACATTTTGCTGTAAACAAAATGAAGGATAATAGTTACCTATATAACATGGGCTCATTCCCGGTTTCGGATATTGCGTTGTTTATCCCAATCAAAATCAGTTTACTACAAACTGAACAAAAAACCCCAAATATGCATGAATTATAACTGCCCCATAGCTACAAGGTGGTTAAATATTTACCCAACATTTTTACAGTGTTGTCGATGTTATTTCTTAATCTCCAATTGGGGGAAAAGGAGAGGGCCAATTTATTGATGGCTATTCTAGTGACATTTATTCCAAAATGAATACAATACCTACCCCGTTTCCATGCTTTGCATGCCTTGGTCTCTATTCCTCATAGCTTCCATTGATTCCTCAATCTTATTTCAAATTTGAAAAAAAGAAGAAGAACCACACGTCTTCTTTAGGCCGCACATTAATTAACATCAGATAAGCTATATCTTTAAACCTGTCTATAAACAGATAGACAGTCCTTGTAGAAGACAGAAAACGGCTTGGTCGGCTGTACGTCCTTTCATATACAATCAAATGCACGTATTCTCAGATAATCCGAAAGTGCCTTTCAATGATCATCTTGGGTTTTGCCAACAATGAATTTTTCTTGGAGATGCAAACTTAATTTTTAACAAAAGAACTTCAATTTTATTATGCACGGGTCATACCAACAAAATTATGGTAAATACGGAGCGGCTAATGTTGGTTGTGCCAAACTGTACTTGGTTTTATAGAAATCCATGAATCCTAAAAATTCCTTCTCTAATGCCAAGTTGATATTGTCAATTTTTCACTCGTCTCTCAAAATTGTTGATGAATCTAGTCACCGAACAAAACTGATGTCTTGAATTTGACAGGGTGTTCAAGATTTGAAGAGCACATCAAACACCTCTCCAGGCTGCGATCCAAATACGTGTGTTAAACACCAAACACCGGGAAAACAACTTCAGTTTGTCCTCTATACGGGTGCTCTCCAAATTCAAAACGACTCTGATCAAGGTTGTCAAATTGTCTCCCTGGTCAAACGCCAAACTAAAACCAAGATATATCAAGAAGACTGGGGAATGTTTGACAACCCCGGGGGTATATACATCTACGAGTGTCCGCCATTGTTATCTCTTGTCTACAAACAAATTCTCCATGTCAATCGAGGTAACTTAGCTCCCGCTTAAAAGTCATTTGGCAAACATAGGAGTTTGATTCGACTGGTGAAGTATCCCCGGCATGACTTGCTTTGAAAATGTGTATGTGTGTGTGTGTGTGGGGGGGGGGGGGGCGGGGTGTCTGAATTTTAGATCCGTCATATTGCGTCACAGTTGTGATGTAAACATAATTTGTCAGATTAAGATGTTGCATCATTACTATTTGAAGAAGAAATCGAATTCCCATTCACCTTTAACCAGTCCTTAAATTTCATAAACGTGAGAAAGGTGAAATAAAATGAATGGATGTGTATATACAAAGGGTCAAATGACCTTATATCTTCAGAAGCAAAGCCTTAGGTAAACATTTCTAGCTTTCAAATTTTGATGAAATTAATACTTCACTTGTAAAGGAATATTGACCATTCGCATTCATAGTTTATGCTCTACGATTTTCGGGGGGGGGGGGGGAGGGGGCAGGGTTGTCGAATGAGGGGTGGGGTGATAGGCTATTCAAACCCCATTGTTTTTGAAAATATAATTATTGTTTTGTATGTTTAGTCTTTTAGAACACCTCTCGGAAAAATTTAAATGAATGACCATAATATACAACTTTTTTTTCAGAAATTGGGAAAATAGGACTCTTTTTTTTATTGTTCAATCTCTGACACATGGAAAATTCGGTTAAAATTCGGTGCAAATATATTAAACCATCCGAATATTTGGGAAAGTATACTAAAACCCTTCACCCACTCCCCCGGGAGGTAATGGGATGGGGTGCGGTTGCAGATCTACAGAGCAATTAACTGCTGCACTAAGCTTACACTATTTGTTAAGGCTTTTCCTACTGAAGCAAACGGTATCTTAAGCCTTTAGTTAAATTTGAAAATCATTACCCATCAATATCAGGTTTCAGTCGCACCTGAAGTCGGTGATGTTATCAAAACGGCTTAACGACGTTAAAAGCCTCACCTCTGTCTGAATTTGCATCTAACTGTCTCCTTTTAATTAGATAATTAATTGGAATTCCGATGGCAACACGACCAAACACTGTGTCGGCTGACAGTGATGTGCGATAAAGGGGATAACTGGTGTTAATGTACGAAAGAGCAATGGATCAGGGGTATAGAGCACTGGTCTTGGCGAAACCAAGTCGATGTGCTAGTGCCCTTTTGGTAAGACATTAATCCTCATTACCAGGTCCCTCGGAGAGGAATGTCGGGTCCCTTGTTGCTTACTAACAAGCGATCACATGCTTTCTTAGAAATCAGGTAAAACAATCATCATCAAAACAAGTGTGCACACCTCCCCCCACTCCGAGAACGGACGGACCCCATGCGCGTTACCAAAATGACCGGTAAAGGGGTACTTTTCGTTCGACAAAATCCGACCCGAGAATAATTGTAAAAAAAGGGGGTGTATTAACTTTTCACCCGGAGATTTCTTTAAAAAGGGGGTGTTTTTTCTTTTTTTCTCTCATCTCTTTGGACTCCTGAGAAATTATTCCGAATTTAGGGGGGTACATTGAGCATTTTTCCGGATTTAGGGGGGGGGGGGGGGGGGTCTCCAAGGCAGGAAAAGCCCGCGAAAACCCCGCGAAAGGGGGGTTCGGAAATGTTGGCAGTCCTCAGATAGGGGGTGCTTTCAAAAAGAGGGAACAAGCATAAGCGTACCCTAAATAACACTGAGTGGGGGGGGGGGGGGCACACCTCTACAAGTAGGAAGTAATCTGGTCCTATTCACCCAGAGTAGCTGAATCGGTATTAATACATTATGGCCCTTCATTAATACTTTTTTTAAATGCGACCCGAGCTACCATATAACGCCAAAGCATTAATAGTGAATGTCTTCCTACAGGGTATACTCACCTAATTCACCTAGATGGGGAGTAGTGAAAGTAGACTTCATGTCTTGTCATATGAATTATTAGTGTTTGTGGCAGGGATTCGAGACCTGTGCAATGTGGTTGAAATAGTGAGGTGAATTGCACTTGCAAATAACATCAAAACAGTTATCTTATCATGAAAAAAGTATGAATCTACTAAAATTGATCACAAGAAACTTCTTTTGGATTACAAACCTCGGACAATAAATCCTCTGGCAACGTACTGTTAGGACAAAATACCGGACAACGATCCCTCATGACAACCATCCCTATAGGACAATGACCTCCATACAGGTAACAATAATATGCGGACCACTACCCTGGACAACTACCCCGGACAATTACCCCACACACTACCTCTAACTTGAGTATTTCTGTATAGCTATCTCAGGTAAACAGTTGATTAATGGAAAGGAGATAGTTAATCCGGGGCGAGTAGCTTGAGGTAATTGTTCTTGAGGACTGCATTTCTATGAATAATTGTCCAGGCTGGGGAAGTTGTCCGGGGGTAATGTCAGGAGTGTATAATTGTCTAGGGGAAATTATTTAAGGAGCACTGGTCCGATGCTGCGCCAGGGAGAGCTGATTTGTGCAGTTAGTTGTCGGTGGAGAGTGGGAGAGGGAGGGGGGGGGGGGGTAGTTGATTGTCCGGGAGAAACACCCCCTTTGCTTTTCTGAATTTTCTGCATCTGTTTTGTTTTCGCGATTTGGTCATCATGCCTATATTGTACGATATCACATATCGATTATTTCCAGATATGCCGATTAATGGACTGACTAACTGTCACGCTCTGCTCAGAGTCCGGAAAGTAGCACCAGTATATAGGCATAAACAGCACGATTATCCAATATTATTCTTTCAGGAGAGAGAGAGAGAGAGAGAGAGAGAGAGAGAGAGAGCGAGAGAGAGCGAGAAAGAAAGAAAGAGGGAGATAGGGTGGGGGATTGGGGGGGGGGGGGGAGAGAGGGAGAGAAAGGGGGAGGGGGGGGGGTGCAGATCAACAGACTTACATGTAGTAGTAGTATGACAGAGAGGACTGGAATCTGAAGACAGTGCTTAAAGGGAGCACACAACATGCACCAACGAATGTGATGATGATGATGATTACGACGACGAAGAGCATGACGATGACGACGATGAGTACTATAAAGCTTCTTAAAAGTTCCAATTACTATTATTTTGGACATCATGTACCTAAAAATGGGCGGGGTATTGAATTTGTCCTAGCGAAATGTCATATTTGACATGTTTGAGGATTAGTCTATTACTAGGTGTTGTGATGCACGATATATATATATATATATATATATATATATATATATATATATATTCACCCTTAATATACAAGTAATCCAGGGCAAACTGTTGATGGTAATGAAAATAATCTGCCCACATACCGGTGTTGCCATCTTATATATTTTAACAATGTTAAATCTGGGATGCACGGCCCTACGTGTTATCAGTGTCTGTGATATGGTGTTATATTGAAGCCCTAAACAAAAATTGCGCTTCAAAATTATCAAGAAGTGCCTCAAAAAAGTAAAAACCTTTGAGTGACCGGATTTTACCATACTCGTTTTCCCCCAATAGACTGCAGTGTTATGAAAACAGTTTGGCAAACGCAAAATTTGATTTCGATTTTCAATCATAAATATATTGATAATCACGCAGATGACTTGTAAAAGTCGGGGTGTCTGACTTACCTAAAGGTTTATAATTATCATTGCAGCATGAGCTAAATCTAGGATTTTTTTAAAGGATGTAAGACAATTAGTTACCGGATCCCTTCAAAGGCAAATTGGAAAAAAAGTATATACTTACGTTTTGCCCAATGTTGGATTGACAGCCTCCAGAAAGTCTGAATCCGAACTTGTCACCTTCTTGGAATACATCTTTCTTTCAGATCAAGTCTTTAAATGAATAAATATGTCAATACATACTTGCTAGCGTCTTTTACACGATAGAGCGTCATAGCACTTCTCTGTCTACAATATTGCAACCGATCCGCAATATTCGGTTAATAAGTCTTATAGAAAGCACGAAGTGAGAGGTTGCCACGACGACGACAGTAAAGCATCGTTAATAATTCTTGCCAGAAGTTGCAAAGCACAGGGTTGTTTCAAATGAGTGTCTTTTTTGACAAGTTTGCAGTCATGATGTCGCATGTTATCTTATTGTTAATTCATGATGAACATAAATCGAAATACACCTCTCTATTTAGCCACTGTTCGGATGCTGCATTGTCAGTTTCCGAGACAAAATGTTTGTTATCACTTTATATTCATGATATTTGGTGCTTATTCCATCTTCTAGTCTCATCATGTCAAACATTCAATGGATTCACCTGCTTTGAGCCACTTTGACGGAAACTTCATGAATTAATGACTCTATCATGAGTAGCTTCGAATTCGAGCTGCTGAATGCAATGTTTCGATCACTTCACATCATGGTCTGATAGTGTAGCTGCTGACTGGTCTGTAACTCGAGAAAAAAAACCTTCCCACACCACCTTGGTATTCGCAAATGTTTAACTAGTATGTGATTCATTTACTAGCGCTTCCAATAATGAACACAGCAATACTAACGTTCAACATTCTTTCCAGTTCTATAGCAGACGACACGAACTGTTTTGAGTTGGTTCTGTTGTGAGGCGCATCCCCTCTCAAAGTACGACGGCGACGGCAGTCAGTGAATTTTATTGTCATGTTAAAACCTTTAGTTGTTCCTGATCCCTTGAATAAGGTCACATGGTATTATAGAGATGAGCATTGATAACCATGGCTATGCCACCATGCACGCTTATATCACGCTTGACTGAAACGAAATATCATTTGCTTTTGTCCTCGGGGGAAGCATACTTGCGTGGTGATGAAAATGAATATCATGAAGCATGTCATGACTATACTTATAAGCGAGCTAGCTAGGCTCGGTCGCAAGGTTCAGAGAAGGGGTAAAGAAATCCTTACGAGAGAAATTGGCGGCAATCAATTCAAGCAAGTTCTGTGCATCATGATATGGCTCGCATCAGGAAATGACTCTCAAGCTTCTGCTTCTTTTCTATATGATAATATAGTTCGCACTATATTTGGGCTTCGTATACTAGTGCTCCATGGGGCTAGATCTAGTAGTTGACAGAAAGAAAACTTGTTATTGTGCTCGCGCCAGAAGACCGACATCTGTATTGATCGATCGATTGACTAATTTGTGAAAGGGTTGGAAAAAACATGCTTTTGTTTGTCGAGGAATCGTCCTGATTGAAATGTCATTGTCAGAGATGGGCATCAAAAGAAGGAATCTAGTTTCCTTTGTTGGGGTGCGGTGTGTAAGGTCCAAGAGGTGTGGAAGACAAGAGAGAACTTCGGAGAAGTGCCGAGTAGCCAAGTGGGATAGAGGGCTCTTTTGTTGACGAGGACCCTGTTTGTGAGGTAGACGATCGAGAGGGGGTAGATGAGAGAGGAAGTGAAAGAGGGGTGAGGGAGAAAAAAAAGGGGATGGGGGAGGAGAGAGAGATTGAGAGAGAGATAGAGAGAGAGAGAGAGAGAGGGGGAGAGAGAGAGGGAGAGAGAGAGAGAGAGGAGACAGAGGGGAAGGGAGGGAGAGAGAGAGAGATCGAGATAGATCGAGATAGAAAGGAGAGAGAGAGAGCGGGAGAGAAGGAGAAGAGAGAGAGAGAGAGAGAGAGGGAGAGAGCAAGAGAGAAGGAGAGAGAGAGAGAGAGAAATGGTTGGGGGGGGGGTAGAAGGAAAGAGATTGAGAAAGAACGAGAGAGAGACAGACAGACAGACAGAGAGACTGAGAGGCGAGAAAAAGGGCAGAGATTATAAAAAAAAGAAAATCTGAGGGGAAGGTTTTTGTGAGATATAAATTGTGAGAAAGGGGGAAAACAGATATGTTTAAAAAGGAACATGTTTTGATTGACGACACATAGTTGAGGTACATTATAAAGATAGGAGGCAGAGACAGGCGAAATATTTATCACAGCCATGACTCAACAACATTTTCATCTTGTCTAAAACTACCTTCACTCAAGTTGACAAAACCAAGAAAAAAGCACCTGGACACATGCACGTACTACATACATAAACCCATAAACCCAAGCTAATGACAGAGCTAATAAAGAGTCAACCTCCAGGTAACTCATGATTATTAGAAACCATGAATTTTCTATTGTGAGAGTATTTTTTGTAACAATATACCGACATCGCAGTCGTACAAGTTATAATAATTTTCCGAGGTTCGTAAATTTTGAACGTTGGGTGAATTCATCACTTTACGATTATATATTTTACATGTTTGTCTTATTAGCTTGCAACTGTCTTGTCAGTAATACTTGTAGGCCTACTTAAACGAGCGTTTGGAAATGCAAAACATCTCCTGTATCTAGTCTACGTAGCTATCCATATTCTTCATATATCAATGGCAAAAGAAATATCATGATAGAAGATATTAGATATATATACACAGAAACATATATGATTACCTTTCTAGAGACTCGATCCGGGCACCACTATTCACTTACTTAAAAACAGTTCAAGGCATGGAAAAACCAGAATATTTCCCCCAACAGAATTAGGCCATGCGGCAAAACAAATACTGCAAAAACATTGAAATTGTATAGTCCTACAACATCGTGATCTTGTGGGGTCACACATTTTGAACAATTCTGATGCACTTAGATAAGCGCGGGTTGTCATGGTTTTCGGTATACAATGACGTACTCACCATTTCCTTTCGATGTAGAGGTCAAATTGATGTCAAGCTCAAGGCTATAGGTCATCTGGAGGTTTGGATGAGACCCGGAGAGAGGTTAGTCTGGCAGGGACGGACCATTACCGTCTAGTCTAACGGGAATCACGGAACTGCATTTATGGTAGTTTATCTGCATGGCCTCGAAATATTAATAAAGAAATAATATTGTCTTATGTACGTGTGGCTCAGGAGAGTGATGAATTGACCACAACCTGTAAGTGCCTGAAAATGTATCTTCAGTTAATAGTGTCATTAATCTGTAATTGTTTTAAAAGTGATGATTAACGTAAAGTCATTCTGAAACATGCGTGATAAAGTGGATTCCTGATACTATAAAAAAACTTCTCTAATTAATTTCGAAAACAAAGAAAAGGTTACAACAGTCGTGTGACCCTCTATAGGAGATCGAACAATTCGAAAGAATTTTGGGATGTTATTTTTAAAGAAAGCATCTTAATATGGAAATGAATCTTTTATAAATATCAATCTGTCCGACACACACTGGAAATCACATTAACCAAAAAAAAAAAATCATCCTTTTATAAATGCATCTAAAATAAACATCACTTTGATTTTTAAGGCAAAAATTAGTAACAGATATAAGCATTAGCGTATATCAAAAGAATTTTAAAAATTCTATAACAATAATGTTTTTTGTTCATTTGGCAACCACATTTACAACTGGAGCAATTGGATAATTCCACAAACGGGCGGTGGGCAAAATGCATTGTAAACTCATCTTAAACAATAACTGTAGTCCAGATATTTTCATATTGAATTAATTATTGGATCACATCACAGATAGATCTAGACACACCGACGATACCGCAGTAAGTGGATTTATATGGAATAAATCGAAAGCGTATGTTCTATTTCAATAAGTAGTTTCGGATGTATCGTTCTGAATTGGATATACCTATACGATTGATCTATTGCTTAGTTGATTAGAGCCACTGCATGAATCGTTCCGATAAAAAGGTGCGATGAAATGAAGTTAATAATATTGAACTAAAATTTTCTTGTATCCATAACAACGATATTCACTCCCAACCGCTCTTCCCTCTCTCCCTCTCTGTCTCCCTACCGCTCTCCCCTCTCTCTGTCTCTCTCTGTCTCTCTGTCTCTCTCTCTCTCACGCTCTCTCTCTCTCTCCCTCTCCCTCTCTGTCTCCATCCTTCCACCCTTCCTCCTTCCTCTTTCTCTGTATGCATTATCCATGCAAACACCGTAAAAGGGAATATAAATAATTACGTAAAACAACGTGAATTGTGTTGCCAATTAAACTTAATTAAAATAGGATACATCCATGGCATAACGGTTAAGTAACTTAAAGCTCCAGTACTTGTAGCTACTTGCTCCATCTATATAGAAAACAATGCCTAATTATCGGTGACCATCGGTCCCCCATGATCTTCTTTTTCTTATGTTAATTGAGAGCTGAGTTGATGAGATAGCAACCCGTCAGTGACCACCCTGGATGGTCTAATTCCTCCTAGCCAAACTAGTACAGAAGGCCTTTAACCAACTGTAAACTAATAACTATGGATTTCGCCTACTCTTCTCAGAGGGGACGCGATTTAAAAAGTGTAGCCCCAGGGCGGTGATTAAGAAAAATAAATGAGATTTTATTAGATATTCATTACTCGACTTTCGATTCTAGGATCACTTCTGTTTGTAGAGATGATCAGACGGAGATGGGTCATGAAAAAGAGAACCTTTCTCATTACCTTCAAGCATTGTGGGCTGTAGATGGTTTAAGTAGATTCGCAAATATTTGCCTGTCATCATCTCAGAGTCTGTGGGTAAATATTAGATCGCGTGAGGGGTCTATTTTCAATGCCTGATGGAAGATGTTTCCAGGGGATTTTTTTTAAACATCTGATTTGAGACACGTTATTGTAATATCATTGTGAAATGGTATAGAAAGTTTTAGAATATTACTGATGTAGACGTCGATAAAAGAAACCTGAAACTGATAGAGCAAGGCAAAGAGCATTTGAAGATAAGAGAGAAGGATCAAAAGACAGGGAGATAGAGTGAAAAGAGAGAGAGAGAGAGAGAGAGAGAGAGAGAGAGAGAGAGAGAGAGAGGAGAGAGGGTAAGAGAGAGAGAGGGAGAGGGGGAGATAGAGTGAGATAGAGAGAGTGTGGCGTGTGAGAGAGAGAGAGAGAGTGAGAAAGAGAGAGAGACTGGGAGAGAGAGAGAGAGAGAGAGAGAGAGAAAGGGGGGGGGGGGGGGGGAGGTTGTGAGGAGAAAGTGGGAGAGGAGAATGGGAGGGAAATAAATATGGGGATCGAGACATTCTTTGTAAAACAGCTTCAACTTCTTATTCCCGAGATTTAACATCCATTGTTAAAAAATCTTCAAAGTCGGAGCCAATGCAGGTCTAGGATCGTCTGGAGGGGTGGGCGAAGGGGAAGGTGAGAAACGTTTGATTATAATAAATCCAACATCGCAATTTAAACATCATCCTTCCTTTTTCTTTTCACCAGCCACTTTCGTCGGGATCACCATCTCTTCTTAATTTCTTTCATTCCATCTAGTGTGGCCGTTTTTCTCCATTCGATCTCTTCTTTACGTTGTTCTTACCTCTCAGTTTATCTGACTACCCCACTTACTCTCTCTCTCAATCTCACCCTCATCCTGCTCCCTTTACTCTCTTTCCATTTTTATGTTTAATTTCTTCTCCCTTCTCTTTGAATGTATGCCCACTCGTGTGTTTCCTGGAAGAAAGTGGGCCTGAAAAATATTCTTTTTTTAAGATGCTCAAATCAATATTAGCATTTGCAATAGAAGCACAACCTTTACTCCTGAAAGAAGAAACAGGAGAAGAAGAAGGAGAAGAAGAAGGAGAAGAAGACGACGAAGACGAAGGAGAAGAAGAAGATGAAGGAGAAAAAGAAGAAGTAGTAGAAGAAGAAGGAGACAATGAAGGAGAAGAAGATGAAGGATAAAAAGAAGTAGAGGAAGAAGAAGAAGAAAGAGGAAGAAGGAGAAGAAATAGAAGAGGAGAAGAAGAAGAAAAAGAAGAAGAAAAATAAAAGAAACAAACGAATGTTTAATTTTATCTTTATATGATATTTATTTCAAGCAATATATCATCGCCTACATTAAATAACAGTATATTTGAAAAAAAAAGATTATTTCCTATTCTGTAGAATATATACAATGCCGTTATAAGCAAATTACAATACGGTAGCACTGTGAAAGAAAGTGTCAAGAAGTTTTTGATGAAAAATGGATGATGACATGTAGATAAAATCTATAAATAATGATATAAACTATGATTTACAGAATAATTTCATTAAAAACATATCATAGGTAATGAATAAAAAAATGAAAGGACTTTCAGGAAATCATATTAATAAGGCATGAATAAACAAGATAATGAAAATATCATTGCAAAATTGAAAGCACACCCAGCACACTCGATAAACCTAGTTTATAAGCTTAAGTTCACCATCATAGCATGCGAATATAGACATAATTTAGGAATGATAACCTGAATCATATATTTTTCTTACAAAACAAAATACATTCCTCTACAACCTTCTTACTCAAATGAAATACAAAATGGTTAGTAATGATGCATAATACCTACAACATTGGAAGAAAAAAAAAATCCACCTCCATTTTAATTCTATCATTACTGATCATCTTTTAACAGTATACAAATATGAATATATATATTAATATTACAGATGAAATAAGTAGATTATTTAGTAGTTTAAAAAAAAAAGATTTTGCTTGAAAATAACAACATTACACCATCGCTGGAGATCTTGTTTAGAATTATTATTATTATCTAAGTATTGCAAATTGGCAACACAATTTCAGTAGGATAGATTTCTTCATAATGAGCCAAACAATATTGACATTTTTATTTTTTAAGAGAAACATGAAAATGTTTTCTTGTTGTTGTTATCCGTCTGCAAATACAATCGAGGCCCGTCTTGTAATTGATATAAATCTTAACTTGCGATTGATATCAATTGCAACTATGGACATTCGAGATAGGAGACTGCAAACTTGCGACTGATTTAGGATCAATCATGACTCTTTATAAGACAGGGCCTTGGTTTGATTCTGCATGGTTACCATACATTTAATATACCTTCAAAAAATGAGAATGCCCATTTAAGAGACACATGGTGTATCTTCTGGCAGTGGATCAGGACTATAAGTAGACTTTTCTATCCATCATGAAAATAAGTAGACTTTTTGCTCTTAAATGGCTCTTAAACACATCAGTGTGTCTTTTGGCAGTGGGTGAGAATAATAACTAGACTTTTCTTTACATCATGAAAATAAGTAGAATTTTCCCAAAATGCTCACATGTATGAATGTTTGAAATAATTTATGGCAAAATAATGTTTTGACTTTGGAATCGGTGTTTCAACTCGATGAATTTAGAAGCTCATATCAGGAAGGCAATACTGCAAATATAAGGCATTCCATCACATATAATTTATAAACATCCTAAATACTTCTACCAGTTTATAATCTTTTTTCTTTTTCATTCATTCCTTTACAGTCACTCAAAATCATGAACATCATCATTCACCAAGTTCTTTAAGAGTTCTTCTATTACAAATACATGCACCAGATTAAAAATATTTCCTAGCATCTAACTTGCTACTGCTAAATATATAGAGGCATATTATACGGTCTAATCCTTACTTACACGTGTACTCCTAATTCGAACAGTGACTATGGGGTTTTAGGTAGGAGGCTGGTGTGATCTTTGTGCAAGTCACGTGTCCTACCCTGTACTTGGAAAATACAACCAAAACGATGCTGACACATAGGGTCCAGCAAGAAGGCCTAACATGGTTGCTTCCTCTGCTGTACATATTTCATTTCTGGCAGTAGTGTCGATTTAATATGATTTTAATCCTATGCTGCATTCACCTGTAGTCCTACCGCAAGTTAACTCTTTGTGTGATCTGAGATGGCAAGTAATTTTTGAAGTCCGGATGTCATCCGGCAGTATTAGCTACTATGTCATCCTGGCAGTAAGGCAAGAAAAGTGTGTTCCCAGGAACTTAGACGGAGGAAACTGTGTACGATTTCATCAGAATTCCATGGTGAATTGCTGTTTGGTCTACACCCTGTTTGTCTACTACCCAATTAGTCTATTCCCATATGGTCTACACCCAGCCAGTCTACTATCCACATGGTCTAATAATCATTTCGCTTACTTATCATTAGGTCTAATGACCAATTAGGCTAATAGCCAGTTAGTCGATGACTGGGTGTAGACCATATTGAAATAGACCTATTGAGTAGTAGATGAACTGGTTGTAGACCAAACGACAATAAACCGGTGTCACTTCAGAAGTAGGTATAGACCTGACAGTGAATAGTTGGAAGATCTGGGTGTTGCAGGAAGATCTGGGTGTAGACCATATTGAAATAGACCTATTGAGTAGTAGATGAACTGGTTTTAGACCAAACGACAATAAACCGGTGTCACTTCAGAAGTAGGTATAGACCTGACAGTGAATAGTTGGGTATCAGAAACATCCTACAGGATGATTTGGGGAGTGATCACAGTGGTGACATTCTTAACAGCAAGAAAGAAGTTGGCATGAGGCAGAGTTGTTTACTTAGAAACGTGCTTCTAGATGACCTTAGAGGTTTGCTCCGAAGGTTGAAGTTCAACAAAGCTTAAGTGTTACCGCAGGTGTTGGTGAGGTGATGGCATGGAAATAAAGGGTCTCAGAGGCACTGTGCAGAAGGATTTCGGGTTTAGGCTCCTTGAGTTAAGGTTCATCAAAGCCCCAAGCTGGGTGTTATTTGAAGATCATCATGCAGGATGACCATCAGAGTCACATTTTATCAAGGCCCTGAGGTTGATGTCGCTACATGTGAAGATGGTGGCGTGGTGATCATGGTAGGAAACTACGGGTCTTAGAAACATCTTGCATGAAGATCTATAGGGGTATGCTTCAGGAGTTACAGTTCTTTAAAGCCCCATGCTGGGTGTTACTACAGGCGCAATCGGTGTGTTGGTGATGGGAGGGTACTGCGGGGTCTCAGAGACATCCTGCAGGATGATCTTGGTGGCAAAGGCAAGTGCAATGGCTACGATGGTGGTGAAGACTGACGAGTAGCTCAACTCAAATCCAAACACCTAGCAGTAAAATAGATACAATATGGACATGAATAAGGTTGATACCTTGTAGACATTACCCTTTGAAGGTATAGAACTTCTAAGTTGAAAAGAAAGTTGTGTTTGATAAAGGTAAACATAATCTGTGAGCTATTCAATTCTTTATCCTTACAATGTGGAAGAGTATCAAGGATGTCCCATCAAAAATATATTCTCTTGAAAATTACCTTCATTTGGCAGATATAACTTATAATAATCTTTGTGCCAGATGTTGATGCCACATGTGTGTGGAGTCCCATATACCCATATCTGTGCACAGTGCTTTTCAATTTGATAATTACAAATCTCACATTAAACAATTGTTCTTATGTGCCACATACATGTCATCATCCATTTTTTTAAATCAAAATCTTCTTGACAATTTCTTTCACAGTGCTACCCTGTTGCAAGTACTCCATCTTATGTTTTATGCTCCATTCAAGAATAACACATTATGAAGGAGGAATTTGCAGCGCTTACCGTTAGAGAGAGAGGAGATTGTTTGATGAAGGCAATGATCCTCAGTCTGTCTTCGGTCGGGCAGATGCTCTGATTGAAGGGAAAGGAGAAAAGAGAAACAATATCTTTTAGTCAACAAGTCAAAATCAGAAACAGCTTTCAAGGAAAAGATTAGTCCAGATTCTGTCTGTTTTTATAAATATCTTTTTCTTCGATTATCTTTGTCCTCCTCCCTTAGACGCATCTCACACAGAGCGTGGTGTCTCCACTCATTGCACAAACCCCCAGAACGAAAGGATCCTATCTCCGTTTTAGCGTTGAGGGTGTGCAATTTTCTCAGCTGATGATCACTGAGGCGTGCGACACGAAAACTGTCCAGGCAGTGGACTAGGCGCGATAGCTCAGTCGGTAGAGCAGTGGTCTTCTCGAAATTCGGTGAACCGGGTTCGAAACCAAGGCGAGGCGCCAGTGCCCTTTGGCAAGGCATTAATCCTCATTACCAGGTCCCTCAGAGAGGACCTAAAGCCATTGGCCGTCTGGTTGCTTACTTACAAGCATTTATGCTTTCTTAGCAGTCAGGTAAAATAACCACCACCACAAATTATTTAAGATGAAATGATGTACAAGATCAGTCCAATATTGTGATGGCACCAAGACATGATGAAGAAAACAGAAACAGAGAGACATATTCCTCATCTTTAGATAATTTCTGCACAATTTGTGTCATACTTTCTATATGTTCATGCCAAAATTGGAATTTAAAACAATGCATGATAGTGACAGTAATAACCCTCTATTTATCTCTATCTTATTAACCCTATTAACCCTCTATATTATTTTTTATTATTATATACTGCATGATTTATTGAATAAAGAACAGATGTATAAGTTGTGTGTTTATTATAAGTTTTGGTAAATAATTGTTAAGTCAGAATATGGTGCGCTTAGAGACACCAGTATTAAGCGCCTTATAAATATTGTTTATTATTATTATCATTATCCCCCCCCCCCCCCCCCCCCCAAAAAAAAAAAAAAAAAAAAAAAAAAAAAAAAAAAAAAATTATCAATACCAAAGGTAGGAAATTTCTGAGGCATCTTCTCCAACATTTGAAAAAGCATGTAGAAAATCACACAATTCAAGAAAACTTACAAAACTATTAACCCATAGAATAACAAGCCTAAGATATCTTGGGCAGAAGCCAATGGAAAAGGAGCACTACTTCAAAAATCAAATCATTTTCAAGAGATAACATATTACTTTCAACACAAAAGACAGTCAATACCTGTAAAACAACTACAGTACATCAATCACAACATGAAATGATAACAATCAACTACTTTTATAAATGTAATGCTTCCTGGGAGAAACTTCAATTATTTAAACATATTTGTGGCTTACAACCAGTAAATAGGACCGATTGATCGATCTGCATTGAAAAACAAGTCAGAAAAAATCTTGGAACGAGCGGGACTAGGGTCGCTGCCCGGCAAGCAGTAGATGCAGGTTCAAGTCCCTCTAGTTCCAAGATTTTTTCTGACTTGTTTTTCAATACAGATCAATCAATCAATCTTATTTACTGGGTGTAAGCCACAAATATGTTTAAACAATCATCTACTCTTGCCCGGTTAACCTCTCACCTTTGGCACCTTGTGACCTTCACCATTGACCTCTGTGGGACCGGCACACAGCATGGGTAGGATGGCGAGGGGCAGGAGGAAGAGGAACATGTCAACGATGGAGGCCTCGTGGCTGATCCAGTAGAGGAGGTAGACGACACTCCAGAGGATGAGGAGGACGATCCAGCTAAGCAACCAGCGCTGGATGCAGTGGGAAGTGGTACGCAGACGACACTGAGGGGGAATTACAGAGAAGAATTAGACACGTTATGATATACCAGCAAATGAGGAACTAACACTTCAACAAGCTCTGCTTCAAGTTAGTTCCTCTTTTCTCGTGCATTTTCCATTATATTTGGTGTTTCATTGCATATTTTTTTGTGAGATAATTATACTTGTATTATGTTTTGCATGAAAAATAAAATCATTTGAATCATTTGAATCAAAATTCAGATCTTCCGCAAAATTGGAGACGGTACAAATCAAATAGGCAAATCAAAACTATTCTATTTGTACTTGTCTGACTTCATGGAACACCAGAAAGTTTACTTCAACACAACCTAGCAACAGCAAGTTGTCCTAACCTTATTGCTTATCTTACTACTAATGTCATTATAATAATGCATTTACATAAATATAGCGCATTTTCCATATACATGTTTGAATGTGCTTTACAATTATGTTATTAACAGAAAAGGTGACTTTTTTGATGATTGAGGTATTGAGATATTGCTGAAGAAATCTGGGTAGGTTCTTCCACAGTTTGGGAGTGCTGGGCAGTTGTGACTGCTCTGTCACCAAGATAGTGTGGGAAGCACTTTGGGAGATGGATGGTTCAGCATGATGCCTTGAGAGGAGCGAAGGGAGTACCCTGGATGGTTGCCTGGTATTTACAAGTTCAGATAGGTAGGGAGGAGTGAGACTATGGATGAATTTGAAGGTGAGACAAAGTATTTTGAAGTGAATCCGGGACCAGCTCAATTGACTAAAAGCAGGTTTCATGTGACAGAACTTGGGTGAACCTGGGGCAAGTCTGGTGGTAGCATTTTTAATTCGCAGGAATTTGCTTTTTCAATGTGTGTAGAGAGAAGTATAAACATTTGAACGATGTGTTGGATCAGCAAACAATATAGGTTTTGCATAACAAATATTCTGATTGGGCCACAGCTGCAGACCAAACAGAAATAGAGGAATTACCTGAAGTCTCCAATATTTTTCCAGTATCTCCTTGTTCTCTAAAATTTTGAGACCTGGTGCATGCTCGAATTCTGATGGAACCTGAGAATAGATGACAGAAAGTTAAGTAGCCAATTACTATGATACAACCTACTGGTATGACTTATGTTGAATACTAGTACCCTCTGTTACCTATTTAACAAAAGTGCATACGTTTTGTCTTCAGACAACAGTGGACACATATGGCTTCCCTCTAAATTCCTTGCAACACAATATATTCTAAACCGATTTCGAAATATGTGAAATGCTGAACTTTCCATATTTTTGTTGACTTTATTACTGCACTTCTCTATTCCCACGTGATGGTTACAGATGTTCCATTATGTTTATTTATCCTCACTTAATTTTGAAATGGATAGAATTTTTGCTCACTTGAAAATTGAATTTAAAAGGCTAAAACAAGGGTAAGAAGAACAAAAGTAGGAAACCAAAGGTTGTTACACTGAATGTGATATTTTTTGGTGAGTTTTTTGTTGTTGTTAACTGATTTACCTGTCTCTACTTAAACAAGAAATTCTTCATATACCATTAGGCCCTAACACAAAAAAGGCAACTGTCGGCGAAACTGATGTAGTTATAGACATAAATATTGATTTAATAGTAAATTAATTACAATTGATGGGTGAAATTCAAAATTTAAAATAAATGTATTCTTGGGTAAGAATTATAAAAGATATTTAGTAGACAAACTGTAATTTGGGCTCACCTCTGCAATATTGCTCTGTCCACCGCCCTCCATGCCAGATGCAAGAAGATTAGCCCAGACATCATGATTGGAAAGATCTCCATCCACAGAATCAATGCCCATGCTAGTGCGATGAAGTCTGGTGACCGACATCTTTCTCCTCTCATACTCGTTCATGTCCCACTCATCTGAAATTATTGAATGATTAAAGGTATAGACCAGTTTTGGAAACGCCCCCCTCTCAAAAAATGAAATGGAAGCTCTTACTACCAATCATGTGAAAGAATATGTTTTGACTAATACGTGCCGATAGCAATTTTGCCTGGAAATTGCTTCTAATTGATATATTTGGTAAACTATCATAGCGATCCGGCCTAGATAGATATCACAAATGCACTTCAACATTTTACATTTGGGCATATATTTCTGCTTTTTGGTAAATTTAGGTTGAGGTATTGCCATCTAAACCTCTGAAGGCAATATTTAAACAATATTGAATGGATATTTTGCACCCTAAACCCTTGAACCGCAATTTTACCATTACCAGTCTATATCTGTAAATGATCTGTAAATGATACTGATTTAAAAAAATAAAATAAATAGAACTTGACATTGCATGTGATCAACACTTTCACGATACAAATATTTTCAGAGCTTACACTCTGATAACCAGCAGCTTTCCCAACACTGTCACTGAAGATTTCAAAAATTGTTAGTCCCCTCCATTCAATCAACCTGAAACCTACACTAGAACCTAAACTAAACTTAACCCGATACCTCAGCTAAAACCTAACCTGACTCCTAAGCTGAAAGCTAAGCTGAAAGCTAAGCTGAAACCCAAATTCAAGACAAACCATATATAGCCAGATGTGAATGTCCCTCAGATAGGACGTTAAATGGAGGCCCGTGTAGAGGAGAGCCATCACCTTTGCATGTTAAGAACCCACTGCACTATTCGTATAAGAGTAGGTGGAAACCCTGGTGTAGTGGTCCACATGCACACCCCAGTATATACATCTGCAAGAATCTTCAGTATTGAAGGAGGCAGATTATCCATAAGAAGAAGAAGAAGAATGTTGCACATACATGGACCTATAATATCCAAAGTCCGTTGGAAGTGCACAAAGACCTTATATCATGCGCTATACAGGAATGGAATATAATTATTATCACCTTCAAGATCTTTGATGACGTCCTCTGAGGTTGGTGAGCCTAGGTTCTGATAGCCCCCAGCCATAGCAGCGCTGTCATTGAAGCTTGCATTGTTTGCCCTGTCAATCTGGTCTTGCGCAAGGCTGGTTGTATGGCGACGCCGTCGACCTCTTTGGTGCTGGTAGTTTTTGATGTGGCAGATCATGGCATCCTCATCTAACTCGAGGAGAAAGTGACGAACACCTATAAGCAAAATTGATATAGCAAAAAAATTAGTCTGTCTTTTTGGTTATGAAATGCATTATTTCATATTTGTTTACCCACAGAAAATGATTTGGTTTGATCATAATGTATGCATTAGGGGTATTTTTTTTAATTTGAGGGAAAGGATGTTGAAATAGACTGAAAGAATTTCTACTTACTTATTGTGTGTGTGCGACATACAGACAAGCACACCACTGCTACCAGCATGTTCCAAACAAAGGAAAAAAATGTCAATCCAACAAGACAAGAATATTGCAAATGGCATATCCACGGTGATATAGAGACAGAAACACAGGTTTGTTCGTCAAATAGGTTGAAGTTATCGAAATTGTAAAGGCCGATGAACATCATACCGAGCAGGCCGATGATAAAGGCCGAGTTTAATTTAAGGAAGGTCTTGGTATGCAGCCTCACGCTCTGCACGAACAGTCTGTTTGTGAAGAGGCGGAAGGCAAGGTTGTTGGCGTAGACACTGACAGCGCAGAAGCCCATGGCCATGATGATGTTGACGGTACCGTTAAGAGAGTCAAAGGTCGTGTTCTGCGAGACGATATCCGCCACCGTGTACCAGGTATAGTTGATGAAGTAACCGACTGTGCATATGAGAGTCAGAGTGTAGAGGAGGGTGGCAAACCAGGGCTTGTCTTTGGGGTGTGTTTTGATCCCCAGGGATTTGGCGATGATGTACCAGAGCCAGCGCGGTAGAGGACGAGACTGCTGCATGGTGCCGGAGCGAACCTCATGTGCTGGAAGAGATGAGAAGCCGTCCTGCTGAATAGTGGGTGTTGCTGCTGCTACCTGTTGCAAACCTGAAATGGTATTCATTTCAGTTTTCTTGATGTATCTTTTAAACGATGAATAGCTGTGAAGAAATTCGCAAAAACAAAGTTGTTAAATGGGCACACAGTCTTATTGAGAAGTAACAGACATCTATGAGAATATGAGACCATCCCTTGCTATATATCTGCCTGATATGTCACTCTTTGTTTAAAGTTGATATTCTAAGACAATCCCAAATATTGAGATAATTACATCAATAGAAAGCTTTCAACCCCCAGAATAACACTAAATGGTGTCTAACTGACAAAAACAAGTTAGAATGGTGAATTTATGCGAGTAGACTCTACCAAACTATCTAAGTCTAAAACCCGGAAGTGCATGTAGAGTCGGGCCTCTATCCGTGACGTCACGAACGGGACCCATGGGCTCAGTGAGAGTGAATGGCAGTGATATCCCTACGTAAATGCTATCCTGTCAGAGCTTAGATTTGTTGTTGTTAATGAGTATATTTGATGGATTTTCTGTTTTCATTTCAATGAAGAATAACGAAGCAACATTTTCCAGTGGCTGATTTCTTTTTATCCTCATATTCACCGATTTGGTAGAGATTTAAGACGAGTTTACTGCTTGGGAAACAAGGTTAAATCATGCACGTATGAATAGGCGGATGCATTATCTTGTCATCAAAAGAAAATTAAAAAAGGAAAAATATTTAACTAAAAGATAAATTTAAAGAGAGGGGGGCGGGGGCCCCCCCCCCCAAAAAAAAAAAATAAAAAAAAATAAAAGATAAATTTAAAGAGAGGGGCCAAAATATTAAAAAGGAAAAATATAAAAAAGGGAAAATTATTTAAAAAAAAGGAAAAATATTGAAAAAGGTAAAATATTAAAAAAGTAAAAATATTAAAATAGGGTCTAAAAGATGAATTTAATCATTGAAATGTAACCCTTTTTAATAATTTGCTAGCTTTATTCATTAAACCTCAAAACACCCCCTAAATTATACTTTGGTGAAAGAAGCCCCACTACTGTGCTGTCCGTTTTGAAAATGCATTGGATGGGGCCACACATAGGAGCATCACTATCCTGGCTGTGTAGTAAAAGCTGTGCTTTTGATTCTCAACATTTCAAACACCTCTGTACAAAACTCAACTGATTTCACTCAAAATCGGTACTTTAGTGACAATTGATGACACCTAAATAGCAGTAAAATACATTTTTTCATCTTACTGATGTTAAAAAGAATAATTTAAAAATTAAAATCGGAAGTCTAGAGTCAAACTTTGCTTACAGCTGCATCGGCATGATTGTGTACAGTCTATGCGATATTGTGCAGGGAATAATTTTCCTCAAATTTTTTGATTAGCAATTTCAGCCGATGGATAAATATTTCAAATGAAATTCTGTACATTTCTATGGAAGAAAACTGCTACACAAAAGATATTTTGTATAGCAGTCATGCAAAAATGCGTAGCAAATTGCGATGCGATACCAGGAAAATTATTCCCTGCTGTGTGATGTGTATATTTGTGTATAGACTTCTAGGTCCCTGCCTAACAGCATGTACGGTATGCAGTGCTAGAGGTCAATACGCATTAGCATTGACTCTCTATGCTTTGCTGGAGTGGATGGGGCCTTGTTCACGAGTATTAGTATAGTCGTGATACAGGCCCCATGTCCGTGTTGTAGAACATGCAACGCCGTTGCGCGGGGCCTATATCACGAGTATATATAGCGAGTTGAATAGGAGACTCGTATAGTATACTCGTGATACAGGCCCCACGGCTGTGTTGAAGTGCGCGAGATGCCGTTGCGCGGGGCCTCGATCACGAGTATATATAGTGAGTTGGCTGAAGTTAGAAGTCTAGTATAAAATTATAATCGATTCAAAACAATTGCGGGGCCTATATCCTGGCAATCCTGGCAACAAGGGAAAGCGATCTGTCAATCCAAAATTTACCAAACTTGGATTCCTGTGGTGGAAGTTGCATACATTAAGGAGATGTGTGATATGGAATTGTTGAGATGTGTCGAGTTTCAAAGCACCAAGGATTTCTGTTTCTTTGGCTACCCTGTCGTGGCCGAGGGCAGGAACGATTCCTCCTTGTAGGAGTAGGCAGTTCAGGTGATTTTTTTTTTGTAGGAGATAGGGGGTGATTTCTATATCATTTTAAAGATCACATTTTTATTTACACAATGCACTTTGAGTTGTTCAATTTGGACCAACGGTTCCAGAGATACGGATTTTTAAAATAATTTTCAGAACCATATTGATGAGGACAAAAGATCAAAAGGTCAAACCTATTATAATTGTATTGAAGTCAATTAAACCTGTGTTTAAGCAGTGGCACCATTGTTTTCAGAAGTTTGTGATCTGTTAAGCCTCATAATAGTCATATCTCTTCAATGCGATGACCAAACTCGCTGAAATTTGGCAAATATGAAATTTAATATCTTTAAACAGCACCGTAAAAAAATATGCAAATTTATGCAAATTTATGCAAATTTCCATGTTTTTGTCATCATATTGTTATAAAAGGTAAATAAAAACCCTTTGAATCTAAACTTTTACCAAATGATCTTGTCTATTTATTTCTTTCTTTCTCTCTCTCTCTCTCTCTCTCACACCCACACACACACACACACACGCACGCTTTTTCCCTCTCTCTCTCTCTCTCTGTGTTTCTTTTTTTCTCTTTCTTTTTTTCTCTTTCTCTCTCTCTCTCTATTTCTTTCTTTCTTTCTCGGTCTTTCTCTCTCGGTCTTTCTCTCCTAGTCTCTCTCTTTCTCTCTCTCTCTCTCTCTCTCTCACACACAAGCACGCACACACACACACACATAAAAGGATGAGGTGACAAATCGTCTATGTAGTCTATACTTGCAGCAATCTTGCAGTAAATGAACAGTTTTTTTGTTACTTTACCCCAAAATATAACCAATTCATGTTAGATTATTACAATATTTATTCCAAATATTAAAATAAATATCACAATTATCAATAAAATACAACATACAATAAACAAAAATTGAAAAAACAAGTCAATCAAGTCACAAACGGGTCTGAATTCTAAGACTACGAAATGGTCTCGACGTCACTCACACAGCTGTTTCATTCACGTACACACCATGTACACGCATCACATCGTCAAAATCAGTTCGTGCAATTTTCAAAAACTGCAATCATATTATCATATCTACCATAAGATCTACTCATCATCATTATATGAAACTTTCAGGAAAGAAGGTAAGATGTTTAATTTTGTTAATTACGGAGTTGTAAGTTAGTTGAAAAACTCCTTCCATCTGAATTTCATCACATTGTCGGCAGATTTGAGCAAAACCATCTACTACGATGGTTATTCAACGTACAACTCACTTCCGATGTGCATCGATAATTGTCAAAGAGAAATGACGTCATATTTTATTGTTTTAACCAATCAGAAGGCAGGGAAATCCGAAATAAACCGAGTGTTTTTTTTCGGCAGAACCACGAAAGCTCACGAAAGTGTGGCCGAAAGTGTGGCCGAAAGCGCGCTCACCCTGATGTACGTGGATTCGTATAGGGAGCTGAAATGCGCACCTGCGTACGTGAATAAGAAGTTGTCCCCATCGCGAAGGGCTAAACTGAACTGCCTAGTAGACTTCTAGATCTAGTAGTAGTATCTTAGTTCCCTGGTAGTCATCTTGACCATCTACATGGGGACTACATGGGGACTACATGAGTATGCCGTTGAGTTTTGTACAGGGGTGTTTAAAATGTTGAGAATCAATAAAACAGCTTTTTATACACAACCAGGATAGTAATGGCTAATGCAGCTATCTGTGCGCTCAGCTCAGTCACAGTCTCCTACTCACTACCGGTACACACAATTGAACAGATGGGACTTACACAATTCTGCAGTCCTAACTGCTAGTTGGCCGTTTCACTTTCCGGACTCCATCAGACATCATCAGAGACGAAGAATAATGAGTAGAATTAACTCAAGCAACTTCGAATAAGCCTAGGTCTGAACAGATCGTATCTAGTTAAACAATTACATAATACTTAATTTCAACGATGCGTAGGATTTCTCTACATAAGTCAAAATATCGTGCAACAAAACAAATTTAACAAGATGTTGTCAAGAGAGGGCAGCAAACTAACAGAGGCGGCACACGGGGCGGGGGAGGTGCACATAGAGTACCTAATTATGTAGGTACTCTAGGTGCACAGTGCCCCCACTTTTTCAAGTACCCCAAAAGTGCCACCTTTTTACTTTACTTATCAGAAGAGAAAGTGACATTTATTCGAAAATAAAGGAGCAAGTGTCAAAGTAAAAGGGGCAATTATAAGAGGTAAATGGTACATGTTTATAAAAATCTTTCTACCCCCCCCGTGTTATACAGATATTTTCGATGAAACGAAATGATTTACGATATATTTTGTTATGATATGTGTTATCTTTATGTAGCCGGATTATGAATGTATTTATAAGATGAAACAAAATTAATTGAAAACTATATACCTCTCTTTAGAAAACTAGCAATCTGATTAGTCGCAATTGGAGTCGGAATTTTAACCATGCCCGCCTACCAGTCTATAGTTTTTAAAAAGATGGGGGGGGGGGGGGGGGGGGGGGGGGGGGGCAAAACGCATTTTCGCCCCAAAAACACGCCCCCGAAAAAAAAGAGCAGTAAAGAAGTTAAAAATAGTCTGTATTTTTAATCAGAAATCAGAAATAATGAAACCTGAATACAAATTATATTCCATTCAAAGAAAAGGGAAGTAAACAAGAATTGAATTCCCTAAATATTCCACATGCCCCAAATTTATCAATGGAGGATTTTTATAATAGCGATACGCGCAAATCGGGGAAATAATGTGAGAGGATGGGAAAGCGCGTTTCCTTTTTTAATTTTAGGGGGAAGAAGACATAACGTACAACTGGGGGGGGGGGGGGCAGCTACCCCCCCAAATAAAATTCAGACGTGGTTTATTTCTAATTCCATAAGTGATTTACAAGCGTTGCTGTAATTACGTGATTTCCCGGGGTTTTTCTCAATTTCTTTTTAAAAATATTCTTTCTTGTTTGTTGGAAAATAACAAATTCCCAAATTTACAGTCAGGCAAAAAATTTGCTTCTTTAGAAGCCGTTTTGTTAGGGCCCCCCTTACTCTTATGAAAAAGAATGTTAAAGAGAAAAAGAAAGAAAGAGAGAAAGAAAGAATGAGTCACCTGCCAGTTTCAAAAGAGGTATCAAAACATGCTCATCTGACCGTAATTAAATGCCTGAAACCCCTGAGCTAAGGGGGTTCCGCCCCTGGACCCCACCAAGGGCCGCAAAGCGGGTAGTGAGCCCCCCAGATTGTTTCATTTTCGCGCCGACCAATAATTCGCTTAGTGGGGGGGGGGGGGGGGCAGGGGAGGGGGAATGAGGGAGTGAGTACTAAAATAAAACACATTTTGCCATCGTCATTTGAAGAATTAAAAAAGGAGGGCATTTTCGTTTTATGTTAAAAAAATGTAAAATTTACGATTTGTTAAGTGTTTTTGCCAGGGGGAGGGGCTGGGCCCGTCGCCCCCACCCTGTATCCGCGCCTGAGGACAACGCAATGTCGTATTTCTGTGTCATACAGAGGCGTTTGCTTCTGGAATGATTAACCTTTACCTCTACGGAAAAAGCTTCAGTTTCTTGTTTTCGTAGTACTCTAACTGCACAAATGTTAATAGAATAACGGTTGACCTTTTAACCAAGCTTTTTGCCTTTTATTAGACAATAAACGTGTACTCTATATTTGTAGACAGTTATGATATTTACTGTATTATCTTATACGGAATTTATACAAGTTTGTATACAAGTTTGTACTTTTGTTTATTTTTTCGAAAATTATCATACAAAATAATAACACAATATAACAAAATCAAAGACATATACAACAATGACTTAATTACTCTGTTCTTCCATTGAGTCCACTAATCACACAAACATGTATTAAGCTGGATACATAGAATAATATGTAGCTTAATTATATACATGTACCTGTATTCAATAATATATATATATATATATATATATATATATATATATATATATATATATATATATACACAAAAGATTAAATATTAAGATATTGCCCTTTAAAAGTGCCAGACATGATTAGCATTTTATGCTATTTCCTGGTTCCTATTATTCATTCGAGATATTTGTTAAACATCCATTCATTATTATTATTATTTTTATATTACTGTATTTGAACGTTTGGATAATAAAATCTCAACTCAACTCAACTATAGGGCTAGGAATAATGCTTGGTCCAGGGTTGAAGTTAGTTTTCGATTAAAGTGTTCCAATCATCAAAACATCTTCTACACTGGATGTAAGGGGTTCCAGGAGGCTATACTCTATTCAAAATATGAGCTTCAAATACTCCATCTCTGGCTATACACAAATATATTTCAGGTGATCGATCGACTACGGAATGAATGTTTCTGAAGCATGTGTCGCAAAAAAAAAAATCAACTCAAGTCATCTAAGCCACTGGAGCTTTAAACAATAGTCCTATTTTTATGTTGATTATAACAATTGAATTTGAATGTGTGTCAAAAAAAAAAATAATTCCTTGCCTAATTTAAGTGATATATTTTTGTTTTAATACAGTACACTCTTGCCGACTTGCACAACATATACTTGTTTTGTATTTATAATCTCACGATTTGTCTCTAGCGTCTTCTTGATATTGAATTATGTATAAAAATTATCTTATGTAATTATGCATTTTTATGTGTTATAGTCCAAGCTGTCTTTTAAGGCCACCCAAGGGAAACGGAAAAAGTGGCAATATAGACAGATGGTCTTTCTTGAGGGGTTCCATAACACAAATCTCTTTTTCGAGGGATACAAACTGCTTTCAAAAGATGGCCTTTATACTAGTGTAGAGAGGTGGCCACGAACACAGCTTTGACTATATTATACCATCCGCTGATGAGGAAAGCCTTCTATACAGTCACTTGATTTATTCACTTTATTGAAATCACTAAATCCAAAGACAACTTAACAAAACCGAACCAACCAAACAACCAAACAAACCGAGTGAACAATAAGCGAGTTACGATATCATAATGACTGTCGCACTATACCTTTTTCATGGCGGGTGGTGTGAAGGATCGAATGAGTCCAAAAAGTCTGTGTCAATGTCAAGAAGAAGTTTTCATACAAAGTCCCTGACAAGCAAAAAGCCATAGCCCATCCCCTCCCCCGAAAAATTGCCACCTTCTTACATGCTTCAGGGATTGAAAAAACTGCTGCCGGTACATTCAATGTAGATTTAAAGGTACCATATCCCATTTGCAGGCCAAAACAATGACATGGTTAAATTCCACCGGCATTTGAAAGATAATACTAATTTAGAACTTCCCTCAAAACGGAAAAACTTGAAAATGTCATTTTGTGGGAAAATAACGACCGTTAGTTATTGAATCGACTTTAGTGCTTGCAATCATTTTAGTAAATTTTATGATTTTTAGACCATTGTACCAAATGGTCGTACGTTTTGTGCTATTAATGTAGACAAATGCTCATGTACACTTTACAGCTCATTTTTATGTGTGTTATTACCAACAAAACAAAAGAAGTCAGTCAGTCACTCAATAGTGTCTGACAGTGAACTTTAGAAAGTAAACGGGTTTTGTTGCATAATTTGAATACTATGACACTGCTGACGTTTACATTTCACAGATAGGACATACATGACATATTCATAATTCCTGCAAAGATCTACATAATTTGATGTTGGTCGCAAATGGGACATAGTACCTTTAAAGATTCTATGTCCCTTTTGCAGCCAACATCAATTTCTGTAGAACTTTGCAGGAATTATGAATATGGCATGTATGTCCTATATGTGAAATTTAAACGTTAGCAGTGTCCTAATATTCAAATTATGCAAGGAAAGCCGATTACTTGCTAGACTTCACTGTCAGACACTATTGAGTGACTGACTGGCCTTTTTCATCTTTGGTAATAACATACATAACATATGAGCTGTAAAGGGTACATGAAATTATAACCCACTTCCTGTAATGGCCAAAATTAAAGTGATTGAATCCTTGCGCAGCATAAAACGTACGACCATTCGGTACAATGGTCTGAAAAATCAAACTATTACTTACTGGCTCTATAGCTCCTAAGTCTATTCGACACTAATAGTCGTTATTTCCCCACTTAAAGACATTTTCAAGCCCCCTTTTAAAGGAAGTTCTAAATTAGTATTGTCTTTCAAATGCCGTTGGAATTTAACCTTTTCATTTGTTGGGCCTGCAAATCGGACATAGTAGTACCTTTAACGTATATACCGGAATGGGTTTTGCCGGGGAAGGGGCGGTAGGACGCCCCTGAATCTGCTACTGACATTACATCTCTGTAAAGAGCTGAGGCCTAAAAGAAATTATTTTTCTTTCAACTTCTCTTATAAATTAAAACGTTCAATGTTCACTATTGATGTGCGCCATCGCACTTTCCTGCACTACATACTACGACCAACACGTGACGATATCGCCGTCCATACCGTAGTGTTTTCCAAGCAAGTTCGCCAGAGTTTGCGGACGCGTTTGTTGGCACCAAAAGAAATGAACACGAAGACACCTTGCAGACCAATGACGATGATGAAGAGGTAATCCATGACGGCAACGTTGATCACTATAGCCAAGAACCCAAACAACCATCCGAAACCGAGAAGAGTTGAGATCTATTACAGGAAGAAAACGATAATGACAGGTAGTAAATTTGACAGAATTATTTTTTCATAATTATTTTGCATGTGTTAATATCATTTTGTCAGGTACCTTTTAATATACAATCTTCTTGCAGATATCCTTTCATTCTTTTACATGATTATGTCCACGGTGCACCAAATTGTTTATATATCAAGGCTTTGTGCTTTTGCTTATGTTTAACTTTTATGGATGATGACTGGAAGTGAATTGCACTGAGGTAAATAAAAAGTAAAAGATAGGATCTGATCTGGTTTTAGATGCCAGGCTTGTATCGTATATGCTTTGCAACAGTGATGACAACAACAACAAATATGAACAGTCTTTGTTTGGAGTAGCCGGTTGGATATATTCCCTATTCTTTTACTCTAAAAATTGTAAAATACACAGTGGCCGCGGAGCCTCTTCCAAAGAGGGGCACCAAAAATAAAAAGGCACTTTCTGGAAAAAAGTGGCACCTACAAAGGGAAATCTTTAAGCGAAAATATACAATTTTTATTTCGTATTCTGTTCTAAATTACAACGAAATTTTAGTTCACCTAACGGTTCAGGAATAAGATGGCTTTGCTCTCAGGTATAAACCTACCTTTATGTATATTTTCAGTTCAGTAGCCCACTGTTTCACGTGAGATTCTTGACCCTGTTGCAGCATCGATGTTGCTTTCTTTATAGAATGTACTCCATGTACCGTGATGATAAACAGGGCGACATTGGTAAGTAGGCATGCAGACATTGGGACGAAGAACATTATTATGTTAGCCCATTTTGTAAGCCAGCACTTCTTACGGTCGTACTCCAAGAAAAGACCATTCTCAAATCCACCAAACTGAAGTACTAGGGTGATCAATACGAACACGAGAGGAGTGCCCCATCCAACAAGGAGAAATGCAACCATCCTCCAGCCAAAAGAACTAGGTGAAAAGGTTTTCATCTTATGTGCCGCAAAGCTGCGACTCAAGTCCCACGCCAGGATGGTTGTCCACACGAATGAAGCCAGGAAGAAGAAATGGGACAACGCCGCAGAGAGTATGCAAGGTACAAACCACTTGGAAAGTGAAACGCGGATGTACTGAAGGAAGATTTGTCCAAGGAATAAAGCGATGATAAAATTCATTATGGATACACCCTGGCGATTCCGGAAGGCCGGAAAAGCAACGTAAGGAATGAATGTGGCAAAGAGGCACACCGATGATATGGCAAAGAGGATATTTTCGACAATCATCTGAGCCCTTTCGCCGATGGATATATTCTGATCAGGATAACAGATGCTTATCGAGCAATCAGGATGCATCAGAATGTTATCCTCACCATACCTCTGCCCCTGATACAAAATGTATGATTCATTCTCATCATGGATCCATTCAACCGAATCGTTGGACACCCTGAATGAAGCGCATGTTCGGAGAGCGACCTCTGTCCCACACATGATAAACTGATCCTCTGAAGAGACGTTAGCATTACTAATCTCTAAGCTAGTGATATTGCTCCACCATCTCGGTCGAATATAAGTTCCGTCAGAGAAGAAGATAAGAGACCCGTTGTTGATATCAGAAGGCATAAAATTCAAATAGTGTCCGATAAACATTTCTTCGGGACAATAATTTGAAATATTTCCATGTCTTTCGTCGAGATAGCAAGATTGACTAGCTGAAAGTCCGACCGTTGAGCATTGGTGAGGTCCAGGAGTTTGCATTAGTCGTAGGATGTCTTTCTGAATTGTATCCAGGGAAGGGTTTATGGCTTCGTTTAACAAGGTAAATGTCATGGTCTCATTATCGACAGAAGATGGAGATCTTTTTAGACAGGGTGGTGACTGCGTTGAACAAAGCACACTGTCTAGACACTCTTCTGCTCCATTAATTTGGGTGATCTGAAGATGTCTAAAGAAGCAAACGGGCCAGTCGGAAGGTAACAGCGTGCATGTGCCGTTTTCATTCTCTTCAAATCCATTTGGTGCAAATAATTCTTTTGTGGGCATGGGGGGCTCGTTGATTTCCAGAAAAATATCCGCGATACCAGGTTGTCCAGGTTCTCCTTCACATGACAATTCCGGCAGTCTTGTTGGACTCCCTGGACCACCTGGAATGCCTGGACCGGGCATTCCAGGCGGTCCAGGGGGTCCAGGTGGTCCAGGTGGTCCTGGGGGTCCTGATGGTTCAGATCTACAATTCCGTCCTGTATCGTCCGGTCCACGTTTACCATCCGGTCCGAGAACATGCAGCGCGTCCAGCCTAGGATAAAGACACCTGGCCAAAGGACCCCCATTGCAATAAGTACACACCGGATGCTTATTTACAATACCTCCACTAATGAATGGTTTGTAGTAATATCGGCATTCATGGGCTATCTCAGTACTCGTCCCGTTCGGACAACTTTCCACCATTTTTACAAGGCAGAGTCGAGGTGATGGGACAGTTTGGACATTAGAAATATACCGATCGGATCCATTGTTATTCACAGAAAAGTTAAATGGTGGTATGGGTATTTGCGTTGTGCATTCCAGTGCATGAGTATTGCTCCATGAGCACATGTCTGATGGACTGATTGTGATCAATGAGCTTCTGTCAAACCCATGGCAAGTAGCGCAGTCCGGGTTCTTAAAGTACAAGCCTCCGTGTGCGTAGAGAACGTCATCAGTCCCGTTCCCAGGAACATCCTCACAAATTCGTCTGACGCCCTCATCAAAGACCCACTCCAAGGGGCACCTTGAAATCATCCGGTAACCATGCTTCAGTTGTGGGTAGACTTGCGGGAGGAAGGAATCCACCACGCACTCCCACATATCAAGGTCAATTGGTTGTCCAGCAGTCTCGTTTGCTCGAGTCCCATTCAAGATTGGCAGAGGAAAGCCCGGACAGCAATCACCGAACAAGTGACACATATCGTCGCATTTGCATACAAGCGTTTCCTCGACACCAAAGCAAGACTCCCTGAAGCATTCGTCCATACGGTATTCATCAGTACTTTCTGTGATGAAAAAGTAATGAAAGGAAAATATCATTAGCTTATATTAGTGCAATCGATGGACTATTATGACAGGCCCATTATTTACACTTATAAAAATAAACAATCAGGATTATCTGAGTATAAGAAGTTCTTTAATCAATGGTCATGTCGGGTTCATTGGGGGACCTGTGCGCCAAAAACATGTTAAATCATAGATTTAAACCCATATCTTTTGTCGCTATGACATGTAACGATAATTCCTGTATAATGTTCAATTAACCTTAAACTCTACGGGGTGATCCGATATTTGCTCCGGACTTTCTTTCGTCAAAGGTATCGGTTTAGGTTTAAAGTTGCTATAGGGTTTTATGTTTGGATCAGGGAAAGGATTAGGTACAAGTATAGGCGTATTGTTGGGTCTAGGGTTGAACTTAAGTCGCAGGAGCAAGTGTCGCAAAAGCGATAGATAGAGACATTCAAACCTAATAAATCATCGATACTCCATTGACAGGATGAATTTTAATAGGCGCTCCTCTATTTTAACTTCACCCCCTGCATGTTGACGATGTATTACCTGAAACATTGCCAGAAGTCGAAGCGCTGATGTCCACCATAAATCCCTGTGCTGTGTCGATGGCATCGAAAGTAAAAACGAGCCACATCTCATTGTTGATGGAAACAACATCATCGGGAAGAGAAGGACCCGACAACTGCACCAGATTTGAGGTAAGGTCACTCACGTTGAGACCTGAACCAATGCGCAGGAAGCCAAGGCCGGATTGAAGATAAAAGGTGTGAAACTTGGCCACAACCTGGGAGACCTCTGGTCCAGAAACGAGCCACTGAACACTTCCATGGTTTGGATAATTCCCTGGGTAGTTTGGTGATACGATGGTCAAAGACTCGCCATAACTGATGGTGGCGACATTCCCATCGTTGCCAAGAACTGAATACAAGGATAAATACAAGCACAGATGATAATTTAGTTTTAGAAATTCTATCCGTTCCAAGTGATTTCGACTTGAATCATAAATAAAGCCCTCAATTTGTTTTACCCGATTCATCTTCAACCCACTCGTCCCATTAAAAGTTTGATTGTCCCTCAGCCTAGACTACGTACTTGGATTTTTTGATTGTTCTGATCTAGTTCAAGGCTCTTGACCTTAGTGCTTTGTTGCACTAACCATGTAGTTACTAACCTCTACACGATGGTAATTGATATTCCTTTTATCACTCGTTAGTAGTAAATAGATACTTTTATTTCAGCGATATGCGGGCATGATTTTGCATTGTAAAATCAAGGTTAAAATATATACTGTATGCAACTGTATTATACACGACCTTTAACATCGTCTAAGGGTATAGTATTTTATAATGAGGAAGGGTTGAGTTTATAAAGAAGCAGAACGTTCAAAGAATGAATGAATGAATGATATTTCCAAGAGATACTAACTAGGGTTCTTAGTAGTAACGGTAGTAGGAGTAGCAGTAGAAGCATTCTTGTAGTAGAAGTAGTAGTAGTAGGATATGATAGTGGGGGTGATAATAGAAAATTGAGTAGTGGCATTAGGAAGAATAGTAGCATAAGGAACAGTTGTAGTGGTAGTAGGAGTAGGATGAGATATGGTGGAACTAACTGATGAAAACAGTGATAAGTTAATAATGGGATACGGGACTGGATAGGTAGGCACTTATTTTTTTTTATTTGATAAGACGGAGACCATACAGCAAGCGATGACAAAAATCATGCAGCCACTATTTTATGGAACAACTCGTTTTTGTGAAACGAAATTTTCAAACGTGAATTATCATCAAAAGTGACCCCTAGATTTCTACATGTTTTGGTTGCATGAACAAGAGTTCAGTATAAATTCAGTGTCAATTCTGGGTTTCTTAATCCGTAGGGTGAAGACATGTGAAGACATTCAGTTTTGGTACTGTTGAGTATCAAAACATTTACTTGAGACCACTCTTTGACAGACCGCACACAATTTGATATTTCTATATAGTAACTTCAACATCACCAGTTTTCTTAAAATGCGACAGACTGAGGCGATGAAAGGATGTATCAGTATGCTCAAAATAAAATAAAAGATACTGGTACTTACCAATCCGACTCGTACTGTACTTCGCTGAGACAATGAGAACAAATCCTAATATGTAAATATGAATAATGATTCTGAGTATAGCAGATTCCATGTTGATTATGTTCCGTGCTTCTCCTTATAGACACAAAATCGTTTTAAGCTTTCAACCAAAGCCGAAAGCGGAATTTCATATTTTGTCGGTCACGTGAACATGACAGGAGACGCTAGAAATGTTATGGTAGGAATCAATGTATAGGATGAGAGATATAGGGTGGAGACGCGCTACTACTTAATGGCAGAATCGTATTTTGCACGCAGTTATTTTTCTTTTGAAGGGTGATATTGTTTATTTGTTGTCTACACGGATGAACTGGAAAAGAGACTGCAAATACTCAAAATATATTTATATATACTACAACAACTACTACTACCTCTACTACTACTAGTACTACCACCACTATTACTACTACTACTTCCACTACTGCTGTTACTACTACTACTACTATTACTACTACGACTATTACTAATACTACTACCACTACTACTACTACTACTACTACTACTACTACTACTACTACTACTACTACCACTACTACCACTACTACTACTACTACTACTACTACTACTACTACTACTACTACTACTACTACTACTATTACCACCACTACTACTACTAGTACTACTACTACTACTACTCCTACTACTACTGCTACTACTACTACTACTACTACTACTACTGCTACTACTACTAATACTAATACTGTTACTACTACTTCTACTACAAATAATAATATAATTAGTATTTTCTTCTTGAAACCACAGGATGGAGGATGAGAAATGGGACATGCCGGTTTCATGAATCCTTAGATAAATGTACTCAAGGCCAGGGATACCGACATTGCCGGTCATGTGGGCCTTACATGGGCTTAGACATCTTTAAGGTAATGCAAAGTTCTGGGAAATTTTGAAACTTGGATCTTAGTAATTCTTTAAAATTCTGACATATTTGGATGCCCCTATGGATTATAAGCACTAGAAAATTTAGCCACTAAAACACTTCTGCTTTCGGGAAATTGAATAATAAAAAATTTACCGGTGCTCCCGGTAAATTTCAAATATTTCAAATAGCGCCTAAGGCCATTCCTTAGCTGCGACCATGACAATCTCAGAATATGCAGTTCTGATACTTAATTTCCTAACGGAAATAGCAAATCGGTCGATCGTAGTCAAGAAACAGTCTTGAGAGGGCGCTATACAACACAAAGAGTTTATTATTTACAATCAGAGGCGGTGGAGCGACTTCCAAAGTGGGGGGGGGGGGGGGGGGCACCAACAAAAAAGGGCACTTTCTGGGGAAATAGGGCACCTACAAAGGGAAATCTCAAAGCAAAAATAAACAGTTTTTAGACATTGGTATATACCCCTAAAATTTGATTACATTATCAGGGATGATTTCAATATTTGTTTCTCTTTATACATCGTATAAAATATTGCTTTTTAAAGCATCATGCCTTATAGTTGGGTGTGATGGTCGAACAAATGATTTGCGAGCGAGGAAAAATATAAGATTTGTGAGGTCACAGTGCGAAAACTACATCTTATAAAGAGGAAAAAACCAACCCTCATCGGGTTATAAATAAGCACATTTTCATAACAGCAAACTGAAAAGACCTTTGATAAGTAACATAATTATAACATCTATAAATGTGAGCGAGCGTAGCGAGCGAGCTTTGGGAGATATTGCTCTTAATCGCTTGAAATTAGGGGCACGTTTAATGATGAGAGGAAAGGGGGACACTTATCGAAGGGATAAGACACTTTAATATTAAAAAATAAAAGGAGCACGTGTCAAAGTACAAAGGGTTATTATCAGAGGTGAAAATGGGGCACTCACCAGGGATGAAAAGGCACTTATCAGAATGGAAATTGAGCATTTGTCGACGGAAAAGAGGCAACTATCAGATTTTGATAGGGGCATTTATGAAAAAGGGATAGGTTCCTCATAAGAAAGGAAAAGGGACACGTATCAATGTTAAAAAAGGTTAATTATCAACTTGAATGGTGAAAAGGGGCACTTATCGCACCTGAAAAGGGGCAAACACCATATATGAAAGAGGCACTTATGAGAATGAAAAAGGGGCACTAATATTAAAGGGAAATGTGCATTTGTTGAAAGAAACGGAGCACCGTTCAGATTTTGATAGGGGCATTTATTGGAGGTGAAAGGGGACTTTTATGAAAAGCGGAAATTATGAAGGAAAAAGAGCATTTATTAGGAAGGAAAAGGGGCACGTGTCAAAATAAAAGGGAGTGTTATTAGAGATGAAAAGAGCACTTATCAGGAGGAAAAGGGGGCACTTGTCAAAATAAAACGATTGTCTCTCAGAATTGAGTAGGGTCATTTACCAGACATGAAAAGGAGCACTAGTAGGAGAATGAAAAATGACTATTTTCGTACGTGAAAAGGGGCATTTATGAAAAGGCGAAGGGCTCTTTGTTAAATGGGGGCACTTATCATATGGAAAAGGGGCATTTATTAGAAAGGAAAGGGGCACATGTGAAAATATAAGGTGCGCTTATCCGAGTTAAAAAGAGGTAGTTATTAAAAGGGAAAGGGGCACTTCTTACAAAGGAAAAGGGGCAATTGTCAAAGTAAAAGGGGCACCTGTAAGATTTGAATAGGGCAATTATCAGAGGTGAAGGAGGCGCTTAACAAAAGTGAAAAGGGGCGCTTCTCGTATCCGAAAAGAGGCACTTACTAGAGATTAAAAAGGGCACTTATGAGAATGGAAAATAGACACGTATTGCAAAGGAAACTGGGAACTTGTCTGGGAAAAGAGGTACGTGTCAAAATAAAAGGGGGACATATCAGAGGTGGAAAGAAGAGGGGGCACTTTAAAAAATTAACAGGGGCACATATCAAAGTAATAGGGGCACTTTTTGTGTAAAAAAAGGCGCTTCTTACAAAGTTAAAGGGGCACTTTTCCCATGGAAAAAGGGGCACTTTGGGGGTACTTGAAAAAGTGGGGGGGGGGGGGGGGCACTGTGCCCCCTGCCCCCCGGGTCCGCCGCCTCTGTTTACAATTTCATCACTTTAGACTCGATTTCAACCGCGACAACGATCATTGGATATTGTTAATATCGCATATGCGTCCAATATGTTTATTTGAACCAAATTCATGACCCTATACCAAAAACTTTGTTAACGACATTCATCACAATCCCGTGATATATGCCAACGTCGGTAATTCCCATGAATGTTTAAACGTCATAGTTTGTGTTTATTTATCAGCCAGAAATATCAAACCACAGTCTGTTAAAACATGAGACACTTTATAAGTAACTTTCCAAACCAAAAGGTCTTGGTTCATAAAATAACACACCAAATAGGCAGTGGCGGATCCAGGGGGGGGGGGGGGCCGAAACGGCCGCGGCCCCCCCTATTGGCGGAGCAAAAAAAAGGAAAAAAAAAGAGGAAGAAAAGAAGAGAAAAAAGAAAGGAGAAGAGAAGAAGAAAAGGAGAAGAGAAAAAAAAGAGAAGAGAAAAGAAAGAAGAGAAAAGAAAGAAGAGAAAAGAAACAGAGAGAGAGAAACAAAAGGAGAAAAGAAAAAGAAGAAAGCCCCCCCCCTCGCTTGTGCTTGTATTTGAACTCATGTTGGTAGTAATCATGGACAGGGGCGGCAATCTTGGGCCCGATAGGGAGACACGTCCCCCAGGAAATTTAGAAATATAGCGGAAAGAACGTACATATTGGGCTTAGGGATTTTCTAAAATGCTTAATTTAAGCATTCAACATTGCAAAATCTCGCTCGGTCGCTACGCCCCGGCCCTCGCCCGATAACACAAAACTTCTTTCATTTCTACATTATTGCTTCTATCACAATCATAATTGTTTCATTTTCCCTTTAAAGCAGGCGCGTAGCCAGGGGCGGTAGGGGCAGTGGAGGACATAGGACGAAAAAGGAGCAGACAAAGAAAC